CGACAGCGACAACCACAACGACAGCGACAACCACAACGACAGCGACAACCACAACGACAGCGACAACCACAACGACAGCGACAACCACAACGACAACCACAACAGATCACCATGGCACGTTCTTGGACATCAACGGGCACGCACAAGGCTGAACAGGGAGGGGGACGGGGTCGTGAGTTTCCTCAAGACAGGACAGGGGGTTCTCTCAAGCCAGGACATGGGGTTCTCTCAAGCCAGGACATGGGGTTCTCTCAAGCCAGGACAGGGGATTCTCTCAAGCCAGGGCAGGGGATTTTCTCAAGCCAGAACAGAGAACGGAATACGTTCACTCACCCCAAGAAACAAAGGGAGTACAAACAAAGTTTCTGTTCTATTGGATTGCATGGAATCATCGCTCATCAAGGTGAGAATCGAAGGCTGGCTCCCAGGCTCTCCATCTTCAAGCCCAGGCCGAGCCCTTAGTTGGTCCAATATACACCTACATCGCCATCATCTCAGCTGTTGGAGACAAAGGCTGCAGGTCGAGCACTAAAGTTTAGGTTTATCATGTCATGGCATGGGTTTTGGTCCATTCCCGAGCTGTCTGGATTGCTGCTTCTTGGTCCTCCTTCCACCGCTGTGCAACATCGTTTGCCAAAGGATCATCCGGATTGGGCGCACCTAGCAGAGCTTGTATCGAAAGAAGAATGGTTCTGATCTGCAGGGCTGGCGACCAATTACCTGAACAGATAGGTCAACACATTGTGCTACATTAAACGGAAGTGACCTACTCTTCAACACGTCGAGACAGATTCGGCCGAGTTTGTCAATGTTGGGATGATAGATTTTGGTCAAAAACCGGATTTTCGGAGGTGTCATAGGGTAGTCTTCTGGCAAAAATAGTTCGAGCTTGAATATGCCTCCTGCGAAGGGATCAGCAAGATCCCCCTAAGACGGCAATGAAGCAAATACCCTCGTATGGCGATTGAGAAGGGCCGTGTATAGACACGTCAAAATATCTCAGGTTGTCTTCGTGAGGCACAGCACTGATCCCCGGCACCCTAATGTCTTCATTCAGCTGTGGATTCCGCATGATGCAGGACAATTCCTACGGTTCAGCCATCAGTCTCTCCGTCTCTTTTATGATTCTCTTTGGTAGCGCCATTTTAACAGTGTAGAGATGCCGCAGAGGGCAAGCAGATTGAATAGATCAATGCCGTGGGAAGGTACAGGGTCAATCACTTGCAGATGCACGGTGAAGGTCGGAGTGAATGTAGATGGAGTGAATGTGAGCAGTGTCACTGGTAGTACTTGATCGTGGTCGCGCGGTTGACTGTGCAGGCGTAGTAGTGAGGGTGGTGCCGACAAAGAGGCTGTCAGAAACTGGACTCTTTCTTCGATGAGATAGGTGGTGGCTGCCTTGTCAAGGCAGACGGATGTCCAGCGCAGTAGCAGAGGCAGACAATCAATCTTGATACTCGTGAATTGCAACCAACGTCAAGTTTAACCGCAACTACTACTACATGACTCGCGCCATATCTTGGCATGGTATACCTGTTGCTACTGTATGACTCAAGGAACATGCGAGAGAGAGCCTTGCATCTCACAAGGAAGTCGATCAGGTCAGATTCTTCCTACTCAGACGTAGTACCACTAGTAAATATATTTGTAGATAGCGTCAATGTCATGAATAACCCACACGGGAAAAGGCTTGCTCTTTTCCAAAATACACATAACATCACAAACATTCCATGGCGAGCTTATGTCATCAATCATGTGATATCACGTGTGCCGACCGTTCCCGTTGGTTGATTTGTATCCTGTCTGCTGCGCTGCTTCGCTGCTTCAGGTTCAAGGCTATCACGACCAACATCATTCAATGTCAAAATAAGCACGACGTCCTTGTTCATCGCAGCAACTACTCCCTCTATCCCAAGCAGTCGATGCAGAGTTTTGTACCTCTTGGCGCATGGTGATCACAAGAGCAGATCTCTTATTGTGATCACATCTTCCACACACCTTGCTTGAAATGTACCCCTTCTCCGCGACGCAACCTCATGGTATCGGGGCGGAGTCTCGTTGAGATACGAGGAGTCACTATGCTGAATTAACTGACATTGTGGTACTATGTGCCTGAGAGAACCCCATCTGGCAAGCGGGCAACCCCTATGAAATGGCGCCTCGAGGTCCCACATCCGCTTTCGAAAGCGAAACATTTGGACAAGATGCCTCCTTCCGACTCGAGCAGCCGGTGGGCTCCATGACCATTTCACCAAGTGGCCGTGACGTAGCATTGGCCTCCAAAGAAGGACTGCACATCATCGATCTAGACTCGCCATATTCCCTGCCTCGCTACCTCCCCCACAGGACTCCGTGGGAAGTGGCTGATGTACAGTGGTCTCCTTTCGCCGTTCGAGACTATTGGGTCATCAGTACGTCAAACCAAAAGGCACTAGTCTGGAATCTCGAGGCTCGATCGTGGCTCGATTCGATCGAGTTTGTCCTCCACGGTCATACAAGAGCGATCACCGACATCAACTTTTCGGCGCACAATCCCGATGTGCTCGCCACTTGTGCTGTGGACGGTTTCGTGCACTGCTGGGATCTGAGAGCACCACTAAGGCCAGTGAACTCGTTTTCTGACTGGTTTGCTGGCGCAACCCAAGTGAAGTGGAGTCGACAGGACGAACACGTCATTGCCAGCTCGCACGACAAGTTCCTTCACATCTGGGACGATAGGAATGGCGCATACCCTGTGAGAACGATCGAAGCGCACGGGGCGAAGATCTCAGGGGTTGACTGGAACAGACACAATCCAGACAAGATTGTCACCTGCTCTCTCGACAAAACCATCAAATTTTGGGACCTTGCCTACCAAGAGGACATGCCGGAGCGCATAATTGAGACTTCGTTCCCTGTCCGGAGAGCGCGTCACACCCCTTTTGGCTGGGGCTTGCTCGTTATGCCCCAGCGCGGTAACGGCGACTTGCATCTTTACGATCGTCGCGCCATTAATGGAGTGCTTGAAAGTGGACTGATTCAACCAGTCGCAACATTTGCAGGCCACGAAGGACAAATTAAGGAGTTTCTGTGGCGCTCACGAGGTACCATAGTGGACGCTGTGGACAACCGAGATTTTCAGTTGGTATCTTGGGGCACAGACCGAGAACTGAGACTCCACGCTTTGGATCCCAGCATATACGCTGATATTGGCTACGAGAAGGGAGTCTCCAAGGTCCAAAGGCTCAATTTCACGCGTAGAGGTGCAGTCTACAGGTCGTTTCGAGATGAGCCAGGAGATGCCGATTCCCCGCTGGAACAAGTCCCTCGTGGCGACATGTTTCCTCGCCCGAGCCAGGTCATGCAGTTACGACATCGAGCAAGCAATGCCGCAGGCATGAGTAAAGTGCCCGTATCGCAATTTCGAAGCTGGGTGCAAGGGCGTCAGACTCGCCGGTTAGGCATGCACGGCCGCGGTAACAACAGGCAGAGTGCAGACCCCATTGCATGGCTGAAAAATGTCAAAATATCCTCCTGGGATGCCGACACCCTCGCGGAAGAGATCCGGCAAGTCGGAGAGAAGTTCAAAAAGGTGGATTTTGAGGTGGTTGACATCTCTCGTCGCAAGGCAGTCATGTCATTACAGGCTCCTTGGGGGGAGGAGCAAAGCCAGGTCTACCTCCGAATAGAGATGCGATTTCCGAAACTATACCCGCGGAATGCCAATGCCATCCTCACCTTACAGAAGTCTGGCTTTATCGACGACGATACGCACAAGCTCATCACAACCGAGCTAAACACCATCTCGGAAACGTATGCATCAAGGAAACGCGGCTGTCTCGAAGCGGTTCTACGATATTTACTGCGGGAGCAAAACCTTGAGCAGATCATAACCTGGGTGTTGGGAGAATCTTTGACGGAATCTAAAGTCCTGGATACTGGTGCCATCCCAGCGGATGATTCTAGCAGTGATGACGACGAGCAGATGGACGGCGTACGAGATGGACTGGATGCCTCGGCGAACATCCTGGTACCACTGGCAAAAGGTTGCGGTGCCATATGGTCCGAGACGGGGAAGCTCGTCTGCTTTTTCCCGGCCAAATCCAAAGAACCCGTCTCCCTACTGAGCACCCTTGGTGTCCGAGATCTGGAAAACTCAGACTCAAGTGGCCTGTTCGAAGGGTTTGGACGCATCCACACCAGCTCACCTGCTCGCAGAGCCGGCACAGGGACAGGGACAGGGACAAGGACTACCGACGATGACTCGGATTCCGACATGTCAGACTCATCATGGCAGTCATCCAGCAGCTCCTCGTCATCATTCGAGACGGAGCAAAATGTTCGAGGGGTGTCCTCCTATCCGGTGGGACATTCGGGGTTGCAGCAACGCTCACGTTCGCCCGACAGATCCAACAATTCCACCACAGGCCTCAACAAGTTGAACGACACTCCACGTAAAAGTGCAGTGTCGATCCACGATTTTGGGGACCTTGTGCCCTCCAAGCGCGCATTGGCTACTCAATACAAGATCTTCGGCGATGGCCAACAGCTGTGCAAGCATAATGCAGCGGTTGCTCGTGATATGTGTCTCGAAGACCTAGCCTCGGTCTGGATGTTACTCGGTCTCGTTCTGGACGATGCCGTGCCATTGGAGGTCATCTCTGATCTTAGCCATACTGCATTACATGATATATCTATCCTCGCACGAGCTGCCACCAGAAAGCCGCCCCAAGGGTATAAGTCTCCTGACCTAGTAGCGAACAGAGCGATGGGAAGAACACGTTGGGGCAATCATCCGCTAGGCTCGGCATACCTCTTGCCTGCCGTCTTCGACCACTTTGAGAGGCTGGGAGACATCCAGATGCTAGCCACGATGTCTTGCGTCTTTGTCTCTGCCCTGAAGCGGGGCGCCATACCTGGAGATCAGGTTGCCGACCCATGCGTTGGATCCCACATCAATGGCTCTGTCGTGAGGTCCGATTACTTCCCCTCGAAAGCTGTAGCCAAGGCTTTCCTTCAAAACGAAATCGTCCCTGAAGACTACGTCCTTGTCGACTCAATGAATCCCTCAGCGAACCAGGGCATACCTACCGTCGGAGAAGTTCACTCTTTGCAGAGCCAACGAAGGACGTACAACACCAATGGTCGTCACAACAGCCAGCTCTCGTCGCGTGCACATAGCTTTGTGGCTGACGAGTTGAGTGACCATAACCCAGCCCTTTCGACGGCAGTTTCTGTGTCCACATCCCCAGAAGGAAGCAGACTGGGTCACAGGCTCACCTCCAGTATCGCATATTCCTCTGCCCGCGCCAGCCTCTCGGCGCTGACACAGTCATACTCCAGTTCTCCGCCAAACCATGGCTCCAGTTCAGGGGTTGCTTCGGGCTTCAAGAAGTACAGCCCCTCAGGTTCACTGGCGTCTGGCTGGGTGTCCTCGAACCTTTTTGGTGGGACCCAAAGTGGCAACAAACAGACGCGTACGTCCCTCCAAAGCAGCGAGGCGGCCAGCCAGGACAGTCGCGAGGCCAACGCACGGGCGCAGGTTCCACCTTCGCTCTTGCGAGCCTCTCGGAAGGAAAATGTTCAACAGCAGGGAACGGGCCGTCGAGGCCTCAAGCCCGCCGCGGCGTCTATAGCCCCGGGACCAGCCCGCCACAAACCGATTTCTAGGAAGAAAAAGATCAAGACTCACTTGTTCAACCAAGACAAATTTGACCTCGACGGCCATCCACTGTCGCCTTTGTTGGATCCGGTGTTGGAGCAAAAATGCAGCGGCTACCGCGCAAGCTATGCGCACCTACTCGACGTTTGGCATTTGCCGATCAAGCGCGCCGAGATTCTCAAGTTTGACAGTCTGCTGTCCGAACATTTGAGCGCAACAAGCCAACACTCTGGTTCGACCGCCCAGCAACAATCAGCGTCGTCAGGCGCTCATCTCGAACGGCCCGCGCGACGGAAAACATTGACAGCCGGGGCTCGAGCGCCGAGCCCCGGTCTGACCCTCCGCCGCTGCTGCCGCAACTGCGGACAGGCGCTGGCACCGATCGAGAAGAACGGCGTCCCCATTGGTTGGCAGTGCGTCAACCCTGCGTGCGGTCCAGCCGCCAAGGTCCCCGAACGGAGCACCTGCGCCGTGTGCAACATTTCCATAGACGGACTCGCAGTCCCCTGTCTGCAGTGCGGTCATATGACATGCTACGACTGCGCGCAGGGCTGGTTTGGCGCTCAACGCATCAAGACAGAGAGCAGCGCGGGATCTAGGAGGTCATCGGAAGAAGCAACGTCGCCATCAGCAGCAAACGATCGCATCGATAAGGTCGATCAAGAGATGACTGGGGCTAGGCAGAATGATAAGTACAGCGACAACACCGATCTCGAAGACGAACACAACACATGCCCCACGGGCTGCGGATGTCTCTGTGTATCCTTGACAGCCATCCACGCACCCTATCCACCGTCTTTAGTTCTGAACGCAGAAGAAAGTAGAAGCCAGCTCAATACGCAGGCAAGAATTCGGCATCCTGGGCTGCTCCGCCGTGGCACCTCCGATATTCACCGTTCGTCGAGCGTCCTTGTCGCCGTGCCCGAGGACACGAGAGCGGACACGGCGCTAACCGCGTTCCTAGCCCTGACGCAAAGACATCAGCGATCCAAGTCTACAACGGCTCGGCCCCAGTCTCACTCCGGGCTTGAGGCACAACACCACCACGTCCATACCGCCACCGGGATCGGCGGAGATGAAGAAGCAATCCGCGACAACGGCGACGACGAGGGGCCCAACCCGCCCACAGGCGAGGATGATGATGATGCCCACCTGAATCCCTGGGTCGGGAGCAAGATAGCCACGCTGGGGCGCGGCATTGGTGCCGGCCTGAGTCGCGGGCTCAGCTCCAAAGCCAGCGATGCGACAATTCGAAAGTCAAAGTGAGATAATGGAAGGCACTTTGTTTTGAGAGGCAACACCTACAACGTGTGTGTGTGTGTGTGTGTGTGTTTCTTTCTAAACGCGAGATACTTGGAGCACTTTCCCCCAGGCTAGGGTCGGGGTCCAAATGTACAATAGTATTCTATGTACAATATCCGTAGACTGGCAGGCATTGGCCAGGCATGTAAGAAATCACTCAACAAGGCTCAATCGTGTTCTCATGTGGTGCCGATGGTGCTGAGCTGAGTTGTAGATTCTATCCAAGATCGTCTGAGAAGACAAGAAAGAACCAATGATGACTATGGACCATCTCCATACTCCCTGGCTGGGAGATCCATAGAGGAGTATCTAGAAAATCCACAGGTTGTGATCAGGACCAGTGCAGTGCATCAGGAACATCAGGAACAAGAAGCTGTGAAGCTGCTACAGCTACAGCTACATCTACAAAGTAGCTTTGAAGGGGCCCAAGCATACAATAGAATACCCGTCCCCTCGGGTGATGTGATGTGGTAGAGATGCCACGAATCGACCGTATCGATACTGACTGAACTCGTTCGGTATTCTTGTCCAAGGCTGTCCCTCGCAAGGAACAAATCCCCTTTGACACAAGGGAAAAGATCTCGCATTTAATCCCATTGATGCAGTGGCAACGGATCTGGCCAGCAATTAATCCCCATTGACACAGTGGCAACAGATCTGGCATTTACTGCAGAATCAACCACATCATAAGGTAATCATCCATCGTCTTACAGGGAGCGAGCCGCGTGGAGGAACGGTTTGCGAGATAGCTGACGAGAAGTTGATCAAGATTCCCGGAGGCGAAGGGCTGACGGTCCATTCTAATATGGCTTTGTGTGCCACGACAAAGTCCCAGCTGGTACAATCAGGCAGAAAGTCGAAGCACCTGGTCCTCATTGTCAACCATGCACTCTGTCACTTACATTGTCGTGTCTTGCTTGTATTTACCAGGCCATGACAGAGCGAAAGGGGCTCGCTTTTGCTGGACGGCCCTCGCCACGTCTAGGCTGAATCACGACTACGCCAGATAGAGTCAGCTTTTAGAAACACTCAAATTTTGCAATGGAATTATGGATCTGGTCCCTATTGACCGATCAGCTTTCAATTATCCTTTTGATTTGAATACTTGGCCTCCCCAGTCACAGTGTGCCGGCATTCAATCTTCGTCGTACCGAAGTCTGCCTTGTTGCCGGAGAGTACTGCCAGGAGGCCTAGGCCGACCTATTCAAGACAGAGGCGGTGTGAGATGAAAGGCTCAGGCCTGAAAATAACAGGTGATTCGTGTTTCGAACATTGTCTGACACAGTCAGCTCTTCAAATAAGCCAAGTGGTGCTCACAGTCCCGGAGGTGGCGGAACTGCTGTGTACCCGGAAGGAGGCGGTGGAGGAGGTGCAGCTGAACTGTCGGGTGCTGGAGGAGGTGGTGGGTTTGAGTCGCCGGGGGGAGGGGGAGGAGGCGATTGTTGTGACGCGGCAGCCTGTTGCTGATAGTACTGGTAGTACGCAACATAGTTCTGGTAGCCACCGTAAGCCGCATAGGGGTCCGCGGCGGGCTGGCTAGCATAGTATTGAGCGTATTGAGTCGCATAGTCGGTGGTTGGAGAAGCCACAGTGCCAGGCGCCGGGGTGGCGGGCGCCGCAGAATAGGGTGAGTTGTAGCTGTTGCTGTGGTGCGAGTAGCTGCTATCACGACCGCGATCATGTCCGTGGCCACCGTGGCCTCCGTGGCCTCCATGACCGCCGTGGCCGCCGTATGAACCGCGATGGGCATCAGCACCGTACCCATCGGTGTATGACTCTATTCGCTGAGGCGGTGGGTTGGCTTTGAAGTGCTCGAAGTTGAGGCGTACGTTGGCTACGAGATCCTCGCAGAGTTCTTTGGCTTTCTGAACCTGAGCAGGCTGAGGGCCAGCAACGTGCAGATACATCGGTTCGTCAGCCTCCTGTCCTGTGCTGTGCTCCATGAAGCCACTTCCACGACCCTTGATTTGAACTCGGCAGCCCGTTTCCTGTTGGATGTGTTTCACGTAGGCACCGCCTTGGCCAACCACTTGAGCACGGAGGTTAAAACCGGGGATGTTCTCCATGTCGAGTGCAATTCGTTCCTCGGGCCATTTACGCTGTGTCTAGGTAAGCTGCCGGATCTCTCGCTAACATTGACCACATACCCTGCCAAATTCATCTCTTTCGAACTGCTCAGGCTCTCGACGCCGAAAGCGCCGTTCGTCAACCAGATTTGGGAGTTCCTGTTTCATAAGCTCTTCGATCTTTGCAATGGCCTTTTCAAGTCCGGCCTTGGAAGTACTCGTAACATGGAGATATAGAGGCGGATTCTAGTCCCAATTAGCCGCGAGCTTTCAAGCGGATCATTGAGAACTCACCGTTGCAGTGGCCATGCTCTTGTCTGGTACGTATGAGCCTCGGGTTGTGACATCTTAGAAGCTATGAGTCAGCAGTGTCCAGGCCGATGCAACCTTCATGGAGGCGTACCACATCCAGTCTCTTCCTTGATCTAATTGCATAAGTGTCAGCGTGGGAAGTATAAGGTCGGCCAGGAGAAATATTCACCATCTTTTGAGTAGAACCCTTAGTCAAGGTATACCGATTGCGCAAGTCATTGATTTCAATATCTTTAATATAGTCGCCATCCGCGATGTAGATGTCGCCGCCAACCTTGCTCCCATCGTGGATTGAGGAAGGCGTGGCAGGCTTAGAGTTGGGGGTTGGAGTCAGACTCTAGGGAAATGGGTGAGTAGTTGCACAAGATGCGGCGACCGACCAGCTAGCTCACCGATCGAATAGGAGGGACATCCACGTGCTGGATGCCTTTGCGAGCTTGTAAATCGGCATTTATCTTTGCTGCAGCGGCAGCTGTCGTCCGTTAGCAGTGAACCCCGAGGGCTTGCATATCAGGGATAATTACCAGCGGCCGCGGCAGGGTCAAGAGACGCGCTGTGCTTTTCGCCTGAAGCTGGGCTTTGACTGCCCTTCGCAAGAGGACTCCGACTCCTCCTCGTCTCTGGCTGCCTAGCAGAAGGTGACCGCGAGCGTCTGTCAAAGCGACTAGCCTTTCGGGGCTCAGGTTCTGTCTGGTCGAAGCGCGACCGTTTTCGTGGCGCTTCTTCTGACATGGCGAGGTAATGGAAGAGGTCTGTATCGCTCGGAGACAAACAAACTGACGGCGTGAGTTTAGTGAACGGTGCAACAGGAGAAGTAAGGACGCGACGAAAAATCAGTCGAATTTCTGGAATGGGTAGTCAAAAGTTGGTATTGAATCGCAGTTGTAAGTTTTAGACGAAGCAGCTAGTATGACACGTCTTGGCAGAGATGGTGATGGCGTCTTGAGAATTACTGTTTCTGGATTTCCGTGATAGACAGCTTTCACACGCTTTTTCTTTTCATTGATATACAAAGTCCACCCACCAGGTGTACAGACTGGGCACAGATATCGACCTCAATCAATCACTATCCTCCTCTTCATCGCTGTGCTTCCGTTGATTCTTCTTCTGTTTCTGTGAAAGTAGAACGTCCGCTTCCGCACCCTGTTCTGCTAGGACATAACATCTTGCATCTCGCTCTTCTCCCCTCCAAGCGCCCTTCCTTTTCCCCTCGTCACTGCGGTCTTTGCCAGACACGATATCTCCAACCGTCCTCGCATGCTGATAGCCCGGGTATGCAGCCCACGGAAACTTGAAGCTTTCCACAACCTTCAACCCACAATGCCGAGCAAGATCCCGGATATTCCAGAGCGTGTATGGTTCCCCCTCAAATAGCGTGACAAGTATTTGGCCGTAGACAGCCCCGGGTTGTGGACGCTCATCGTCAGAAGCATTCGAGTCGTCATTGAAGTCAGAAGAATCATCGTCCGGTGGCTTCGTCACTCGTGCTGGATTAGGCGGAGAGGATAACAGCGCTTTCGCTGACTTGAAGAAGCCAACGAGAAGCTCTTGATTGTAGCGGACTTGCCTGTTGACATCGGTGCTCAGACCACCAACATGGGGAAAATTGAACACAATCTTTGTAAACGGCGAATACGGCCGCAGAGCCTTCTTGTGTGCCGAGGACAGCTTGGTCGCATCGATGCCGTAAAGGATATGAACTAAATCCCCTTTCCTGCCCTGACAGTCTAGAGTGGCTGCCGAATGGGGTGGTGATGGAGAAAACCCTTCCCATTGGTCCTCATGTGCCTGCTGTTCATCAACTCTAGACTGGGAGCAATCTGGCTGTGTCGCACACAGTCCAGCTGTCCCCTGAAGCTGTTGTATAGTCTTCGGCACATTGGGATATTTGCTCTCAAGGGCCTCCCTCGAGTCATAGCATGTTGTGGTTATCTCTCCAACTCTATGATGGCGCATAAGAGACAGGGAGAAAGAGAAGTCGCCTAAGGTCCTGTCAGCGAGTGTCCTGGTTCACGTTTGCGGCTCCATCAGCCTGAGGACACCCACGGCCACTTCAGGGGAGGATGTTGTGCAAAGTATCTCTCATACCTTCACCAACAAGAAGAACGTGATCCCACCTTGCAAAAGGCACCTTCAAACGAGCCTTTGCCGGGCCACCCTTCTCACGTGATGATACCGCTTTCTTTGTTGAATGCGGTGCTCTTTGGCTGTGTTGTCTTCTGGTCACTGCCGTCTTGGTGGATTTGGGATTGTCATGATGATTTGAATGCTTTCGTGCATGTCGTTTGGCCTTTCCCATTAAGTTTGCTGGGGCGAATTCCCTGTCAAGATCGATATAGCTCCAACCTTTCAAGGACCTAACATGTTTGATACGGCCAGGAATTCCGTTCCAGCTTGTCAAGCTTAATCCAAAGGTGCCTCTTTCAGCGATATTCTTCCATCCTGGAACTAATTATTTTGCGATCTCGCCGCATATAGACTAGCGCCTTCTATTCCGGTGATAACGTAGCAGGACTAACTAATTTCCGAAGTTGATGTTGAAATGGGTGCCCTGAGACAGTTCGTCTTCAAAGGTCAGGGGTGAGGAAGGCATTCTGTCAAATAAGTAGGGAAGTCTATCTGGTATCAAGGCTACTGTAATGGTATGTCAGGATCCGATTTCACAGAGCAAAAAGACGAGGGTTCCTGCGCAAGCTTGCACGAGTTAAGCGTGTAGAGCGTAGGGGTGGTTGAAGCAGCGTTCTTCTTTCTACGACCACCGCCAATGTGAGTTCTCAGTGTATTGGAAGTTGTTGTGGTGAATCCAACGTCTCTATTCCAAACCACTACGTATACAGCAAAACGAAAGCTTGGAATCGAAACAATTCTAGATAGTACAAAATGACAGATACTTGCCCAGCCAATGATTTTGTCCCTGTCTTCTTCAAGCGTGTCTCAGTTCCTACGTTTCCCCTGACGCCTCGCAATGCATTCAAATCTTTCCTTGCATCGTAGTTGCGACAAGCTTCCAACCAGCCCTGGATGATATTAATGGCCACCTAAGGCCGACGAGTCTTTTTCATCAGGCCTTCAGACTGTCCCTGTTGCTTTGGCTGCTGGCGCTCATGGTATTAGACGTTGGCAGAATACCAGTCTTTGGCTTCGAAGACTCCCTGACTTTGGCCAATGCATAGACGATACCGCTGACAAATCCGACAAAGATAGCTGTCACGCTAGGAAGTGTCACCGGGGCGTCGAAGAAGATGAGACCAGAAACAGCAATCGGGAGTTTGTTCAGAGCACCAACCATGGAGTAGGTCGTCGAAGAGGTTGCCCGAACGCACCACGCTGATGTATATGAAATAAAAATCGAGGATAGGCCGGTGAAAATCATGGCGCCAATGATTCCATTCCTTGTGCTTGGGGGGAAGTTTTTGGCCAGATTGGCACCGGACCAGTCCTCTGCCAGAAGAGAGGCAATCACCAGAATGGGGATAGTGAGCAGGTTGTTGTAGAACATTGCTAGTGGCGATTAGCTCTATCAACTGCGAAGAATACTCGGCAACGAATACATACTGTCAAAATCCTTGAAGTTGGTGAGCTTGATGCGCTTGCGCATTCCTAAAACGTATGCAGCAGTTGACAAGCAATTGACCAACATCCAGACGTAACCTGCGTTCAATGTGGCCAGCTGTTCCGTAGCTGCGGCAGAAGTTGAAGAGGAATGCGCCTGGAGGGCGTGTGCAATGTCGGCCCAAGCCGCGATCACGGAGCTAAGCACCATCAGGCCGAAGGAGAAGAGGGCGATGGGCGAAACCGAGCCACCGAACCATAGGACCTCGCCATATGCGATCAGAATAATGGTCAAGTTCTTGAAGATCGTGTACACGGGGATCGAGAGGTATCGTAGGGCTTTGGTGCTGGTGTAGATCATGCCGATCAGAAGAAGAGAAATAGGGAACCCTGTCCGTGTTAGTGTTAACCATCCTTTGGATCGTAAAAATTCATGCCGTACATTTCTTTGCCTCATCTGTCTTGAAGTTTCGATAGGTGATGAGGCCCATGGACTTGCAGGACGAAATAGCCAGCACACAGACAATGGACTGTCCCAAGAGTTAGCGAGGAGCGGACGCTGTGACAGAGAGGCAAAGACAAACCTGAACAGCCAACAGGAGGAAGTTAAGATTGTAATCAGGGAACGAGAGGATATATTTGTTTGCCACGGTCATCAAAATGGAGGAAGCGCAGTAGCTGATGACGGGTAGGACGGGGTTGTTCTGCCAGCTGTGATCGGGGTGTGTGTGCCGTGGCATCGAGGGTGGCGGAGGACTGCTAAATCCCTTTCCCTGCTTCTCGCCGAGTTCCATCTCGCTTCCTTCGAGAAATCTCTTTTTCTCCTCTTCGGCCATGGTTGCAGGCGGTGTGGTGGTGTAGGTGGCCCAATTTAATGGCACGTTCGAGGCGACGACGGTGTCGTAACCAACAAGGCTCACAAAGCGGTTGAGGAGGAACGGTGATACGGACTCGAGCAGCTGGCGAGGAGGAAGAACAACAGAGGAAGAGTTGGACAGAGGGTGAATTTCTAAAGTAATAAGAACTGATTGGAACTGGGAAATGCAAAGGCGCAAGGACGGGAAATGTTGGTGGTGGAAGTGCAGGGGAAAAAAGGGAAAGGGGGGACGTCGGGACGAAGGACGCGCAACGTGTACCGTGGATGATTGGGCTTGCTCCCGGAACTCAACCGTGACTTTAAGGGCCCTGACAGGCGTCACCATCTCAGTGCCCGCTGGTGCCGCCCAAAATTAAAGGCCAAAGAGATTCAAGCCCTTGCGCCCCTCTTCAGCTTCCTCGCCGTGAGCCACCAAAATAATTTCCGATATCTCTCCCGAATTTCATATACGGAGTACGTATACCACTGTACAGATACGTATTACGCAGTTTGTGTCTGATCCCGCCGATGCACATACCCAAATTCCCATCTACTTACACGAGACCGCGTCGACCTCTGAGGCTAGATGTCCTCTATACTGTACCCCCAGAAGTAACCTCAGCCTCGATGCAGCCCAGTTGCTGCTATACCGTCCTTCTACATACCAGGTATCTTCTGGACGATCGACAAGGAGGGGCGGCGCCAGAGTCGGTAGGCCGCTAAAGAAGTGGCATAAAGGGGAGTGCCACGGTTGCCGCTTTTCTCGGTGTATGTAGACCAACATCACCGACCATCATCGTTGACTATAGTCCTGAATACTCCGTAACAGGTATCAATTTTCAGATATGGCATATGCATTAGTCCTTCTACCATTGATTACAGTTCCCAACTTTCCATGCTGCTCCACTTCGCCCATCTTACATCGGCCTGAGATTGGTTCCCTGTTGTCCAAGTTTCGCAAGCCGGCATCTTCCAGTCTTATTTTTGAACCTCCACCAGTTTCACCATCTAACTCAATCCCACTCGTCGTCGTCGTCGTCTTCTGTCCTCTGCTGGCGATCGCGTATACCCTTTCTGGCTGATCTGCCATTGTCGCGGCCGTAATTGTCGTTTTCATCATCAGTCTCTTCATCATCATCATCGTGACCCAGAAGCAGTCTTTTGCGCAAAACAGTCCAGCTAACAAGCGTCTCCTCCAAAGCTCGTGTGACATTGAGGCTGCCCTCTTTCCCATCCCAGCACAAGCCCTCGAACCCGGTAACCTTTCCCTTGACAACTCCCTTCACGAAGCCGATGACACAGGGCAACACTCTCACACCCAGCTTCTCGACCACGAACGGGGCATCCTTAACATCGATGCGGGCAAACGAAACGTCCCCGTCGGCGAGTTCTGCATGCTTTTGTGCGATCTGCTGGCAATGGTCGTCCATGGTGTTGCATCGTGCGAAGTCGGTGTGGAAAAAGTGGACGACGGCCCTCTCGTTCTCCGTAGTAAAGTTGAGAGCTTCGTCGTCGCTTTTCAGCGTGACATATGACTTTTTCACAGTATCGAAAGCAGTTGTAGGTTTTGAATGAGTGGCGGAAGTATGTAGTTGTTGTAGCCTTTGCGCGCGGTATGCCGAGTCATCCTCCTCCTCGAGCGATGCTAAGACTGCGTCCAGATCCTCTCCATCATCGTGTACATGGTCAGGCCGTTTTCTATCTCTATCACCCTTGCCGTCGGGTTCACCCAACCCCATGATGGATGGTCAGTCAATTGCGTTTGAGTCCAAGGTAGGTTGTAGTTCTCATGATTTATTGCACGCCATACTGGTGACTCCTGATTTTTTACGGCCAGAGCGAAATCAAGAAACGAATGTAAATTCGGAATCTGATCAGAGAGATCGTTCATCTTCAATGTAGCCTTTAGGAGACATGTCCAGTCGGACCTGAGGTACATTAATGGCTAAATACTCTGCCGTAGAAAACTTCGATCTTGGCGAGGGAAATTCTTGGCGCACAATGCATCCTGGCCGCATCCAAGTCCGACAACTGAGACTTTTCAGATCGCCAGCTTTGGACCACCACTTCAACAACAACTTATTCGGCAGACAACAGAGGAGATGGCGCCCTCCACCGTGAAGCCGAAAGGTACGATCCAGTCTTTGAGAATGCACAATTCGAGGACACAGGGATGTTGCAAATGGCATGGATGACAAGGCTCGCTCGTTGGGATTCATGGACGACGGCTTATCGTCTTTGCTGGATGCACTCCCTGTGTTGAGACATGTTATTTTGGAAGAACATATACTGACACGCTCCATGAACAGGCGGCTCAAAGAAGCCGAATGCCAAAGCCAACCAGGCCGCGAAAGCCACTCTAAAAGGCGTACGTTGAGTATTGAAGCTGCTCATTCCAGACGCATTTCTCACAATCAATTCAGGTCCATTCCGACAAGGCGCGCAAGATCCGCAAGTCGACGACCTTCCACAGACCGAAGACGCTCGTCCTTTCCCGATCACCCAAGTATCCTCGCAAGTCAATCCCTCACGAGCCACGGCTGGACCATCACAAAATCATCGTCCACCCCTTGAACACCGAGAGCGCAATGAAGAAGATTGAGGAGCACAACACTTTGGTTTTCATCGTCGACGTCAAGGCCAACAAGCGACAAATCAAGGAGGCTCTCAAGAAGCTATACGATGTGGACACAGTCAAGATCAACACGCTGATCAGACCCGATGGCAAGAAGAAGGCCTTCGCCAGATTAACCACGGATGTGGACGCGCTCGACATTGCGGCTACGAAGTTGTCCATTGTGTAGAGAGCTGGGGTTGCATGAGGTTGGGTTTGACAGAGGATGGTGATCTTTGAGTTGCTGCGCCCATAGGGGCGACACCCGCACTGGGACATGATTGAGCAAAAAGGGCATTCAAAGCTCGACACAGAATATTGAGCCATGACCGGAAACCAAGCGTGCTTCCAAAAGCCAAAAAAATACAACTTTTGAGAGCAGAAAACTATTCTTCCGTCTGCTTTTCCGGACATGCAAGGGTGAAGGATGGCCTGATGCTGATGCTGTGATTTATGAACCCTGCCGTAGAATCCAACCCTCCAACCACATGGTAAAGGCTATTATATCCCTTCGCAGTATTTTGTGGTTCTGTCGTCTAGTAATACAGAGCAGTTGATTGCTTTAAAAGCCATGATGAGTCCCAAAAAGTCATCATTGTCTTGCCCGGAGTGTCTCCAAGTGCTTCAATATCACCGTATTGGTGTCCAGGAACCTGTCCACACAGTTGGCCATGCAAGAATCTTCTTTGCCCGCCAATTTTCCCGAAGATATCGTGCCAGTCACGCATTTCTTGAAGCACATTTCGGTTATATCGTGGATATCTGGAAAGTGCGAAGCCAACGGTTAGCTCGAATCCAAACTAAGGCTGAACAAAGAGCTCCAAGACTGGAGCGCGAGAGTGAATGGACCAACTTTTCTGGATCTGCGCTCTTTGGACCTGGACTTGAACAAAGTTCTGTAATTGCTGCTGTTCACCAGGGGTCAGGCGTGTAAGGTCCTGCTGGGTGATGTTCAGATCGAGGTCGTCCATCGCGAGGATTTCTTGTTGATTCGTGTTCTGGAAAGGGCTTCGGCAGAGTCGAGCAGGCAGACTCTGAGATCGACTTGGATAGTAGTACAAAGCTTGATGTCGGAGTTACTTCGATTTGTAGAATGAAGATCTGGTCCAGAAGGACAGTAGCAAGGTTGATCTATACTAGGAGGACCGAACTTGCGACGATGCTACGACTTCAAGTCCGAACTTCAAGAACATGCTGCGTACCGCCTTGGCGAAGGAAGCTGAATTTCAAGCCGCTTTAATCCTGCGCCAGGTTCACAAGGCTGAGTAGTAGACCTTTCGCCACGTTGGCATAACAAAAGCGGATAGGCGTAGGCGCCGCTTTTGACAATTACGTCCCTCGACTTTTATTTCTGCCCGCATCTCGCCAGTTCTCAGCCTCGCCGGTCACAGCACGCCTCTTTCTTGCTTCCAACTCTGTCCTCCGCCTGGAGTTCTCTTTCTACCAACCCTCTGCGAATCCCCCAAACCTGTGCTCCTTTCTGACGAGGATACAAACGCACCACCGAACCCCTTTCGGACACCAGTCTTGTCTTCATTCTCATCTAATCTCAAGTTCGCCATGCCACCCATTCGATCTCGCGGGTCTCGCAAACCCCCGCCGGCCGGCTTCGAAGATATCGAGGATACGCTGCTCGAGTACAGCAATAAGATGCGGGATGCGCAGAACGCGTCGCACGAAGGGAAGAAGAAGCACGAAGCTGTCTGGCCTGTCTTCCAGATCTCCCACGCCCGCTCCCGCTACATCTACGACCTGTACTACACACGCGAGGCCATCTCCAAGCAGCTATACGACTGGTTACTGAAGAATGGATACGCCGATGCCAACCTGATCGCCAAGTGGAAGAAGCAGGGCTATGAAAAGCTGTGCTGTCTGCGCTGCGTGCAGACCAAAGAGACAAATTTTCAGAGCACCTGTATCTGTCGCGTGCCCAAGGCTGGTCTGAGAAGGGAGGATGGAGGTGGCGAAGGAGGAGCTGGCATACAGTGTGTCAGTTGCGGCTGTCGAGGGTGTGCGAGCAGTGACTAGGGTTGTTGTACCAAAGCAGTCTTTGGTGATGGGGAAATTTCCAAAGACATCGAATTTGCCACGTACAGGATCTGTAGCCACGGGTTTTTGATGGAAAGGAAGACAATGGCGTTTCTTAGGCTTTTGGGACGGGCATGATACCCTGGAAATGGCGCGAATGGATTAAAAGTGTACTAGACGAAGTTATATGAAGAATATGTCATTGTTTCGATGGACGGCATAGCAGCCAGTCATCGTTTGGTGCGACTGCCCAGAAGCACCAACTTTCGAACAATTGAAGTCCACCTCAAAAGAATGACCCGTCTTTACGTTCCGATATTTCCAAACCTAATCTCGTGCAGATATCTTCTTTGTACATACGCCGTGGCCAAGCCGTCCAGAGAACCGCATGTACGAACCCGAGATTTGCAACCCAACTTGTTACCCGCAAAATTGCGTCCCGTCATGTCTTATCCTCTTGACGTAAGGTCGAGCTTCAAAACTCGTCGCAAATCATCCTCCAATTGCTGCGCACTGGGCTTAGCTGGGTGAGAAGGCATCTGTGGTTGGCTCGGATATTGTTGTCCCATTGAGTTATATTGAGACACGGGTCGCCCCGTGTGTCGTCGTGCTGTTGATATTGGTGGTGTCACGGCACTGTCAGAGGACAGTTCGGCATATTCCGGCTCGCTCTGCGCTCCGTACACATTTCTCAGGCGTGAAGACGTCGGTCTCTTTTGGGCCTGCGATGGCGCCGAGGAATACTGATAGGGCGCGGGAGGTAGATGATGTGGAGGAATGTAGCCGGGGTGTTCCTGCATGTATACGGATAGCGGAGGACCCGGGACTTGACGTGCGAGAGGCGGCCCTGGAGCGGAAAAGGGTGGCTGCTGGTATGGTGCTCTCGCGTTGAAAGGATTGTTCATGTCAACTCTGGGGTCGACACCAGTTCCGACAACCTGCCCACTTGACCGCATAAGGAGTTGCTTCAAGGCATCGCTTTTGGCCTTCCGCTCATTTTCGTCCATGCTCTTGCTTCCTGGTGATATCGCCTTGGATGATCGCAAGGCTTCCATGCGGTCTTTGTAAGGTGTAGCGAATGGAGACCCGTCTTCTCCAGGGATTGTCCCTCCTTCCAGTTCGAAAGGAAACATAGAATCGGCTTCTCGAGGAGCGGGAGACCTTGAAGCCGGGCTTCCATTGGGAATATTGAGATTACCCGAGCGAATCGCAGGGCTGTCCTTTTGCGGTGTAGCTTTTGCGTGTCGAGCTGCTTCGAAGAGGAAGTCACAAGGGGTAGATTCTCGCTTGCTAGGAGATTCATCTACTGAAGCGACTGAAGGGATTTGTGGACTAGAGGTATCACCGCTGTCGACTTCTGATGACAAGAGACTTGTACCAGGCAATGATTTAGAGTAGAAACTCGGTAGAGGAAGATCAGAGGCAGCTGGGGATTGTTGGAAATTAGAGGCTGCATAGGCAGAAGATTTCACTGGCGTGGCCTTTGCCTTGTCTTGGTGGTTGCGGTTGTTGCTTTGCTTCGCACCATTCAACGGTGCTCCTTCTGACTGTGATTTCTTATTCGCGTGTAAGGGCTTCCGTAGCTGGCCTTTGTTATTGTTTTTTGTCACGGCGGCGGTGGCTGGGGATGTGTTTTTCTGGTATTCTGTAGGTGCGCCCACATCAGACACGCTCCCTTCTAGCATTTCTGTAGCCAGCTGCTTCTTGCCCAGCCGCCGTGGGGCTTTTGCAGGTTTCTGATAAGATGTAGCTGTTGTAGTAGACATTGCTTCGTCCTGTCCGGGCTTGATGGATTGGCAGCCCGTCGACCTAGGTATAGATAGAGAAATTTAAAACACTCAAATTGTGACGTAGTCCAGCAGAAGAAGACTAACAGACCGAAAGGACGAGGTCGATGTTTGTCTATCTTGTGCGTTTGCGTTGTGGAAGAGCGAAAAGGCTCGGATATTGTTGTCGCGGTTGTTGGATGGTGATTTGGGTAGTAGAGGTAGTGATAGGGTTCATTGTCTGTAGCTGATGGGAGCGAGCGATGAATGATCAAGACCAGCGCAACTACCGTCTAGACAAGAATATAGAGGAGATTGTGAATATGCTTTGGAAGAATAGGTGTTTTGAAAGCTCGGTGGAAGTAATGTACTAGGTGGTGATCCGTGAGTGCAAGTGACGCAGGCAACGGACAGAGGCCGCAGCTGCGCCAGGGACCCCCATTTATGTTACGGATCCAGTCACTTCAACTACGCCACTGAGCGCTTTTGTTTGAATCAGCCACTACCCTTCCGCCGTTCAGCCTTGTCACGAGCCCGATCTTAAGGCGTTGGCTGAGTGGTTCTCAATTCGACAGCAGAATCACGTAGGGGACCTTCACTATATCTGCATCCTCATACGACGAACTCGACCGGTCATATTCACCACTCCGTCCTGACCATCTCCGCAGGTTCTCACTGTTTCTGCGCTTTGATCATCCCCGCACTCTCCTTGGAGCCTGCCTGCGACAGCCACCAACAGATTTCTGAATCTGGTGACATGGCCGACGTCGAAATGGCTGACGCTACTACTGCACCTGCTGCATCGAAGCCCAAGACTCCGGTCAAAAGCTCAAAGTCCGGGACTGTTGAAGGAGGTGATGGCAAGAAGAGATTCGAAGTCAAGAAGGTGCGCTCGACGGCATCGACATTGTGCCGTGGCTGCTGACACAGTACAGTGGAACGCAGTAGCTCTCTGGGCTTGGGACATCGTGGTTGATAACTGTGCAATTTGCAGAAATCATATCATGGATCTCTGTAAGCCATGGCTTTCTGTCCCTCGCTCCATCGTCTATTCTAACCTTGTCTCAGGCATCGAATGTCAAGCAAACCAAGGTGCCGCCACTACAGAAGAGTGCACTGTCGCATGGGGGATTTGCAATGTATGAAGGGAAGTCATGTATTCTCTTAGAATCCTCGCTAACAAATCTGCTAGCATGCCTTCCACTTCCACTGTATCTCGCGCTGGTTGAAGACAAGACAAGTCTGCCCCCTCGACAACAGAGATTGGGAGTTCCAAAAATACGGTCGATAAAATGGCTGTCAGGGGAAGAATACCTCGCAATTTGCGTCAAATCTGGGATCTATTCTGCTTCATACCACCGGGCACAATTAATGTCCTCGGCCTGACACAACAGTGCTTCTAGCAAGGGACGCAACGAGACTAGGCGACTGTCCACGGGCATGGCTATTCGAGTCAAATGGACCAAAGGGAAAGAACAGGTACAGCAGGGCTACGCCGGATACGTTCTTCACGAAGGCTCGTGGGATATCAAACATCCGGGGAAAAATCGTCGTGGAGCGAAGACCAAATGATTTAAGGGAGCCAGCATGAACTCTGTAGTCCCATAGAAACTGAATGAGTAGTATGACATGCTTACTATCGTCCCTTTCCACCGCTCACGACTATTCCACCCCGTGGCAGAGAGACCTTAGAACCGAGCCATGGTTGAGGATGCTGGTTAAATACAGGCCACGGAGGGACAACAAGAAGCATCGCCAACAGTGTACCTGCGAGTCCGATCCACATGCTCAGGAAGATGTCTTGTTGCATATAGCCCACGACGAGAGCTATGGCCTGTTTTAAAGCGTTAGAGAATTGCTCGGGGCGAAGAGAGTTCGTGATCTGGCTTACCGAAGATATGGACAAAATGGCAGTGTATAACTGTTCAGCAAGACGCTGCCCATCAAAATCCTTCCCAAGTCAGACGGGCATGTCTTGCAGACAACAGGCTGGACTTTCAGCACTTACAATCTGGCCCTCGAAAAGGTCCTGAATCTGAGCCACCACTGCATCCATGTTGGAGCTATCCGTAGCAGTGTTTACTCCAACCACGCCACAGCCTGATTTGTTAGGTGACACGATGTGGCCAGCAATCACGCACTGACGTTGTAGAAGAGCCTAAGGTGGGCAAGACGCGACTTTGGCGGGGAACAAGAGTTCGGGCTCAGGCAGAGAATGATGGAACTGTAGGTGGACGGGCGGACGATCAATCAATAGCGGGAGGTAATCAAGAATTACTTGTGAGTCGTGACCGTGTAGTACTTGTAGTAATAGAACTACTCTAGACAGCCCAGCTTCAGCTAATGACAGTGGTGCAGTTGAAAACGTGATAGTGCCGATGCTTGGGTTGAATGGGCTGATGACTGGATGGATTGTATTAATTATTGCTTGTTGGCCCGATGAGCCGAAAAATGGCTTTACTGTAATAGGCACCGGGCACCTACCGGGCGGCGGGCAGGGTTGCTGAGAGAGTTCTTCTAGGCCTAAGGTACAGCCTATTATCCGGGGGCCTGTGGACTGTGGGCACCCACGGCCTGCGCTTTTTTTCTTCGTTCTTCTGTCGTAATACTAATTCACACCTTGAGCCTCTTGCCATACAAGATTTCTTCCTCACACACTCACCCACCAACTCACAACTTTCTGTCATAGGAATCAACCTTGTATAGGGTTTTTTCTTCTGTCGGCCCACCGCTCATACAGTGTCTGGTTCGCACATCTGTTTCCTTCAACACACGACTAACGGTCGACCGGTTCGGTACAAAATCTGCAAAGTATAGGAAGACTGTCTACAGTCTTTCCTGTCCTCCGACACACCTCACCCTGGCGCTCGATCGCTACATTCAATCACAAGCCTTCAAATTGGCGGGCTCTCAAATTGCCACCGTCTCCTTCATCCGCCCTCTGCTAGGCACCGCATTCATGGTATTCTACGGAACCACTACCCGACCTCCATAACTGGGTTTTTGGATCTTCAAGTCCCCCTGGCCAAAACTGGCCTGGGGAGTTGCATCGAAAAGTTTGGAAGAGGTGGGACTCTCCATTTGAAACATAATTCTCCATTTGAAACATAATTCTCTGGCAGAATACTCTCTGCCACTGAGTTCAACCAGAGTGGCTTGCTCAGTGGGTTAGCTGCGCTGGCTACAGTGCAAGCGCCATCGGCCTAACACTAGCCAAAAGATCGAAACAAGATGTCTTCCTCTGAGTCGCTGCATTCGCAGAAGATAGACAGTCGCTTCAGCACTCCAGCTCCAGAGTTGGACGACCATCGCCGCAATCTGGGAGTGCTTCCAGCGCGTGACACTTCCTCAATTGTCGAGGCAGAGTTGCCAGGCCCCAAACCGAGTACGATCGATGAGAGAGACCTTGCACAAGTTGACAAAGCGCTCCTCAACACCCTTGCCCAAGAGACAGACCCAATCGCGCGTGACTTTGAACAAGCAATCGTCGACGATGACAAAAGCGACGCGGAAGACGCTCCGCACGGGAGCGGAAGAAAGCCCTCTTTCCTTGGTAGAAGACTCACCAACCGGGAAGGGCGGCCACGCATCCCACGTCTTGATCGGTCGCGAGACTCCTCTTCCTCGCGTTCCACTTCACCCGCGAATTCCATCGAGGCTTTCGCAGAGCCTCGCCGCCGAGCTCGGGCAAATACTGCCGGGAGTCATTCATCTTCGATTCTCGAGAATATTCGCAACCGCACGCAGTCAGGCGGTACGGATCAAAGACGTCCCACTCTGACTAATATCAGTATTCCGGCGCCGCCCACGCTGCGAACAGAACGGGATGCGAATGATGATATTACATTCCCCACAGATGAGGAGCCAGGCAAAACCTACAAGATTGATTTTGAGGAACTGGAAGAGTTTGTTGCCTTGAGTGCTCAAGGGAAGATTCCAGATGAACCAGCGGGCTATGAGTCAAATGACAGCCGGATGTTTGGAGATCTTCGAAAGTTTGAAAATCCAGGCGGAGTGGTCCATGCGATACTCAACGGCGACAATTTCTACGAGAAGCCATTGGTTCATTACGACACAAATGGTACCCTACCTCCTTCGAATGAAGACAGACTTACGCTGAAGGAAAAGCACCGTCCCACAAAGCCTGCCGAGCGGTTCTTCTTATTCACTTCGGGACTAGTTCAAGGGAAGAGTGCAACCGCCTTAGGTGATTTCGTTTCAGACGGCACCACCTTTCGAGATTTATTTGAAGTCGGACCCGATGGCGGTGTCTGGTGGCTAGACTGCCTCAACCCGACCAGAGCAGAGCTCGAGGTACTCTGCAAAGCATTCAAAATCCATCGTCTCACCCGAGAGGACATTGAAACCCAAGAAGCCCGTGAGAAGGTCGAACTCTTCTCGCAGTACTACTTCGTCTGTTTTCGATCTTTTGTCATGGATAAATCGAGCGAAGATTTCCTGGACCCCATCCATATTTACATTGTTGTCTGCGGGGATGGCGTCCTTAGCTTCAGCTATACCAAGAATCCTCACTCGCGGAACGTCCACAGGCGGATCTCCAAACTGGGCGACTTCATCTCGCTCGGCCCAGACTACATTTGCTATGCAATGATCGATGACATCGTCGACTCCTTTGCTCCCATTATCCGGGACGCGGAGCACGAATCGGAAAACATTGAAGACCAAGTGTTTATTGCCCGCGAAGACGACTTCCTGGCCCTCCTCCGCCAGATCGGCGAATGCCGCAAGCGCGTGCTTGACATGATGCGGCTGCTAGGCGGCAAGGCGGATGTCATCAAGGGCTTCGCAAAGCGCTGCAATGACCAGTATCAGGTGGCACCACGAGGCGACATCGGACTGTACCTCGGCGATATTCAAGACCACGTGGTCACCATGATGTCAAACTTGACCCACGTCGAGAAGATGCTCAGCCGCTCGCACGCCAACTATCTTGCCCAGCTGAATGTCGACAACATCCTGAAGGGCAATCATACCAACAAAGCCCTTGCTAAAATCACCGTTGTCGCCACCATCCTCGTGCCACTGAACCTCATCACCGGCCTATTCGGCATGAACGTCAACGTGCCCGGACACGATACGGCAGGCCTGTACTGGTTTTTTGGTATCATCGGGGTCATCTGTCTTTTTGTGGCAACTATGTTGACTATCGCGAGGAAGTTGCGGGCTATCTGAGCCAGTGGACTGAGTTTTGTTTCCTATTTGTTCGCCTGTTCCCTGGTCCCCCCTGGATATGACTGCTATGTGCCTTTGTTGTACATTTGTCTTGGAATACTGATCTCTGGATGGTGGGTGAGAAGAGTTAGCCGCGAGGTTATATACAGTACGACGCGAATTAGAGTTAGAGTGCATCGTTGCAGCATCTTTGACTATCGTTATGTCAGCCTGTGTACACTGGTACCTATAGGTAGAGTTTATACAAGAAATTCAATTATTAGTTTCAGTGCTTTATACGTGTTGGTCGGTACGCTGACATCAAAGGCCAAGCTAATACGTACTTACTTCTTGCTGCACACTACAGTCAATGACCACCAACTGGTAAATATGCCCATCTTTCACCCTCGAGCAGGTACCTACCTCAGGTACTATACTAGTAACATTGACTATCGTGGCAATACTCAATCAAGGATCAGATGCACTGTCAACGCGCACGAAGACGGATAGTTTTACAAACAACGAGGTGTTTGGGGTAGGTATGTCAGGAATGAGAGAAAGCCCTATGGAGTGCTCACTTCTCATCTCTCGAGGATCTATTACATATTCGCTGTGGGTAAGAACCAAGTACGCCTCGACCGTAGTAGCAGCAGCTAATATGCCTCTGCATGGAAGATACAGGTTCTTGATATCACGGGTTACGAGACTAGGTACCTAATGAACACACTTCTCACTACATCTCACATGAGCGAAGGGCACTATCTGCTATCGCCATACACGTCTGTTACTACTCTCTTAGGTTGGATAGTCAACAACAACAACTCAAAAGTCGACGGTGCTATATTGACATGCATACGCTCTTTCAGTTCGGCGGGCCAACTGAGTAAACTATATTCCGTATTTGTTGACAATCCGGGACACAGGTAAATCCTCCCCAAGACCTCCCCAGGCCTCCCCAGACCTCCAGATTCCAGAGCAGTTGAAATCAAGAATCTGACAATGCTGATTGGCCACTAGAGATGAAACGGACGCAGGGCCAGAGCTATACTTATCTTAATGATATGCAGTATGCAGGACTCGACCACGGGAATGTCTTTGTGTTCCTGCATTAAAGCCGCGTTGAAACTCACCGATTCGCCGTAGTTCGAACCTTGCTGGACAGAACTCCGGCGGCAGAACAGACCATGAGGAGTGTGGCAAAGATGGTACGGAGTACCGTGGCTGATTCGTTTCTATAGTCCGTGTTGAAGATTTGCGCAAGACAGAAGCGAGGCAGCGATGGTCGTACAGTAGAGGAATATTCTCCGTACGGCTGACCCCGGCGGATTGCCGTTATCTTCCGGGGTTGACAGCCGAGCCCTTCTTGCTAAGCCCAATCGATTGAGAACCAGATATAACGTACGGAGTACGGATACGGATACCTCGTCGGCTGGTACTCCGTAGATCTGAGTGACATACGAATGATGGTTGCATAGGCCACCTTTGCGGCTGATGGACCGAAGGACCGAACAGAATCCCCAGGCGCAAGATCCAGAATGTTCGATATTAGAGATTGTGCGCTATACCCGCCTCAAGTGGAACAAGATCAGCAGTGATCGATGCATCGCCCTGTTGTGGAACCTGTTTTTGTCAGGTCACACAGGAGCTAACGGAGGATTCGCCTCAAACGACTGATCATCACGAAAGATCGTTGTGGCACACACGTACTAAACACTCGGTATGTGATGGTGGTGGTACGTAGTAGTGTTCATAACAGCCAGGCTTTGGGACGCATATCTGAGACAGAGGGAAGAACGCCATTCTTGATGGACCAGAAAGGGAGATTGACATTGGCCTGTCTCCGAATCATCTCGCATATGGCGAATCATGGCACAAAGTGGGACTTAGCGGTGTTGAGGCCCCTTATCCAACAATCTTTCTTGCGGTCAGGCCTGAATCAAGCGCTCAAGCCACCTAATCTCCAACGACGGACCTTCAGCCTATCAGCCTAGCGGGACGCCATAATGCTTGTTTGAAGCCACACACTCCCCATATCAAGCAGTGCGACTTGGGTGGACAAGAGCGCGAGCAGAAGGACGGCGCTGGTCTAATCTAGGCTGTCTTGAGTCGCAAGAAGTCCGAGGTGGGAGGTTTCGCGTACTCTGTATGGAAGAGAAATCTTCGATATGAGGAGTATCACAAGGCGTCATGAGGCGGGCCTAAGCAGATCGAGGAGAAGATTGACGCGTGCAGACACAGAGGCGCAGAGGGCGCGAGGACGTGATAGGGTGGCTGAGGCCGGGGTAGGATTAGTCGGATTGAGTCGAGCAGGTGGTTTCTCGGGGGCTGGCTCTGGTGTTCTACACATATGGTATGCGCACTCGGTATTCTGTATGTCCGGATGGTGTTATCTGCCCGGCCCTCGTCGGCTAGAGGAGGACCGACTGAGGGAAGAAAGTTGAAAGTTGGTTCAGGGTCGTTTGTCCGTGACGGACCAGGGGAAACCGGGCAACGAGTCAAGACTTGGGGGGCGCAGGTGCAGCTGCAGTTACAGCTGCCAAGGACGCGTTAGGTGCGCGCAGCAGTATCCGTACGGAGGCCCAGTACCTAAGGGACCTGAGTACCTAGTAGGATACAGCTGAGAAACTCCGTACAGGTGCAGGACAATAATCACTGCGAAACTGCGCTGCTGCTGCTGTAAGAAGACAATTCACGGGCTTAAGGCTTCCTCAGATGCAGATTAACGCCTATTGTTACCTCCTAGTAGTAGTGCACTCCGTTTACTAAGGTAGTAATTAACTATAGTATAGCAGTATCCGTACTCCGTAGCCAGGCTTTAGGAGGCTCCAGACGACTCCTTCTAGGCCCGGCTTCAGCTTCCTCCCTCCCCTGACTAGTCACTCTCGAGTCTCCAGCACCACCAGTGTCCACCGCATGAATAATACCTCCCGTCCCTAATCAACGGTAATAACAATACGGAGAACGGAGTCTACGTACACAAGCAATTTAGCGCTGCAGACTCAAAATTTGGCCTACCCTACAGTGCTGAGTGCCTGCGCTACTCGCTATTACGCCCACTATAACTCCGTATTATGCTGAAGCACGCTCGCTCTCCCTCGCTCGCTCTGCATCACCGTCGCTCTCAGTGAATCTCAATCCCGTTCTCACTGGTGACTGCGGAATCTCCTTCTGGTAGTTCTCCTGCTGGTGCACCTACAACCGCATTCCTTGGTGGTTGACCACTTCCGTTCTCGAAACGCCCGCCCGTCCGCGTGTCAACAATCCGGAATTCCGCTTTGTTTGCCGCTGCAACATCTCTCTGTTGCCCTTTGTTTTGACCGTCGACCCTGTTCCATCCGCCCATGTCGTCTTAATCAACCCGCCCGTAACACCCTTTGGATCTGTCAAGGTGGCAGTGACCACTGTTACCATCTCGCCAGCTATGGCAAACCCGTTGGTGATCCCTCTCATCCTTCCTGCTTCTCATCTGACCGTGTCCAGCTTGGCCACAGCATGGCGCTCCTTTTGGCACGCCATGACGTCCAATGACCGACATGCTTCCTACGATTCTCCCTATCGAACCGGCCAACACATGCCTGTTGGTCAAAGTCGACATGATCCCCTGACTTCGGTCGCAACGAGTGCTGTCGACTCTCACCCAGATCTCCCAGCAACATACCACGATGATTCCAAACGCCCTTCCGTATCCTCCACCCAACTTGCCCCGTCACCTGCCAGGCCATACTCACCAGGAATGCGCTCATTAGCTTCGCCGAAGAATCCCAATGTCGAAGAGACGGTTGCCCCTGGCGAAATTCAAATGCAGAATTTCGCTGATGGTGCTCCACCTCCACCACCTGTGGCGCACTCGTGGAAGAAAATCGACCGCTGGGCTGAGAAGCACTACCAGGAACTGTGGGATCAACTTGGTGAAGGGTGTACGCAGAATGACATCAACGAACTAGAGCACGAATTGGACATGTCTCTCCCCCAGGATGTACGCGAATCTTTGAGCATCCACGATGGACAAGAGCGTGGCGGACGACCCACTGGCATCATATTCGGCTGCATGTTGCTAGACTGTGAAGAAATTGTCCAAGAATGGAGAAACTGGAAGGTTGTTAATGAAGAATATTTGAGCGGTGCTAGCAAGCACTCCTCTTACTCCAACAACAAGCGTCTCAGCAACGGCGCCTCCTCCTCCTCCTCAAGCCAGACGCAAAATGGCAACCGGTTCTGGAGACAAGAGCTGCTGGACAGACAAGAATCACAGCCACCAAAAGCTATCCAGAAAGCTTACGCACACCCTAGCTGGATTTCTCTTGCCCGGGACTGGGGCGGCAACAATATTGCAGTCGACCTTGCCCCGGGTCCTTTGGGCAAATGGGGCCAGATCATCATATTTGGACGCGACTACGATTGCAAATACGTTGTTGCACGGTCCTGGGCTCATTTTCTGGCCATCGTGGCCGACGATATGAACAGCGACAAGGTCTTTGTAGACGAAGAGACTGGAGAGCTGAAGTTGAAGGAGTTCAAGACCGAAACAGTCGAGCCTTCATATATGGAAATCCTTCGCTGGAGAGCAGACCAGAAATACGGCCGACGAGGGCCCAGACGGAGGCCCCAGCCAGCCGGACTAAACACTGCTGTTGTGGCGCAAAATGGACGACATTCGCCATACGGCAGTCCGGTGATTGGAACCGAGGATAGGGGCAGATCGCCCCAACGGTTCTCGCGAGGTCCCTCTGGAAGCCCGAGACACACTGTCGGGAGTCCTCTGGCTCGCGTCCAGGAGGAGATTGCTCAACCCCAAGCTATTCGACCTGGTGGAGACGTGATACGAGATTTTGCCCAGGCTGTTGACTCTCCCAGTGAAGGTAAAAAGCGGGAGAAACCTACGCCAATCGACCCCAAAGCCGTCAATCCTAACACCAAAGCCGAAAAGCTGGTTGATGCACCTACCCCTGCTTCATTAAAAAGTTCAGAGCCCAAGGAATTCCCGGCCACAAGACTCTCAAGGGTATCCACCGAAAGCGATAAGAAAGACCAACCCACGGCGCCGGAAAAATCCGAGGTAAAAGGGCTGGGTGTGGACGGCATCGAAGACGAAATGAAGACTGTGTCGATCTAGTGAAAGACTTTTCTTGCGCACTTTTGTCACCATTAGCATGTTACAAAAGACCCATGCATCGCTGGATATGGCGGACTTTGGTCAAATGGACATCGGCCATGGCGTTGTTACCGTTGTATTTTCCAGGACGGTTGGTGTAACAGGCCGGGTGTCTTTAACATGGTAACCTCTTTCTTCTCTGGCAAGTTTCATGGACATGATCAGATAGGGCGGGGCGGGATGGAGAGTGTACAAGGTCAAAGGAGCGCAGCAGGTGAAGCTGACCGACAATTGTAAGGCAACCCGAGACCAAACAGACGGTTCAAGCCGAGCACAGCAAAGCAAGTCTAGGTAGTAGAGGAGCTACGAAATGGATGAATAGAAACAGAGAGGATGCTCGGATCCATCGCTCCCAGCTCTCCAACTTGGCCCTTCCTTCTTTGCTGTTGTTGTTGTTGTTTTTTTTTTTCTTTCTCCCGCAGGAAACGCCTATCCTTTGTCAGGGTCATCGAGCACTATACAGAAGTTATTCCGCCCACTTCCGGGGTTGAGTTCCTTTTTCTTGAAGACGGTCTTGCCTCCCTGCGCAATCCACTCGTCCCTGCGCTTGGGATCAAACCGCCACAGGCTGTAGTGGAGCTTGCGGGTGGTCTTGGCTTCGAGGTCGCTGTAACCTAGCGACGAGAGCATGTCTGCGAGATGGTCGGGAGTGATGTAGCGGGAATTCAGGAGCGTCGGCGCGGGCAGGACCAGGAAGAGACAGGGGAGCAGCCGTCGACTTTGACGCTGGTCATCCCCCCTTTTCCTAGGGTGCCTCTGGGTAGCCTGCTCGCCCTCGTCCTCGTCCTCGTCTTCATCGGTGCCGTTGTCTTGCTGCCCATCACTGCGGGGCTCCGTATGCATGACAACATGCTCACCAAAGTCCTCGTCGACCTGCTCGTGCTCGTGCCCCCGCGAGAAGAACATGGTCGTCCGCCGCAGCATGTCGCCTCTTCCGCGCGCGTCAGGGACGTAATTCAAGACCAGACTTAGACTGATCACATCGTAACCCCGGCGGCCCTCCCACTCGCCGCTGCCGTCGGGAGAGTCCGGCAGTGGGAAGGTCATGAAATCGGCCTCCTCGATGCCCGGGCCCGACGAGCGCAAATCGATCCGCCGCACGCTCGTCAGGCGCGGCATGTTCAGCGCATTCGTCGTGCTGAGCGCCCCGATCTCCAGAATCCGGAGCGGGAGCGGGGGCGGGGTGAGGGGTGGGCTGGCTCCGTGGGCGAGCGACGATGGTGGACTGGACGCAGCAAGCGTGCTGTCCTTCTTCCGCCCGCGTCTGCGCGCTTCAATCTCCGGCCGCAGCCAGTCGACCAGGACCCGGCTCGAGTCGCCGCCCCGCTCGGCGCTCTGCCCGACCGTGCTGGCGAGCTGGTACGTCTCCAAGCCGCCGGACGCGGCCAGCTGCGCCTCGAGGTCCTGGATCTGCTCCATGTCGTTCTCGGCCCGAGCTCTCGCCAGCCGTTTCTGCAGGACATGGTGTGCGCGGATCAGCGTGCGCGTGCGCTTGGACGACAGAGACGACCGCTGAGGATTGAGTGCAGATGCTGGCTTGGACTTGCTCGAGGAGAGGAGAGGTGGCCGGCCGGAAGTGAGCGCCTTGTCCCTTGAACGGGCTTTGGATGAGCGCAGGGCCGAGGAGGCCTTGTTTGACGAAGACTTTCCTACCCCCGACATCTCGCTCGATATGGCTGGAATGACTTTTTCTTTCTGATGGAGAAAAAGATATCGATCGCCGGAGAGGGAGATGAGCCGGCCTAGACTGTAGTGTACACGGACTAAGGCATCTTCAATTCAACCTTGAATGCGGCGAGAATGGTAGGATGGAACATGAGTGGCATTTACACCCAAAGTTCCCAAGTGCTGCCCTTTCTCTTTTTCTTTTCCTTTTTCTTTCTTTCGTGGATGCCAAGGTCGTGGAATTGTGAATCTCAATAGGAGTAAGTACGATCTTTGTCTGGACAAGTGCCTAATAGGCCTGAGGCTGAGAACAGCAAACATTGGAAGAGGCGGAACAAAGCTTGGCGTAGCCAATCACAGGGCCGAGCCACAGCCTTGCGACACATCTGGGAAACTCACACACAGCTCACCGACGTGATATATTTGTATCAAAACCCCATGCCAAAAAGTGCAAAAAACTCTTCCTTGAAGCCCAGTAGCTGAGTTGATCAGGCCACTGAGGTCCAAGGGAGCGAAACAGCACCTATGCAGATTCCTCTACAATCATTAGCAGCGGTTCTTCCGAACGCCCGTTTTCGAGTCCAACCGCTCTCTGCTGAGGCATGGACACCAGTTGTGCAGGGCTTATACCACTACCCCACCCCGGTGGTGGTTTGGAATGGTAGCAAGTCTAGAGGCCGAGGCTGGTCAGCGTTGAGGACAATTTCTGGGACAATAATTCATGAACTATCATTATTCTGGTCAGTCACATTCGAAGCATCATGTGGTTGGTTTCCCAACACTCGGGTTCCGTCTTCCGTCTTTAGTACAGTCCTACAGTCCTACAGTCCTATTGCCGTCACGGTTATTATCGTTTGTGGTGTTTCCTTTGGACTGCTAGTCCTTAGGTACTGATACCCTCGGGTGTCCCAGACCCCGTCCCATTTCTATTTGGCGCATGCGCTGAAGAGTTCCTGGTTGAGGGGATTCAAAGTTGCAATCTACCATGCAACAATACCGATGAATTCCTCTCCGTAGAAACTGTGTGCAAGGATTCCTCAGGAGCGCAAAGTGCACAGTGAACACAGTCTGAAAACAGCTTGTTATGCTGTTGTCGGTTGCTGTCAAATCACCAGCTACTTATCTACTGGTTTGATGCTAGATCATACAGCCCAACTCCATTTTGATCGTCTTAGCCCATGATCCTGAATGCCTTTGTACGCCGGCGCGCAATACCATCTCATGACTCATAATAACTCGACAGGCTCCAATGTCCTCTGATCGCAGCTGCCTATGCAAGCCGCTGCTTCTTGAACACGTTACTGCCGGACTTGAAGCCGTTGGCTTCACGTTGTCGCTTCCGCTCGAGTTCTTCTTTCATTATCCGCTCGGCCTCGCTCATTGGTCTTGTTGTGTTGGACTGTAACGGTTTCCTTGTGCCAGCTAACGCATTCTTCTTGGCTGCTGCAGCAAAGACATTCTTGGGCTTGTTTGACGCCACGCCCAAAGACATGGATATGGGGGCCTGGCTTACGGATTGCTTTGGTGTCGAGTCAGAGAGGTGTGATAACGCAGTCACGTCGGGTGTAGCTGCCGCGGCTGGAGCTTCTGGCGGGGACGAGGATGCTGCGCTGTCCTTTGCTTCGTCGGATGCGGAGTCGTCGTCCGATAACGGCGGTGTGGGAGGTTTAGATGACTCAGGCAATTGCCTTTTGGGTCCAAAGTTGAGCACGATTTTCTCCCCGTCTTTGCGCTTGATACCAATACCATCCACCGGCTCATCAGGGTCGTCCTCAAGGGTCTTCTCATCGTTTGGAATGTAAGCAGTGCCATCACGTTTCGCTCGTCGGATTTGTTCTTGGATCATCCTCTGTTCCCGCTCCTCATCACCACGGTCCTGTCGTTCCTTCTTCTTCAGCGCCTCCTGTCGGCGTAGTGCGTCCGGGCTATTGTCGATCCAACTGATGAGCAGGCCGCTTGCACCTGGGCGTCCATCGTTCTTCTCGTCCTCGTACACGCGGCATATCCCCTCTCTGCCCAGATATTTGGCGAACTCTGTCAGGCTGGCCCACTTCGTCGAATTCATGTGAATATGCTCCTTGTTCGAGATGTATTCTTGATAGAATTGGTTCATGTTGACCTTCTTCTCCCCGTGACCTGTACGTAGCAATTGTATAAAATCTCTTAAGAACTGGTTCGAGAAGTCGTTGATGGCTTTCCGTGGGTCTTCGCCAATCAACTGCATCTGGCGGACATGCGATTCGGTCGCAACATGGCACTTGAAGCCATTTTCGTCTCGCATTTGTCGCTGACATGCTTGGCAGTACCATCGCAGCCGCTGAAGCCCTTTCGACTTCATCTTGTTGGCGATGTACTTCGCCGACCCAACTTCGGCTCGAGGCATGCTTGCGACGGAAGTTGTGGTTGTCTAGGAAGATAGGAGGGCTGAATCCGAGGTTCGAGAAAGTCCGCAAACGTTGGAGGGGAATGAGATCGGCAAGGAATGTAGCTGTTGTACTTTGACACTTCGACTGACCTTGGCGCTGATATCGTTGTTCACGCGAGTGAGACTCTGAGAATATCACGGACATTTTAGTGGCGAAACTTCACGCGCACGTGATGAAAGTCACGTGATAAGCCGGTGGCTACCTATCTAGTACCTACAGGGTAACTTAACCGACTATTATGACAATAGGGGCACCTAATGGGTACTCGCTAGACGTTAGGTACCTACCTACGTAGTTACGGGTATTACCAGTGCTCTTCGTTGGCGCCCTACTGTACCGGTAGCCTGTAGTCACAGGGGCGATAGTCATAGCCTTAGGCCTCAGGCTGCTGTCTATCCTTGAGAATTATCCAGAGCTCTGCTCGAAAACAAAGTATGCGCTCTGCTTCTCCTTTCACTCTACTCCTGGACGACATAACATGACATCTCTGTTTCAGTCCTGGAGGTACGCTCTCAGGCGGAAACCCTCTCTCCCGAGGACCTTTCCCAGCATTGGAGCTCTACTAATTCCAGCTGAAACACTCTTCGAAGAGGAGACCTTACCGTTTTACGAACCTCAACAGTATTATCCGGTTCATATTGGTGATGTATACCAATCGAAGTACCAAGTCGTTGGCAAGCTCGGTTATGGCGCATATTCCACTGTATGGTTATGCCGAGATCTTTGGTGAGTTTCCATTGTTATGCAGCACTCAAGGTTTCTACGTCTTTAAGCAAATTTCCCGATGCAACCCTCAGAGAATTCAAGATCTACGAGCACCTTTCATCTCTCGTTTCCAGTCATCCAGGTCAATCTTTGATACGTGGACTTTGTGGCACATTCGAGCTCCATGGTCCATCCGGCAAACATCAATGCCTCTTGCAGCCGCCCATGCATATGAGCCTTCTTGACATGACACATATAGCCCGCGAGCCTTTCAGCCTCCCTCTCCTCAAGATGACACTGAAACGACTTTTGACTGCCCTTGACTTCCTCCACACTGAAGCTCAAGTCGTCCATGGAGGTATTGTCGTGTGGATCAGATATGCTATCCTAATTAATTAATGCTAGATCTGAAGACCGATAACTTAATGCTCAATGCCGAAGATCCAACCATGTTGGAGAGATTTGAAGAGGCAGAAATCAAGGAACCCAGCCCTCGTAAGTTGATCGATAGTTCAAGAACTATCTACAAGAGTCGATGTCTTCCGACGCCAAGAGACGACAAGTATGGCCTTCCAATACTTTGTGACTTTGGGGAGGCACGAATTGGGGAGACACAGGAGAGTGGCCCCTTTGTTCAGCCACACATTTACAGAGCCCCTGAAGTGATCTTCGAGATGCCATGGGGCCCTCCGATCGATATATGGAATCTTGCCGGTTTGGTGAGGTGCTCAGAGTCCAAGTCCACACATGTTCTAATTTGATTCCGAGGTCTGGGATCTCCTTGAGGGCGAGCATTTATTCGGTCGTATATTCGACGACAAGGGCCAACATGACCCCTTCCAGCATATTGCAAGCATGGTGAACCTAATTGGGCAGCCTCCGACAGAGTTTGTGAGAAGAAGTGAAACCACCGAGCAGTGCTTCGATGCAAAAGGTCAGTAACTATATCCTTTCATGTCGTCAGGGTACAGAGTCAACTAACGGCTCACATCTAGGAGATTGGATCGCTGAGGAGCATGGTAGAATAACAGCAGCTTCGTTAGAAGATATTGAAACACGTCTTGTGGGACAAGAGAAGGAAGTATTTCTCAATTTCATGCGATCAATGCTGAAATGGCTACCCGAGGAGCGGTCTTCCGCGAACGAACTACTTGACGATCCCTGGCTGCAGGATTAAATCAACATCAAACATGTGGGGATGTGCCATGAGGTTTGTCTCAAGACACATTGCCACCGAGTGGGAAAGCTCTAGTGGCATTCTGCCTGGCAATCTGCGTTCAACTTGGACCAGACACCCGTCTAGCTGTCGACTTTGTTGAGGGAATTTAAACTGAAGACTGTGAGCTTCATGATTGTAGTTGCACCTCTTCGATTTTAGTCCTCATGGCCTTTTCCTGGACCTTTTTTAGCTGGGCATCAGGCAGTCTGAGTGATCGGATCCTAAACGAAATTGTGGATTCGGTTGTCAATGTGCAGTGAAGAAACCACACTAGAGTTTCCAAAGGGGGGACGAATAGAATTTTGATATCTCTGTACAGAATATACAATGGCGCTCTGGCCGTATCTGCCACCTGCCCGCAAAATTGCAGAAGAGTAGAAGATACAGTCACAGGTGGGCAAGAAAAGAATACAATCGGGCGAAATGGGCACAGACTCCTAATGGCCCCTAAGCAAGAAGACTTGAGAAAGATTCTTCTGCGTTCACGGGTGAGGACCAAACCTGGGCACCTGGCTATGGAGTACTTTACATACCTTATGCCAACTATTATTGTAACAAGCGCAGATCCTGGCACTGTTGAACTTGCCACATTACGACTGCAACCCCAGTAAGCACGTCGGCCGCGAAACCACAAATTGCTTGCCCATAGCGGATAACGTTAGATAACAGTGGAGGGGGGCCTTGCTAATTTCTATCAACGGCTTCCTCGGACCGGGAGGCAGTGAGCACATGGGCACGGCATATGGCATATGCACATGCCAGGTTTCGGGACGCGGAAGTGGCAGCCTGTACCATGATCCACCAATGCTCCGAAACTCGCCCACTGAGATGGCCCTGGTCCAGATAAGGGCCCAGCAAAGAGGTGCTATTCTTACCCGTATCCATCAACAGGGTCGGGATCCTGGATGAGGGCTGAGCCTGGTATGAGACAGTGTGTCATACAATGTCTAGGCACCTAAACAGTCAGCGTCAACGAGTAGGCTGTACGGAGTACGGTGACTGTGACAATAGCCACATCAGCAACAAGGGATCCAGCTCAGCACCTCGTTGGGAGCCTAGCCGTCGTTAGAGCCGTTCATAGCCGAGACCACATCCATTATTTAAGTCTGAAACCTCGAAGGCAAACGGAGGAGGGACGGTTGGGAGAAAACCACAGATCACCTTACCTCTTTGGTGCCTCTCAATTGGGTACCAACAAAGCGCCCGAAAACGCGCTGCGGCTGGTAGCGCGACGAGAAGAGTCGTTGGGCGTGAGTCTAGTAAGGATGAACCTGGCCGTGAGATCTCGGCGAACAGGGCTCAGGAGGCTTGCCGCTCGGGTTACGAAGCGTCATGTGGCGTGGATAAGGGAAGCGGCCACCGGCTGAGGGACTTTGCCCGGAGAGGAAAGGTGGCTGTTCAAACCCTTGGCGTCCATATCTTTGTTCCAACGTCCAATTGAACCTCACTCCTTCTCCCATCCCTGCTGGTCGTGATCAACCATACCCAGTATCTTCCTGCTTCTCGTATAGCTGTCTCTGGGTACCGCTATGGTCTAGTTGGCCGGGGCCAACTCGCCTCAACAACCGCCCTCGACACAGAAACCTACGCCATTATGCATCGTAAGCATCACTCACGGGTGTAGCAGCAGGGATATTTCAGGAACCCGGCCATGCCGGCGCAACTAATCTCTCACTGTCCCCTCTGTCCGGAAGTCTCTGACTGTCCGGCTTGTCTGGGATCCGGTATCCCTTCCCCTTATTCAAGCCCGTCTCTGGTTTTGTACCTCCAGGAATACGACCCATGCTGAACATTGTGTAGGCGGTATTGTGGCGGCGTATGCCTCATGACCAGGGTCGCTTTCACATGCACGATCTAACTTTTTACCATGCTCGTGGACACGGCTCAGTTGCCTCTCGGCTGATATCATCAGTTTCAACCTGATTGCGAGATGCATCAGCAAGGAGTTCCCCTGCGAAGAGCTTAGGGTTACACTCCAGTGTCCAGGCAGCCTCACAGCCCTCAACGGTTCCTGCATTTCCGCTGCAAGGTCATCGCTGAACCCTGAAAGCCCATCATCACACTTTTTGTCGCCGCTGTTCTTGCTCAGGGCCCCGCCTTGCGCATGCCTGGGTATTCTGATGATGGCTTACTGTAAGTTCTGCACCCACATCATACTGTCGACTTGGTAAGTGGGCATGGGGGTTTGTCGTTGCAAACTAGCGCACCTGTACTCCGTTCACAGCGCAGCGACCAGCGGCACAATGTTCGACCCTCTAGTCCTGACGATCGTCAACAAGTTGGTTGACTGTTCTAGATAGGTATCTGGTGGACTAGTTTGCCGCGTTCCTGAGCCTAGAATCCGTTATCACTCCTCCAGCCCCCGAAATCCTGGTCTGAACCTTGTCGCTATGCGCAAGCCTCATGATGGACGAGAGCAAAATACGCAGGTTGATCCTCATAATGTCTCATTCGTGGCTCCACCTGTGGCTGGTCAGCCAAAGCATCTATTCGTCGGACGAAGTTGGCTACTCCGTCAGGCGATGCGTCTACAGTCTTCAGCTAGGTAGGCTGTGGTCACTCCCAATGTGACCACATCGAGATCTCCTGCATGAGGCCCAGGCGTTTGCATGAACGGAAGAGGAGGTAGCGCCCTGGTATCCTTGCGAGTGTGAGAAGGATCAGGTCTTCGAGTGTCCCAGAGTCTCCCTTCTCCCCTCCCTCGAAGCACGCCCTTTCACAGTCCGTTCCCCGTGTTCTCACCACTTGACGCCTTCCAAGTCTATAGCACCTTTGCGGTTGCCCACACTCGCTTTCAAGATCTCGAACTTTTTGCTCACCAAGTCCTTCGTTTGTTCTGTATTCCAGGATGGTGTTTAGTGCTTGGGGTTTGGTCTGTGCTCTACTTATTACTATCTCTGCTGCGTTCAGATACGATCCAGCTTATATCCAGTACAATCTCAACCAAAATCAGACAGCAAATGATCCGCTAGACTACTGGGGCGAGTGGACAGGACACGAATATAATCCCTCGCCGGCAAATTGGAGATTCCCCTTCTATACACTCTTTCTTGACAGATTCGTGAACGGGGATCCTTCGAACGACAACATAAACGGTACCTCATTCGAACATGACTCCAATTCCAACCAAATGCGTCATGGCGGTGACATACAAGGCTTACTGGATACTTTGGATTATCTCCAGGGCATGGGTGTCAAGGTATGGTTGGCCATCTACACCGTTTCTCTTCCGTTGAAACAAGCTGACGGTGACAGGGGCTTTATATAGCTGGGTCACCCTTCATCAACATGCCTTGGGGGTATGACCAATACTCACCTCTTGACCTGTCAATCTTAGACCCTCATTTCGGCGATATCGATATGTGGCGTACAGCGATAGAAGAGATCCACGCCCGAAATATGTATGTCGTCTTGGACAATACCTTCGCCACCATGGGCGACCTCATCGGATTTGATGGCTATCTCAACACTACCACACCTTTCACGCTGGCGGAACACCAGGTTCAGTGGAAGACGGACCGACACTATCAGGACTTCCAAATTGGGAATAACTATAACAAAACCTGTCAATACCCCCGATTCTGGTTGGAAACAGGGTATCCCGTGGGTGAAGACGTCACAAAAGACATGGTCGGGTGCTATGACAGCGAGTTTGATCAATATGGAGACACTGAAGCTTTTGGTGAGCGGCAAATCCGAGTTCGTGGTTGGCATTGTTGACAAAACACAAGGACTCCATCCGGATTGGGTTCGGCAGCTCAGTAAGTTCGCTTCAGTGCAAGATCGCTTGCGCGAATGGCACGAGCCCGTACGCCGAAAGCTGGAGAATTTCTACTGTATTTTGATCGCTCAACTTGATGTTGACGGCTTCCGATATGACAAAGCGACTCAAAGCACCATCGATGCCATGGGCTTCATGAATGATGCCATGCGCAGATGTGCAAAGAGGTACGGCAAGAACAACTTTTTCCTTCCGGGTGAAATCACTGGCGGTAACGTGTTCGGGTCGCTCTATCTTGGTCGTGGTAGGCAGCCCGATATGGTTGCCGACAATATTACGATGGCGGTGACCATGACCAACGATTCTGCCTCCAAATACTTTCTGCGCGGACCGGATCATGGTGCTCTCGATGCTGCAGCTTTCCATTACACCGTCTACCGGACATTGACACGATTCTTGGGTATGGATGGCAACCTCGAAGCTGGGTATGATGCTCCTCCAAACTGGGTTGACATGTGGAATGACTTCCTCATAACAAACGACTTCGTGAACGCCAATACCGGCCTTTTTGACCCTAGGCATCTGTATGGTGTAACGAACCAGGACGTCTTCCGTTGGCCTGCGATAACCAACGGGATTGAACGCCAACTGCTCGGTCACTTCATTACCACGATCGAGTTGCCTGGCGCACCTCTCCTTCTTTGGGGGGAGGAACAGGCCTTTTATGTCTTGGATAATACGGCCTCCAACTACATCTTCGGCCGACAAGCAATGTCTTCAGCAACGGCATGGCTCAGCCACGGCTGTTATAGCCTCGATTCTACCCAGTTCTTCAAGATGCCACTCAATGCTTCACGTCATGGATGTGAAGATGAGGCGGTCAGCTATGATCATCGGGACCCCTCACATCCTGTGCGCAATATCATACACCACATGAATCAGCTCAGGGAACAATATCCAGTACTTCAGGACGGCTTTTTTCTACAGCAGTTGTCGAATCAGACCGAGCACATCCAGTTACCCGGCTCAGGACACGTCAAAACTGAGACTGGCATGTGGTCGGTCATGCGGTCAGGCTTCCCAGGCGTGCAAGACCTGAGTGCTACAGGAGCAGGTAATCTTCAAATCTGGCTACTGTACTCGAATGCCAATACGACGAGGTCTTATACTTTCGACTGCAACAACAATGCTACTGACCTAAATACCACGAGCTTGATCGCGCCTTATGATGCAGGCACTACCGTCAAAAATCTGTTCTACCCTTATGACGAGCACACTCTGGATGATAGCGTTCATTCCTTGGGAATTAACGGTTCGACGGAGCCGAATGGCTGCTTGAGTGGCTTGCAGATGCAAGCATATGACTTCCGCGCATATGTCCCTCTGGCTCAATGGGTGGGACCCAAGCCCATGATCACCAAATTCAGCCCCGGCCATGATGTGCGCCTCGAGTCCAAGGTCAGCGCAAACGAGACTGAAAGGGTTGATATCGAGATCCAGTTTTCCGTCGACATGGATTGTGATAGCGTCACCAACAGCATTGTGTTCAACTCAACCACCGAAACAGGCGACGCGCCCACCATTGACCAGCACAGTATCCAATGCGGTAATCTGAGCAGTCCTCAGACTCCTCCTTATGTGGGCGCCATATCGTCTACATGGTCTTGGTCTGCGACACTCGAAGGTGTTGCCAATGGCATTCACGCGATCTCTGTCCGAAATGCATCGTCTGTGAGCGGGGAGGTGACCGACGCAATAGACCGATTCTTGTTTCGGATTGGACAAAGGAACAACCCTATGGTGTTTACGACGAGTGCAAACTATTCGTCTAGCCTCCTGGGAAAGAGTGACAACGGCACGCTAACCCTCTCTCACGCAGCGGCCGGGGCTGACAAATGGCGCTATTCGACAAATTGGGGCTCCTCATTCTCGCCCTGGATGTCTTACGGAGGCGGGAAGACCCAGATCGAAGAGCAACCATGGTCTGGTACAGATCTACAGTCCTGGAAAGGTACGCATGTACGAGTGGAATACTTCAGCCGCTTAGCCGGCAGCAGTGACCACATCCAACAGGGCGATCTGGATTATGACATTCCTAGACGGTTTCCCCATCTCTTTGTTAACGGCCCTTATAATCAATATGGCTATGATGCCGGGCTGGACAACAGGATGAAGTTAACCACCAACTCGACATGGGAACATCATTTCATGACAGAATGGAGTCTCAGTGGCGCGCTGGCACAGATCAATGTTTGGGGAATCAACCCAGACGGCAAGCCAGATCAGACTTTTGTTATGGGAGATGCAGACGGAGATTCAGTTCTCGATCGGCTGCCACCATCATCGTTGTCCTCGGTCGTCCTCAACATCACGCAGCCCCCTCCGAAGCCGTATCTTGGCTGGCGAGTCGTCATCCACGATGGCAACTTACGCTTCAAGCTCGTGCCGTCAGGGAATATGTGGAGTCAGTTGATCCTCTATGTCCTTTTATGGACCGTTCCCGTCATCACAGCAGCGTTCGGAGTGTGGTCGTTCATGCAGGCGTTCTATCAGGTCAAGTTCAACCAGGTTGGGTTTTCGGAGAAAGCTGCCCTCATCCCTGCTGGTCTCAAGAAGCAGTTCAAGAAACTCGTGGATGAGGAAAACTCGCCTGGCCTTCTGTCAAAGTTCACCCGCAAACCGAAGTTTGTTCAGCCTACGGGGACCATCATTGATCAGCAACGACGTCGGACCGTTCTGATAGCAACGATGGAGTACGACATCGAAGACTGGGCCATCAAAGTCAAGATAGGAGGCCTCGGAGTCATGGCTTCTTTGATGGGTAAGAACCTTGGACATCAAAACCTTGTCTGGGTTGTCCCTTGCGTCGGAGACATCGACTACCCAGTGGATCAAACGGCCGATCCAATGACAGTGTCCATCCTAGGCAAGCCTTATGAAGTCCAGGTCCAGTATCATGTGCTCCGGAATATCACGTACGTTCTTCTCGACGCGCCCGTCTTCCGCCAGCAGACGAAAGCCGAACCGTATCCGCCCAGGATGGATGATCTTCCATCCGCAATCTATTACTCGGCCTGGAATCAATGTATCGCGCAGGCCGTGAACCGCTTCCCTGTGGACCTCTACCATATCAACGACTACCATGGCTCAGTCGCTCCGCTGTATCTGCTCCCACGAACCATTCCTGCCTGTTTATCCCTACACAATGCTGAGTTTCAGGGCTTGTGGCCGATGAGAACACGACAAGAACGTGAAGAAGTGTGTTCGGTTTTTAACCTGTCACCTGAAGTGGTCCAGAAGTACATTCAATTTGGCGAGGTCTTCAACCTGTTGCACGCTGGCGCATCTTACCTCAGAGTTCACCAGGAGGGCTTCGGCGCTGTGGGCGTGTCGAAAAAGTATGGGAAGCGATCATATGCGAGATACCCTATATTCTGGGGACTGAAGAAGGTTGGAAACCTGCCCAATCCTGACCCATCAGATACCGGAGAGTGGGACAAGAAGCTTCCGAAAGATTCAGACATCCGAGTCGACCCAGAGTTTGAGGCTCGCCGTCCTGAACTGAAGCGTCAAGCGCAGGAATGGGCTGGTCTAGAGCAGAATCCGAAAGCCGAACTCTTTGTGTTCGTAGGCCGATGGAGTATGCAGAAGGGCATTGATTTGATTGCTGATGTGTTCCCCTCGATTTTGGACGCCAATCCAAATGTTCAGTTGATCACCGTCGGACCTGTCATTGACTTGTACGGCAAATTCGCCGCGTTGAAGCTGGATCGAATGATGAAGCTCTACCCAGGCAGGGTCTTCTCGAAGCCGGTCTTCACGGCATTGCCGCCCTTCATCTTCTCTGGAGCAGAGTTCGCGTTAATCCCTTCCCGCGACGAGCCCTTCGGATTGGTCGCCGTCGAATTCGGTCGCAAGGGCGCTCTAGGAGTGGGTGCGAGGGTCGGAGGGCTTGGAAGTACCCCGGGATTCTTCTTCACGGTTGAGTCGATGACAACAGGACATCTGATCCATCAGTTTAAGCTGGCCATCAAGGAGGCGTTAAGCTGCAAGCCTGAAACCCGCGCTCTCATGAGAGCAAGGGCGGCCAAGCAGAGATTTCCCGTGGCCCAGTGGGTCGAGGATTTAGAAATCCTTCAGTCGACGGCGACTCGCATTCATGACAAGGTTGAAGCGACGAAGCGTCATTCCGCAGCTGCGGAGATGATGTGGCCCAGTTCCATCTGGAACACGCCTGCGGGTTCTGGCGCTGTGACACCACGGACACCTAACATGCCACATTCGCGGGCGTCAAGCTATGCGGCTCTACATTCCCTCACCTCTCGTCTCAAGAATATCGGACACAATCACGAGCAGTCTCATCGTGTTGGCAACCTCTCGAGCCCTGGGCTTTCCCGCTCAGCTTCGCTTGGATCTCGTAGGGGACCGGGCCACTTGGCGGCTCGAGACACACATGACGGCTCGGAGCCGAATTCCCCTGCGATGCTGCCTCCAGTACCAGACATGGAAGGAGACGACACTGGAATTGGCACGGCAGTGAGTCACTACGACAACGATCGTGAGTCTGACGATGAGGATGAGCATGGGCGCGAAGCCCAACTCGAGGATGACTCGAGCGATTCTGAAGACGAGTCGACCACAATGTCTACACCAAACCACGGCCGCTACGACGGATGGGCGGTACAGGAAGAAGGGTATCTTCCCTCTCGAGACAATGAATCACCCCGCCTGAACAGAGGCTTGGAACTAGAGCTTTCCCCCTTGCCAAAGGTGAGATCGGGCGCTTTTGATAGCCCCCCGCTTCCAGCGTCACCGAGACCTGATCTGGGCCTCCTCGTCCCACCTGCTGCCCTCTCGGAATCGAACTATCGGTTGTCCAGTAATTCGATGCTCTCTGTCAATTCCGTGGTTGGGGAAAAGCAAGATTTCATGCTTCAAAAGGTAGATCCCTTTTTCACTGACAGCAACGGAGAATTCGCGCGAGCGTTCGAGAAGAAACTCGAGAGTCTCACTGGCAGCACCTCGGAGTCGGCGGCCTGCATTGAAGAATTTCTTGTCAAATCGGAGAAGAAGTGGTTCAACACATACCGCAATGCCAAGCTGGGCCGGTACAATGGCTCCTATGCCCATTCGAGCTTCCAAGCTCATCGCGAGTCGCGTGCCACCTCTGCCGCGGGTTCGATATACGAAGAAAACAGTGAACACAGTTCGGGCAATGAGCACGACCGCAGCAATTTGACTGATGAGTTCCTGCTTGGGACAGACTATGTGGCCCCCAGTGGCTTGAAGAAGTGGATGCAACTTCGTGTGGGAGACTGGCCTGTCTATGCATTCTTCATGGCCTTTGGTCAGATCATCGCGGCCAACTCGTATCAAATCACGCTGTTGACCGGCGAAGTTGGACAGACGGCAGACAAGCTCTATGCCATTGCGTCCATCTATCTCGTCACCTCCATCTGCTGGTGGATACTTTTCCGCCGCTTCAGCTCGGTGGTGTGTTTATCGCTGCCTTTCTTTTTCTACGGTCTCGCGTTTCTCCTGATTGGGGTGGCGCACTACGTCTCGACGGCCAGTGGACGAGGCTGGGTACAAAATGTGGGCACCGGCATGTACGCCGTGGCATCTTCTTCCGGGTCAATCTTCTTCGCGCTCAACTTTGGCGACGAGGGAGGTGCTCAGGTCAAGGCATGGGTGTTCCGCGCCTGCGTGATACAGGGCACACAACAGATCTACGTCGTTGCTTTGTGGTACTGGGGCTCGTACCTCAACCGGCGCACCACAGATGGACTTGTCACCACACCCGACCCGGTGGTCTCGACGTGGAAGATCACCGCCATCACCCTCCCTATCGCAATGCTGCTCTGGGCTGTCGGCTTGTTGATGTGGTTCGGATTACCGAAGTACTACCTGCAGGCACCAGGCAGGATGCCGAGCTTCTACCACAGCATGCTGCGTCGCAAAATCGTCGTCTGGTTTCTCGTGACGGTGGTGATCCAGAACTTCTTCCTCTCGGCGCCGTACGGTCGGAATTGGTCGTTCCTATGGAGCAGTTCGCACGCCTCGACCTGGCAAATCTTCTGTCTCGTGATCCTGTTCTTTGTCTTTGTCTGGGCAGGCTTTCTGTGGCTCTTCGCCTTGCTCTCAAAATCCCACAGTTGGATCCTGCCTCTATTTGCCATCGGCCTCGGCGCTCCTCGCTGGGCACAAATCTGGTGGGGCACCAGCAATATCGGTGTTTACCTCCCTTGGGCCGGTGGCTACACGGCGTCCGCCCTGCTCTCACGCTCACTGTGGCTGTGGCTCGGCACACTAGATGCCATCCAAGGCGTTGGCTTGGGCATGATTCTTCTCACGACCCTGACCCGTGTGCATGTCGCCTTCACTCTCCTCACTGCCCAAGTCTTGGGCTCGGTGGCCACGATTGTGGCGAGAGCCTGCGCGCCTAACAAGATCGGCCCGGGTCCAATCAGCCCAGACATCAGTGGCAGCCTTGGGACTCTCTGGCAACCCTGGTTCTGGGTTGGGTTGGTGGCCAATCTGAGTATTTGTGTTGGCTATTTCATGGTAAGTCGTGTCCCACCGTTCGAGTCCGACGGCTTCTTTCCTGATCCTAACTCGTGGCACAGTTTTACCGTAAGGAGCAGCTGAGCAAGCCTTGATCTTTCAATTACATTACTTTCACACATTTATATCCCGCCACCCCGACGTGGCATCAACATAATCGTAATGTGGCACTGTCGGTAAAACTATCGGGCCACAGGGTACGGATAGGTGGCAAGCAAAATGAAGCATGTATATAGTATGTATATAGTATGTATATAGTATGTATATCTCAGCTGGACGTACGGTAGAGAGAATGAACCGACTCCAGTGATTACTTGGTTGATTCTTAGACAAGAGACTTATATTAGGACCCCTGCCCTTTCACATCTCAGGAACAGCGAGGCTGAGCAACTGCGACAGATTGCGTACACTCCACTGTATGTCCTATCGATAAGCCCACGGTCGAGCAGGGCGCTTCGTCTCCCACTTTTTAGTAATTAGCAATTACTATGTACATAACAGCCTGAGGAACAGCAGCCAACTCCCAACCAAGCATCTGCCCACACCCGCACGCGCACATACCGGCAGTGAGGATGAGGGTGCGAAGGCCGGGCCTCAATGTGAGACCCTTTGCACCTCTCAACGTCGGACAATCCTCGCTGTCGCAACACCTGTCCCGGCCTCGATGTCACACCCGCGCCTTTCAAAGCGACAGCAAGCCACCGGTCCCCATCCCCGACTTCGCCTTTGCATTTGAGTATGTCTAGAGCCATCTGAGACATTCACTCCCTGGCGGCAGATTCCCCCCTCCCCTCCCCCTTTTTCCGCGGAGAAAGACACTTGTATCTGACCATGTCGGGCTCGCAGTATTGACGGCGTACTGCTCCGCAGCGCCAAACCGATCCCGCATGCGGCCGAGACGCTTCAATTCCTCCAGAGGAGCACGATCCCGTTCATCCTGCTCACCAATGGCGGCGGGAAGCACGAGTCGGAACGAGTCCAAGATCTGTCTAGCAGGCTGTCTATCCCTCTTGACACGTCCATGTTCGTGCAGTCGCACACGCCGTTCGCGGAGCTGGTGCACGGGGCGAACAGCTTGAAGAACAAGTGCATCCTGGTGGTGGGCGGCGAGGGCGGGCACTGCAGGGACGTGGCGGAGAAGTACGGCTTCACCAACGTGGTCACGCCGGCCGACATATACATGGCGCACCCGGAGATCTGGCCGTTCGGCCGACCGTTCAAGGACTCGTACTACCGACAGTTTGCGCGACCGCTGCCGAAGCCGATCAACCCGTCGAGTCCGGAAGAGAGCCTCAAGATCGAGGCTGTGTTCGTGTACAATGACCCGCGCGACTGGGGGCTGGACCTGCAGATCGTGCTCGACGTCATGCTGTCGCACCGCGGCCTCGTCGGCACCTACTCGTCCAAGAACGGCGACCGGTCGCTGCCCAACTCGGGCTACCTCCAGGACGGCCAGCCGCCGCTGTACTTCTCCAACCCAGACCTGCTCTGGGCCGCCGACTACCATCTCTCGCGTCTCGGCCAGGGCGGCTTCCGCGAAGCCCTCGAGGGCGTCTGGCGTGCGCTGGCCAAGAACGCGAGTGGCGGTGGTGGTGATGACCGTGACGGAAATGGCCAGGCCGCGCCGGAGCTGTACAAGACCATCATCGGCAAGCCGTTCGAGGCCACCTACTCGTTCGCCGAGAAGCGGCTGCTTCGCCACCGCGACGCCCTGTTCGGCAGCCGCGCCCAACATGTCCCGCTCAAGAGGGTGTACATGGTCGGCGACAACCCGGAGAGCGACATCCGCGGCGCAACTACGTACCAGTCGCCGCACGGCATCGACTGGATCGGCCTGTTGACTCGCACCGGCGTATACAAAGACCGTGCGGGCCATCGGCCCACTTGCGAGCCCAGGGCCATCGTCGACGATGTCCGGGCCGCGGTGCAGTATGCCTTGAAAGAAAACAGTTGGCCTCGACTGCTAGAATAGATCTACAGTTGGCCTCGACTGCCAGAATAGATCTACAGTTGGCCTCGACTGCCAGAATAGAGCTACAGTTGGCCTCGACTGCCAGAATAGATCTCAGATAGAAGCATGCAAATGCATAATGCATAATGCCTTTTTAATGAATATAATGGACTAGACATTATAGTGATAGACGATTAAATTGACCCATTAGATTGATTGACATGTATCGAGTACTTCGTTTACATGTAATGTAGAACAGTTCCATCCTTCTCCATTCTTCTGCCGCCCGACATCTGACCTGAGCCGAGACCGTGACTGTGACCGTGACCGTGACCGTGACCGCTGGGTCAATGAGTAGTACGGACGGAGTACAGTACAACAATGCCATTTTGCTCACGGGCATCAATGATCGTCGGAGTACAGTACAGCAATGCCATGATGCTCAGAGGCGTCAATGATGTCGGAGTACAGTACAACAATGCCATGATACTCAGAGGCGTCAATGATTGTCATACATTATATGCAAAGTCGGGGTTGGTCATTGGCCAACTGCACGCTCGCTACGCACGCTACACAAAATCAAAGGTATCGCCAGCGCGATCGTGGAGTAAGCGACCGACCCTGTCGGAGCCGACGATGCGCTCGAGCTTCAGGGCATCCCACTTGGAGAACAGCGCTCTCACAGCGCGCTTCAGGTTGACGTCGGCAGGCTTGCCGGCTTGAGTGGTAGTGGGATCGTTTGCGGTCGCGAGGCCCAGCAGAGAAATGAGCTCGGGCCAGAAGAGCGGGTTCTCCGGGACGCCGTAGAAGACAATCTTCCTCACGCCCTTGAGGCGGTAGCGGAAATGGTGGTGGGCGCGCTCCGAGTACAGCAGCAGCGCATGGCGGGCCGAGAGGAAATGCGAGCGGGCGCGCATCACGTCCCGCACGGGCGTGTACTCGGAAATCGAGCCGTACGACAAGCTGGTCGCGTCGGGCGACGTGGACAAGTAATTGCGCAGGCGGACGAAATCGGCGTACGAAGGCGCGAAGAGCAGGATGCCCTTTTGATGCCGGGACTCGCGCACCAGAGGAGGGAGAACGGTCGTCGCGAAGAACTTGAACCGAGCATCTGGGTCTTGGAGCGGATGGGGCGACGGGATCCGTAGGAATGTCTGGTGCACCGTGAAAGGCAGGAGGGAGGAAACGGAAAGCATGGCGCCGGGGTAGGTGGGCACGAGTTTGACGCGGCCGGCCATGTTGTGCAGATGTGACGAGGCCAACGCGTTGATCTCGGGCGTCAGGTAGTCGGCGAAGACAACGGTCTGGCGCAGATACTTGGCCTGGCCGTCGAGGTACCAGTGGCGCACCCGCGAGAAGTCACAGCCATGCGAGTCTTTCGGCAGCAGGTTGAGCTGGGAGAAGACATACTCGACATGCTGCCAGTTTTGCATTTGCAAGGCGTTGGCGTGGTCCACGATGACGACCTCGATCGACGAGAGGAAGTCGGCATCGTGCGCTTTCTTCTTGTCCTTCTTGCCGCCGCCGCCGGTGGTGATGGTGCGCATCAGGCCGAGCGGCGAGCCAAAGATGATGTCCGAGTTGTAAAAGCCCGAGAAATATTTGATCGTCTTTCTGGTGAACTTCAAGCCGATCCGGAAATCTTCGTCGTGATTGCCGCCAAACAACTCTCGGAAATCCTCCGGCTTGTCCAGCCACTCGTCCGAGTCTTCGAGGGAAAACGTGTCCACGAAACGTGCTTTGTTCTCTTGCTGCTCAGGCTCGCTGAGCTTGACGATGCTTTCCACGAAGCGAACACAGGCTTGCTTCGTGGGAACGATAATGAGGACTTTGGGTCGTGTGAAGCCCTGGTCTCGAACATCGAGAGTCTCCGCGTCCGATTGGGCGCTGAGTTTGGCGTTATTCTTCAGCACACGGTCTCTGGTTTTGAAGACATGGTTCAGAGCATGTAAGCAGGTCAAGTCCCGCAACTTGCCGGCATTTTTGACGGTTCTGCACCCACTCAGGATATCAACGTAGTTGGACAGAGACCCAGCCAAAGCCTTCTCCTCGGAAGACAAGGACGCAACCAACCTCGAACCACTTTCGAGGAGCCTGTGTTTCAGAAAGAGGTCTTTGGCTGATTTCACAGTCGAGCTCGTCGTAGCCTCCCCTTTCCTGGAGAGGATCGTTCGGCGAATATCTGTTTCCAACGGTGAGGCCTGTGTCTGCCACTCTTTGCCGTCCACTTGTTTGGCTACGTTCTTCAGCTCCTGTTCCGTCAATGCAGTATAGTGCTTCTCGAATGGGTCTCTGAGTAGGCTGTCATCATCTTCCGAGTCATCTTCTGCCGCAAGCCCACCCTCTAATTCTTCGTCCGCTTCTGGATCCTCATTCAATTCCGATATCTGCTCTTCAGCCTCAGCATCTAGATCCTGGTCGTCTGTAGGCAAGCCTTCGGCGGCCGAGACGTGCTTCCGGGCAGTGCCGCCATCTGCAATTTTGCGCTTTTTCCGGACGGGCCCGCCGCCTTCTTTCACCGTATTGAGCGATTGTAGGAGGGTTGCGTAGGAATTCGACGGAGTCTCGTCTTCGCTGGCGGATTGGATATCTTGATCGCTTTCCAACTGGTCATCGTGTTCGCCTTCTGACGATTCATCTCCAATATCTGGGCCATTCGGCGCGGGACTGACTCTACCAGTGTTAGGAGATGGATGGATTCCAGTCGTCAAGCAGGACACTTACTCCGCCTCCCTTAGTCGGGAAGTCCTGAAGGCATCACGCTTCTGCAACGCAAAGCCACGTTTTCCTCCGCGATTTCCTCCGCGATGTTGACCAGAAGGCTTCGCGGCTCTACGTGGGCGATGACTCGGCATGCTGTTGCGGTTGCTGTTGGTCAGATGGCGCAGAGGAACGGAAATCTACAAAAATTGCAATGCGGAGAAATTATTTTGACTGCCTCTTGATGTAATTATGCTTGTTCCACTAGTGGCGGATCGGCCCCGTCTTACCCTTACATTGCTGCCAAGCCGGAGCCTCAGCCTTGCCATCCCCTTTTTGTTCAGCCTGAATGAATGTCGACTCGACGACAGTACTCCGTACCTACAGTGAAAATCCTACTAGGTACGTTGATGATAATAGAGACAGGTCTGCGCAGGTACGATGTTGATTGATCAAGTTCAGCTTTACTAATCACCCCCAGCTCTGGAGGACATGTAGCAAAGTAAATCCACATTTCCAGCCAGTAATTTGTTCTGCGTTTGCCCTCTTAGCAACTTCACCATCGTTTCGCAGATATGGTACAACTACCGTCATCTAGCAATTTGACGCCGGGCATCTTTCTCAAAAGCTAGTATTTTGACTCTGTATCCTCAGGCTTGACTTGCTTCAATGCCGCCTCCTTATCATCTTCGCTCTTGACTTCTATGGCCATGAAGGGTGCCGACTTCTTCTGTTTTCCAGTGCTGTTAGGAGTCATGTCGCTGTCATCTTCAGACTTCCGCTTGCGGGGAGTGGCTGCCTTCGCCTTCTTTGGAGTCTTCGCTTCGTCAGCAGCACCTTCAGCACCTCCATCGGCCGGGTCGCAAATCGTGTTGCCCTTGAACTCAAGCCCATGCTTCTTCACAATATCCTTGAACTTAGAGGAACTAGAGATTGGTCAGGATGTTAGTAATCACTTAAAATGAACATCCGTCGTTGGTCAAGACGTACGCGTTTCTCGCATAGCCGATTCCATTCTCCTTCGCGACTTCTTCCCAGTTTGGTTTGATCGATTCGCAGTGTTTGAGAACACTGAATACGAACTTGAATGCGGGGTCCGCCTCACCACTGGCACTTCCCACGGAAGCTTTTGAGGGCATTGTGAAGAAGGTGAGATGGTGGAGTGTTAGGATTAAAGGAGGCTGAGAACTGGAAACGGATTAGTAAGAGCGCGCGACTATGTTCTGTAGAGCTGGGAATAACCTTGGTGACTGTTCTGAAGTTAGATAGATTTAGAATTAGGAAGAGACTAAATAAGGTAATTAAGGTAATAGGAAGGGTTGGAAGTAAGGTGAAAGAAAGAATTTATATAATCTTCCGTGTAAGTATAAGCTTTAAGCAGTAGGATCTCTCTATTAGTGGGTTTTCTAATACTACAAGAAATCTAATCTAGGTACAGTATTAGCTACTAAGTGAACTTTGTATACGAATGTCTCTCGACCTACTTACAGCTTACGAGGAGTCGAGATATGTGTATGCAGCTGTTGCGAGTTAAATCTGAGAAGGCTACCTGCGGAGCGGGTGAGATGAGGTATACACATTGGATCGCAAGTATTCTAAGAGCAATGGAATCGAATCGAGACAACGAGAAGTATGACAAGTAGTAGGAAGGCTTGAGCCTCCATGACATTAGCCCTGTGTGAATGTCAATCTAGCTACAATGCAATGCATTGACATGTCTGCAGCCAGCACCAGACGGATGCTTTTGAACCCCCAGTTCCAGCTCTCTTCTTCTGGTGGACTAGCCCGTGAAGCACCCGGATGATATGATCGCTCAGTTACTTCTCGCCGGTCTCCAGGGACTCGTTCTCCATGCCATCTTCGATCTTGACAAACTTGCTGTCATCGTCTTCCACACTGGACACCTCCTGCTTCCCCGTTCTCTTCTTTCCAGCGCCAACTCTCTTTCTCTTCTTTGGAGGAGGCTCTTCACCTGTGCTAGAGTTGTTGACCACCTCGTCTGCGTCTGCTGAGATCGGCTGACGTCTCTTGCTTGGTGTACCTCTTTCTGAGTCCGTCGTCGGTCCCTTCCTGCTACCGGTGAGGCCCCATTTCTTCATGATGCCCCAATGTTTGTGGTAGCTAGTGAGACAAGGTTAGAATTGACTGGCCCACAGCGGCATAATGTAGAATATATCGGCGTCATGGTAGGTTGACAAACATGGAGGGAGCAGCTTACCACGCATTCCCACTCTTTGCACCAATCTCTTTGGCGACCTCTTCAAAGTTCGGCTTGAGTTTCTCAGGCGAGTGTTTGATGCAAGTCATGATAAATTTGAAGTCGTCGATTTCAGTCTTAATAGGAGCCATTATGCTCAGGTCGGTGAGAGAAGAGGTCCGTGTCGGAGGTCGCTGGTGTATTGTCTGGAGTTGATGAAGATGATCAACACGAAGGAGAGAGAGAATTATGATGAGGAGTGTTGAAGAGAAAACATGAGTAGACCAAGAGGGGTTTAAATACTACTCCGGGTGAAGGAGGGACCTGTGTTGAAACATGTGCGCTTGGCTTTTGCGAGACAAACGAGTCAAACGGAAGAAAGATTCAGCAAAGGAATCTTCAGAAGAGTCAACGCCCCTTGAATTTGCTGTCCTGCAATTAAATCATTTGGAGGCTGAGGGAAATCAAATTACTCTTCTGAGATGCAGAATTTCTAGAGTATTGCCCTTTTGCTCAACTTCTCCCATCGCATAGTATCGTGTCGCCCACAGCACAGAGCAGGCGAGAGTCGTCTCCTTCAAAGAGTCCAAAAGCCCGCATATCAATCCCAGAGTTGAGTGGACTTGGTATCCAAGCCGATGAGCCGGCGATCCACCATCAGAAGTGGCCATCCCTGGAAAGACGATTGAAACTCTGGCTCATGCATCCTCATCGTTGTCTTCGGCCTTGATGGCAGAGTCGGCTTCGTCGTCGATCTCGTCATCGGCTTGATTGCCTTCCTCTTCTTCTTTGATGAGCGGTTCGTCGAAGGCTTGATCTTCTTTGCTGACTTTCGGAGCGATTTTCTTGCCTCCCTTCTTCGGGCCTCCGGTAGCAGTAGTGCCATTCCCTGCTGCAGACTTTGCCTTCGCTCCTTTCACCTTAGGCTTCTTCTCATCAGCAGCATCATTTTCTTCGCCATCGACAGCAGCAGCCGCCTTTGTCTTTCCGCCTTTACCCTTAGCCTTCTTCTTGGATGGCTCTTCCGACTGTCCTTCACCGCTGTCCTCGCCTTCTATCTCGTCTTTCTTAGAAGTCGCCTTACGCTTAGTGCTGGCAGTGGTCTTTGTCTTGGGAGAGGCAGTGGCGGTGTCTTTGTTAGCCCATGCTGCACCTTCGCTCTCGAACTGCTTCATAATGTTGCGGAACTTGTTGCTACACATGTGGATTAGTATATTTGGCTGAATGTTAGATGCATGAAATACCACGATCTCAGAGATGTTAGGTAGAAGCCAGATCACTGCAGTGAGTCGATCGATCTGGACGATCGAAGATGTGTGAATAACTGATGGGGAGATATGCCATAATGGGCACGGCAGATGAATGACTTACGCTGCACCGCCTGCGCTCATGTTCAGGTCTTTGGCGAGGGTATCGAAGTTGACAGCTAGCTTTTCTTTGCCATGCTTGATACAAGCAGCCAGAAACGTGTCGTTAGACATAACAGCCTTTCCTCCATCGGCTTTAGGAGGCATTTTGAATTGGTGAATGTTGTTTACTGTGGTTGGACGTGTGGTCGACTTTGTGGTGGATGTGACGCTGAGTCGATCTATGATGACCTCTGTAAGTGAACTGATCCAGTCAGTAAACACAGACGTCCAGACACCAGAAGGAATGAGAACATACAACTGAACTCCAGAGCCCTTGGAGTATGTGAGAAGGACAAGGAAGGGGATGGGAGTAGGTGTGATGGTGAAAGGGAGAGGTGGAAGAAGAATGTTGAGAAGAAATGAGATGGCCGGCTTATGTAGGCAGCTGGCTGACATGATAACATGGGCAGGAAGGCGGTGAATCCATGCATTCGCCAAGTAAGTGACAGTGACGCGAGGGAGAATGCACAAACACAAGAGGCCACTGTTCATTGCAGACCATCAGGAACCCAGGAAGCTTCAACGCCACCAGCGTAAAGAGATGTCTCCCAAACGTGCTCGACCTGCGACAACGATGGTGACAGCGGCCGCCCCCACCAGCGACATTGTTGTCATCATCGTCACCGCCCTTCTCATGCCTGGGCAGGGGACAATGCGGGAGACTTGTGTTGAGATAGATAAAGGACAGTTAAATACCTGTATGAATGGATGGCGGGCTCAGCCTTACAGAGTTTGGACTCGTACACCTGGCAAAAAGGAAGCCAGAAGATCATAGTAAGATATTTTATATGTTTCTTAAGAGACAAATGTCTTAGTTTTTCGCAGGTAATTTCTGTCGCAGCCCTTGTTTTTGCCTTTGTCTTTATCGTTGCTGTGGTTGTTGGGAGCCATGTTGATTGTGAATCGGTGGTTGTTAGCGGTAGGAAGGCTGTAGTCTACTCAACGATTGAGAATGATGCCTGGGTAGAATGTAAAGTACCAAGTAGGTATCAAACACTGAAGATACCATATATATAGTGAACGACCTTGACCTTGGCAGCTGTTACTAACTGGGTCGACGTCAATGATGTCGTGCCTTGTGAATAGAGGGAGGTATTGATGTCTTCTTGGTGCCAGCCAGCATCAACCATGGTAACCAGGCTTTGTTGGAGATTGAGCGCAGCGCACGTTTTAAACACTCAACATCATTGCACCATTCACCGACATACCATGAGAATACCTGATTACCTCTTGAAAGAGGTGGGCTTCGTCACAGCCCCAAGAGACTGAAGCTAGCGGTCGCCATGATCCATCAGAACTGCTCACCTACTCTTGGACCTGCTCATTGGTATCTATAAAGGCATGTATGGGCTTCAGCCAGGAGGCCAGATGTGCCCTGGCAGAATCAGAAGCAGGCAGGCCGCCGTGCGAGATTACGAATGTCCTCTGCGGGCATTTGGGGTTGTGGAATTTCTCCCACAGTTTCTCCGCAATCCTGGCAAGGGACTGAGCCACTGACTTCTGGGGTGATAGCGACATTGCGGCCAGAAGGGTTAGACGTCGTGAGGATCGGTCCCTTCGAGACTCCAGGATCATTCTACATCTCACCAAGTTCCCTAGTCACTACAGCAACGTCAACTGATGGGTTTCGCGGCTTGAGAAAGTCCTGAGCCCAGGCCCAGGGCACGGGAAGCAGCGGTCTGAGAGAAACAAGGGTTACTGTCACTACGCAAGGTTCAAAGGTTCTAGCCATGACAGAAGAATGGCCAAGTCTATGTGTAGGTGGTGGTCACATGGATCATCAGCCTCGTGGGCCTGGTGCATGAGAAATGCAAACGATCACCTTCCACCTGGCCGGGCCACATATCAAGTCGGAAGGGTCAGAGGTGGTCTGACTCGAAGGTTTCGTGGGGGACAGGGAGGGCTCTGCAGCTCGTGTGTGGCGAGGGAGATGGGTGCGCACTGCGCAGTGAGCCTGGGATGATGGTTCCGAAGGCCTGGATCATGCATGCGTGGCAGACCTTGCTTTCCACGTGGCTATTTTGATTCGGCAACCCCCGATCGGATGGTTTGCAGCTGGCCATGTGGGGAATGGCGAATCTTAGGTGCAGCAACCTGACAATCCCCAGAATGACAATTGACAGGGCAGGGCAGACAGGGCAGCAGGGCTGGGCCTATCTTGCCAACAACCCGCGCTGCGTCAGAAGAACTAATGCGAGGCGTCTGCTGCAGACCATGCTTGCAGAAGCCACGACGAGGCCTCCTAAGCCCGCGGGAGGATGACAACGGGCGACGGATGACGGATGACGGGATGACGGTACTAGAGGTCCAACAGAGTCTGGGCCTAGGCCTTAAGCCTTGGCCTTGGGAAGCCTGGCATTAGAGCAGTGCTGCCTCGCCCCTTCTTAGGCTAGATGGCTAGAGGCCTTAGGGCTCAGGAGGCTAGGGGCTAGGGGTCAAGGCGCTCCTAAGGCTAAGGCTTATAGGGGCTTAGGGGCTGAGGAGGCACCTTAGGAGGCACCTTAGGAGGCGCCTTAGGCTTACAGAGCCCTCTAGCCTCCAGGAGCCTGTCAGCCTGCTCCACCGGGCCAACATTGTTCCGATTCCGATTGGCAACCTCGGCTGAGGCTGGCCTCCCTGATCCAGTCGTGTGCATGAAATCCCGTTCTCAGCTTCGGTCCTTGCCAAACCCAAACTCGTGGCTCCTGTCCTGACCCAGGGCAATGGAACGCCAGCAGACACGTGGTGCCCAAGGGTCCCGCAGAGGCGACACTGGACGCTGGACACTGGACGCTGGACACTGGACAGCCCGCACAAAATCGCTCGCTCTCTCGCTCTCTCACTCGTGAGAGCCAGCAATAGCATAGGGCCCCTGAGCCCAGAGTCACGGCATCAAGCTCGCACCAAGTGTGGTTGAATAGTTTGGATATCCTGCAATTGCGGCATATCTGTTCGAAATAGTGTACAAGTCCTGCATCGCTCATCTCTGCGGCTTTTCGCACCCAACCTCGCCCATAAGTGGTACTAGGAGGACATGTAATGGCTGCCATCCCAGAGCTTAGGTACCACGCGAGCTGATGAACCACCGAGGTACATATACAAGGCATCTCACGTATTTTGTTCCGCAGAAAGGCGAGACAGCTAACTGAAAATCCAGGTCAATGCAGAGGTTACCGTAGTGCAGGTCACGATCAAGTTCTTCCTTCCCACACACTTTCTCTTGCTCTCTCTCTCTCACTCTCTCTCACACACACACGCGCGCACACACACACACGCGCGTGCACACACACACACGCAAACACCCACATTGCGCCATGTCCCTGCCGCCGTTTGACTTATGCCGCTAGAACGCAGATATAAAGAAAACTGCTCACTGAAAGAGCTTGTACTGTCGCTGCGTCAAGGAGATGGAAATAAAAAAGCACAGAAAGGTGTATGTAGGAGCTTCAATACAAGTCTTCGGCACCCCCCAAACTGTATGTGCAACTTGGAACCTCTCCACGATATCTGTACACAAGGGCGCATTGCTGGAAGTCGCGCCCGAGAAGATGTCGTGCAAACCAACGCCTGTTAGGGTGGTAGGTTGAATTCAGTAAAAGAGGCTTTTCGGACGACGATCGTAATCATTAATGTATCATTAGGTTGTTCCTGGACTGGTTCCTGTAGTAGTCGAACTTTCGCCACCATGGCATCCTTTTTCATGTCTTTTCATGTTGCTTCTCACGCTGAAGTATTTCCCGCACCCAGCGTGCTTGCACTTGTAAGGTTTCTCGCCGGTATGGGAGTAGGTGTGAATTTTCAATGAGCTAGGCCTGGAAAATGGCTTGTTACACGTGGGACATATGTAACGCTCTTGTGTCTGAGGATATGCCGGCGGGTTTGCCGGAGGATAATAGTGATGATGCTGCCATGGAGGGGCTATATGAGGATCGATTGGGGGCAGTGCGGGACCTGCAACCGGCCCTGGAAAGTTGGTCGGTAGGGGACGTTGCTGAGGTAGTCCGTTGTATATAGGCACTTCTGCCGGATTGTCGCCGTAAGGCGCCGGGGGAGGCCTTGGAGGGTGGTCTTGTTGCATCATATCGGGATGGGCCCTCGGAGGATGCACTGAAGACCATTGATTCACATCGGCTATAGCGGGATAGGGCGGGCCGGATTCTGTGATGGGAGGATACGCCGAGGGCCGCTGTGCGTAAAGTTCCGGATTTGTGCTTGCAGATCCGGAATGATAGTAACTGCTGCGGCCGGGGGCGGCGCTGGGCGAGAGGTTGGCTGGCGACGGCCGCGGAAAATCGAAACTCGAGGCTGGTGGCAGTTCTGGCGTCGGGGGCGGACCATGTCGAGGGCTGCCAGAAAACTTTAACCGATCAGGGCTTGTGGTATGTCCCTGTGAGCCGCTGGATATTCTTCTTGGAATCTCAAATACCGGTGAGGGGTCTTTTCCTGCTGTCTGTCAGTACCGGGACCTCGAATGTTTCCAATGCCGTCTATGGCGGTAGACAAGCCCACCTTTCTCGGACTGTTCGGTGACCGCTTCTATGAGACTGGAAATTGAAGGTAGTGACGGTCTCATTTGATTCGCCTGCTCCATCGCAACTGCGGCGAGGAGGATTGTCGACGAGGGTAAAGGACTGTGCAAATCTCGAACCGGATGATAGTTTGGAGGCAGCGCCAATGCCATAGCCCAGACAGAACGGCGTCAGATGGACTACTGCATTACGCACCAGAGAGTCCTTGTTTGAGGTGAAGTATGAGGAAGCTGCGAGGACTTCTCGTCTCCTGCCAACGAGAAACCGACCAGATACTGTTCTCCGGGTCGCTCCAAGGCCGGCGACGGGGCAGGGGAGGGTTATGGGTTGAGGGTAGGAGGCTTCTTGCAAGAGCATGTACCGCTAGAGGAAGTGTCAAACGATGCTTCCCGTAGGATCGAATAGCAACAGCCCCAAGGATCTACAGTATAATGGTCTGCCCAAAAGGGGAGGAGGGGTTTATAGTAGAATATCGAGGTGAGTGTATCTGCCGGCGGGGAAAATAAAAAGATGGAAGAAGATGTAGTTTGCTGAGGACGCTAGGAGAGGCCGGGTTGGTGGAAACCAGGGTTGTGACGTTGCAAGGAGTTGTAGCAGGCTCAGTAAAGAGTGCCGGGTCGCGGCTGTCTGACGGTGGATTTGACGATTTGCTCGGTGAAGATAATCCTCTCAGTGACAGGTTACTTGGGTCGGAGAGGGCCACCGTGCGCAGGGCGCTTCCGTAACCGAGCAGTGGAAAGAACGTCAAGGATCGTCGACAACAAGTCGGGGGAGACTCTGTTAGGGGCCAAGGCCCGGCTGACGGCGGGCTCGACTACTCTAGTTCGCTTTTCACGAGGAGGGCCAAAAGGACTGTCGTCAACTGGTGCCTGGTTGGCGATGGCAAAGGCGTGACGATTTGCAGGGCTTGGTGGAAGATCAAAAGTGGGCGGGAGATGAGTTTAAAGGCAGCATCCGGCCGCTGGGCGATGATAGAGTCTGGTAGTTAGAGAGGCCCTTAGTTCTTCGCCAGCAGGACGTAGGCGCATTCTGGGTGGGTATGTTTGGCGCAGTCGTTACCGTCTACCGTTCTGGTTCTGGCTTGCCTACTTAAGTCATTATTAGTAACAGCGGCGAATGCTCAGTGCCTAAGATGTCCCGGTCGGTGGGTTGCCGAATGTGTGGATGTGCGTGGTGCGTGGTGTTAGAGGTCGCAGTGTGTTTTGCAAGGGTGGTGCGTGCAGGAAGGGGAGGGGTCCGGGATCGAATCGGAAAGGTGCCCAAGACGGCTAGGGTTGCGGCACCACGAGACGGATTCGAAGCTAGGACCCTGGCCAGGGAAAATCCTGCCAGGCTGTCAGGGGTGGAAGGAGAGAGAGGAGGAGGAGGAGGAGGAGGAGGAGAACTATTCCGCCGCACCGCCTGCACAGGGACATACCACGAGCCTGGCAGCCTCGGCCCCTTGACCACAAAACCCGATATCTCCAACATGAAAGGAAAGCCAGACCAGGATCCCGACCTTTTTTCGCCTACCTAGGTATGTGTCGTCTGCTGGTAATCGACGTAGGCTCGAGCGATGGATTGACAGGGGCCCGCGGTGGGAGGCTGCAACGCTTGGCGGACCCTTGGTGCAAAACATCCACGTAGCAGGACGGACAACCAGGGAAACGCCAGCGGCGGGGGTTCCTTGGTGACTGGTGGCCGGTGGCCGGTGACCGGATGGCAATCTTCCACCAGCAACTGTGTGAAAGGTGCTGACAAGGACCGCAGAGGGGTGAGGACACACCCAGAATGGGATCCGAAGATTTTGCGCCAGAGAGATTTAGCCAGCGGACCACCGGCCCACTGGGGGGTTTGAATGGAGTGCGTTTAGTCTCTTGACGATGACATCCGGTGGACAGTAAACGGATGGAATGTATAGTCGAGGAAGAAGTGTGCGAGAGTGGAACGTCACAGCGAGCTCGAGAGATATGGGCAGCAAGGCCCCAAAATAACGCCCTCGTGCCATTTGCGTGCCACCAGGCTGCTGGCAACTGACTAAGTGGCCACACTGAGTACAATGGAGAGGTCCAGACGATGCGGCTGCGACTGCTGTCCAGAGTAGTGGTAGTGGTAGTGGTATGGGCAGGGGTCAAAGAGGTCTGAACCCTGGCATGAGGAAAGGGATGAAGTCTAAGGTAAGCATTAGCCGGGCTGCCGAAGCGCGATCAGCGATCAGGCGGCAATCGTAGGTCAATCATGGGCAACGGATGCATGGGTGATGGCTATGGGCGTGGCTAGTGGCCAATAGGCAGCAGACGAAGGAACCTTAAACCACTGTAGGCCCAGTGTAGGGAGCCTACCTTAGGGATCTTAGGGGGGCTAAGGCTGCCCCTAGTCCCTAACAGGCCGCTAAGGTTAGCCCCCCAGGCTCCAGGGCCCAGGGCACAGGCCCTAAGGTACGGAGTACATACTACCTACCTACCTAGGGACATTATTAGGTAGACAAGGTGACCGTACACCGTACTATCGTAGGTAGTACATTCTTGCCAGGTACCTACCAGGTAGGTCTATACGCACTGCAAGACACCCTACGAGGTGCGTCTGCGACGGTCAGGGTGCTCCGTACTCTAACCTACCTGAAGTACAGTGGGCACTGTAAACTTCGTCTGTCTTTCTATGTGACTTCTTCGGGCCGGGCGGAGGGGCAGTCTTGATGACCAGCCCTTAATCATGCACGCAATTTCTGCCCGAGCTTACTGTAATTCGGATAGCATTCAAGTCTTGGGCCAGTTTGCCAGTTTCGCCCCGCCTCGCTTGCCTGCCTAGGACCTGAGGGGCACTGGCGGTAATCCGTGCCATGCCTAAACGCGGCACCTAGATCTATCGGCAATTCGCACCAGTTTTTGTTCCTCGCCCACGTTTCAATCTACCTAAGGTCGCTAATGTCCCTGTATCGTCTGGCGTTTGATTGCAACGAGCGATCGTCGTGTCCAAGCAGCACATTGGGAGAGCGGGCAGGTCTCTGCAAGCAAGTGTACGAGTGGGTACAGCAGCAGAGCAGCCGTATCCGTACCGTAGCTTTTTAGCCTTTAGCCCGTGGCCTGCCCTTTGTAGCCACTGCCTGAGCGTTACTACTAGGTAGGTAGCTATAGCTACCTAGGTACCTAAGGTACCTAGAGTCCTAGACCATTAATTGGTGCTCCCCGTAGTACGTACATGTTGGTGCATGTAGTGAGAAACGTGATCACTCGCTAAGGCTTGGTCGCTTCTGCAAGGGCCCAATGAGCGGCCGTCGGAGATTATGCGCAGGAAGATTCCAGGAAGGAACTCGCTTACCGCCATGCTGAGCGATCTCACCCAGCGGTGGAATGCCACTCACCCCCTAGTCAGTAGTTCACTTCCAACCTGCCACTCCATACCCCTGTGCAGCTGCCTTGGATGTGTGGGACTCTCGCATCGTCTAGCCCTCAAATGTACGTGTACTCTCGGCTCTGTGGCAGCAAAACATGAGCCAGATCGAGGCCAAGTTTCGGTATCCAGTGCACTACTACGAATTACTGTCTCAGGCAGACGTCGCGACTCCTACATCAGTGTGCGTCAGAAGCGGGACGGAGCCACCAGACCTGGGCGTTGTTGTTTGGTGGTCATGTCCTTTGAGATACCGTCCGGCGTCCGCCCCTCCCCCCCTGTTCACGATGTCGGTCTCCAGAGTCCACACTATCCTCGACACCCCTGCTGGTTCCGAAGCAACGGCGCCAAATTTCCTCATCAACGCCAGGGTCGTACTTCCTCAAGATCCCGGCCGACGCCAGCCACGCATGTCGTGTCGATCGTGTTGCACATGGTCTGTTTGATCACCTTCCCCCGCCTAGCCGCTCGTTAGTCCTTGTGATTTTCCATGTGGCACCGACGCTGACCTTCCTGATTAAGGCCATGGCTAGTCCTGGATCTACTTTCCCTGACGATTTCCCGCTACGAAGTCCCGCCGACTGCTTGATCACTACACATAGCTAAACATGCTGAAAAGCGAAATGAAAAGGTGCACGCGGTTCAGTCCGCCTTTACACTGGTGGTTTGATGTTTTGGTAGTTGCTACACTGGCTACAAAATAATGCTCTGAGTATTTACTCCGTACTACGGAGTACTCTGTACACACACCCCCGACACCGTCGACCCCGGAGCAGTGCACAGCTGCAGTGCACAGCTGCAGCCAGCGCCAGTGCCAGTGCCACGGCCGGTTCATCCATTTTCGGCCAGGGATCTGTTCTGGGCATAATATGGATCATTCCGGAAGAGAAGACGTGAGCCTGGCCACATGGGCGCTGGCCACATGGGAGCTGGCCCCATAACGTCGTAGTCACTAAGGCATGTCCAGAGCACCACCAATATTGACCATCACGAGGCGACTGCATCAACGGATACCTAGATCGCTGGAGCCCCTCACTATCGAACCTTCTTTTCGGAATTAGCTTCTGCGTGGCTCCGGAGGAACCAGAGAGTTGGGATGACTTTTGCGGCTGAACCGCGTACTCGAAGTACAACTCGAGCTACTTGGATGGAACGAACCCACTTGGGCCGACCCAACACTCAGGTAACATGGCGCCGAACTCAGAACTGTTCCGCAGTTGGACACCCGTCCTGAGCAGCTGTTGTTCTCTAGGTGCATATTCTTGACGGCGTCCGGTTGGCCCTCTTCAATCTTCCGTGTCCCGTCTCTTGGAACGGGCTGCATAGAGCAGTTGTTGGTCAATGGCGGTAATGGTTCCTTTCTCTATGCCCTAAAGGAGGGAAGGTTCAACTTGACAGATGTCAATAGTTGGCCGCCACCTGGCAGGCTGGCCTAGCCCAACAGACATCCCACCTCTTTTAGGCTTGAATCCTTCCCCAAATCTCGATGAGCCACGTGGTGCAATGCACTACTTGTTCGGGTATGCTAACCAGCGCCATGCAGCCGATTCCGGTTGCTGTCCTGGGAAATTTTCCCTGTCGATAACCCAGCATCTTGCTGCCACGCTCTTTATGAACATACCAATTGCTGGCAGTCCAAGGGATGTACGGAGTACAACCAAAGCTAAGGTTTTTTTCCAGGGCAGCAGATGCCTCTGCTGTGCTCGCATGCCAGCCATAAAATGTCTGGAACTTGCTTGTACCGCTTTGGCGTTCTCTTGCGGCGTGCTCAGGGCCTGAGGCGGCCCACCAACTCCGATTGCGTGTACACTGTACAGTGAGGTCCCCACCAGGGGGAATAAAAGTTCAGCCGATATTCTAGTGTCCACTGTCCAGTGTCCGATCTCGCGGGCGCTGGGACTCCGTCGAGGGCAGATAGCCTACTCAACAAGCCACATGAGACACGGCACCTCGCGGTGTCAGAAAATGCTGGTCTACATGACGGCCTTCTCTAGCGGACTTGCACCACTACTGACTCAGGATGATTAAAAGGACGGAGAAAGGCCTCGGAACAGCCCGGTGATCTCCCGAACTGATAGCCGGCACGTTCCAACTTGCCTGTGAGCACAAAGCAGGTATGCACATACTGGTACTCCGTTCTCCGTACACATCCCAGACGGGGAGGTTGAGCAACAGATGGAACCCGTGTTGGTGGAAGAAGCCGATTACGGAGTACTCTACGCATTTCCGGTGAAGGGCCACTCTTCGGTCCCGTGGAGTTTGTACAGGCCCGAGGCGGCTCACCACGACAACATTATCAAGACCCAGAGATGCCCCACCATGCGCACTGGGCAGGGGGCAGACTCTTCTTGAAGCGAGCTGGCTGGCGGGCTGGCGGGGCAAGCTATCAAGTTATCTGCAGGTGGATGGATTCGGGATGCCATCTAGCCATCTCACAACACGAAGAGCCACGGCGGTGCTGGTGTACGACTGTGTTTGCACTGACCTTGTCGTATGCCGGTGGGAGAGCGAGACTTTCAAGCGCATATCGGTATGGTATGTATTCCCACGGACGGGGCAGTCACGCACCAAGAATGCTGAATGGAGCCCAGATGCGGGCACACAGGCACGGGCCTGCAGATGATGTCTCTCTTACAGGAAGCGAGCAGTCCCATAGAAAGGCTCATCGATTAGGTAGCATTTACTCTGTACAGGACACCGTACGGATACATCCCACGGCATCCCTCGAGATGTGTTCTTAGTGGCGGCGGTACCCTCACGGACTCTCCGCTCGGAGTCAGACGGCCTCCTGAATGTTCAGCTCTCGGGCATGCTCGATCGACGCACCTCGTACTCGCCTACCAGTGTTTCCACACCACCCAGAACCAACCTCGCAGCGAAGTGCGCCTCGGCACTTCTCTGGCTGGTTACATCCTGAATCTAGGACTTGCACTAACAGGAGGCCGTTCTGGGTCTCTGCTACATGCTGCTAGCCTGCTGCCACCTTCTCTTTCGGCCTCGACTGGGCCATCAAGCCTGTTCCCCGCCGATTCTTCCACGTGGCCGCCATCCCAGCACATCATCCCAGTCTCAAGGACTAAAGCTTGCCGGGGTCGCCCAGCACGCGCCGCACATCATCCAACAGCGGCGTGATCCACCCTCCTCCGACGTTGTCTCAGCAGCACTGCATGTTCCATCCCGTAGTGCACCACCTTCCTTCCAATCTCGAGTGACAGTGACCCTGTGCATCATGCTGTACGGATACAGTATGGAGTATGTGTAGGTAGCTATGTAGGTTACCGCACGATACGCTAGCCGAGCCTAGCCACGGGGATGAAAGCGCGCAAATTCTAGGTTATTTAATAATATCATCTATATTACTAGTATATGCAGGATGTCCCATTCCTGGTGTTCCCTTCTTACGGCCGAGTCACCACCTAGACTGATCCTTTGCGCTTCCTTTGCGATTTAGCCGATGCTTCCAGACCTTCCATGACTGGAAGTTGGCATCAAGTGCCCAGTACGTACAGCAGTCACAGCTGAAGGCGGGTAATATGTTCCAATATAGTATCGCTTCAGCCATTCCCCCTTCTCGCCTTTCGTCGGTCCTTCTCGGTTAGGGCAGCAAGCCCACCTTAGGCGGGATCTGCACAATCGTGAGCAGGTTACAGTACAAGCAGAACGTGCCTGGAATTGGAGATGGGCAGCTTGGGTCATGTTTGACGTACTTAGTGCAGGAGCAAGCTACATATACTTTAGATGAGACGAATAGCCATCCTCTCAGAGTTTGAGTCAAGAGGTAGCCCAAGGTCAAACATACCTAACTAGTTTATCCGTACGGATATTCCATACTCTGTAGTGGTTGGCTCTCGTTCCGGCCACAGACCGATCCTCCAACGGCATTCTCCTTCGCTAGTCTTCTGCACTGATAGCTTAATGTTTACCTTGTGTCGCCAATCTCTTGTTCATCAGAAGTATTGATTAACCCCACGAAGAAAAGACAGCACGTGACAAGCCTGACCTTTCAATGAGCTTCTGCATCTGTGACTCCATGATAAGCAAGAGTGAATGCATCAATTCTATTCTCCCTTGTCACACCCTCTGTGTCTCGCCGTTTATAGCTGACAGACTCCATGCTCTGCACAGACCGTGACAGTCACGGACGTCGTGCGCCTTGTACACATAGCGGGAGTTGGTCCAAACCAGTAGTGAAGGTACTAACCATGGTCGACAGACGAAGACGGTAGGCTAAATCTCGGGCTTCTGGAATTGTGGGACTTTGGAGGCATCAGAATGCCAAAAGATCTGTACGGAGTACCTGCAACCGGTCACGAACAATCATTGCTCACCCTTCACTGCAATCTGACTATAGGCTGCATCACGTGACTATGCCCAGAGTCACGTGGTACTGCGCCAGACATCTGTTTCAGGCGCAGGTACTGTGTGAAGGTCAGTTCAGACTCATGCTCTCTTCTGATGACGAATTGTCTGATAGTCGAGCTAATGGTAACCGCAGGCTTTGAGTCGCCTATAGATCATCTGGCTGTGCAATGAGGCACTGCAGTACAGGAAGGGTAAGGTGGTGCAAGGCATCACGTGCTGCAACCATGGTTGTCCTAGCGACGGCTTGTCAACAGTTATTCACGGCATTACGAGCAGTCACACCCTCTGTGCAAGATAACTCCAGATTTGTATTACACCTAGTTCATGGAAACTTCCACTGCAAACTTCCTGACTAAGGGCTTTGTTCTTTGCATGTTCTGGTAATGCTATCCTGTCAATCAGAGGACCAAGCCTGACTGCGCCTACCCTATTGACTCGGACGCTCCTTCTCAGCTGGTCAAGATGGCACTCGATCTTGCCGACAATGACAAGTATGAAGTCCAAGAGATTATCGGTATACAACTATCATTTCCTCCACTAGATCACTCACTAATTGTCTCAGGCCGTGGCGCGTTTGGGATCATCCGCAAAGTCCGACGGAAACGAGACGGTCATGTAAGCCTCTGCTAGATACAAAGCGGAGTTGCTTCAACTGACGAATATCAAACAGATCCTCTGCCGCAAAGAGATCAATTACCTGAAAATGTCACAGAAGGAACGAGATCAACTGCATGCCGAATTCTCCATTCTTTCGTCCCTCAAGCATCCTAATATTGTCGGCTATTTTCATCGCGAACATCTCAAACACACCCAAGAGCTGTACCTGTATATGGAATACTGTGGTGGCGGGGATCTCGGCTGTGTCATCAAAGAGCTCAAGCGAAAGAATGAATATGCAAAGGAAGAGTTCATCTGGAGAATATTCAGTCAGCTGATAACCGCGTTGTATCGCTGCCACTATGGGGTTGACCCGCCTGAACCTGGCAGCGACTTGTCTCGACAGAAGGAAACTCGGCCTCCGCACAAATGCAACATGATACTGCACCGAGACCTCAAACCCGAGAACATATTCCTGGGCGAGGACCAGTCTGTCAAGTTGGGCGACTTTGGCTTGTCCAAATTGATGCAATCTCACGACTTTGCCTCCACCTATGTTGGCACCCCATTCTACATGTCTCCTGAGATCTGCGCTGCGGAAAAATACACTTTGTACTCCGATATATGGTCGCTAGGGTGCATCATGTACGAACTCTGCACCAAGGAACCGCCGTTCAATGCAAATTCACATCTGCAGCTGGTGCAGCGCATCAGGAAGGGAGAATTCAAGCCAATACCGAGTGTATACTCGAAAGATCTGGCAAATATCATTGCGAGCTGCCTGAAGACCAACCCTATGCATCGTCCTGACACGATCTCGCTCTTAAGGGTTCCTTACGTCTGGATTGCCAGACGGCAGCAGGAAATGGTCACCATTGGCAAAGCTCTCAAGACCCGGGAGGAAACTGCCGAATACAAATTGAAACAGGCGGAGGAAAGACTGTCGGCACTCGAAGCTGACCGCGCTGCCATGAGAGTTGAGATAGATGCTCAACTCCGTCGCGAATGGGAGGTGAAGGCACGACTGGAGATCGACCGACAAGTCCAAATGGAATTGGACAATCTGCGCAAGAAGTTTGAACACGAGGTTGATGAACGTGTTGCACGCCTATTGTCGAAGCAAACCCACAACGCGAATACGAGAGCGCTCAAAGAGATTCCAAACCCTCCTAGTTCGAGTTACAACAAGGAAAATCTTGATCCTCATTCTTCAGTCAACACGGCAGGGGAAGAAGATTTTCCTTCCACCACCGACATTACCGATTTATCTGACCTTTCGCTCAACTCTCCAGTGAGTTCGACAAGAAAGGGTGTCCCAGCAAAGAAGGCGAGAACGCCATTTGCTCGTTCCAAAACTACCATCGACTCACCGATGGACATTCACATGTCAGAACCCTCTCCCATGTCTATCTCATCTCTGGCGTTATCACCACGCAGAAATGCCGCAGCACAGGCTACGGCCAACCCCACAGTGACGGCAGCCAGCGCAAAGAATATTTTCGCTGAAGCAGCACGTCAGAAGGCTCGATGGGAGCCACAACGTGCATCCTCGTCCGACTACAGTGACAACGACGAGCTTGCCGAAGACTCAGATGACGACGGATTCCCAGCACTCCCTAGTCCCACTCGACGAAAGCCAAATGTCCTCAGCACTGATCCTTTCAAACATGCTGCACCATTACCCTTGAAGAATAGACCCAGCTTGATGAGGCAGAACACCACAGCAACAATGCAAAATTTGACCGCAAAGCCAACCTTGTTCCCCTCTAGCGCTACTGCTGCACAAGTGAGGGCTGGATTCACATCGGCAAACCTTAACAACGGCACCAATCGCCTGCCCCGAATCCTTACTGAGAGTGACTCCAAACCCACAACAGTCAAGCCTGTAAGCCCCAGTAGACGGCTTAGCAAGATTCCAAGTCGCAATGATCTAAGAGACCATATCGTTTCAGACAATGGAAGCACTAGCCCCTTGAGGCGTGTTGCAACCACTGGTGGCGGACTCCATGGCAAACTGGCAGCGAGCAAAGAGGCTGTCGCTGGCAATGGGGTAGGGGGCCGGACATTGGTAGAGCTGGCTCAAGCTCGGGCTGGTGGTCGCCCAATGAATGCCGACCTTTGCAGCAATCTCACTGCGAAAGCAAAGACAGTCACAGACCCGCGAGAGAGGGAAAAGGACCTCCCTCCGGTCCCTGTTTGGGATCCTGACGTCCTGGGGGACGACTTACCAAGTCCATTCTTAAAACGAGACATTAGGACAGTCCGAGGAATGCGATGAACCATGACAGGATAGAAAGGACGAATTGACGAGTTGATGCGTTGATGCGTTAATGTGTGCAAGTGAATATGCAGCTGACCCTGCAAGTCAGTGGCGGTGGAGCTCAACGGTCTTGAAAGGACTCCGGCATCGTGTTTGCCTTGGATATCATGGATGCACTGTCCTGAAGTCTTCTGAAGGTGGCGCCACAGCCTGTACGCATCAAGACTACCATCTGGAGGAGGATACTCTCGGTTGGGTCTCTTTTCCTGGACACGTCAAGAGGTCGAATATTCATTGAAGCTCGCAGCATCTTGAGCGAGAAGGTTAGTCGGGCGCATTGGCACTCTCGTGTTTAGGCGTGGGTTGGCAAAGGGCTGCTGAGGCAAAATGAACGTTCCTTGATCCGGGGCATTGGGGCACTGTCGATCAAAATCGTTCGATTTGGATGTGCTCAACTGAGACTTGACCAAGGCTTTTGATTGTTTAGACCATCAGGATAAGGACTTGGGAGGCCCCGAAGGTCTTCATAACATACATGTATGAGAGTCGGAAAGCACTCGGTGCTCTTAGATACTCGGTACGAAACCGAACACCACGTGTAACCCGACGAAGGCCAACTTATACCAATAGTGCACTTTGTTTTTGACGCCGTTAAGCGTCTTCATCTTCGACTTCTTCGACCTCGACATGCCTGTGCGGGATCGGCGCTGCTTCAGGCATGTCTTGCAGAGCGTCTCCGTGACCATTTCTTCCTTGGGAGGCCCCCTCGTCCGGAGCTTGCATGGCCAACTCCCTACGAAACCGCTCTTCTTCCTCAGCCAGCCTTGCATGGTCGTTTTCCGTAGCATGCTCTGTGCCCGAGCCCATTTGTGTTTCTCCATCTGCCCGCGCATACCCCTCGGCCTCCAACCGATCCATCTCTTCCGGCTCTACTAGATGGCCAAAGCCGCCTCCTTTGGCAGCTTCCTGCTTCCTGCGCACCACGGCTGGGACGAACCGACCAACGACTTCTCTCCGTAGATCTCGTATTTGTGGAGCGCTCTCGTATGTGGTCTTCGGTACCGGAGCAGGTTTGGCAGGTATCTGATGGCTCATGCTTTCTTGTGCGTCGTCAACACGCCGGTAGTCCCGTCTGAACTCCCGTGGCACCGGGGGCGGTGTATCTTCTGGCATAGGTATCTTTCGAACGGACTCATCGGTGTCGCTCCCCGGAGATTGTTCTCGAGCTTGCCAGCTTTTGCGCTCACCGTCATGCCGCCGCTTGCCCAAGATGTTGCTATTGTCTCCGTCTCTTCTTCGCTGTTGCCCAGCAAAACTGGGTGCCTTGTCCCCTAATGCTTCTCTGGCTTTGCGGACGGCTCTTAGGTCTCGTTCGAGATCCTCTAGGATGGCTTTTTCGCGAGGCTTGATGTCGCCGGACGTCTCGAGGGCTTTGAGGTCGTCAATTTGGCGTTGGAGGCGCTCAGGATTCCTCCGCGCCAATTTCTCGTTGCGCCTCGCTTGCAGTTCCGCTCGGCTTTTCTTGAGCTGTTTCGCCTTTTCCAGCTTGCGCTGCTGTTGCGCAGGGTTGACTGCTCGTTCTTTATCCTTCGCCATAACGTACTATCCAACTCGCAAATGTGGTAAAGGTAGATAGATGAAGGGCTGCTGGTGATAACTGACGTTGGGTCGGGAGTATAGCGGCTGGCGTCAAGGCATCAGTCAAATGGACGGTGGTTGTTTCTGTGTAGGCGTAGGTTTAATGTCAGGGTACAGGGTAGTGCTTTCTCATCAATTACATGTACGAGTAATTAGCCAACTCCGATCCCTAAAATCAGGAATCATATAACAAAAAAGAATCGAAGATCTGCTCTGGTGAGGTCATAGGGTGCGTGCCGGAATTAATTGGCGGTTTAGCAGCCTCTAGCTCTACCGGGGTAAAATGTCTTTCTCAGCCACTCAGACTATATATCCGTGCCTAGGTGATAGATCACTGCTACTGCAAGGCAGGCTAGAGATTTTGATTGGCAGCGGCTCGCTGGTACATAAGGTATCCAAGCTGCCATCATGAGAGCTTGGGTCTCACCGGTCAGGAGGGCGCAAATGCCAATGGCAATCTTCCAGGATGGCGGCTGCAGGGTGAGCACCAAAAACATGCGAGGGCTGCAGTAGCGCCACATCCAAAGCTGAGAGAGGAATGTGTCTGGATGCTTCGTAGGGCTACTCCTGCATGAACGGATCCAGGCGTGGGCGTGAACCGAGTTCGGACCAAACAGACGGGGAGGGAGCGTGCTACACAGCTTTTGAAGTGCATTGAGTATGCACCGATGAATGGATGCAGCGAAGGGCACACCGCAGGTGAAGGCTCGTCCAGGCAAACTGGTGCAAGAAGACGCGAGGCTGCTGGACGAAGCCAGCGCAGGGAATGGTCAAATACCTGACACCCTCTTCGGTCGCACACCCTCTTCAGCCCTTTCGATCAATCAACAGCCAGCCTCCCAAGCCCCAGTTCTTGTTTGCCTGCACCTTCGCAGGCTGATCTGCTCCCTACAAGCCTATTCGTATACTACTACCCCGTACCCAACCCGTCCCATGTCCAAGGCCCCGTCAAAGCGCAGCCCAGAGGCGCAGGCGGAAGCCACTCCAGCCCTCCCACTACTTCATCAGTCTCTTTGTCACATCGACAGTCCACCCGCACTGTTCCAAGCAGTGTTCAGCAAGTCGTAGCACCCGCTGTGCATAGCAGTAGTGGGTAGGAAGCGTAGTCAGGGACTAGGGTAGGGTTGAGACCAGACGCCGCATTTCTACTTTTGACGACAGTAGCCGCGCTCATCGCCCCTAAGGCTCCTCCTCTATTTTTCACCTTCGTGCTCGTTGTTTCTTCCTGATCATTGTCGCAGACGATGAAACAGTTCCCACGGTCTCGGTCCCTGCTCCCGATTCCGATTCCGTGGCCAGCATCGGCTCCCTCGTCCGGTCCTCGTCAACCTCCTGCCAGTGTGCCGCTCGTCGTCCTACCCCTCTTTGGCCTGAGGCCACTCTCGACTCCGCTTGCTCGTCGTGCAGAGGCACAACCGCCGGGCTCCCGTGAAGTGCACAAAATCCAGCGTTCCCCTGTTTGAGAGAGAGAGAGAGAGAGAGGGAGAGAGATACATCGCGAGCGCTTCGTCAAACCGAGGCTCTGCTCTGTCGTTGGGAGGCGCCCGTTGATACGTCAAGCTACAATGACCAGGCTCATCCAAACTGCCATATCTCGCAGCCAGGTCGCTGTCTGGTGTCTCTTGCACGACTCTTGACGGCTTCTCGCACACCTATCAGCTCGCAGAACTGCTATGTTGTGTTTGATCACTACGGGTACCTGTCGAAAGCCACCTGCCTCAACGCCTAGATTGGCCACCGTTCTCCCAGTCCTATTCGGACGTCCATGTCCGCGCCTCAGTCAGTCGCCGACTCTGTTTTGGGCCTGACTCAATCCGAGTTACTTCTCTTCCGACAACAGCAACAGATCCTGGCCCAGCGAAGCCATCACGGCGGCGGCATGCCCGACCGCGGCCGCGGCACCAGCCGACAGTCTCAGCCTAGTTCTCGTGCCGCCAGCGCCGCCAGCAGTCAGGGGGTGACTGGTCGGATTATACTAGATCCGCACAGTCTGCAAAACTTGTATTTGCACCTGGATAATCTGATGAGGTCCATCCAGCGCCGCATTGGAGAAGTAAGCCTGCCAGACCGGCTCTTGATCATCTTTTTGGTGGAGGACTAACTGGTTGTCGCATAGCTTGAAGAAGCTACCGAACAATCCGTGCAAACTCAGAGCAGTCGAGCCACCAGCGCCATGCATGATGCAGACGCCCAGATCACCAGAATGCGACGCATATTACGGGACATCGACACCCTCGAGCAGGACTTTGAGAAGATCAAGAAAATCAGGGACAAGGTCAAGCAGCTGAGGAATAACGTCGACCAGGTGAGTGAGCGGCTGGAACGGAGTCGTCCGAGCCCCCACGTGGCTGGAGCCCGCCCGAGGCGATGAAGTGCCGATGAAATGGCGATGATTTGCACCCTTTACGAAACCCACGTTTGCACAGACGAACCAGGAACGAGGAACGATGATGATGAGTGACGCGGATGGACAATTGTATTCGACCATCTTCAGCAGGCTTGGAGCTCTGGGCTTGTCACTGTATCAGCGGCCGTGGCATTTGCCTTTTCTTTTCTCGATAGTATCTGGACGGCGAATGCAGAGACGGGAGCCTCACGGCTGGACATTGGCTTACGATATTATGTGTTACCACTGTACGAGTACCGAACGGGGGAGGAGAGATTTTCGCGCGGAAAAATGTTGGTCTAAATCCTCTTTAACGCTGGGAGGACGATAATGATGGCTGGGCTTGTTCTTCGATCTCCCAGATGTTCGAGGAGCAAGGCATGTGTGTTGACCCTGCTAGAACTGTGGTAGCTCACGCTGGAGATGATTCATGTTTTGGACAAAGATACTTGTCAATGGTCTTGGAGCTATATTGACTAGGTGCCCGGAACCTATCCTTGAACGAAGTGACCGTCTTTCTCCACTGCTCCGAGCGAAGCGGGCTTTTCTTGCCCTTTCTCCCCTCTTGCCACTCCAACCGGGAAGCGTTTGATAGTCCCGCATTTGATGCATCGAATCTCAAATACATCCGCCCACGGCTTCCGGCCGTTCTTGCTTTGATTTACGACGAGTTCAGTGCTGGTTCGTCCAGGCAGGAGAAGGGAGTCGCAGCGCTTGCAAATCGAATGTTTCATGTCGGAGGCGAGCCGGATTCGCAATTTTCGGGACACTCCCAGGCTGTGATTTAAAAGCCGGCTCGCTTCAGACGCATTTTGAGTGTTGGGGCTTCTTGAGAGGAAAGCCCGAGAAGCAGATGTCTCGGAACTACTTGTCGCTGACCCGCTGTTTCCCGCGATGACCAAGTGTGCGGCCGCCTGATGAAGAAAAGAAATTCTTGAGTGAAGGTGTTTGTTGGGAATCTGCGGGCCGTCTCCCTTGGAGGACTTTGATTTGGCCATGTGCCCTCAAAAGAGCATCCTCTGTCTCCTGCCCGCTTTATGTCTGAAGTTCACATTCTGACGTCCATGGAAGACTTGAGACCACGGTACCTAGGTAGTGGATGACTAGGTACCTACAATGCCAGGGATACAAAGTCTAGGACTGGTTGTGTGCAGGCAGGTATCTGTAGTCAGAAGTAAGAGTACGGCGACGCACAAAGCGGCTTACGCATCAATCCAGGCACTCGGTCGGTCGGACGTATTTTGGTCCTTCTTCCTTCCTCCTTCTTCCGTCTTTTCAATCCCGTGTTTTGACTATATCTGCACTCTCGTCCAAAAAAAAAAAAACACCCTGGCGCGATGCCGGCGCCTAAAGAAATAGGAATAAGTAGAATCAATTAACGTGAGTATGAGATGTTGCTGCATCGATCCCTCCAAACGCATGGCGCAGGTTTGCCAAGGAATATGTTCGGCTAATCCTTATTTGGGCTAGCGTTACCTAATGCGCCTAGGCTGGTGCTGCAAACGTTGCCTCTTCGAAAACAACTTCCTCGTCGCAGGCATCACTCACGTTCATCCGCCCCAATTCATCTTCTCTGCTTCTCATTCCTGGTTACCACCAACCTGTCCACCTGAACTCTTCCTATTTGTGTTATTTGCACTCGAGATCGGGGTCATTGGCCGCGACCTGATCCGTCACCTGCGACATCGTTGTTTTCAGCCTTCCGCAGAGCCTACGTCGTTCCTTTGGCAGCACCTCCGTCAAGACCACCAGTCTATTAACCATGTCTGCTGAAGAAGATCTCATCGACTACTCTGACGAGGAGCTTCAAGCAACCGAAGCCCCCGCCGCCGCCGGCGCGACAAATGGAGCTGCAAAGAAGGGCGACTTGACAGTCACTGGCGGAAAGGCAGCAGACAAGGGTAAAGGCAGCTATGTCGGCATCCATTCCACCGGATTCAGAGATTTCTTGCTCAAGGGCGAGCTGCTACGAGCTATCACCGACTGCGGTTTCGAACATCCTTCGGAGGGTTAGTCATCCATTCCTACAAGCAAGAATCCCTCCACGTTCTTCCTTCTGCGAGAGTCCGTCCATCTCCAAGATAAGAAAAATTGGCTTTGAAGAAGATGTTTCGCAATTCCAAGAGCTACACGCAAACGAGTGCCGAGATCCTCTGGTCGAAAAGTGATGTGCGGTAACCACCCAAGCCCGAGATGGTTGGTGTTTGGGAAATCACAAGAGGCCCAAGCTCCAGAATCAGACGCGAGACATTGCCCGCTTCGGAGCCTGGTCATATTTCTTGGCTATGAATTGACAAGCTGAAAATTGCTGTCGCTCAGTATGGCCTTGGTTGTTCAGGTCGTGCCTGTGCCTTCGAAGTAACACTCGAATGGCAATGGTAGCCTGGGATACGGCTTCTGGTTGTCCTTCAACTACACCATTATTTGGCGGGCTTGAAGCGAAAGAGGCGGGCATTGTAGCGCTGAACTTGCGGAGATGGACGGACCGATCTGCGATGCTTTTTCGTCGTCTTCACATTTATTGGCGAACCACTCTAACATCAACACTTCCTACAGTCCAACAAAAGTGTATCCCTCAAGCTCTTCTCAGCGTCGATATTCTTTGTCAAGCCAAGTCCGGTCTCGGTAAAACAGCCGTCTTTGTCTTGACCACCTTGCACCAGCTGGAACCAGTCCCTGGCGAATGCTCCGTGTTGGTTATGTGCCACACCCGAGAGCTGGCATATCAAATCAAGAACGAATACGCAAGATTCAGCAAGTACCTCCCGGACGTCAAAACAGCGGTCTTCTATGGCGGCACTCCTATTCAGAAGGATATCGAGCTTCTCAAGAACAAGGAGACATTCCCTAACATCATAGTTGGAACTCCGGGCCGACTCAACGCCCTTGTCCGCGACAAGGTTCTATCTTTACGCAATGTGAAGGCATTTGTCCTCGACGAATGTGACAAGATGCTTGATCAGATCGGTATGGCCTTCATCGTCTATTAATCAATCAAGAACTCTCTAACAACATTGCTCTAGACATGCGTCGCGACGTCCAGGAGATCTTCCGAGCGACTCCTACCGAGAAACAAGTGATGATGTTCAGCGCTACCCTGCCTGCCGAGATTCGACCGATTTGCCGAAAATTCATGAGAAACCCTCTGGAAGTCTTCGTTGACGACGAGACCAAGCTCACCCTCCACGGTCTCCAACAATATTCTATCCGGCTAAGCGAAGGCGAAAAGAACCGAAAGCTGAACGAGCTGCTTGACAGCCTCGAGTTCAACCAGGTCATCATCTTCGTCAAGAGCACTTTGCGTGCCACCGAGCTCGACAAGCTACTGCGTGAATGCAACTTCCCTAGCATTGCAGTGCACTCTGGGATCAGCCAGGAAGAGCGGTATGTGTATCACAATAGCCACCTAGCTGCTGGTACTGACGACCTTTTAGGATCAAGCGATACAAAGAGTTCAAGGAATTCAACAAACGGATCTGTGTGGCTACAGATGTATTTGGCCGTGGTATCGACATCGAGCGTATCAACCTCGCCATCAACTACGATCTGCCGGCAGACGCTGATTCATATCTTCACCGCGTGGGTCGTGCTGGCCGTTTCGGCACGAAGGGTCTGAGCATCTCTTTCGTCAGCAACGAGCAAGACGAAGCTGTGCTGAAGGAGATCGAGCGAAGATTCGACGCCAAAGTTCCGGAATACCCAGAAGGCGGCGTGGACTCGAGCACTTACATGGCTTCTTAGAGGACCGAATGATTTCCAGATACTCATTTGGGAGCCTTTTTCCGTTCGAAGGAATTACATGTGACAACAGCAATACTGGGCTGGGAGGGGAATGGGGGGAATGAAAATGGGAAGATTGATTATTCCGGCAGAATAGCCTCCACTACTGGGTTAGCTAGCCTACCTAGCTACTGGGTAGTTTGTGGGCAGGAAATGTCATAGTAGATTGTGCTGGTAGTCTTCTTGATAGGTCTAGTCGCTAATGCTGTGTTACTACGTGCTTTGTATGCTTTGTATGGTCCTCCAAGGGGCAGGCAGCCTTAGGCTCTTTCCCGCCCGGCAACCTGACTACTTAGGCGTCGAGCTTCAGCCTTTCGAGGAGAGCGTCGATCTTGCCGAGTAGAATCTGGTAATTCACGGCATCTGCAGCAAACTCATCGCCTGCGAGTTCTCCATCCAACGTCCGCACGGCACCGGATTGCAGAAGCGCGTCGGTTGGAATGGCGGCGGGTTCGGGCATCGTCAAGTCAACACCCTCGTCCTCCACCACCTGGGCCTGGAGCTCCTGCTCGCCGTCGCGATGGTCGCTGGACTTCCAAGTGCTGGCGATGTCAGGTTCCGCAACGCTCACCATTCCTTCCCCTCGTGCATGTTCGGCAGAGAGGGTGGGTGCCTGTTCCTGTTCCTGTTCCTGTGCGACAGCTAGCTCCTCGTCCATAACATCCTCAAGACCAGAGTCCTCGAAGCGCAGCCTGAAGCGTTCGGACAGGTAATAGCGGATGTCATCGAGTAGCTCGATCGTGTCGGTCTCCTGGCGCGCGTTGATACGGTTAGCCGACTCGTTGACCAGTTCGGCGAATTCCGGGTCGTCAATGTATGATTCGAGGCGGTAGGCCATGTAGCGGGCCGCGAACTCTTCGAGGCGTTGCACCCTGGTCAGCCACGCGGCGCGAAGAATCTCGTAGACGTCCATGTCAACATCCTCGCGGGCAGGCTCGGCTTCCGACGGCATGGCGGTCGCCGTGCCATTACCGAGCGTAGAGATAACCACGCCTGCCTTGGCCTTGAGCTTTTCCAGGAACAACATATCCGCGGCAAAGAGGACGTCGACCGCGATGTCGAGCCCGAAGTCTGTCTTCTCCGTGTACAGGAACGTCAGGATGATTTCGAGAACCTCGGGCGAGCAGTCGATCGGTACGATTTGGAGGTGAGGCGTCTCCTGGGCTTCGCGGAAGGAGGATTCAAACATAGTCATAAAGAACTCGGAGCGGATGAGCATGGCTTTGTGGCACGGGTAGATCTTGGTCCTGCGCGGTTTCCGCGACCGAGATGGCGAACGCGACCGGGACGTGTGAGACGGCGAGGGTGAAGGTGAAGGCCGTTCCAGTGGGATTCCGAGGGCATTAGTACGAGACCGCAACATGGTCTCCTGCGAGGAGTCTCGTTGGCGTTGCACACTTCCAGTGGCATCTCCACCCTCGTCTATGCGGTCATCTTCGTCGGCGTCGGCGCGGAGAAGAACATCCGCAAAAATGCCATTGTCTCGATCCCATTTGATGTCGTCTGCCCTAGAAGAATCCGTCTCCACGGCGTATTTGACGACATTCTCCCGGAACCAGAGCTCCAATTGATTGCGACCCTTCTCAACTTCGTCCTGTCGCCGCTGCCTTGCTAGACGGCGGTCGTCACTTTCGAAAATCAGGTGAGACAGACTCTGAATCTCAAGGTGCTTGCTTATCCGATCAACACCGGCAAGGATGTCGGAGTCTGTGAAGCCGGTGCCTGGTCCACCTCCAGGTTCTCTTGGTAGTTCCCCAAGATATAGATGTTTGAGTGCGATTGCAAAAGACTGCGGAGGGATGGTAGGCGGCAGTTTCCAGGAAGTCGTCTCTGGAGCAGCAGCGAGTTTTCTCGCAAAATAGGGCGAGCGCGCAGAAAGGATGAATTTATGTAGGTGGAACGATTCAGTGGCGGTGAGAACCGTGATGTCTGAAGTCTTAGGATGCTCTCTAGTCAGCAACGACACCAAGTGAGACGCCAAAGGCTGCAGGGGGTCTGTAGATTTTGAGTAGTCGTAAGATAATAACAAGTTACGTATCCGGTCGTTCAAGGCATTATAAAGACATCTGTTGTAGATCATTTAGCATGGGAGCATGGGGGGGAGAGAGCTCCAGCAAGTTGGACACACCTCTCGCCTTGGAACGTGTCTCTTTCACACAACGCTCCGGACTCTAAGAGCAGTTGGACGACTTCATAATGTCCACATAGGCTAGCCTTCTCAGCCGTGAGTGACTCGTTCGCCAACGGAGAAAGGGCAGGTGGCAATGGTGGAAGAATTGCTCTTGAGGAAGTGAAGGCTTACTAGAATGAGAGGGGTATAGTCATATTGATCTTTGGCATTAATGTTCGTCCCTTCCTGTATCATTTCCTGGCAGACTTTCAGGTCTCCACGTCTGCAGGCGGCGCATAGTTTCTGGAAATTCTCGCTGAAGTCTAGAGGATTGTCTTCCTTGAGCACTCCCTCCTCGATCAGCCTCTTCTCGTCATGGAGACTGCGTTCGAGTTGATCTTTACGGAGCACTCCATTTGCACTCATGATCCCGGAACGAGAGGACAACAAATGACTGGTGTCGCGAATATCCACAGAGAAAACAGGGGAGACAAGATCTTTCAGGCCAGGCGTTGGACGAAATCGCGACATATCTAAATGCCACCGCCACTGACGAGGCCGAGATTAGATTAGATAAAGATCACGTGCATCACGTGCGTCGGCTCTTCTCCGCCGCCCACACCATGCCCACACTATGCACGACACGAGAATTTCACTAAAAGCGAAACAAGGTGAACCAACAACGCAAGCCTCAACCCGCAGCAACTCCCCTCCCACATACCCACATACGAAGAGAAGAGGCTGCCGTCCTAGTAATACCATCACCGTTGACAGCGGCACCAGTCTACCCAGCATGGCTGAGCAAGATGGATTCATCCACCTCGGACGTCCCCTTCCTGCGGTGGGCGCACAACCAACCATTGCTCCTCTTCGTGTTGTGATACAACCTCAAGTGAGTAAGAAAGAAGCCTTACAATCCTGGCAACATGCTTACAGAACAAGGCCCTTTTCTCAGTTCTCGATCACTGCACCCGGCGACCCCTCGATCAACAGCGAGTCATCGGGACCCTGCTCGGAACTCGTTCGGACGCCGACGAGTCGCAGATCGTTGTCCACTCCTCTTTCGCAGTCAGCCACACCGAGACTACAGACCAGGTTGAGGTGGACATGGAGTATCAAAAGGCAATGCTGGCACTACATCTTCGAGCCAACCCCAAGGAGGTCTTGGTGGGCTGGTACGCGACCAGTTCGGAATTGAATACATTTTCGGCTTTGATCCAAAACCATTACAGCAGCCAGGGTGAAGGTACCTATCCGTACCCAGCAATCCATGTCACAGTGTCATCCGAGCCCGGCAAAGATATTGAGGTTAGGACGTACATTTCGGCCTCCGTCGGCGTGAGCCCGGAACGAGCCGCAGATTCTGCTGCGTTCATTCCCATTCCTTACACGGTCAACTATAGCGAGTCCGATCGCGCTGGTCTTCAAGGCCTTGAGAATGCAAAAGTGCAGGACAACCGAACGGCGACAATTCTTACGGAAATCGAAGACTTGGAGCGATCGTTGGAAGATACTCTCGGCTTGTTGGACCGAGTCTCCAAGTACGTGGAGAATGTGGTTGAAGAGGAGACAGAGCCCTCAACGGCATTAGGACAGTTCCTTCTAAACACCCTGGCATTGGCGCCCAAGGTTGACCCTGCGGACATTGAGAAGGATTTCAACAACCACATCCAAGACGTCTTGACCGTGTCATATCTCGCCAACATGATTCGCACACAGATGGATTTGTCCAACAGACTAGCAACGGCGCAACTCACAATGGGTGGTGGCGAAGCGTCGGGCGCAGCTTCGACAGAAAAGGACGGACGCAGACAGAACAGGCAAGGCGGGCAGACCAGGCAAAACCGAGCAGAGAGTTTGTCATTAGCGAATTTGTGATTGATGTGGGAAAAGAGCATTTCGGGTCATTTGCAGTTCCCTGCTGTGGATTGGCATGATGAGTCCTCTGTTTTGCCTCGCAAGGCACGGCAATGTCTATCAGAGGTAAAAGCAAAGCTACGGCGTTTCAAGGCCGCAAAAGGGTGCACATGAGCCAGCATCCAGGACGCGCTATCAGCGTGTTCCAACTCGAGGATGCAAGATGGTCGCACTCCGTCGTTTCTGTGAAATAGAGCAGAGATTATTCACGGCCCAATGTTAAGATGACCTGCCCAGGCCTAGACAGACAATCGGACAACGATGAGTTAGGGAACGATGTCTTGTCCACGAAATCGTGGCAACCTTTGGGATGCTTCTACTAGCTGAAGCTGAATAGCATAGCTGAATTCAAGCTGGAATACGCTCTGTTCCGGGATTGGCGTGGCCTCCGTTTCGCGCCCAGTGGAATCTTTCGGCATCACGTACACCACCCGAAAGGCGCTGTTGTGGGCCTGTATCGCTGTGCGTTGTGCGTTGATCGTGAAGATGAATAGCCTCTTCGATGTCAAGTCTCGCTTCGATCATGATGTAACTGACACTCTTCGGTGTGAAGGCGTGTCTCGTCAACCGACTTCGCTCCTGGGTCTCTTGCTCGCCCTCTCATCCAAATCATCATCCGCGCCATTCTCTCCACCGGCTTGACCGGGGCCCGCGACATCACCGGCGTCGTCCCTATCCCTCTTCTTCCTCCTGCCTCTGCCTCTGCCTTTTCCTTTACCGGTTCCCTCTTCACCGACGACCTCGCCGAGATTGACGAGATCGCCGACAGCCAATTTGGTGCCCTCACGGCCTTCGTTCGTGTCGAACAGTTTCTTCTTGTTGTCTATGTCGCGCTTCTTCTTGAACATCTCTTGCACACGGCCGAGCTTGATGCTATCGCGACGTAGCACGAATTCAAAGTCCGACAGCTTGAGTTTTGCGCGTCCGCTGTACGTGGCGACGCTGACGGCATTGTGGCACGTCTCGATGATGAAGTCGGTCAGGATCTCGTCCAGCACTCGCAAAGTCTCGGGGAAGGGCTGGCTGAATGATGTGGGCGGATTGGTGGTGTTGGGAGTTGGAGGCGCCGAGAGGTATTGTCGTGACGAAGGGCCGAGCGGTTTCAGAATGTCAGGGTGTGTAGGTGCGCCGTACGCATACAGCAGCGCCGACAGTTCAGGACCGAAGTTCAGATTGCCTTTGTGCCGGCCTGCGCGGGCTCGAGGCTCCATGTTGAAGAATGCGATAAGATGCTGTGGGTTGGAATTCGAGGTCAGGTAGAGTTGGACGATGAGAGCCGGCTCCCACGTCGGCTGCGATGGCTATCTAACCAGTGACGTGTTGGGCACGTTCATCAAGCTAAAGAGTAAGGTTCAACTGGTAAAGCCCTGGATATTTAGTACTGCGTGCCCAGGAACGCAGGTGTCGCTATGCCAGAGAGATGAAGAATGGTATTCCATATAGAGTATCCGAACTGTGATCATAGGTAATAGTGGTAGCAATTAGTACGGAGAGGTATATCCTATTTACTAGTGCCGCCGCTAGAGGCCTTAGCCTCTCTAGTGCCGTTATCGTTGCTAATTGTTTCTGCCTCTACTGTTACTACGTATGCCGTATGTTTCAACCTCGCAATTCTGAGTTCTGCCAGCACTCAAGTCGATCAGGCCGGTCTTTGCTTCATCGGCGGATCCGTCTACTGCCCACTGCTGTGCACGGGACAAAAGTATTGGCGACTCGTTCCAACCAAACATTACAAAATCGCATCCTCACAAGGCCTTCCGCCTCTACTCCCTTGCCCCAACACATCAATCCGTCATGGCATGTGCTCTACCACCCTCAAAACTACTTGCGGGAACGTTGGCTAATCTTTCTCCGTCGCCTTGCAGACGGCCATCTTCAATTTCCAATCACTTCTCCTAGTCATCCTCCTGATCATATGCACTTCCACCTACGTGCACTCCATGTTCCCCGGTGTCATGGACAGGAATAAAGAAGGGTAAGTTTGGGCCCAGCCCTTTCCACCGCTTCCAGTGCCTGGCTCGTCGCAAAGAGTTCTGCGCATCCAGGATCCAGGATTGCTAATCTGGACCCAGTGTCACCGGCATATTTTGGAAATGCGCGCGAGTGGGGGAACGGCTTAGTCCGTACGTCAGTATCTTCTGCGTCGCTATGGCTGTAAGTCCTCGGTTGCTCTCAACCATAGCCTCGCTATCCTGGTCCAAATACGAGCTACAATGTGGCTAACCAACCCCTCAGTTCTCTATAATCCTGGGCCACTGAGTGGATAGCCTGGTTGCAGAAGAATGGGGGCTTTGGACGCCTTTTGATATCGACCAGCTTGTCCAAAGTCCCGCGTCACAGGTGGTTTTGTGGCAATTTAAGTTAGGAAAATCCAAGGTGCTAGGGCTTGCAAAAGTCCAAATATCATTGATCCTCTAAGATACGCTCGAAGAGAAACGCTCGATTCCGTTGTCAATATCATCAAAGCAAGGCACCGGTCGCTGAATACAACCCACGTGGGTATCATGGCCGCTTCAAACTCCAAGCTTCAGCAAGAATCACTCATCACTCATCGCTCATCACAATGCTCCCATGTACCTGACACTCTTAGTAACTCATTTGTACGCAAAGGGAAACTTTTCGGCATCCTTGATCCTTCTTGGGCTCCGCAGCGTACGACCACCTCGATGATTTTTGCCCTCTATGAAAACCAGTGCATCTTTATCCTTGTCAAGTGCGACCACCGGTTCTTCAGGCACCCCCATGAATTCTTCAACTGACATGATCACTGTTGTCCTCTCGAAGCGTCCCACTGTGAAAGAATCGGGGGTGTCTAGTCGTGTTTCGCACTGGACGTCTGCTGTCACTTGCATTCCTTCAAGGAGTCGGTTCACTTCCTGATGAGGATTGCCAAACTTTCTTCTCTGCTCTCGGCACTGGTACTTTAGTAAGTTCCCGACAAGCTGCTTTCTTGAAGGTCTAGCTTCACTTGGTGGCGATAAGGATACCTGGGTAGTACTGTAATCCTCCGCACCATTCAGGATATCGAATAGATTCGATGATCTTTGCCGCAGCTTCCAGGGTGGATCGATCGGTCTTTGGAAAGGCAGAGCTACCAGATCATGAGTACGGTCCGTTGGGTCCGAGTCCGACTCCGACTCGAATATGGCGCCTTGTGCCTTTAACCGAGCAACAGATGCATTTTCCTCCGCCTCGGTCCACACGGCTTGGTCGATTTCTGTCGCGGGTGAGGAATTCTGAACCTCGGACTGCCTCGAGTCTGCTCTGGTGATCGTACTACTCGGCTGCGAGCTCGAAGAAAGAACACTGTGCCTCCCCAGCATCGAAAATACTTCTGCTGAACTGATCTCCGGAACTGGGTCGTTATCTCTAATACTGTTCAGTGGGACGTCATCGCCGTCTTCGATATCAGACATTGTTGTCGCCAATTGCCTTGATACTGTCGTTCGACGTGTTGGTTGGGTTTGCGTTAGAGTAGCGTCATCTCGAGTATCGTCCTCATCTTCTGGGTCATTGGCGGTGATTTGATATGGCCGCACGCCAATCAAGGTTTCAGATGAGCTCCCCACAAGATCGCCTGGCGGAGTTGTCGAGTTACGGTCATAAGAACTCGCAAGATCTGTCTGTTGATCCTGGCTGGCGGTGTGGGACATATCGCCCCTCTGCGTCGAGGAAGTCCCTCCATGGCAGCGGTACTCACGATCTCGGAGAGATTCGTGGAATTTGAGCGGATCTAGACGGCCACATGTACTCATTGGGTCGTCTGAGCGAGATTCCTCGAGATCTGGATCAGCTGACATGCTATCGTGCCGGTCCGGCGTGGGTGACGTCTTGCATGCACGCACTGTCGCACAAACATCGTTTGGTACCTGCTCGTTCCTTGTGTTCTCTTGCATTTCAGTCGTTTCAAGGCTCTCTCGACGCAGGTGATCACGAACGACCTCAGTACCATGTATGGTACCGTGGGCAACTTGAGTTCGATGTTTGACTTGACTTAGGGGTCTTGTGTCGTCTCCGCCAGCAGATCTTGCTTCTGTCATGTGCAGATTATCTGGCGCCTCTGCTCCCAATCCATCGTCTAAGCACACACCAGCGCCCACATGGGGGAAGGACAATGCAGGCTCGCGTGAGCGACCAGGATCTGAGTCAAGCAAGGCTTCTCTTGATCCGTGGGATCGATCAACAAACTCCTTCAATGGCGCATATGCTGTTGCAGTTGTGTTTGCGGTTGTTCTTTTTTCTCTCGCACCCTTTTCTTCGAGTATTGCCAACCTCGTCAACTGCTCCAATGATCTTCTCCCCTCCAAACCTGTGTCTAGAGCCTCGGCCTCAGCCTCCGAAATCGATTCAGCATTGTGGCTGAGAGATAACCGTCGCAAGGACTCTTTCGCTCGATTGATGGCGAGAGGCGCGAGTTTGGTTTTCTTTCTGGGGACAAACAACACCTGCTCGGACACGGTTCTCTTCAGTGTATTAGGCATCAGACGTTGTTGGAGAGCTGGTGGAGACGGCGTTCGGTGGTCATTTTGCATCTGTGAATCGCCCTCGGGGCAAGCCAGATCTGAAGCAGGTGTAGCAGAGTCTGGCGCAACTGGCGCAACTGGCGCAACCGGCGAAACCACACTCATATCAGTCATAACTTCAGCACTAGCTTTTTCTTTGCTCTTGTGCCTTACAAGCCCTAACGAACACCTGACACACCGAGAGGTACGTCCGAAAATTACTTTGTGACAACCCTCACACAGCTTCTTTTCTGCTGCAACAGAGCCGATATCAGTTGCGATCTTCTTCAAAGACGCATGTGTGCTTAGCATCGTTGCTTTATGTCCAGAAGAATCGGGAATTGATCCATCTGAAACCTCTGGTCCAATAAGGTCGGTCACTTCTTGAGCATCACATTCAATGAGATATCCCTGAGGAAGGAGGTTGTTCAACTCCCGAATGAGAACAGGGCGATCGCTAAAGAGCTGCGCTAGCTTTTGGACAGTCTCGGGGAAATTTACAGCCGGGTCTTCAAAATCTTTCAAGATATCGAGAAAGTTGTTGAAACGGGAATCATCGTTGCATTGCGTCCTGAACTTTTCAAGATAGTTGTGTGCTGCATCAAGAGTGGCTGCGTGGCCATCCTCAGGCTCAAAAGGAGCAGGACCAGAAGGATCATGTCGAACCAGGCTCGCCTGCTGTCGCCGGAACAACCCACCGGCCGGTTGGCCGGTTGACGCGAGTGGTGTTTGAGCTAATATGCCTGGTCTGTTATGGTTCGATACGGCATCTGCAGACTCGGTTCCCAAGAGGGTAGAACATGGCTTCCCCTCAAGTTGTTGCGCTCTACGTTTCCGTGGGTCGAATGTTATGGCATGACGCTTTGCCATATGTTTGTTTGACTTTGAAGATGAGTCTGTCAATGTTTTATCTTTGGGCGTGGATCGAGTACTCGCTTCCTTGGGCCAGACTTCGTTGTTCAATAGAGAAAAAATCGTTGACCTAGGCTCGGACTGTGCAGAAGTGATCTCGGCTGCGTTAACGGCGTTAACGCGGTCAATGCTGCTCAAGCTCTCAGTCGTGCATGGATTCATTGCGCCTGGAATGACTGGATTGAGCAAGGAGACAGGTCTTGCTCGTGCATTCTGAGCCCAGGTCGGAACTGCAGATGGCTTCGGTGTTGGTATTGAAGGAACTTCGCGTGAGCGTTTGCGCAGGCAACGCCCGCAGATGAAGTCGTCGAGTTTGGCACTGTACTCAGTCAGCTTTGTGGCTCTCAGTGGACTTCTCATACCTGTTCTGGGGCTTAGGGTTCCCACATCGATCATGGTAACCTTTCCGGCATCTGCTACAAGGCACAAGTGGAGTCACCTGGCTACCAGGCACTCCGCATGCTTTACACACGGCCTTGCTTCGGGAAGTCGCCGTCGACGAAGTGGAAGCTGTCTCTTCATTCGAAATTCTGGTTGTTTGGACTCCGGTGATTTCTCTTGGTGTCTTGGGTATAGTGAGTCCCTGGGCGGGGATGTTCAAATTACCTTTCTCAATCGTATCGACACGCCCTGCCTCGGGCCCAGTATCGCGATGGTCAAGGCTGGGTGAATGGGTCTGGGGAGTTCGTAGACCAATATCCGCGACCGACGATACATTCACCTGACGCGACGAAAGAACAGTGCTCAACGCGGTGTTGCCTCCAGATGATGCCAGGCCCAGTCTGCGCCTCCTCTCAAGCACTTCCAGATGTTGAACATCATCGCCTCTGTCAGTCTCACCGTATCCAACCTTCATGGCATTAATACTTTGATTAGCGCTTCGTCTGCTGCTATCCTCCCCTCTGCTTGACTCCGGGAGCGAATTGAGCGATTGCATTATTTTGTAGGTCATGTCCTTTCTCTTTTTCTGGAAAACAATATCCGCCTGGTGAGCATCAAAGCTTGACTCCTGGTTAGACGCATTCTCTGAATCTCGACCCTGCGAAGTCATGGCAGGGGTGGGCCCCAACTGGACCCTTGTTTGCTCCTCCTTTCGGCCACTTGGCTGTTTAGAACTGCCCCATGGTAATGACCGCGTCGCACCTTCGCCGTACTCATGAACACCTCCCACCATCCTCTCCTTGTGGAAATAATCGTGGCTGTGATGGTGGGGCGTTGATCCGTGACGATCTGATGTGGTAGATCTTGTTCCACTTCCGAAGTCGTTACCACAGTGAATAGGAGCGGGTTTATAGTGAACGCCATGCTGTAAGTGACGTTCCTGACTTTCGGAAGACCTGTATGAGCCTCCTCTACGAAGCGGTGGAGGCGTGATCTTGCGCCTCATCGATAGAGGTGCTATAGGTGGCTGTTGCGTCCACTCCGATTGACCGGAACTCTCAGAAGGCTTTGACCGTTGCGAAGAGATGCTAGTCGCTCCGCCGAATACACCGGCGGGGGAGTTGCTGGTCTGGGTAGCAATGGGTTGTCCATCGAGAGATGACACACGGTCGTTAATCAAGGGAGGTAAGAAGCCAAAGGCACCGGTATAGGCGGAGGATGCTGGGTATCCTGTGGCCATGTTGGCTTGCCAGACCAAGGTGGTGTACCGCGTCTCATGTCATACTAGACTCTTTCGTGTGAAGCGAGTCGTGTCAAGGGCCCTATTTAGGAAAATGGGATCAGCTTCAGACTTCAACCAATATGAAGTAATGAGGCCAGTAGATTTATAGCTTCGTCAGGTCTTTTCAGTTTCATGGGGTCTTCACTTTGGGTCATTAGGGTTGCCACAAGGTCAGGCAGAATCTCAATGCAGAGATCCGACAAAGAAAAATCTCTTGAGTGAAGGAGGGGGTCATGAATCAGCACTCCCAGCAAACCAAACAAGTACACCGCGATTTGGGGGAAAACATGTACACTGCTGCCATTGACTCAAGCATCCATTTCATCCAGGAGGTAAGCCCCATATTAGCAGTGCTCGATCTCTGGAATTGATGTGCACAAAACCTCCAGGAGAAGGGTTCCAGCGGCTTAGAGAACTCCATGCTTGCATGGTTTTGCACTCGTAGCGTGCTTGGTTTAAAGGTTGCGGGTGCGAGGATTCCAGAACTCCTCCACACAGCCGACTTCATTGCCTGGTGTACAAAGAGAGCCTGACTTATGCTACCACAAATGAGAGACTAGGTCCAATCTGACCTTTTACCAGAGGCTCATCCTCGAAGCAATCTTGACAAAACTCCAATCGCCTGGGAATGGAGATTACACAAAGAGGCTGAACTCACCGAGAATATTTGAGAGTGCGACGTGGCAGACGTGGCGCAAGAGAGTTCGTGCGACATTTCAACAGCCCCTCTGATCTGGTCATTCAGCCTGATTGCAGTGCCCACCCATCCAGCCCTTTCAACGCGTTGTCATATGCAAGGATAGGGACGCAATTGATGCGCGGTGTATGAGGGCGCTTCACAGCCGCGCACAGAATAGCGAGGAATTGTGCCTTTAGAGGGGGAACACTGGTCTCAGAAAAGGGTCTAGTTAGAAGCGGCAGATTTGCTCAAACAAGAGAAGTACGTCCAGACATTGAATGGAGAACGCTTTGCACCGTGAATAAGACAGACAAGACAGGCGGTCTCAGATGGTAGAGACGAGGTGAGGTTGGCGGGAGACAAATCAGCAAGAAGCCTGGAGCGCCGGTTGTCTTCACCATGATTGGTCTAGACTCAACCTCACCGCTTGGCATGGAATCGGCATGCAAACATGCAAACTCCCCCACCAGCGCTAGTATCGCAGCTTATTCATACCTATGGCTACCTATATGTACATACTTTGTATATTTGCATGTTGGCCGGCAAGGCTGCCTGCCTGCTACTAATTAAGTGGGATGTACGGAGTATGGAGTCCAGAGTGGTGCACACTCTCACCTATCCTTCCCTGGCATTTCTAAATCTCGATGACCGCTATCAGCCCAGATTCTCAGGTCCCTCAAATGTCCCACATCCGATTCTTCTTCTGCATCGTACTCCGTCTGCACTGATGGCGCTTTACGAGCTTCCGTTGCGGTTGCATCCAGCTCTTCTGGCGAGCCTAGAGCTGACTCCAGCCCCTCCGGCATTTGTCGTTCGTTCAAAACATATCGTACAACTTGCGAAAGTCGCGACTTCTCATATCGTCTGAGCAGAAACGACCATTCCTTCTCTGAAGGGACGACGCCTCTTGCCAACATTGTCCGCCAGATCTTCTCCGCCGCGTCCTCTTCCCCATGCCGCAAGAAGCCGGAAAGAACCTCGCTCCACGTCCGCTGGGTGGTTAAGCATAATCCGAGCTCAATCATCTCTTCGACGACCTCAAGTCCCTTTCGCAGTGTAGACGGATCGCGAGCAAAAAAGGAGACAAAGCCATTGTACAAGATGTCGTGCTTCGCTGCCTCACATATACTTGCATCCTTGTGCTGTATCAAATGAGCAATCCAATGCCACAGCCTCGAGACAGGCTTCTCATCTGATTGGCAGAGGACGTAAGCCCAAATCGTAAATCCCAGTGCCGCCGGACGAGGCTCCGGCAGTTGTGATGCCGAATGTTGTTCAGTAGGGAGAGGGTCCGCAAGGCCGAGCTTGACTAGAGGTGCCCGATTGTAGGCTCGATCATAGATGGCAAGAATATGAGCGAAGCAGACTTCTGGCGGTAGCTTGCGATCGAAGCAGCAAACAATTCGGACAATGTGCATAGTATATGCAACAAGATATGGATCCCGATAAAGGTCCTCGCGTTGATGAATAGCAGACAAGATCTTATCCAGCTTCTCCCGGTCCTGCCGGTCAAAACTGTCCCTGAGCAGTACCAGATGGCTTCTGGCATCCACGTAGATTCTTTCTGCTTCCATAAAACGAAACACTTCCCATGCCACGTTCGATAATCGTAGAGAGATTGCCTGCTGAAGGACACTGTTATACACGTTCTTATCCAGCGGCATACCAATCTCCATGAGACGGGGCAGGATTTTGAAATTGCGGCCAGCTCCAGAGTCCTCGATACTGTCAAGCCTCACCAATTTCGGGAGGCGGTCAAGAATCTCCTGCTTGAAACGCTCTCGTTCCTCCATAGGTATGCTTGAGAGAAGCTCAATCGCCCGCTCTGCACCGCCTTGCTCGATAAAGTGATCCACCATGACCAGAATCAGCGGTACAGGAACCGGAGCAGAGTTCTGGAACACCGTGTCAATGATATTCTCGCACTGTTCGGGACTATTGTGCCGCAGCAAAAAGACAAGAAAAGCGCGGGGCATGGTGCCTTCAGGGAGTGACCAGATTTTGGACACATGCCTGACTTGGTTGGCAAACATGCTCTGTAGATCTGAGTTGCCATTGATTTCCTCCCGATGGAAAAGCTCAAGGTAGAGCAGACATTCGCAGCGTGTTCTCCACTCCCGGGGAAGCTTTGGTAGTATCGAAAGCATTGTAAGAGTCTTTCGGGCAGATTCAATCAGACACCCAATGAGTACAGACGGGAGGAGTTTGACTCTCTGACTCAGGCCGAGGCGAAACCAGGCGCTCCGTAAGGCTTTGCAGCCGCGATGTCCCACAAAATGTATAGCCACTTGGCGGCATGCCTCAAGCTCTCGCTGTGCCCTTGAAACATCCCCATCCTTGGGGAGCATCAACCTTTTGTATAAACCGGCCCACTCTTGCGAAAATTGTTCATGGTTTGGCAAAAAGTCAGGATCTCCGTCGGGCTGGAGGGGGACATGCCTCGCAGCTGGAGGGAAGGACCAGGTGTTCTTAGTCGCGCTCGGGTTCCATGGTACCAACGCAGAGCACGCGTCAGGACCTGGAAGCTTCCTGTTGATGAAGCGCTTCGTACGTCGCGGGGGAAAATAGGGCTCGCCCGAGTACTGTCGCGTGCTCAACTTGACGGTCCCGGCGTGCTGCGCAGGCTCGATTGAATTCTTGGAAACGTACTGATCCAGCACTATATAGTCTCTCGGTAGAGCCGAAGAAGGCACACTCTTCACTGACTTCTGATCTACACTAGTCCTTGTAGCATCGGGAGAGTCACAGGCTGTTGGCTTCGTGTAAGAGTCATTTTGGATCAAGTCGGAGGATCCCGCTCTCGATCCATCGGCAATAGCAGCAGAAGCACCCGCGTGCTGTTTAAACACCTGTCCAGGAATTCTCGGTGGGTTCAGGTCCTGCAAGAGAGTCTTTCCCTCATAGAGCGGACGGCAAAGATCATAATCGGTAGCAATTATGGAAAATTCCCGGTGGATGATGCGGCTTCTGAGGGAGACTGCGAGACTAAGGGGTAGGCATGCTCTGAGGGCGCGGGTCGATTTGCTGGACATTCAGAAGTCCAGGCATCTGGAGATCCTCGTAAGCGTGGTAGAGAGATGAACTGTTGAATGCGGAAGGAATGGGAACTCAAGTTGCGTGGTGGGTAGAGGAAGAAATGGAGATTGGGGATTTATTCTCTTGAGAAAGTTTCCCGAGGTTTACGCGGACTGTGGCAGTCCCCGGAGGGAAGGATCTGAAGATATCACCTATTATACCGTGAACCCCATACTGCGTTCTATGTGCTCTTATTGAGCCTCTCTGGAGTATCTACACGATGTCGACTACAAACACAAGCCTTGATGCTGCCGCTGTCGAGCGCAAAGCCCGCCTGGCCAGACTTGCCTCGCTCAAGCGCAAACAACCAGAATCTGAAGCCCCCAAAGACGCAGAACGGCAAGAAGACAGCACTACGTCTGTAGCAAACAAATACCTCTCGGGGCGGAATTACGATCTAGCGACGAAGAACGCGAAGCTCGGATTTGAGAATGTTCCTATCTCCAACGTCGAAACACTAGAAGAACAGGCAGAGCATATAGCCAGTTCTATTGCGGAACAAGCCACAAAAGAGGAGATAGAGGCAGAAAAGGGTATAGATCTTTTCAAGCTACAACCGAAAAAGCCTAATTGGGACTTGAAAAGAGATTTGGCAGAAAAGATGAAAATACTTGACGTTCGAACGCAGAATGCAATAGCCAGACTAGTGAGGGAGCGCATAGAAGATGCAAAGAAAGAAGCCACGAGTAGAGGGCAAGGTGTGCGTTCCGGCGAGAATAGCGAAGCAGGCGAAGAAGTTGGCATAGAAGGCAATACACTTGTTGAGGGCATCCATTTGCGAGAACAGGAGGAGGAGCGAGATGCCGCTCTCGGGGATGAAGAGGATATCTCGTGAGCTGAGCACACTCCAGGCCGGATCTTGATGCCCAGCTTTCGCAAAGTCCTGGTCTGGATCTCATCAAATGGACCTCTCGCCCAGAGTATTGAAAGTCGGCCAAAACACAGTTGATTTACCTCTCCGAGCCCCGTCACCAGGATCTACGAGACTGCGGTTGAGCTACTACATTGCCGAGTGTAGTGGAAAGACTCGGGCGTCCAACACGTCTAGGAAGCTGGCTCCGCAACACGCTGTGTCTCATACAAAGTTATATGACACCTACAAAGCCGAATGAATGGGCATCACCGAGGCGCTGAGACCTACCTAAGGCAATGGAAAACTTCGCTTCATAGCGATTGGACTTTCATGAGGCTGAGTAGGAAGGAGAGATGGCGCCCATGCAGAAGTGATGTGGCAAGGCGTGCGCCATACGATATGCGACATGCGCAGACCACCAACTGCGCCAACAAGGGGCGCGCTGCTCAGCCAGAGCTAGGTACTATCGGCTAACGGAGTAAGCATCAACACACATCACGTACACGTTATTGAAGAATGTGCAGTATCTTTAACTGTAGCCTGCAGAATCAAATGAGCAAGATCCAAGACTTCTGCAGCCTCCAGTATTTCCTTCGGCGCCTTGCAAAGTAAAGAGGTACACATGCCGCTTGAGTCATCAAAAAATTTGGAGTAATAGATAATCATTATACCAGTGTCAAACTTAGTCAATCACATATTCATCGCCTGCGTCAAAGCTAATCGCTTGCTGTATGGACTCAAACTGCGTTCTCGCCGGGAGTCTCTTCGAGGCTGCAAGGATGCTCTTGAGACCGTTTGATTCGGCGACCTCTGGTCACTCCGGCGCTGGTGTCTATGCCGATGGTGACTGCTTGTGCGATCGACGAAGTCATTGTCTGAGTCGCCCAAAGACCTTCTGTGCTTGGTGATTTGACTTTTGTCCATGCTTGGACTGTTACTCCGACTGCGGTGACTTCCGCGGCGCTTTGAGCTGGGCCTGCCACGATCAATTGGACTTATAGTCCGATGCCGCCGGGTTTTCCGATGAGAGCCTGGCATTCTTGGTGGCGACTTGGGTGACCGAGAATATGTGCTGGACACAGACCGGTGTCTTTTGCGAGATAATTTGATTGGTGGCGTCTTTGAGCGCATGCGGCTTGCTCTGTCACTGCTGGGAACTTGGTTCTCTCTATGTCGTGGAGGGGTGGCTGACCGAGATTTGCTGGTCGATATAGTCGAGACTGAGCTTGATGAATCCACAGATTCCGAGCGTGACCTTGCGTGAGAACTCTGAGATCGACTCCGACGCCCAGATTCGGCGGCAGCACTCGCCTTTCGCTGTGCCTCTGCTTCTGCAAGTTGCTGATCTGCCACTCCTTTACTAAGGAAGTATCAGTGAGAAATTCTGGATGACAGGGAGAGCCGCATGTCATACTTATTCAGCAAGCTATTGGCTGCGTCATCCGTGAGTTTTGGCATAAGTTTTGGATTGAGTAGTTGCTGTGTCCTGGAGGGTCTCGAAGCATATGGCCTCTCTTGGACACTCGCTTTACACTCATAACTGTAATGGCGTAATCAAACTGTTAGCAAACTTCCATTAGGAACAGGGTGGTGCTCATGACATATCTTTCTTCAGACACTTCTGGCAGACTGTCGAGGCTGTCGCCTTGGGCCGCCCTAGTCCCGGAACCGTGCGATAGCGATTCATCGAACATGAATATCGAAGGACGGGGAGGTGACAAGATCTCCCAATCGGGACAGGAGTGACTTTGTCAAGAAATTTGCAGTTCGGATTGGGATGGCGGACAGTATGCAAATTCCAAACGGGTACTGGGGAGAGAGAATTTGAGGAGGATCCTGACGCCTTAATACAGGCCTGTAATGTGTATTCTATTGTCCATAGAAGAGTGTCGCCACGTACTATCCAAGACGATACTCACAAATGGTACTAGAAAAGGCAGCCAGATTATGGTCAAGGTTATAAAGGCGAGGCAATGCGCGGCCGTGGTTGCCCTGTGGTTGGAAAGAGCAGTGAAGCAGGCCGATTACTGCGCCGTATTCCATGAAATCTATGGCGGCGCAAAACTCTACCTGAAGCATCTACCGCCGCAGGCTCTTGGCATTTTCGAACCTCATGGTTTTTGGATTCCACCGTTCACGCATCTCCCGTCGGTATCTTGCACCTCAACTCCAACGTATGTCATTCCGGTTCGCCTAGAGCACGGTGGACTAAGAGGACGTCGTACTTGGTTGCTAGACTGCATTTCCGTTGCGATATTCCCCTCTGCCGACACGCGGCGACGGTATAAAATCGGATTCTCTCGTGAGCAACTGCCTTCTTTCAGTGGGTTCAACCTCTTGTGTCCCTGCTCGACCGACTCACAGTAGTGTCAGGATTTCTTTGAGCCACAGTTGACTGGATTTTACGGCCACAGCCGCGGCCGCATCAACCCCCGGGAACGAGATCCTCTGTCTAGACACCTCAATCGCCGTTCACGGCAATTACACCACCTTCAAAGCCCGAAGAGCATCCCGTCGAATCCATGGAGCCTTTTAGGTTGTGGTCTGCAGGCTCGCTTGATGAGCAAGAGACTGTGTGAGAAAGTCAAAAGAAGAATTGAAGAGTCAGCCTTGACTCGTACAATTCACATTCCTTACCGCTCCTCAGCTTGGTAGCCTTACTTCACGCTGTTGGATACGACGCGACGAATCTCCTTGGGCAATATGGCGTCTCCTCAGATTGGCTCGGTTCCGGCGAAATTGTCGTTCGCAAAGGTATTGTTGGATATCATATTGCTATACTATTCAACCTTTAACATGTCTTAGGTTGCGGCAATGCGTGCGCCCGCTGGTCAGACAGCAAGCTCTAATCCTCCGGACGAGGGAAAGCCCCGTGCTTTTGATGGTAACAACCTGCATAATTCGAACACAAGCATTGGTGTACGCTCTCCTTCGGCGGTAAAAAGATCAGACGAATCATCGCTTAGTGCTCGAGAAGAACGCACTCAGTCAGAATATGTGACAAACGCGATTAAAGGACTTTCACTCGGCAAGAGTGCAACGATACCCCTGAGGGGTCCTCAAAGTGCGGAAAGTGGAGAATCTCTTGAGGATGATCAATCTCACCTCTCCAATTCCTCCACGAAACAGCAGAGTTTCGATAGCAAGAGTATGGCTTCTGTGACAACCTTTGCCATGGATGAAAAGGAGAGCATCCGTCCTGATGACAGTGCAAGTGTCCGAGCAGCAGAGGATGATGACACGAATGCAGTAAGCAGGGAATCAAGTTTCCACCGTGATCAAGAGCCTCAGACCTTAGGATCACAGACAGCCTATCGACCTGATGCGTCTGGCGTCACAATTGCAGCTCGTCGTTACCACACCTTGACCTTGACAAACCCACCAAGGTTTGGGGATTTGCCTGTTGGTCCCATTGTCCAAGAGAGTACCCAGCAGACACGGTCGGTCAATTCGGTTTCCCAACCTCCCGATTCGGATGATCAGGTGTCGGCACTTCCCGTTGCACCAGATGAGAAGCTACTTGATGCTCTAGCAAGCCCAAAGGATCGCCTACCTCTTCTACAGCTAGAAGCGAAATTTCTTGGCTTCATTGCAAATCCTGAGTAAGTTGAACGCTTTCGAAAAGGAATGCTCTCTGATCGTGATTAGGAGCGAGTTTCTCGACCTCCCTCCACAGAATTCTTTTGCCAGACTTCTTTCGCACAAACTTGCAGATTACTACTCTCTTGCTCATCATATCAATGAAGATGGCACCTCGATTCGCCTTTTCAGGACTCCTTGCGCATCCCTGTGAGTTGCCTCTATGGGCTCCTAATTGACCACCCGCTGATGTTTTTGAAAGGCCTACTCCTTTACATATCTTAGCTCAGTCTATTCCCGCCGGTCAGTCACAGGCTCCCGCAGCCACGGCTATGAAAATCATGCGTAGGGCTGGGTTAGGTCTACGTCAAGGTTCTGCCAGCGGTAGCACTCCTGCGAGCTCATCTGTTCCCTCGAAAGCAACTTCGGAAGCAGGCTTGGACCTAAATGTTGACGAAGGTATCATTTCTCCCATCGATGGGCCCCCCGGCAAAGACAAGTCCAAACTCACGAGGGAAGAGCGGGAGGCCCAGTACAAGGCAGCGAGAGAAAGAATCTTCGGTGATTTCCAAGAGTCTGTTACTAGCGAGAGTGCATCGACCGGAGAAAACTCAGCTAGTATGTCTCGGTCCAGCTCGTCCAGCGGGAAGAAGAAGTCGCGGAAGCACAAAACCCCGAAGGACGATGGTTTCGAGGCTCGCTCTGCATTTTTCCCCAGTTATACGCCTTTGCACATGCAACACCTCCAACCTCAATATCAGCCTCAATACGCGGAGCAGACTTATCAAGGCCCATATCAAGGCCCTCCCAATGGGCTTGGTGCAGGCTTGAATTACGGAAGCACTCCCACACAATCTTATCCTGGCTTCGAGCCAACCATGCCGTACAACGCCGGCATGGGATACATGCCCAATACCAACCAGCAATTTGTTCCAACCGATTCGTGGTCATCAATGCAACCGCCGTCCTCTGGGGAGTATTTCAACTATTCTGCGTCTTCGACCAGCTATCAGCAAAGTGTCTCACCAATGATGGGTCACATGAGTGGGCAATTCATGTCACCAGGTCAGGCGGGAATGCAGCAGCCCCAGAATTGGATTAATGGCCAGTTTCAATCTCCCTATCAGCAACCCCCAGGCCCGACCGGCCCAACCTTGAATAACTGGTCGGGTTTCCCATCTACTCCAGCTCTAGGGAACTCAACATCTTACGGGTACTGGCAACCCCCTGGTCAGAACTACGCTGCAAATGCTGCCTACAATGCCCAGCATCCTATCGCCGGCAGCTACTCAAGGTCGTTGTTCAACCCACAGACACGATCTTTCATACCAAACAATGCTCTCGGCCGCGTCGGCGGCCACAATAGCCGGAAGAAATTGTCACCTGCGCCGAGCCAGAATCGAGCTAACAGTTCCTCGAAGCCCATTACTACCACCGAGTTTCCGGGGCCAGCTGCGTCGTCTCCGCCACAGCGTTTTGACAAAGGGCCGAGTACCTCATCAGCGCCTAACCCCCAAACAGACTCCTTACAACAAAAGTATGGCGCCCCGGCACATCTTCCTAAGAAACCTCCACCGTCACAAGTCCCATCTCCGTATGATGTTGACAACATCACCAACACGGCACTAAGTACGGGGCCCGGGTCTGTAAATGGAGGTTCAGGCGCCGGAGAGGGCGGATCGAATGGTAGCTCTCATACATAAGCTGCCTAAGTGGATACCATCTCCCTGTCAGAATGTCGCCTGATGCCCTTGGGAGCAGGAAGAGTCAGGGCGATCGGGAGCAAAAAGGGACCACGAATTGAATTGGTACCATCGAGTGATCTAATCATGATATTTTGTTGCGAATGAGCATGAGCACAAAGAGGGCAAACGGGCTTGGAAACAGCATCAAAGGAATGGAATGGACTTTGCATGGGGCGGAGAGGGAGAAGAATAAAAATCAAAAAGGAGTACTGCTACTATCAAAGGCATTTTGGCATTCTTAACGAAGAGACTTAGCTATGACAATTCAAGCTACCTCGCGCAGGACTTTTATCAGGCATCCCACGAACACAGAGTAATCTGACGCATTGCTCGAAGAAAATGATGCAGAATGGTTCCTCGCTGGCACTGGTTACCTGGTCCCGTTTTCCTCTCTTTCCGCCCCTCGAGCAATAACACAGTCGGCTATCACCGGCTAAGGGCACATGAGTCGCTAAGAGACGCCACCAGAAGTATGACGGTGAAGAGTGTCGAGGCGTTGCCCAAAAAGTGCGCGAATTGTTTCAAATGTCAGGTTTAGGTACATTGCGTGACTAGATCGATTGTAAGCTTTGGTTGAAAAAGACCTTGACGCCCAAATCCAACCTCGCTTCCTGTGGGGTAAACAACTGGAAGCATCCATCTGTCTAACATGTCTGCGTTGCTGTCTATTATTTGAAATTCTTCGTGTCTCGAGACTCCTGAGTCGGACGGAGTTGTCGCGGCACTTGTTCTAGTGGCAGACTGGTCCCTGGGCACTACCTTAAAAGGTTGGATGTGTTTCATCTAAATGCGGAAATTTGTCGTTCAGCTGCCAGTATTAGCAGATTGGAGTTGGTGCATTTCGAGACTTTCCACTGCAGGATGTCCCGTGTCTTGTCGGTCGATATAATCACTGCCATCGGGGTGGCGACGGCGGATGTCACCATCAACATCATCATATTCTTGATCGTGCATCAATCCGACAGTTTCCTCTGCCATCTCCTTGGAGTTCCCATGCCTACGGGTACCAACCACAAGAAAGCTGCCAGCAGCCTCCCTGGTGTGGCCATCGACTTCCGGGGGCTCGTCTTCTGTAGCCGAGTCACGGGCACTGGCGACCCACACTGCGCCTGCGAGGATCAATATGCTGCCAACCCAGCTGATTGTGCTGGGAGTGATGCCGAAGACTAGTTTGTCCGCCGCAAGTGCAAAAAGCATCTGCGTATAGACCATCGACGTTGCGCGAGTCCCACTGTGCCTCGATTTAGGCGTCCCCAGAGAAGACGACTCTTGCCTTCTTGTCCCAATCACAAGTCCATCTTGCCCAGAGGCTTGATGGTGATGACCGCCGAAAGCTGAAGTGTCGTTACTTTCGAGATCTCTTATTTTTTGCGTTGACTGGCCGTCTCTTCGGTTTTCAAGAATGTGTGTCCGCGCCGGGCCACCGTAGGACAAACCGGCAGTCAGGAGGAATTGCGTGGCAAAGCCGCAAAGACTGAGGTTGGCAAGCAAGCTCCACTCTGTAATGTTTGCTGGAAGTCGGAGTTTGACGTCAGGGATGAGGATTAGAGCCACCAGTGACACGATGGTGCACCACACGCTGAAGTAATTGATGCTAATGAAAGCGTGAGCGCGCTGGCCAATTGCTCGAATCGATGTCAAGGCCCCAGTGGTACCTAGGACACCAAGCATAGCAACGCCGATGGCCGTGAGATGTTGCTCCTCTGTGGGCTGGTGAGGGTCGGGCGTTGTAGTGGAGTTAGAGGACTGGCTGATGGAAGGGTTGGGAGGAGGCGACGAGGTGCTCGATGAAGAGGGCAAGAGGGACGCCGGCTGAGCGATGAATATGACGCCCGCGAGACTGATGAGGCCGGCGAGCTGCTGCTGTCGGGTGAAGGTCTCACCGGACATGACGAAGCTGCAGAGGTAACAGGTGAGAATTGGGGAGAGAAATGTCAAGACGGTGGCTTCGCTCAGCGGCAAGTATAGAAGGCTGAAGTACATGCCAAATACACCAAAGAACCCACATATGCCTCTTGCTGCAAGCAACCAGCGGACTTCGCGAGCACCAAAGGGGAAGTCAGGTAAAGATTTGGAGTAAATGCCATAGCTTGTACACAGAGATGCGGTGATAGACTGCCGGACAAACAGGATCTGGAACGGGTGCATGGGTTGGCCGTGGTGGCCCGTCGTTTCAAGCAGCCGAGTGCTGACATTCATACCGGCGCCAAACAACTGAGCAAGCATGACCAACATGGCACCGTAGTTTGTGACGTAGAACGATTGCAAAGAAGTGACGATACGTGACCGCACCGAGCCTGTGGGAGCGCCATCTATGTCCGAGACGCCGTGGCTGAGAGGATGCCGGGATTGCAGCTCAGTCGTGTGAAATGAGAGTTCTGACAGTTCTGAATAGGCGCTGTCGAGGGAAGGGCGAGAGGGTCGAGAGGGCCGAAACGAAGGGACGTCGAGGTAGGTATGGGGTTGCCTCGTTACCGCAGCCTTGGATGATGACGGGGAGGATGCGAAGGTAGGGTCAGGGTCGTTCGAAAAGGACATCTCAGGCTCGTGACGGTCATGGACGTTGTTGGCGGGTATGGTCTAAGCGCCATTGCAGAGGCCCAAGGCCCAGACTTGAATGGACGAGAAGGTAGGAGGAGATAGACTGGCACAGAAGAGACAGAAAGGAGGAAAGGGACAGAGAAATAGCAGAAGTAGAATGCAGCAGCATCCAGAGGGCCCCAAAGAGTGGCGTCCCGCACGGTAGTCGGGTCAAGAGAGGATGGTGATAGATGGGATGAAGATGATGGAATTGAGTGGTGAGGAGGACCAAGGGACTTTTTCGAGTCTTGCCTGCAACTCCATAACGAGTAGTAAGTCCCCACGACCGGACCGACGCCCTGTGAGCTGTGAGCTGTGTGCACTGTGAGCTGATGATCGACCTCTTCTCCATACTCGTACTCCGTATCTCCCCCACAATTGGATCCTTCTTCAAGTTCGATGCCGCCATCCTCGGCTGTCAAGCGCAGTGCGTCAAATGGCACGCCCGAGGTATGGAAGCGCAGACAAGGCTTACGAGGCTTCCAACCCATCACCGAGAGCGAGTATGGACAGATGAGCTCGTCCAACGGGACTATGTACAGTACGCAGTACCTAGGTACAACACATGGCATCCTTGCCCGGCACGCATGGACATGCTACATGCCCTTGAGGCTTTGGGCTTTCTGTGCACCTCGGACAAAAGAGCCTCTAGAAGAAACATGGAAACTGCGACTTTCCACCCGGTCACGCACGTACATCTCTCATCGAACCGCATATCTTGACTAGACTACCAAAGGTCTACGAGGCTGCCTCTGCCTCACCTCTTCGGAGAGCCAACAGTGCTCGCACGTCCGTCACGTATTGCAGTGCCTCTAACATGGGTATCAAATGAAGCAGGTCGTTGTCTGTCGGGTCGTTGATCCATCCCTCAATCGGGATCGCATTGTCTGCAAGAGTACCGGCCGAATTAGCTTCTGGCATGCCAAATAGACGGCGGGCGGTGGCTTACCTTCATGGAAAATATAGCTTACTGGGCTGTTGTCCAGAATAATTACCTTGCTTAGGTCGGGCTCAATGCTGCTGAGGTCTTTGATGTACGCTCCGTTTCGAAACGTGCAGTGCTGCCGGTAATATCGGCCCACAAAGTACTTGCGCTCCTGTTCCAGCCAGTCTATCACGGGGTCTGCATACTCTTGAACCGATGCCGTGAATACCACCAATTTATACCACTTCGACACCTTGCGCAAGAAGTCGTCGCAGTGCGGCCGTTTATGGACGTAGTAAAGGATGGGATGTTGGGGTCCGAACATTGGAGCGGTCTGCCCGGATTGTGCCGGCGACAGAGCGACAGGACTGTTCAATTTGACTTCAACCATGTGCCCAGATGACATCCGGCCTCCCTTGGCCAGGGAGTGTATCAAAGTCTCGTCGAGGTCTAAGATTAGCGTCTTTTGCTGCAGCGATGGGCCGCCGCGGCTGGGCGACCGGGCAGAAATGTTGGCGTAGGAAGGTTGGCGCCGGGGGATGAGCGGTCGTGGAGGCTGAGGTGCATGCGGATATCTTGTGATTCTCAAGGACGCTGAGGGAGACGTCGGAGATTTGATGTCGTCCACCGTCATTGGCGCGGCGTCGCCGAGCGGACTGGCCATTTTCTTCTGCTTGCGCCTTTTGAGTGCAAGGTCATTTTGTTCTTTGATCCGGATGGACGATCTCCGTGTCTCAGACTCGTCGCGAATTCCCTTTCCAGGTTTTGACTTGGGTCTTGATTGGGGTTGCTCCGTCTCGTGCTGCTCGGATTCCGAATCAGTCGTCGAATTGTTCATCGAGGAGTCGCTGGAATAGGAATGCCGCAACTTGGCTTCTTGAAGAACACGGTTTGTCGGCTTCTCAGAGCTCCAGCTGGTCTCATGGGAAGCTTTGGTGTTACTCGTAGAATTTGCCAGACTCCCATGCGCAGATCGTTCTTGCTTGGCCAATCTCGGGACGATGGAAGACTTCTCATCCTGGCTTCTGAAAAACCTCGCGACGTAAACAACCGGAGCCCCGATAGCTGCCAGTATTGCGGTGATGGCGTCAGCTAGCCTCTTCACCAATCTTTGCCATCCCACCCCGTCTGAATTGATGTCTTTCTTTTCGCCCGCTCCCAACAGTAGCTGTTTCTCATCTTCGTCCTCGTCTTTTATACGTTGGTCTCCATCATCTGAAGCAGCGCCCGACGTGAGTTGATCCGGGAAAGGACCGCCTAGGTCTTTCTCGTCCTGCGGCGCAAGTTCGTCGCTGTAGGATCGCCCACCAAGGACTTCCTTGTCATATTCCTTCTTCAACAACTCACCCTGAGATCGCGATCGCGGACGCGTGGGATGTTGAGTCTGTCCGATAACTCGGGATGAGATCAGGTTAAGGGAATTCATTTTTCGGTGTGGCGATCGCGCAATTGAGCGGGACCAGAGCGTAACAGCTGCACCTTCCCAGCAAGTTTAGCTCCCCGGTGCGCAGCAACAGGATTGCAGAGTCAGTTCTCTGACAAGGGCATCGCGGTGCTGGTGAAAGTGGGGTGTTGAGTAGGGCAAGGTAGGACTCAAGGGGAAGTCAAGTAGCTGGTACTAGGCGATTACATAGTCAAAGCCGTGACAAGTGTTCCCATCAGCGCTTGAGTGCCATCCAGTGTTTGGCAATAACAGTAATGCGGCTCTCGGAGAATGGCAAAGGCACAGAAATGATGCCGGTCGGAGGGGGCTTAGGAGGCTCTTGCCGGCGAAGGTGGCTGGCGCAGGTTGGTTCGGCAAGTCAGAAATCCCGGTGAACGGCGAGTCATTAATTCGGACTGCACACTCAACACTCAGGTCGGCATGCAACTTTTTCTTGATACTGCAGACAACACCGCAACATTTGACACGCCGCTGCATCCGAATTGGCCTAGGATTGCTTCAGGGTCAGCCTTGATGTGGACAGCCCCGGACAGCTCGCCCTTTCAGCAGTATGCGCAGCGCTGAACGCAGAGAATCTACCAAATACTACTAAGAGCCGACCGTTTTGTGCCGGACTATTCTTCACCTGCCAGTGGCCGATATCAGTCCCCCGTCGCGGGTTGCCAGTATGGCGCCGACGATGCCGTCTTTGACACCCGGGTTTACTACCTTCCAAAGAGTCCTGTCGACGGAATCTCTTGACTCTTCCACCACGTTCTTGGTCTCGTATGGACAGATTCTCTTCGGTGGTCGGATTACGAATTGACTAACCCTCGCTCCAGGCTGCTCAAACGGCGCCAGATCAAAGGCTCAAAACGATGCGCAGTGGCGACCACACTCCTTCTCCTCCGCACCGTTGAACTTACCAAACAAGCAGATTCTGACAGGCTGATTCAAAGAGTCTCGGAAGTCGGCAAGAAACTCATAGAAGCCGCTCCCCATGAACCTGCCGTGGGTAACATAGTTCGCAGAGTTCTTGGTATAATCAGGGACGAGGACGAGGACGATCTGGTTGGTACAAGAACAGGGGAGGATGGTAGTCCCACGAGCGAAACTGGCTCGGACTCTATTGCAGCGCTTGAGCTGGCACAATCAAGAGCCGGCTCACATTCAATACCTAGCAGCCTCTCGACGAGAACAGCAGCGAAAGCCAGTCCTTCGCCGCAACGAGGAACAACCCGTCCCCCTTTGATGAGCTCCCATACCGGAGTACCGGGCGGCGCCCGCCCGGTGACATCTATGTTCAGTATTATCTCACATCCAACAATGAGAGCGCCCGGCGTTGATTCACCCACGCATCGAAGTGGTACTGCTACTCCGCAGATGACTGCATCAGGAATCCTCTCCAATCTGCGCCCAGAAGTAATCAAGGGTATCAAGGAGATCATTGACGAGATCAACGCGGCGGACGACGAGATTTCGGCGGCGGCGCTGGAACAGATCCATCCGCAGGAGACGATAGTCACATACTCCTCCTCCCTGACTGTCCAGCGTTTCCTGCTCAAGGCCGCGTCAAAGCGAAAATTCACCGTCATTCATGCAGAAGCATACCCTAACAACCATCTGAAAACGCACGCCCTCCTGACCGGTACTCACGATACCGCCGAGGATGAAGACAACCTGCCGAACGACTCATTCTCTAAACCTTTGACCTCGGCTGGTATTAGCGTTGTCATGATTCCGGACTCTGCCGTCTTCGCCGTTATGTCGCGCGCCACAAAGGTGGTCTTAGATGCACACGCCGTGCTGACCGATGGTTCACTGGTGGCCGTATCAGGGAGCAAGGCCGTGATCAAAGCTGCACGGTTCCATCGTGTTCCGGTGCTGGTAGTGGCCCCAACGTACAAGTTGTCGCCTGCATATCCCTACGAACCACACGAGCTGATCGAGTACGGCGACGCTGGGAAAGTGCTTCCCTTTCAGGACAGAGAGTTATGTACGGGAGTAGAGACTGGCGTCAGGAATCCGCTTTATGACTTTATCGAAGCTGGGCATGTTGATTTGTTCGTCACCAACCAGGTCCCTGCTGTTGTGAGCGCAGGCTATCTCTACAGAGTTGTGCGCGAGCAGTATCACGACGAGGATTTACAAATTTGAGGTGTGAGGTGTGAGGTGATGCACGAGTTATGTAGTGCATTGGGGGTGAACTCCGCCAGCGTGAGGGTTCCCCAATACGGTTCTGGTTGGAGGTGGATATTGAGACAGTGAAGTTTTCAACACCCAAAGCTTTGACCGGTCTCAAGACTTTGAAATGAGGATAGATGCTGGCGGGACACGAGAAACACCCGCCAGAGTGCCCTTCTCTCTGCGTTTTTGTTATATCTACATTGCAAGATGCAATCGTCGAGTATAGAAGTTGGCGCTGTCTGAGGAACTTCAAGGCCGTCGGGCCAGATCCTCACTGCAGTAACCGTCACAGTGCCTCTCCAGGTGCCTCTCCAGATGTGCGTGTAGGGACAATGTATGTACCCCTGCGGAACGCTTGCGATGCGATGGAATCCGAACGCTCGAAGGTAGACAGGTTTGCTAGAATCCGATCTGGTCGAGCGGTAGTAATACATGCATTTTGATGGTTCGTAAACATGGAAAATCAATACTCCTTGTCCTCCCCAACCCTCTGCCTTCTGAGCCGGCCTGGCCCGTTCTTCTCCTTCCCCTTCGCCGTGGATCTGCGATCCTTCTCGCCCCTGACCCATTCGAATAGCGTGCCATCTTCCTCGAACTGCTTGTCCTCCAACTCAGCCTGCGCCTCTAGGTCGGCCTCGAGCCTCTGGATTTCTTGCTCCAGAGCTTCCTCGCCGCCCTCGCGGAAGCGCGTGACCTTGCGGACATTGACGGCCGTAAGTTCATGCATGGGCAGGCCCTCCTTGCGTTGCCGCACCAGCGCCTTCGCCGTCATACTGAAGCGCATGTCTCGCGGCCCGTCGACCAGCGACAAAATAGCCGACTCCCCCTGATCGTCCCGAATCGGCTCTTGTCGTAGCACTCGCGTGTACCCGCCCGGACGGTGTTCGTAGCGTTGCCGTAGTACGTTGAATAGTTTGTCCATATGTCGTTCGGGCTCCTGTGTTGAGTCAAAGTGGTTCGGTCAGTCTATCGCTGTCTCTCTAACAAAAAAAGGTCTTGCACCTGCTCGGATGGGCACCACATACGAAAAAGATGGTCTTTGCACGCTGTCTGGCAGCGCTCGTGTTTTTCTTGCCCAGCGTGATCAGTTTCTCGGCGAGCCGTTGAGCTTCTTTTGCTTTTGCGTAGGTCGTTGATATCGATTCATTCGCGATCAGGGACGTCACTAGGTTGCGGAGGAGCGCTTGTCGGTGCGCCGAGTCGCGGCTGAGATGGCGATACTTTATAGACGACATGATAGATTGCTATGTAGCTGAGAGGAGTTGTGTTTGAGCTGGACGCCGTGGACCCAAGGTTCGGAGATTCTCGACGGTGAATTTGCTTGTTCTTCTTCCGAGCCAGGAGGAGAAATAGGGAAAGGCGCCTCCTATGTGTGAACGGCAGGGCAAGATGATGACAGATTACCGCCAGTGGTTTCGTTGCCAACTGCAGATTCTCGGAGGTTTTACTCGTAAAAATCACTCTGCTTTGACGCAGCTTCACAAGTCGTACATGCATGTACATGAACCTACCTAGTCCCCGGTCGGCCTGGGCGCCAAGAACGTCCACCTCAGCCTTGCGCAGCCTTACTTAGACTGTATACGGAGTACTATCGATATAATTTCTCTGTTACGTTAGAAAATGGGTGCGTGACAGTCCTGGTAGAAGAGAGGAAATTAAGCTAGCATGAAACATAGGATTAATACATTTTCTATTGTTACAACATTACAACAGACGGACAGAACTCAACGCCATTTAAGCGTCGCTAGCCCTTGCTTTGTTCTTCGATCAACTTCGACAACGCAGGCCTTTCTTGTGCTCAAGCGTTTATAAAACCTCACATTTCTACTAAAGCCTATTTTGCTCCTTGTGCCTAGGCCAGTTCTGCAACCATAGCTCCGAGAAGGATTACGGCTAGCATTCCCGGTAGAAGAACTCTGCTTCCGCCACCCTGAAACGTCTCGACAGCAGCGGTACCAGAACTGGTGTGACTTGCCGTCTACAAAAGTGAAACACTCGTTAGTGTTAACTCGTAACCGGTACAGCAATAAGCACGTACCGCACTCCCTGTCTCTTCCACAGTAGAAGTTGCCACCGCGGTTGTAGTCGCCGCCTCAATTGGAGAAGCAACTATGCTAGCCTCCGCGCTCACGGAAGATGATTCAGCCCCCAGAGTCGAAGTGGGAATGGCACTGCCACTCGTCTCCGAGGTTGAGCTGGCCGCATGAGGCGTGGTTTCAAGTCCGCATGCCTCCGCGGCAGATGACACACTGTCACCATAGTATTGCCAGATGTCATACTCGAGCGCGCAATCCAGGCAGGCATCAAGTGCTGTGGTAAAGTTCGCTGTATCGCAGTAACCATCTGTTCGGGCGTCCACGATCACACCGCCTTGCCTTGTGTTAGCAAAACCCGTCGAGATAATGATACAACGAATCAGTGCTTACCGCAATTGGCATGACAGTTGTATTCGGGAGTACCGGGTGCCTGACGACGGTGAATAGGAACGATATCAGGGTAAAGGAATGAAGCACTGGCAGAGGAGACGCCCAAGGCCCCAAGGGCAAGAATTGAGGCTCGCATTTCAGCAAGGTAAAGCGCAGCAGGGGAGCTGGCAGGTGGTGATAACAGAAGCAAGTATTCCAGCAGCCGATGTTGAACAGCAGACTTGTTGCCACGCGGAGGCAGACCGACGGGTATTCATATACCTGGTGCCGATAGGAACAACCGTCCTCACTTCGGCACCCAAGTAGCGACCGCAAGCGGAGGCTTGAAGATGGCCGGTTACTGTCCAGGCTCGGGCATCACTATTGAAGCAAGGTCCACCATGATGGCTTGGTGCCCAGTCTCGCTCGACTCCGCAAGAAGGAAGCCTCGGAGTGAAAACCCAGTCCAAGCATCTTTCCTGCACATTTCTACAGGTTCTGGCGAGAACAGCGCCCATCCCCATGGCTGGGTAGACAATGAATGGGGAGGATGCAGTCGTGGATTAACGAATTAGGAGCAACCCGCGGCCTGGTCAAGAAACTGACTGATCTTGGCGCGAGGCATTTATCTTATCAGATAATTTAGCATTGGCGTCTGACAGTAAGACTTAAACCGAACTTCCCCACCTCGCAGGTGCCCTCCCAGATGCTGTATGGCATTTAGCCTCGTCTGACTAAAAGTGTTTCCGTGCCGAAACCGGCCAACATCTAATCAGATTAGATGGTCAAACTAGTCACCCTCCTCAATTGGAAAGCCATGTTGATGCTGGCCTGTACTATTTGCTTCGCCAATACTTCGGTTGTACTTGGCACCCATGGCAGTGTTTCTTTTGCCTTGGAACCTCTTATGTAGCATGAGTTGCTTCACTCAATCCAGTGAAAGCCTCCATATCCACACACACCAGTTGGGTCGGTTGCATGTTCATGCCTTTCCAAGATTTTGGACTGAACCGGTGGATGCTCTCGAAAAGGAGGGGTTCTTGTCCTCAGGCGCATCGACGGCCACCTTGTCTTCAGGTCCACATGGGCGGCAATCCGGATGGCCTCCTCCTATATCTACCGAACTGCGCCGTAGAAAGGGATAGGTGAGACAGCCCAAGCTTCCCCTCCATCAAGGATACATAAGCGGTTGATCGCAGTCAAGTATTCTGCAACCTTTTTATCTTTGTCTCAACACTTACTTGCAAAGCTGAGTCACAGACAAGATGGCCCTTTTCCTATCCCTTCTCCTCCTTGTTCGCCTGTACGGTGCCACTGCCCTCGCCGAACATGGAGAGGAGTACTCAAAGTCCATGGGCCCAATAGCTTTCATGTGGCCTCCCGATAGAGTGTGGGATACAGATCACGACAACAGTGCCCCCTGCGGCACGCCATCAGGAGTGGCGAACAGGACTGATTTTCCGTTGCGTATGTGTTGACACTTGGACATTCTGAAGAGGGTACTGACAACTCCAGTCAATGGTCAAGTTGCATTGGTAGCGCAGGATGAGTCTTGGTCGATTCAGGTTGCCGTCTCTTATAAAGACAGTACGACTATCCGCGCCATTGTGCTTTTTTGTCTGGCGAACACTGACAGAAGTTCAGATCCGAGCTCGAATGATGATTTCGAGCCAGTGATTGCGGCGACACGGATCCCATCCTTGGCAGAAGGACATCAATGCTACCCGCTTCCAAATCCGCCAGCGGATGTCGAAGCTGGTTCGAATGCTACAGTGCAAATTAAGTACCTCTCGGAATTCGACACTGAAAAAAACCAAACATTTTACGCTTGTGCGGATATCACCTATGTCCCGACGAGCGCATTCACTTACCAAGTTCCCTGCTTCAACGCCACTGTTGATGACTACTCCATGTCCGACAGCGATAGCGGTGATGATACTGCCAATGCAACCTCTTCGGCAGCTTCATCCGGGGCGTCTGCGACATTGGGTGCCACCACCGAGACTTCAAAATCATCTTCATCAGGTCTCTCTGGAGGTGCCATTGCAGGCATAGTGGTTGGCGTTGTGGCCGGTGTCGCCATTAGCATCGCTGCTGGTTTGCTCTTGTGGCGCCATAGTCAATTGAAGAAGCGAGCTCGTCAGCAGGCGGCATCGGTCCGAGCAGTCGACTGGGAGAAATCCATGCAAGGATTGCCAACCACCGCATAGAATCGGCGCAGCCGTTATGAAGTATTATCAGGCACAAGGCTGCTAGGGTTGGAGGCCCCGGGACACCGACGGGATACAGCACAGCAGCAACAGGATCGGAGAGAGACCAGTGAGCAGCAAAGTATCTTCCCGTAGCTGGTATATAGGACGTTAGGCTCAGAATGATGTACGACTTCTCCTAGACGTGTTAAAGAAAGAGAAATTTCTCCGCTGACGAGGAGTTTATTATCAACTTAGTGAGACTGCTTGATGGGTAATTCTAAATATGTAATTACGCCCTAAGGGATTAGCATGTTGACGCAGTAGGAAACTGAGCCGAGGGTCTTGACGAGCTGCCAGTGGAACAACTTTCGATGGAGCTCCAACAGTGATAGTCGGTCAGAGCGATATTTCAACTTTCTAATAATCGTACGTTAGAGACTCCATGGGCTTCTCATGCCTTCAGCTACCTTGAAAGGGAACACATTGCACTTTGCTTCACATTTCCCATCGTCAACACCGCAGCGAGTCCAGCGATAACACATTGCTGTTTACCGCAAGTGGGAAGTCCCAGCGGCTTCTAGTCAACCGGAGCTCGGTAGAGACCCCGTATAAGATGGGATTCACTACGGGATTCGTAAGTACTGGTAGACCTGGCCACACCATAAATCGGTCTGACATGGATAGCTCGGAGGTGTGACCTTGACATACTCGCTGTTGTATTTCTCACTATACGTGCACCGGGCGAACCGCAGTGTGCAACGATCGCTCCTCTCTCAACAGGCGACGCTACTCAATTCCGTGGTCGAGCCTCTACCTCCGCTACCAGACCCACCTGCCTATGAAGTGCGTCGAGCAGGGCTCGTCGAGGAGCTCAAGGATCGTTGGAACAGCGAGATTGAACGGCTAGTCCGCAATTTCCAGGAGACGGATTGGACAGAGAAACGCGCGCGCCTCGAGGAGCAAGCAGCTGTTGTATGGACGAATGTGAAGTCGTCGGAGTCAGCTCATGAGCTGGAGTCGAAGGCTAAACAGCTGGAGCAGAAGGTAAAGGACACGATCACTGATGGGACTGGGAATGTGAAGGATGCTGTGGCTCGAAAGGCAGAGAAGGTGGTGGCTGGCGCTGAGGACAAGGTGAAGGATCAAGTTGAGAGGGAACCACGGTTGCTGGAGTTGAAATGATTCCCTGCCATAAATCCTACTCCACCCTCGTCGACCTCAACAGGGGACTATTCGGTCAGCCGCTCCCACATATCTCTCCCTCCCCCGAGCCATGGCCAAGTGTGATCGTTCTATTCTACAAACGGCTCAAACCCGGGCACCACGGATACATCAAGCCTGGCGGAGCAATGGCCCGATCATTCCTTTAGGTCGGAACCAGCTTGAAGAGACAACATCAGTGGAAACACGATAATCGGTCACGAAAGGAACTTTCCCCATAAGCATGACCTACGAAGCTCGCGCCGAGGAGGTTGGCCGTCTCTTCGACGTGCCACTGGTACCCTGGATGCTTTCTACCACAAACAAAGTCAGTCGGGCAGAGTTCTCAGTTACACCTTGGGTATGGGCCATGACAGTGTATACAGAGAAGACAGACGAACTAAAGGTTGGGAGGACGACTGAAGAAAGAGAACGCATGTGGCTGGAGTGGTTCATTTGGCGCTTTTGGCGCTTTTACGTCGTTGATCAACACATTTCTGCTCGTCTCTTCTAGAAAGGCGGCTTGTCTGTCCCAAAATGCCCAAGTAGGCAAGCTTCGATTGAGTTTGCATTGCTTTTGGCTTGAGGAAAGACTTGAGGTTGAGACAAGAATTGCAATCAATTTCATTTCGTGTCATACCCTTAGGTTCCAGAGCGAATTGTAACATATCAGAAGAATGCTATGAAATCCCACTCCTGAAACACCTTGCATGCTATTTCGTGTCCTGTCTTTTCCCAAGCAAGCTCAATTTCTTGCAAACTCATATCCCTTCACTAGTCGTTCTTGCAATCGTCCCCTATTCATGACTGTCGTTCTTCAATCGTCTCATTGCTGTGCCCATGGTCGGTGTCAGCTTCCAGCCACCCTGCAATAGTGTGCTAGGTCAGGTCACGAACCCGAACCCGACAAAACCATCCCGCTAGTCTCATTAGCTCTTTGAAGGCTCTTCTCTAGCTCTTTAACCCGCGCCTTGAGCAATTCGTTCTCTCGCTTCATAGCCTCCAATTCTGCTCGCTGGAGCGCCGCCTCTTCATATCTCGCAGTGGAAACCGCGGCGTTGGAACTGGGGCTACGAGGAAGTGCGTACTGAGGGACGGGCTCGGCCACAGAATTTGGTTGATTCGGGGCATTTGAGGACACAGAGGTACGGTGGGGATATCCATAGCCAGTCTGATTCATGTGCGGCGAGGAGGTCATGGAGCTGGCGCGGAATCCCGACGCGGATGTGGAATTCTGTCGACTCATATCGGGACGGCTCGTCTCCATGCTAGGTCGAGCGCTTGCCTGGACACTTTGGTCTCTGGGTGCTGCAACGCCGGACACGCTGGTGCTAGCGGCATTGGCGAGGCTGTCTCGGATAGATCTCGTGGAGCGAGTTGACAAGTTTGATGAGGATCGGTGGCGACGAGCTGCGGTTGGAATGATTGTCGTGGCTGTGCCGGTCGTCGACGTATAGGGGTCGCTGGCGGAAAAGAAATGGTCGGATGTGGAAGAGGTTGTGGAGGCTACGGACGCTGTCTGAGCGCGCAAAGCGGATAGTTCACGAGTAAGGCGATTGACCTCCAGAGTTGTTAGCTCGCATACTTGTTCTTCTGCTCTAAAGGATCTCACAATGCTCTCTTGTTCCTTTTCCAGTTCCAGGTGCAGTTCAGCAGCGGTGAGAGGTCGAGGATGTCGAATAGGTCCTGCGTGAAGTTAGTGAGCAGATTCCTGACCCGTATATGATCCTGCACTGACCTGGTCCAATACCCACGCCTGCATTGTCCGTCATTGAAGCCTGTGCCGGTCTGGGTGAGCTAGGGAGACTGTTGTTTTGCGGAAGAGGGGGAGGCAGCATTTGGGTTGAGGTTCTCCTTGAGGCTGGCTGCGCTGAGTTGGGATATGCGGCAGAGATTGTACTAGAGGTCTGTGAATTGGATGCACCGCGAGGGGTTCTAGCGGTCGTGGTAGAGTCCAGGGCCATCGTTAGCCACTGTAGCAGGCCCGGGATCTACAGAGCAGGTTACCAACAGAGGAACGAGAGACTGTCGGTGGGTGTCGAGGATCTAGACGTGAAGTTGCTCCATGTGGAGTTGGGAGTAAGAGTAAGTCCGAGTCGCAACAATCATCCACAGTTCAGAGCTTGTGACCGCGCTCTTCGGCCGGCCTTCAAGCAGGACTAAATGAGCTGACTGCAAGAAATTTGTTGTAGGGTGTGGAAACCGGAGATGCGTAGTCTGGGAGCCTGCGCAGATCAAGACGCTCCTCTGGAAATGAAGTGTCGCGTCGCTGTCGACCAATCACTACTCACTACTGGTGCATAAGTTCCTCTTGCTACTATAAGACACGAAAGACAAAAGACACGAGGATGGAGAAGAACCTGAGATCTGTTAAAAATCTATGGGTTGATGATGCAGTTGACTTTCTTCTTGCCACTCCCACCAGGTGCATGAATCACGATCTCGAGGGCCTTCCTGCAACGGAATTCACAAAACCCCCAGACTTCCATGTACAATGCCCCAACCTTCTATGGCACAAAAAGCCAGATCCCTAAATCCTCGGGGACTTGGATGCAAGCCTGTTCCTGTAATACGGACCGTTGTCCTAGCCGAGCAACATAACGGCGGACTCGACGGTTCTTTTAATACAGGCGTCTTCAGTGCTTACCTTTTCACTTTGATACTTCCGACAATGCTGACGAGGTCCCAACGACAGGCTTGCTTTTGCCCTCGTCCGAGGGCACTTCTCCATTTCCCCCCGTATCAGAGTCTGAAGACCATTCAGAGCTCATGTCCTTGGGTGCTGCGGACTCCCTGGCTTTGGCCAAAGCTGTCTGGTCGTGAATGTCACCAAGAGAGCCATGAAAGTGCTCACCATCGACGTGTTCCACATGTGTGCTGTCCTCTCCTTTCTCGTCCTCACCAATCATTGCGGCCAAGCTTCGGAAATTGAACATTGGCTCAAGGCTTCCGGGAGGAGGAGTCCCAGAACCAGAAAAGGTGCCTGCCTGACCAGAATCGACAAATGAAGAAGACGCGGACGAAGCGGTGGACATTTGCCGCAGATGTGACCGTCGGAATGGCTCAGCTGCAAGAGGAACCGGAATCGAAGATGCCACGGATTCTTGGCTGGTGTCAGAAAGAGACAGAGCAGGGATAGAAGATGGTCGGGGGGTCTCCTCTTCAGCAACACTCAGTCCTTGCAACAGGGGAGTTTCGCTCCGATCGACTGCCTTCCCTTTGCCCGCAGCAGATTCGTCGTCCAGGCCCAGTGAGAGATTACTGCGAGACCTTTCCATGATGCTGCTAGATCCGTCGCCGTTGCTGGTGGTGGAGTTCAGAGTGAAGAGACTGTTTTTGCGAGCAGACTTTTCCGCCTTCTTACCCTCCTTTTCCTTTTTCTTTGCTTCTTTGCGAGCCTCCTTCTCCTCCTTTCTGCGGCGTTCCTCCTCGGATGCTAGGCTCAACCTAATGGCTTCCATCATCATCATATCTTCTAGGTCATCCATCCGACTCCGGCGAGAACTGCTACCTCGAGGTGGTGGCAGGAATGGATTCCGCGACTCCGCAGTTGTCTGTTCCTGTTGAGGCGTAGTATGCCTCTCCGCCAACATCGCCAGAGCGCTCAAGTTTGAGTTGGGCCCAGTCTCTGTGCTTTCCAAGGTCGTTCGTCGGAGCATGTTTCTGCGGCTGAAAGTTGTAAAAGGTCGAGGCTCGCTGCCCTGCCCATTCATCAGATAGGCTGCCGTGTGCAATGCAGTAGCTGCTGCAGAACGCCGGGCCGCATGAGCACGGGCGCTCGCCAGCTTGGTCGCCCAGTCCGGGCGAATTTTGTCTGTGGTGATCACTTCGGGGGCATTCGCAGAAAGAGAAGTGCCACGCCGTCGACCAGGGCCGGGAGACAAGTTGCCTGAGGAGATCGAGGTTTGCGACGACATCGCCGACATGACCTGATATGGCTGAGATCCGGTTCCGTACGTAAGCCCCCTTCGGAAAGGGGGCGGTGTGTAGGTAATACCAAAATCCGGAGTCTTACAATAAGGACATGTCGCAATCTCAGATACAAGGAGGCCTTCTGCTTGTGCTTCGGGCTCGGCTTCGGAAACAGGTGGAGTATTGGGATCTGACTGCTCATGTTCGGGAGGATGTGGATCGGGGCGTTTAATTTGGACGAAACATTCCGAACAGATTGGCTGCTCGCAGCATCGAGTGGTATTGAGGTACGGAGGATAATAAAGAAAACAAATCGGGCACTCCGTTGCGTCTTTGTACAGATAGACCTCAATCGGTTGACCATTGACGAATGGGTCCGGTGGCAATTGGAACTCTCTAGGTGTCATGTCGGATTGTGAATTCGCTCGAGAAGAGGAGGTCAAGGAGGCCAATGTTTTGGCCCTGGTTCTGAAGATACCGGGGTTTGGTGAGTTAGATGGCGGTGCTGAGGCGGGCGAAGGAAGTGGCAGTGAGTGAGGAACAAGTGATAGCCGTGCTGAACTATCTGATTGGAATGACTGCGACCTGGGACCGATGGGGATTGTGGCGTTCTTCAAGGACGACTCTTTGGTCTTCTCCGTAGCCGTTCTTTTGGTGAGTCTATATTCGAGTTCTGGAGGCACCTCATCGGCTGGAGGGATTGGCATACCTCTGGCCGCAGCCATGAGTTGATGTTCTGCCCACGAGTCGGAAAAGTCATTTAAGCCTCTCCAGAAGGGTGCCAGTCGCCGTTCAATCTGGATATCTATCAGCGGAGAGTTGCGGATGTTGTCGGGCACATCAACTTACCATGAGTTGACGAACAATGCCTTTGTTAAAGTCCTCGGGGCCAACGTAGACACCCTGCGTCACAAGATAACCTCCATCTACATGCTCTTCTCTCATGCTGCGCTCGCGCTCCTTGAGCCTTGCCACTCTTTCTTTCTCTGCCTTTCTGGCCTCCCTCTCTTGTTTGTTCTCCCGCCTTGCCTCGAGTGAAGAGGCGTCTGGATCACTACTCCCGCCGATGCCGAGAAAGGAGAAGTCAGGTCGGCTTCCCCTCCGCTGGCGAGATGAGTAGACCGCCCGAAGGGAAGCTTCTGAACCATTAGATGGTGCATCTGGTCTTGCGGTTGGGCTCGCGCTGCCACCAACCCTCGAGCTAGCGGAGCCCTGCCCACGTGCTTCTTTTGTCTGCGTATTGCCCATGTTGACACTACCTCTGGATGTTTGGACAACCTCCTGCTACTTGGCCACACCGGATCGCGCAATCATCGCCACATCTTCTGTCTATCTTCTTCCTCCGAAGACAATTGTGATGGGTCTCGTCAGAAAAAGCTTAGGTCGGCTTCGTGGGCGGTCGGCGCAGCTACCCTTGAAGATCAAGGCACCGTCCGGTTTCAACAGAGTCCTCACTATATGGGAGAACGACAGGTCGGATACAGGTTGATGGCAACTGACGCCAGGAAATAAGAGGTAGATGATATAAAATGATTCCGTGGAGAGATGTCACATAGTAGTAGCCATGTGAGTGAGGTTATGCAGAGTAGGCTTCCGACGCAATCCAGTGCAGTGCGCAGGACAAGACAGCCAACAGGAAGCCCGCCAAGTTGCCTGCAGCGACGCACAGTTACCCGGCGTAGGCTGCGGGTGAAGTGTGGATGTGGGCAACTAGAGCCACGATGAAGAAGGTCGTGCGCATGGGTATTGCATCCGAGGCCGACCGATAACGATATGGAATAGGCAACCCGCCAACTAACGTAAGGGGAAAAGATAGTCTTTGAATACGTCGGCTATAGTTTGACGGATGTACGGAGTACGCACGTACGGATACTCTTAGAAGTACTAAGTACATAAGGTACGTAGAGGCTCAGATGATGTTGCCGCCCCATGCCGGCTCGCTGGCGGCCCTTCTCAGCCCCGCGGTGTCTAGGCAGTTGGAGTGCTAATTGGCATCTGATAATAGCGCCCTGCGCGCGGCTAGATCGCCGGCGAGATTTTGAGCAAAGAGGCCTTCTGAGAACTCCACTACCAGACAGACAAACACCAGAATACGATGCGTTCCTCCCACAGAACCCTACTTTACGCATGTAATAAACAGTGAGACAGACTGAATATGACCGTGAGCTCGATGCGACTACATATCACACCGTTTAGCCCTGATCTCCTCCGCGCTATAGTCGGCCCTCGTTTACTCGACCAAGTCTCCAATTTATCCTTCCACACGATCCAAACGTTTCCTGAGAACAATTACGGCTACTTCGACTTGCCCATTATGGAAGCAGAAAGGATAAAAAAGAAGCTCAACGGAGCCATCTTGAAAGGCAAGAAGATCAAAATCGAAGAAGCGCGGCCTACCAAACGCAAGAATTTTGAGGAAACCACGGAGGATTCGTCCCAACTAGAGCCTAGCACGGCTGCAAAGAGGTCTAAGACGGAGCGCAATGTCATCCTGGGTCATGAGCTTTCCGCAAATCGCAAGGTAAAGCGCGGCTGGACCGAAGCCGACCGAACCAAATCAGGCAAAAAGGGCAAAGGAAAAGTCTCGTCGACTACTTCGAAATTCACAGACAAGGATGAGCTCTTATTTCGAACAAAGGTCCCTCCAAACAAAACCGAGTCGGGGAAAAGGGGGAAATCTAAGAAGAATCTTGGCCAGCACGTGGTACACGAATTCGAGCACTCGACGACACAGCCTTCCTTCCTCCGACAAGACGACCCTGAAGGCAGCAAGGGAAATTTGGAATATGTGGACGGAACGGGGTGGATTGATGAGGCCGGACGAGTTGTTGAACCTGAAAGTGAACGTATATTGGCTAGGAAAGAGGCTCTCCAAGGACGAGTCGGAGATGAAAACACAAAAACTCCCTCAGACCACTCGTCAACGACGTCTGACTTGTCCTCTGACGATGACAAAAATGACGCCAATAGGCAGAATATTGACGAAACCAGCAGTTCAGGCTCATCGTCCGAGACCGCATCCGTTTCCGAGGCAGACGAAGATACGGATGCTAGTGCGGTAGACGAAGATAGAGCAGGCTCGGGTGCAGCTAGCGACCTGGAGCCCAGCGCGCCACCGGAGGTTCATCCGCTCGAGGTTTTGTTCAAAAAGCCAAGCAAGCCTGCCTCGCAGGATATAGCAAAGCCATCCTTGGAGATCTCGACGTCGTTCTCATTCTTTGACGCCGGCAATGAAGATGATGTTGATGAAGCGGCTACTATGCCGGGGACACCATTCACCACACAAGACCTGCGGTCGAGGGGACTCCGAAGCGCCGCGCCCACCCCCGATACAGCGCACCCGAGCCGGTTCAATAGCTATGACAGTTCGGGACTTCCTGATGACGAGGAATCGGAAGATGATGACGATAATGCGGATGGCGACGGTACTCCCGGAAGCTCTCTCGAATTAAAGAAGCCAGTTATAGAGACACCATCTCGCAAGCAGAGCGAGTTTGAGAAGAATTTCTGGCAGAACCGAGGAGAGAACAATCGAGCTTGGAAGCTGAGGCGAAGGAACGTGTTGAAAGAAAAACGGCAGCGGGAGAACAAGGCACGCCGCCCGAAGAACTGGTGAGGCACAAGTCCAGTACGAGCAGGGACAGGCAACCCCTATCACGCCTATGTATACGGAATACCATGTCCGTCCATCCAGATTTGCTTGTGGTAGTACGCATATAAGTAGTGCGCTGAGTTCGCTGGCTGGGAGTGAACGTAAGGCTGGGCCTGGTAGTAGTAATATCCATTTTACATTGTCTACTACCTAGGTATCCAAAGGCGGACGTGAGACTGCGGTTTCACATGAAGCGCTTACTCATTCGCTCTTCGATTACCCCCACGGCGACGGAGATCGCCACCGGTTGAGAGGGACTCTACCATTGAGATTGTATTGCAGTGTCATCAAGGCTTTGTTTGTTCGAGGGATCCTGGCTTGCTGATGAGTGCCAGTGAAGCTTCAGGCTTGTACCGTAGGCCTTCGATGTTTTCTGGTCTCGATTAGCGTTTTGCGTATGCGACGCTTGTCATTCTCTTGAAGTTTCTTGTCGCTTGTTCTTCGTCATGTAAGGTAAGAGAAGAGCGACACGGGCATCGCTGTAAGGGTCTTGTCCACCAGCAGGCCGCAACATGGATCATCTACCTCTGCCACAAAATGCCACTCTGGGAACTCTCGACATCCCTTACCTGTGCACCGAAGACTATGATGGCGAGGACTTCGAAACATTCCCTGCGCGCAAGCACTGGACCATTGAGCGACGGTTCACTGTTATCGTGTTCGCTTGCCGTGAGCGACTGGTGACTGAACATTCAGAAGTTGGGAGTTTTCTTCAGACTTGGCTGTATTTCGGGTTACTGAATCAGTTTCTAGAGAAGCCCGTGGATGTCAAGTTGTTCCAGAGGGAAGCAGGCGGCGGCAAGGTGCTGTTCACTTCGAAGCGTCTTGGAGATATCATCAGTGCTTGGACGGTGCAGACCATGGAACAGGACTGGTCGATGTACGAAAACAACCTCCGAACCTGGAAAGACCGTCTTTATGGCTATCTTCTCACCGCGCGAGATATCGTCCTCAGAGTTGTACATTCTCTGGACGGCCAACCCGAAAATATACTGTCCTGCGTCTGTCTCAGCATCGCTGTGCTGGGAGAATATCTCAATTACGCGTTGAAGGATATGTTCATAAAAAGAGGCTTGGAATCCCCAGTGATGCAGAACTGGCAATCCGTGGACTGGGCAGACTGCGGCGGACCGATCGTCACGATCATGCAACGGAATGGATGGTGTCCGAATAAGCTTGCATACTTCGATGCCGAGGATCTCAAGTCCATCGGCAAGCTGTGGTATTCTGCAAACATGAAACCACCAAATGCTGAAAAGTCTCATGCACGCTGCAGCGAGGAACAATGTCAGTTGTTGCAAGTCGATCTGCGCGAATACAGAACTTGTCATACACGAGAAGGCTGCGAATGTGCCTCGCGTGGTCCTGAACCCGGGCTGTTGGCAAGCGCTATCCAAAATGACTTGGTACCCTTGGTGACCATCGCTGAACGCGCCGGAGTCAAAGTGAGCCTGCAAATCGCAGATGAGAACACTGAATACGTTGCCATTTCTCATGTATGGGCGGATGGCATGGGCAACCTAAAGGAAAATACTTTGACCGAGTGCTCCTTGCGTCAGCTCCGCTTCTACGTCGATGCTCTGGCTGGGTTCGATGCTCAGTCCAATCTGCCTTTGTGGATCGATACTCTCTGCCTGCCCAGAAACCCGATTGAGTTGCGCCGCAGAGGTATCATAGCTTTCAACGAGGTCTTCAGAAAAGCCCAACACGTGCTCGTTCTTGACTCGTATCTCCAAAAGCTTTCCTCCAAGTCAATGTCCCCTATCGAGTTGCTTGCGCGTGTAGCTGTCTGTGGTTGGACGCAGCGCCTTTGGACATTTTCCGAGGGCCGTTTGGGAAGAAGTGTCTACTTCCAGTTCGAGGATCGCGCTGTAGACCTTTTTCAAGCCGTGGATCAGTGGCGTGAGACGTTTTTTAGAATTCCGTCATTACCGAGCCACGGCGTTGACTTAGCTGTCATTGGAAACTTCTCTGCGACAAGGATCCTGCCAGGCCCTGAGTTTGACTGCCGCCTGCTGGAGTTACCTACCTTGCGCTTCGCCTTGGGCACAAGATCGACCAGCTGGCCGACGGATGAAGCCATCTGTCTGGCTGGGATCCTTGGACTGAACATGCGTCAAGTCATTGAAGCTGATGACGCCCAGAAAATGAACGTGGTATGGAGTTTGCTGCAAAATCTCCCTACAGGACTGGCCTTTTCTCGCGCGCCAAGAAAACTGGTCGATAAAGGGTACAGATGGGCGCCGTCTTCTTTGTTAGGAGACCTCAAGGTGCAACGCTGGGGAGGACCAGGCCCATTGTTTGCCAGACTGAATGCAACGCCGTCTGAGGCTGGTCTTATTGTGCAGCTTCCCGGGGCTTTGTTCAAGGCCCGTCTCAGCACCGATTCGGGGGCCGGCAGGACGAAGCTGAAGTTGTTTGAGTGCTGTCTTCCACAGTTCGCTGCAGATCGGGGACATTTATCGCTACAGGGCGGAAGTGGCCAATGGTATTCCTGCAATATTATTTCAAACTGGCACCAAGAATCTGCCGACGTTGATATCGCAAATGAGGTACCAGCAATCATCCTGGAGTCACCCATTGAGATGGACAGGTCGTCAGCTAGGGACGACTTCCGATCAATCGACACGTTACGTGGCCTGCTGGTCACTTATTTTCACTCAGAAGAGGGTGAGGAGATCATCCACGCCAAAGCTCATAGCCATGTGGAATTGCAGACTCTGTCAAATAAGGTGCAGAAGTTCCATGACAAAGTCAAGATATGCTGTGAAGAGATTCTCAGTCACAACATGGACACCATAGCTGCTTTGCAAGATGATCAAGACACCCTAAAACGCAAGATCGCCTCCTGGGTGGAGGAATATGCCAGGGAAGATGACCTTCTGGAGCTTGGGAAAGAAATTTGGCGCCATGAAATGTGGGACGATAGCGATGGCAAGTTGATAAATCACATTGTGTGGAGTGTGGGGTATTTGTGCTCGGTTGATGAGTGGTACGTTATTGAGGAGGGTTCACGGCCGATAACATGGTGTGTTGACTGAGAGGACTGCTATCTCATCTGTGGAATCTAGGTCTAACACCGATGGAGATTTTTGGTTCGGATGGGTAAGACAAGGCTCAGAGAAGCTGGGGTTGCTCAGGAGCATTGAGGCAAGACAATCTGAAACCGGCGGCCACACTCTTGCCTATCATATCTGCCTTCGAGAATTCTGACCGCGAGATTTCTCGTGGGAAGGAAGGGGGCCCCGAATGATGGTAGAATTGAACTTGAAGCATTACCACCTGAAAGCCGCCAGACGTTACTGTTCCAGCGCGTTCACAACGCTGAGCATTTTGCTCCTTTGTGTACTCCGGCAGGGACCCTGCTGGACACGGCGTAAGAAGAACGCCGACATTCACAGTTGGGGTCCAAGCACGACAGATATCACACCCTGACTCTCTCACCGAATCCATCCTCGATAATCTAGGCTGGGTTCGAAAGATGGTTGAGCGGCTCACATTGTGAATGACCAGCCATGTCAGTCACTTCATGCGAGCAGGGTCAAGGCCTCATCACATTGCAAGAGACATTGCTTGACGTACGTTCTTAGAATGCTGTGGTGTCGAAAAGTGGAGCTGCCAAACAGGCATGGCAGGAGTTTGACCGATAAACGCACAAGGCCTCCATTGCTCCATACTGACTCTACATTGAGCCACGGAGATCCGTGCTTCATTCCACAAGATACATACCTGACGCTGTCTTTTCAATCCTCGAGCCTGGAAGCATTCTTTCGAGCCATCTTCTCTCGCTTCTTGGCCCCAGCCATGGGCTTTCGAAGGCGTGCAGTCTTTATCGCTTTTTGAGGCTTGCCCGAGTCCCACATTTGCCAGATATCAAGACAAGTTCGTTGGCCTACGTACTTTCCGTTAGGGGTGAAAATCTCAACCTCGGGGAAGGTCGATGCTGCGAGCGGCGTCAGGTCAGATGTCGCCTGCTCTCCTCCAAAAGGAATAAATCAGCTCGTCTCGATGGAACCGGCTGCTGTCGTAGGCGCGGCTAACTCTGCAGCACTTGAGTAGGAAGGGCTTTCTGTAGGAACCTCCATTGGAGGGAAGCGCTTGGTTTTCCTGACTTGGCAAACTAGTTCTACCCAGCCACCTACCAGCCAACCCCTTCGATGAGAATATCTGTTGCGTATATGTGGAAAGGTAGTTTGTCCGGATTGACCCTAGCTCTGATCATTAACCCAGCCCTAGATTTTATGACGTCTGTCTACAGCCTAAATCGACCAGCGAGTACATAAGATGGCTGGCCCAGCGTCGTCCATAAGGATCGACTCTATACCACTCTCACGCTGTTGAGTTTAAGTTCCCTCTGCTTTTCTATCGAGGTGATATACGTCTTGAGTAGTACGAAGGGATAAGCGAGTATAGTCGTGCTGCGATCATCCTTGTCCAGGATCGGTGTGATTCGAAGAGGAGTAAGAATTAGCCGGCTTTGAGGATATATTAAGACATAGTTGGACGGTGCACTATAACAAGATCAGCTCGGTCCTTAATCTTAATATACTGGTCGAGCCCGCCACGTTCTAGACCCGGTATATTAATTAGTTCCCCTTTGTTGTTGCCGAAGGGAAGGCGGATTGGGGAGGCTGTAGTGGTAGGAAGGCTTGAGACCAAAGGCAGGGTTGGGAAAGCAACTTCCGGCTGAGCAGGGGGCAGCAACCCCTTCTCGGAAAAGAAAGAGGCGTTGAGAGCTTTCCCACGGCCCTCGATGTCTTGCTGTCGGTGAAGCTCCCCATATGAAGGTGCTTCGTCGTGCGAGCCCTTTGGAAACAAAACTTCGAAAAGGTTCGATTTGCCCACGTTGAACTCCTAATCAGCCAATTGCCGCCGCCTCTACTGCGGATGGTCTCCTTGATATCTTTCGTCCACTAGCCTCTCTTAGACGAAACTAGATGAATATTGCCGAGTCTTAATTTTCGGCCTATTCGTCCCAATACAGTTCTAAGAACTGATATAAACTTGGGTATCATGCTGTCCACTATCTCCTTTGTGGGTGCGAGGAGGTCGGACCGGGTAATGATGAACGAAATAGAGGGTCTCGTGGAAAAGGAATGCTGAGATCTCCGGTTTTGCGATCGCGGCTTTGCTAATGATAGATGTCTGTAGATGGAGGGTATGACAGATATTGGGAAGTCTGCCGCATTCACGACGTGGTAGACATGATTTCTGGTGAAAGGCGACTTAGCGACTGAGTCTGCAATAGCCTCTATCGAAGGATGCGAAATGGGAACACCACGAGAACCATATATCAAATAATGGCATCTATCGCATATGGGAGTAGCTGCGGGCAACTCTGCGTCGGCGTTGATGCTTCTAAGGTGTTGCGGGTTGTCATCTTGGGATTGCGCTCCTGATTCTTCGACATCCCCATCTCTTCCATGATGGTTACCTTGGTGAAGTGTTTCAGATTTGAGGCTTCTTATGTTTTTCCTCACCGCCTTTCTCGACAAGGTATAATACCCGGCCAGGCCATGGTCGACATTTTGGGTAAGGGCACCACAGCCGGGCCAGGAGACAGGAAGATATTTTGAGCTCGGAGTGAATTTGCTTGAAACGTTTGGCGCGACAGGGGAGCCCGTCAACTGCTGCAGATGAGCGTCAACGGCTTGAGGACGTAGTGAGAGGGAATCGGTTGGTGATCGCTCGATTTCAGCCGCGGTGGTAGATAGCAAAGTTCGGCTGGAGCAGAATGTCCGCTTCGTGATCCGCCATCTCTGGAAGGCATGAGCTCGGGGCGCAATAATGCTTGTAGAAAGCACGATTGTCGCATCGAAATACAGGATTTTCAAAGAGTTGGGACCATTGCGATCCGAGAGCTCTAGATGTTAAATCATGCAGTGCTCACAAACCCGCGAAAATTCCCCAGATTGTCGATTGTCGCGCTTTTTTTCCAAACCTCGGAAGATACCGCCTGTCAGCCGTTGTGCCTCGTATTCGTGCAGCATTACAAATTGTGGCGTTCAAGGATAGTCGCCATTGTTGCCATAGTCACCATAGTCATCAAGCATCTCAGGAGCACTGCGGTTTCAGGTAGAAGGGGCAATAGATACGGTAGTCGTCTGGTTCTGGTCAGAAAAATTCCTTATTACTGGGTATGGGAACGGACCTGGCTCTCGCCAAGGGAGACCTCTCGAATTCGTCTCCAAGTTCAATGGCGGAGCTTGGCAGCGCCCGGCCTGAGGAGCCTCAGGCCCCAGCTTCATCTACATTGAAGTGAGTATTGCAGAGCCACTTCTGCAAAAATTTGGGAGCCTGATTTGATCGAATCTTCCAATGTGCATCGGCGAATGTCAGCAACATTCTCTTATCTTTACCGTCCTCTTCTTGTTGCTGTTGTAGCCTTGCAGTTTCCATTCCATTAACTGGCCACTCTTGCACTTCTCTCTCAGCCGGACCATTGTCACCATATAGTCCCTCGGCAACCACAAGATCCCTGCAAATGTCATAACCCATCCATCTCCTCACTTCTTTGAACAAGAACCACTGTCGCTCATGCCGTCAAAGGGCCAGCGACGTTCTCATACAAAGTCGAAGAACGGGTGCAGTCAGTGCAAGATCCGGCGCATCAAGGTCAGAGTCTTGCTGAATTCCGCGGTACCATCCGAAATGCTTACACTGCCAAAAGTGCGACGAGGTTCACCCCACTTGTTCGAATTGTGAACGGCGTCAGATCGTTTGTGATTTCTCTCTGTCACCTGGTGCTAGCAAATCTCCGGGCAGCCATGCCGATCCTCGGCAGCAGTCTGGTCAGCCAGCATCACTCTGTGGGCGGACACCCTCGCAAAGCGCGGTTGATCCTTTTCAGCAACCTGACCTGGTTAGCACCAAGCAAACAACAGATCTCGACATTACCGAGTTGAGATTGATGCACCATTTCACCAGCGTGGTTGCACCGGATTTGGCCAATGCCCAGACCGCCGAAGCGCTCGCCCTGTGGCAAGTACACGTAGTGAAGCTGGGGTTCAAACACCATTTTCTCCTCCGTGGCATTCTGGCCGTGTCAGCTTTCCATTTGGCCTATCTTCATCCTGACAAGAGGGCCGACTATGAATTGATAGGAACCACGCATCAGAGCATTGGTCTTTCAGAGTTCCACGATACACTTGCCAAAGTTGATGAAACCAACTGCCATGCTATGTTCGCCTTCTCCTGCTTGCTTATAATCCTCACCTTTGCTTCAAGCGCCAAGGAAACACCCAAGGACTTTACGACTGATGTGCTACGTTGGTTCTATCTGCTAAGAGGAGCAAACGTGGTATTGAACTTGTACGCCGAAACCATCCGGTGCAGCTTTCTGAAACCATTGTTGGATGAGATGGGGCACATAGAGACTACCGCAGCGTATATCTTCCCCGATACGGATCAAATCACCAAGCTTTTTCGAATCTGCAGCTCTCCAGAGCATGACAAAGAAACATCCCAAGCATACGACCTCGCCATCCATTCACTACTTAGCACGTTTGTCCAAGCTTCACTACTTAGGCAACGGGGTGACGGAACAGTCCTGGCGACATTCGTGTGGCCACTCAATCTTCCGCCCAAGTTTCTCGACCTTCTAGGCGAGAAGCAACCCGAGGCTATGACGATCTTAGCCCATTACTGCGTGCTCATATACTGGGGAGAGTCGCATGAAAACGATACTTGGTTTATCAATGGATGGGCCAAGTACATGCTCGCGACGGTTGAGGAGTCTCTACCTGACAGCTGGCAAGAACAGATTAAATGGCCGGTGACGACGATAACGCAAAGCAACGGAGTATGAATGACGGATACTTTCATCGAGTCTTCCCACCAGTCCACGGGCAAACCGATGTCGCATCGATAGGCGAAAGATTTCATTCCACAACAGTTTACGGAGGAACTGCACTCAGATCCAAATAACGATGAATCAGGGTATCTGTTTCCAGGTGGAAAACCAATGCTCGTCTTACCAGCGCAGCCTTGCCGGGGAGGCGGGCTTACAGCATCCAGCATCGGAGCTTTGCAGTGAGAAGTCGGACACGCCAATTGCCCTTGGCAACTCCTCAGTGACAATCTCCTACTCCTTACAGACCAAATAGTACAGAGTACTCCGTACACAGTACAGTGATGAGGACAAAGAGGGAGATTTCCACAGCCTCCAGAGGCCATATTAGGCCACCGCTGACTGGATATCACTTTTTTGTACGGACTATTCTAGGCGAACTTCAGGGGGGCCTTAGGGGGGAAATGGTACGGAGATGAAAGACGGAAGATTGTAAGGCCGTTCCGAAGGGCGGTGACATGTGACGCCGATATACGGAAACTGTACTCCGTAAAGCGTGACTGAGCGTGGCTTCCCTCCAGGATGTCCCTCCCGCTTCTTTATATTCACCCTGACCTCCTATAGTATATGCATCTGTGAGATGCTCTCAAGAGAGAGCTTCTCTGCTGTACTGGCTCGAAAGCATCAGGTGATATATCGGGTGGCTTCAGCAAAGCCGCCCTTTTCACCATCTGGTGGGGAAAGATGAAACAATCCGAGACAGGAGCCGCCCCCCCTTTGTCACGTCAATGCTTCAACACCACAGTCCTGCACCAATGCCCTTCTGACACCGCTTCAACTCTCCTTGCGCTCCTTTTTTTGTGCGCCGCGGTGGTTTCGTTCTTCTTCTTCGTATCTTCCAAACACTTCACCTTCGTTTTTCTCTTTTTTGTACAGGACTTCACAATACTTACGTTAGGAGCTCAACTATTTCAAGCCAGCACTGTAGCAAACTTGTCGAGCAGGTCTCGCCCCCTCTTTCATTTGAGCCTACAGAACTCCGTCCATTCCTTGATAACGCAACATCCTTGATCCTTCTCCCGGGCTTGCGCAAACACCGTCCGACCCACGCCCTCAGCAACAGTCATGGCCAACAAGATCCTCCTCGTTTTTATCGCCTTTGACGTCGTGTTCCTTCTGTGTGGTGGACTGCACCTCTTCATCCCACTCTTCACGCAGGCCAACATCAAGAATAACACCAATGTGGACAATATTGCGTCAAATCTGCTCCTCGACCACTGTCCGCTAACAGGTAGGCTTCCCAAATTATACAATTTTCTGCTATCAGGAAAGCTGACGACTTTGTTACAGCCAGCATGGCCAACTCGGTGGTCATGTTCGTCACCTTCCTACTGTCCGTCCCCTCGTTTTTCCTCAAATCCAACCGCACCTTCCTCAAACTCCACGTCGGCGGTGTCATCATAGCTGCGCTTATGACACTGGGCATCGGGCTGGCCATCTGGTTCTCCACCCTGGAAATCCACAAGAACCTCGCTCCGATCTGGAACAAGCAGCCCGCCTCGACAGTGTCCATGCTGCAGGCCAAGTTTCAGTGCTGCGGATACAATAATCCGGCGCTTTTTGTAAAGGATGCCACTTGCACCAGCGCTGCGACCGCCGCGCGCCTTGGACCTTGTGTCACTCCCTTCGGTGTATTTGCTAGCCGGTTCTTGGATATCGTCTTCACTACGTTCTTCGGCTTTGTCGCGGTCGACATGATGCTCTTGTTGGCTGCCCTGTGTTTGATCAGGGACCGTAAAGAGAAGGAACGTTACAGGCTGATCGACGAAAAGACGGGTTTCGGACCAATCTGAAGGAAACCTGTGAGGACCTCAAAGACCGTCCTGGTTCTGGGTGAGACAAGGCATGCGTGGTTGGAAAAGGTGGATTTCACCATAGTCTTGGCCTGACAGGAGAAGGAAGAATGGATGCCAGGGTATGATCGGCCGCAGTTGAGGTGTAAAGTACGACCATGTTTCTTCTTGAATATAGGCTCCAGAGATTCCTAGATGTTATGATGGAGTGAATCAAGAGTGTCATAGACGCACACCCATTGAACAATGAATACAAGACGAAAGCAACTACTCATTATCGATGTTGGCTTGGATTGTTTAAGTAGCGTGTATCCATGGAGTTCATCATTGCGCATAATAACCAACTCTCCCGCCAAAGAGGAAAGCGTATCCAATGCCCAAAGGCAGCAAATCTGCCTTGGGATATCAAAGATGAGAAAGGAACAAAGTCTTGGTACGAAGCACATAAGGTACCTAACAACAGGCTGGCAATTGGAGAAGCTGGAGTACCCAACGCATGACGGCGCCCGATCAACGACATCATCACTATTAGTATTGGTACGCATTGAGATCCTAGCGCCGCGTGGCCAATGCTGCTACGGCGTTCCCATAAAGACTTAAAGGTCTCTGTGCTAGGTTGAAGTCCTGTACTCCGTGAACTGCGAGGAGTCTATGTGAGAATGGCATGCTGCCGTCGCCTAAACGATACAGAGTGTTTCCAACCACGATCGTTCCTCACTTATCCAAATCCTACAGTCACTGTACCTTTTGTTTTAGAGTACACACACGGTTGGGTGGACTATACATCGAGCAATTCGAACATGGTAGAATGAACAACGCAGGATCCAACACAGCTCTACGACTCCTCGGCCAACAGCCAACGGCGCAGCGGGTCCTACCATTGGCAACAATACAACAAGCACATCCCTGGACTTACGAGGGTCAACGAAGATGGCCTGGACACTGGTCACACCCTCCTCGAGAGGCATTGGGTTTGCTTTGACTCGTCGACTTCTCCAGACTTTGCCAACGAGCGTCACCATTGTAGCAACTGCACGGTTGGATCTTCCCGGCTCCAGGGAGAGGCTCATTTCATCGCTGGATTTGACTGAAGCGCAATCTGGCCGGCTCGATGTACAGAGATGTGATGTTCTATCCGAAGCTTCAATTTCCGACTTGGCCGGATATTGCAAAGAGCGTTATAACGATAGGCGCAAGGATAAGACTGCTCACCTACGGTTGGGCCTTATCATTCCCGGCATGTTGGTCCCGGAGAAGGCACCAGAAAAGATCGAATACGACGTGGCTCTGCAGACACTGAAGCTCAATCTGTTGGCACCCATGATGCTGGTGAAACACTTCTGTGGGTTTCTTCCGAGACAATCGGCAAAACTGTCGAAACTGGACGGACTGCCGGACTCGGCTGTATTGGCTCTGATGAGCGCAAGAGTAGGATCAATAGGGGATAATCGACTGGGCGGCTGGTACAGCTACCGTTCTTCCAAGGCTGGAGTCAATCAGTTAGTCAAGTCGACCGACATTTATGTTCAAATGCAAAGCGCAGCGAATGCCATGTGCATCGGTTTGCACCCTGGCACAGTAAAGACTGGCCTAAGCGAGGAATTCTGGGGCAGCACTCCCCAAGAACGGCTGTTCAGTCCAGAATTCAGCGCAGAGAAGATGATCGACGTTATCAGACGCTTGCAGCAAGACGGCCGCGGTAGATGTTGGGATTGGGGAGGCAAAGAGGTTCCTCCATAAGGTATGCTGTATCATATAAGAGGAAATGAGTTTGTACTCGGCATAAGGTTGTCCTGTCTTAGCCAGCCAATTTACAGTGCGTCTGTAGAGACGTCGCATTTGATCGACCGTTAGAGGAGGCTCCTAAGCCAGTGCTTCAGGGTGGGTGCTAATATTAAAGGCAATTTATCCGATATTGGCTTTGATCGCATTCATAAAGTCAAATATGCTTCCAAGCATCTCGATAGTACACTCTACAAACACCCTAGAAGAAATATCCTAATTTTTAGCATATAGATCCCTCCAAATATGCGAGAAAAAGGGCACTCCAGCTGCGCTACGTGCCTCTGCCATTGTTAGCCTTCATCCCAGTGGCGACATGTCACGGGCGGCGAAGGGTAGAAGTTGGAAGTAAATCATGGTGGAGGCCGTGTGGCACACTGCTTGCTGATAGTGGATGAATCAGCATGCTTTGTAGTCGTCGTATTGAGTATCGTAGTGGGCAGAGAGAGAGCTGGTACGGGATCATTTGATGGATGGTGATTCGAATGGACGAGCAGGGTCGAAGGCCTGGAATCTCGTCCAGGCAGGCACTGGGGGCACTGCCCGTGGGTAGGCTGCTTAGGCCCTAGGGCGAGGACGAAGGGGGGCTAATAATTAGCAGTCTAGCAGACAAAGCACTGACCGAGACTAGTTCTGCAGGCCGCAATCTACTACTGGAGGGGCGACAATAATTATAACGCCAGTGGAGGAACCAGACATCCACCATTACGCCGGCGTGGGCTCGTGTCGCTGGCTGGCCACTGGCGTCTGCAGCTGGGATGGATGTCCGGGCAGTCGGGGAAAGAATGATCCGCAGCATGAAATCAGGCCAATCACAGGCGCCCTCCCGCGGTGGCTGCCACTCGTTGCCCAAGAGCCCTCGGTCTACAAAAGGCAGGCAGCTGCCGCTATGCCCTTTCCGACTCTCTTTCCTCTCTCGTCCACATTCAGTCCCTCCTCCGTCAATCATCAATCAGTCAGTCGAGTGAGTGCCCGGGTGCTTCAAGCCTCCCCGTGCAACCACCGCCAGCCTTCCCAGTAATTGACCACCAACCATCCATCTGCTCGATTACACTCTCAACCGGCTCACCTTTCCTCCCTGGGGCACCTTGGTGGCTCCAGTCAGTCAACGGGTCAGACCCTTCTATCCAAAGTCAACGGTACGTCGTGTCATTTGTGTTTGTTGCTTTGTCCTTTCCTCTTGCATCGAACACGACGATCACCCTTTCATCGTTCTCCATTGAGATCGACACCGACACGACACCTGTGAAAGCCTGAAGACCATGCACAATAACAAATTGATCTGTCCACGGTCGCTACTCTCTTGTTCGTGTTCGAGTCCTCTAATGGGGCGGGGGCTGGGAATGACCTCTCGAGCCGACGAGGACAAAGCCAACTCCAACCTACTACAGGAGAAGACTACTAGTCGATGGTAGTTCTGCTCCTGAAGAATGAAAGGGTTGATGCGGTCTTCGACGAGCCACTGCTGGCACCCCCAGCCACCGCGGTGGCATTTGCCTTCTCCAGGCCTCTTCGACCGCACTCCAGGCCTGCCTTTGGGCTCTCAGCCCTTCCCTCGAGAAGCTCACAGGCCCTATCGTCTTGACTCCTGGCCCGGGTCTGGCCCCTCCTCCCACTAAGCTTATCGGCGGTGCCACCCTGCGACTTGACTGCAACCCACCGAAACCCCACCATTGACGGGCACTGGCCTCCACCCCAACGTTAAATGCATTCTCCTCTTCACTATTCAGCACTGCACAAGTCTGCACTATCGCCTCTGGATTATTCTGCCGAACACTCCCGGCTCCCGCACTCACCGCACTGGCAGTCCCTACCTCTCTCCCCCGTCCAAAACAACACCAAACCCTTTTCTCTTTTTTTCTGCCCCGACCTTCCAAATCTCAACAACCAGCCATACAGAAAGAGGTTACTTCTTCTGGCTCCCAAACCCACTTCTCTATCCCATTGCAGCTTGACTGTCGCACATCTTGATCATCCACAAAAGCTTGATCAGGATCCATTTGCTGGTCATTCCCCAGATTTTCCTCGCTCAGTCGCCCTGCGCAAGCGCGTGCGCCTTCACTCTGCACCCGTCCTTGTACGTGAACGTGACGTGCTCCTTCAGTCCGATCTATGTGGAATACATTTTCACTTTTATGTCGTCAACACCATTTGTCGCGTCATCTACAATCGTTCACTGTTTCACGCGATACTGAATATTCACTGACGGTCACTTCCTATATCAGGCCACCCAACCGAAGCCGTGTTCCAAGGTCTCTTCTTAAATTTTTCGGAGCAGGTATACAACCCGACCGCTACTTCCGCATTCGTCTGTTGACACTTTACTTGTTTAGGCAGACATTGTCAGACCTGATTCAATCCCAAGAACAGATCATGGCGGACATCACCGATCCCACTGCTGGTATTGACCAGCCTTCCCCCGGCGACGACCTTACTGGCAATGGTGTCGACGCACGTGGAACCAAACGACCGAGAACTTCCTTGGCAGGTGACGACGACGACGATGATGATGAAAAGGGAGGAAGAGAACGGAGAAAGATTGAAATCAAGTTCATCCAAGACAAATCCCGCCGTCATATTACATTTTCCAAGAGAAAAGCTGGCATCATGAAAAAGGTAGATTGGCGCTGGTCTCGTCATATCATGAACCCGAAGACTGACTCCGTGTACAGGCTTATGAACTCTCGGTCCTTACTGGAACTCAAGTCTTGCTCCTTGTTGTCTCCGAGACTGGCCTCGTCTACACATTCACCACGCCCAAGCTTCAACCTCTTGTCACCAAGGCCGAAGGCAAAAATCTGATCCAGGTACATTCATTCCCTTCAGTTTACATCCACATTCTAATGGTCACTAGGCATGTTTAAATGCTCCAGAGCCCTCCGGTACTGAGAACGGTGTCGACGCCGCAGACGATGTTGCTTCACCCGATGACGTTCCTACGATGCCTTCGGCAGCTGCTGGCATGCCTCGGCCTACTGCTCACGGTGGCTACATGACTCAAGAGCAACAGCAGCAAGCCTTGTACTATCAACAATTGCAACAGCAAAACCAGAGCGGACAATATGCGGGTATGCCACAGATGCCTCAACATCAACGTGCATGATAATGGAAAATCTATCCACATAATGATACCCCATGAAATGCGGAGGTTGACTCTTAGGCGGTCTGCCATGTTTCACTGTCAGCAGAGATACTTCACGAGGCAGATGTGCAACTTTCCACCGACGCAAATCCCAAACCTTCCTCTACCTAATCGGCGTTTTTGGGTCCCTACCATCATCAACACCGAAGCCTGGACCAAATTGTGTGCTTCAATGTAGCTGCGAGTTGAGCTCCGGTTTCCCCACTTGCTCTCTCTGTATGAGTTTATCCTTCTGCGACTGGATGGGATGACAAGGCGGACGAAGGTCCAAGGCCAAGTGAATAAGTGTGCGAATCATGACCATGTCATGCTTTTCCGGGCAGAGATATGCCAAACCCAAGGTTCATACCAGTTCACCGTCGGCACCATATCTTGAGTTTGACTATTGCATGATGTTGCACTTGATCTCTGTTGTTGGGTCAGCTTGTGACTTGAGGCCTGTCTTCAATTTTCGCTCCGTCTTGCTAGCTCCCTGTCTGGGAGCCCTCTTTTCTACGGATGATCTTTCATCTTCTCGGATGCTCTGTCCTTGATTTTCTCTGTAGTCTCATGTGATCCAACTGAATGATTCTTTGCATCCCATGTTCTGCTGAGCCATCTTCTCGGCTAGCGCATCGTCAGTAATAGCATTGGTGGCGCTACATTCCTCCGTCGGCAGCGCTGACTGTTCTCTCCGGTCACTGCCAGGTACATGTTAGCCACATGGCCAATTTCTCCGCCCAAACGCGAGACCATTCACGACGCCGATGTCCTGTTACTTCCCGTGATCCAGCAGCGCAGACTCTGCTCGCTGTGCTATTTGCCATACCAGACCGACCGACCGGCACACCGGCACACAATGCATCGAGGGTCCTAGAGCATCGCCGTAGAGGCACTTCTGTCTGCGCAGGTTGTTGAGCCCAGCCACTGCAGTCGAATCGAGGAAGGAGGGACAAGAGGAACCGTCATCACTGAGTGGTCTGGGGGTGTATGTACGTATACCCCGTTCGGATACTGGATACTGGATACTGGTGGGAGTACAGAGTACGGATACAGAATACAGATAAGTGTGGACATCCGGTCATTTTTTTCGGGCTAACATCTAGATACTCTACTCGTACACCGTACCTACCGCCTCTTTGCTATCCCCCTGATCACCATTAAGTCGACTCGCTCCCGCCCGGACCCCAGTCTCACGGGCGCCCACGTTGCGCACAAGGCTTCACTAATAAGCTACGTATATTATGTGAAACACCAAAAACCGGGAACCTGGGGTCAAGTTGTGGGACCCTCCGCTGGCCGAGCCGCTGAGGACTGGTCTCACGCGCTACGCAGGGCACACCTCAGGGTCGGAAAGCCGAAGTCATTTACTCCGTGGAGAGGACAAGATTCGCTGCTGAGTATTGTGGTATACTGAATGCACCGCTGCACTCGTGGTATGGACTAGGGCTGTGTTGCCACCAGGTTTTGTATGCGATTTCCTCATCCATGGACATGGACAAATCAAACAGACTAACCCCCTACTCCGGGTCGGGGCTGTGTCCGAGAGGGGTGCTGGTACGAGTAGGGCGACCACGTTAGCTGGGTGGCCTTATTAATCTCTTCAGCATCCCTGTTTCAAATGCGACCTGGGAGCCACGGGGGCGACATCAATCCAAGTATAGGGGACTCGTTGCCGCCCTCGTTGGCAGCAACGTTGAGCGACTACTACTTTCCACCTTCACCATCGACCGCAAGAAGCCCAGCGCGAAGATTTCCATTCTTCGGTGGACACACTCAATGGAGAAAAATGCCGAACATGCCAGCCTGATGGGAGACGGCGGTGCAGTGGATGCGGAAGATGCAGTCATTGACATGGACAGCGTGCGTGATGAACCCGGTGGCCTTGCGAGTAGCATCAAGCCTCCTTTACGATCCCAGCCGCAGCCAACCACCACGACCGGTGTCCAGATGAGATGGTTGTTGTCGTGGCGCTTCCTCCACCCGTTGGCGTGGTTCATTGTCTTCTGCGTCACTGGGCCACTGATGGTGCACCTTCTTTTTGCGCTCAAGATCAATCGCCTGCTTTACGACATCGACATGTCCCTCGACCTGGAAGACCTTGCGGCTTGCGACGTCCAGGAGGTCTGGAGCTCGTGGTCGACCCTCTTTCAAATCAACGTCCGCACGGGCGATCTGTCCTTCACAGCGGCCAAAATCGTCGACATTGCATTCGACCTGGTCGTCGGTCGCGTCGGACAAGTCGTGTTGGGGTGGATGTCCTATCGCGTTTACACCGACGTCTTTACTTTCCTCGCCGAAAGGCAACCCGTACCGTATCCCACGTTCACAAAGATCACGGTGGACCCGACCAGCTTGTCGTCACTCAAGACGTACCTGCTGGCCTTGTTCTCCAAGAACGGCTCCAAATTGACGCTGCTGTGGCTGATCGGGACCGTCTCTTACCTCTTGGCCCTTCCCACCATCGTGTCGGCGTCGACGTCCCTCGTCGGTGCGACCGCGTACGCGATCGAGCTCCCCACCAATGCGACCGTGCCGGTTCTCGAATACCTCTATAGCGCGGCGTACAAGTTCACCAACTCGGGCCTCGCGGATAAACCGAACCCGTGGTTCGTCTACGTCTCGGAGATCCACAAGCTCCCGGCGAAGGTCAGCGAAGAGCACCTCGACATCATGTACCTCGACGGCACTAACTGGAGTGGGACTGATCGGAACGACGTGCTGGTGGTGAACAGTACCACGTACACCATTAGCAACTCCACCCTCGTCGACGCGGGCTTCTACTACGACGACGTCTTTTACCCGATCGACCCGGCCAAGAACCACGGCTTCAGCACCCTGGTCGGGGACCAAATGATCTGTGTCCCCGTCGGCAACCGCTATCAATGGGGTGCATCGTACGAGCTGTTGTGTCTCATTGTCATTTGTCAGATTCTCTGGTCGGCGGCCATGTTGGTGGCGTGGTCGATCGCCTGCATGAGCAGCGCCACCATCCAAAGTGGGAGGAAGATGGGCCTGTACACGGCAATTCTGCTGCTGGCACAGCCACTGCGAGAAAAGATGAATGCGAGACCAGCGGGGAATGGGAATGACGACGTGAACAACGAGAAAGTGGTCAAGAGCATTGTCAAAACGATTGGTCCGGTGGTGTACGACGGTGGATTCGAGACCAGTGACCAGGAAGGAGAGGCTGGGAAAACTCGAGGCTATGCCAGGCTCAGGGAGCATATATGAACAAGTCTATAACGCAGGGGACACCACGGTGTGATTCTTAGTCGACATCCATGACCAGTGTTTTACAGGAGCGAGTTTATCGGTGAATATAGGAGTGAATTAATGATCAATAATGAGCCACATTTCAAGCCCCGAGCATAACCTCATCTCCGTAACGCCTTGCCGTTGTGCCCTGTCTGCGTTCTGAGCCATCAGTGATTTGTCGCCCGGCGCATGTCCGGACCCGTTATCTGATCCTGTAGCCGGCTTCAACCCATTGCTTGAGGCAAGGCTGAACTGCTCGCATCCTGCTTTCCAGCGCTCGCCTCGGTGACACTGAACTTGAACGGCCACATCTTGAGCAAAACGAGACTCCAAACTATTGATGGAGATCGATTTCGGCACCCTTTGGCTCCCCAAAATGAGCGCTCGTAGGATCCTGATTCTCAGCCAAGCCTGACACCCAGCTGCCTGAGAATCATGACACATAATTTCGTGTCTCTTGGGAGTTACATATGTCACGATTCTACAGCACCAGGAACTTGCGTAACGTCACAGCTGAGGCACACGAAAGATATGGACTGTTATGTTGAATATCTTATTTGAAGTCTTGACTGGTCTGAGACCAGGTTAGCCATCGACAATAAAGAGGCACTGGCTGTGCCAAATCTATCTAGGCAGCATGGGATGATACGCGCGAGTGCGTACAATCAAGCTCCAGTATCATTCTGCATCGCCGCCAAAGTCAACCGTAACTCATGTTTCTCGTGCTAGTCGTGCCTGATCCTTTTCGACTGTCACTTTGTGTCATTCTTTACCAGTTCAACTTTCTCCAAGATCTTGGCGTAAAGAGGGTGGTCAGGTTCCAGACCGGTGAGCTTGGTGGTTGCTTCCTCGGCAGATGTGGTCTTCAAGATCTCTGCCAACTCCTTGCTCTCGGCGTCGCCCTCGACATTCTGGAAACGAAGAGCCATCTCCACACCACGGACTAGAGCAGTCACATCATACCCACGTTCAGCCAGTTGGGCGGCAGGACCAATGAATCGTTCGTTGCGGCTGAGTTTGCGAAGTGGTGCACGGCCGACACGGACGCAAACGTCTTCGAGATGGGGATTAGAGATACGAGAGACAATGGTGTCGACGTATTTCTGCTGCTCTTCTTCGGTGATATCATGCTTGCCGCTGATGAGGTGCGCAGTCTCCTCCAGGGCTTCGTGAACTTCTTGTTTGATTTCGGGATCTTCCATGGCCTCGTGGATCGTCTTGGTGCCTTTGTAGTAGCCAAAGTATGCCGCAGTGGCGTGACTTGTGTTGACAGTGTAAAGCTTGCGTTCGATGTACGGCTCCAGATCTTCGACCCAGTGAACACCCTTGATGTCCGGATGACCAGACTTGAAACCAACAGTCTCAACACACCACTCATAGAAGCTTTCGATGACGACATCGAGGTTGGCATCGGCAGGCTGGGTTGGGACAATTCGGTCAATAGCGGAATTGCCAAACTCGGCCTTCGAGTCGAGATCCTTGAGTACCGCTGGCTTCAAGTTCTTTGGATCGGTGATGAGCTCCTTGAGAGCATCAGTGGCATTGATCATATTTTCACAAGCGATGACAGCCAGAGGCTTCGACTTTGTCCGGGCCGAAATCCCATCGGCAATTGGTTTGGCAATGAACTTCATGACATTGGGACCCACGGCGCAGGTGACAACATCAGCCTCAGCAATGGTCTTGATCACCTCATCCAGGTTGTATTTAGAATTGATGGCGCGGTAGTTTGTGATGGTCTTGCTCTTTTCTCCATCTGCACCCACTTCTGTGATCTTGTACGATTTGGAGTTGTTGATTCTGTTGATGAGGTCGTCAACGACATCAACAAAGACGACTTCAAAGCCAGATTCGTGCAGAAGCTCAGCGATGAAGCCGCGTCCGATATTCCCACCACCGAAGTGGACAGCGGTGCCAGACATGTTGAGAGTGAGTTGGGAGAGTAGAGGATGTGAGAGGCGACGGGGTATCTAACATGCACCAAAAGTTAGTAAGGATGGATGTGTATGGCAAGTGCGAAAATGATCGTCAGCACTGACCGTGTGTAGTCAAGCAGATCGTCGGATTGTTCGGGGTGAGGAGAGAAGGGAGGGAGGGATGACAGCGTGGTAGGAATGAGAGTGATGCCGACAAAATGTCTGGTGATGGCAGGTGCTGATAACCTGTAGGTTGTTTTGAACGTGCGTGCGGTCAACAAAAAGGAACTGCTGTTGGGTTGAGATGTGTGATGGAATGTTAAGGCGACGACACCCTAAAATCCTCCAAGGTTGCTATTCACAGTCGGCGGGGAGTGAAGCTGCAGCCCCGCATGCGTCACCTGTGACGGGAGAAGCAGGGCGTAAAATACCAGATGCTATTGGTCAGTAGAGCGGAAACGCTATGCCTTCTCCAGTTTAAGGCAGCGTTAGCTTCTCTTGAAACCCGACCGGCTCTCTGTGGCTTGGGCACGAAAGTTCCGACCATCTACGTCATACTAGTAAATACAGGCACACAGGCCCGAGGCGGGCGCAGGCAACATGCAGTGATCAGCATAAACGCATGTCAAGCTATCATGGATATCTTGTCTAAACATCGGTTTCCAAGTTCAGGCCCATATATTCCGTAAGAGTCACTGGCAACGGTACAATATCGGGCAACCACTGTCTTAGTTGTCATCAGGATGCTCCCTTGCCATTGTAACGTTCACGTCTGCGACCGCCCGTACAACATTGTGCAACAGAAACGATAGACGCCAGTAGCATGACTGCTGTTGCCCCCCAGGTCATCCCTAAAAACCTCGATCCTCTATACGCCGCAATCCCAATATCGTCTCCGTATTTATTGATAACCTCGACAGCCTTGACGATGATCGCAGTGGCTATGGCCGACGCAATGCCGAGGGTGACAAAGGCAAGCTGGAAAAAGGGCAGTTAGTCAATGCTGGACAAGGGCGATTCCCTATTGTTATACGTACCACATCGATAAAGAAGTTCACGACCGCAGACAATCGGCTACCTGCCCAGATACCCCAAAGCGCAGTCAAGATAGCAATGCCCGCAAATGCAATCCCGATGATATAAAACACAACCATTGTTGTGCTGACAATTTTCAAGTCGTGCTCAGTATCCTCAATCGTAGTCGGCCAGTGTATGTCCTCTAAAGTGATCCCATCAGGGAGCTTTTTTTGAATAACCTTGGATGGGTCAAAGTGGAACACCGTCGATCGGTTGGAGCATGCAGTGATATTCTCTCGCGCATTGTGAACAGTGGGTTTAGGCAGGTAGGATCCCTCACAGAAGTCCATCACATGAACGTTGAAAAAATCAGGCAGATTCAAAGCGCTTGCTATGTCAGAAGTCACATTGTTCACCAGGCTGTTGAGATCGCCTTCGAGGTCATTGACCAGATTGCTGAAGAAACCACCATCGCCGTCAGAAGTATTGAATATACTGGTGTGGCCAATTCGAGAGATATTGAGCTTAGAATACGTTAGCCCGAGATTGGCTGAGGAGCGCTCTCAGTATGCCCACCGTCAACAAGTCTGCTCTTTGAAGGAAAGACTTGCTAGATCCTGCGAATATGCAGAGAAGAGAGAGCACAAATGCGGTAATAGCGCAAGCTAGAGTAAGGATGGAGGAGAATCGCATACTGGCGTCTGTTGTGCTGTTTGATCGGTTTTAGGAGTGGCAAGAATTGAGTAGAGCTGGGAATTCATATCACTGGAACATCTGCGTGCACTGGCCAGGCTGTCTGCTGTCTGCTGTCTGCTTTCCGCTATAACTGGAGAGGTGGGAAGCGACGAGAACAGGATGGTGAAAGAGGACGGCTTAAGTCTATACATAGGTGCAAGGATTTGCCAACCAGGGAAGATCGACGTGCTTCAAAACAAGCCATGAGTGATCTCTACAAACAAAGGAAGGCTGTTCGCCTCCGAATCGTATGCACTAAGTGGCTAATTAGCAAGGCAGGGCTTGCAGCCTCTATGTACGGAATACAGAGTGCATCGTGCATCAGGTACCTTGACTTTAGATATGATGGCTGGCTGCAAAGCCCCGGGGCCTATTGTTCGGCATCAATAGAGCAACTGTGACGCGTCAAATGTTGCAGCGCCAACTTTTGATGCGCCTTTGACCAGCGGGAGTGGGTCGGTGATTGGCGCCTCAGCCACGCTGAGGATCGTCGTCTCTACCTACCACAGGAACACAAGTACGTCGGCCACATTCTTGCCTTCGCGTGCCTTTGTCTGCCTAGCTACCAAGTATTTTATGAGGAAACTGATCCGAGGCTAGAACTGCCAACTGAATGACCCAGATTTAGTTCAACCAAAACTTGAAACTTGAGCAAATATCTGGTTGGGAGCATCCTTGAAGTGAGCGCCATGTTTTGCTTTCAGTCAGGGGAGTCCTCACTAGGCTCCTCGTGACCAGTAAAGCTGCTTCCTCCTATTGCAGCGTCTAATAGAGCATGTGGCTGTGCACGTGAGCATTCGTGTTTTGAATACTCCGTAGGCCGTCTCTAATAATTCGTGGTGGTCCCTCGAATTCCCAGGCTGATCAGCCTACAAGAGGCATCGATAACGGGGCGCAGCGCAGGCCAGGCGCTTCTGAGGTGTGCTGCCAGATCATGCTGAAGACTATCAATTCGAGTAAGGAAAATGTTCAGAGACGTTTCGACGGTTCACGGCCTCGTTTACTCAGACTCGCCAGATCCGAGCTGCAGGTCTTGTGTTTCTCGTCGTAGTTCTTTGATGGCAGTCTTCATCCTTGTCAGTGGTGAACCTCTTATCGCCCTCCATTCAACTCACAGCCAGAGCCTCGGGGTTGACACCATTCTCAATGAGTGAGACACAAAGAGAGAGCTGTGTCCTGTCCAACTGAGTATTCTACCGTGGCTTGTCAGCCAGTGGTAGCATTAAGCTAGGTAACGGCCTACCAGCAAGATCGATATCTCCTCGAGGATATCGACAACCTCCCTCGCTTTCTCACGCTTGGACTCTGTCGGCGGCATCTTGCAGGACAAAAGGGGTGTTCGCAGGCGTGTCAGTTCCCAGAACGTTCGAACGATGATGAATCAGCCATGAATCGTGAGGCTGGGATTGCTACAGGGAGCAGATATTATCAGAGGGACGCGTCAAGCGAGGTTGCCACTTAGAATAACGCCAAGACCAACTGCGACTTATTAATTCCTAGAAGTTTAATTGGTACCTGGTATGTGGTATTGATAGCCCTGGCGCGTCTTAACCTTCTGGTGAGGCTACGCACTTTATATATACCTTATACTATGATGTGCGTGTTTGTACGCGGATAGCGCCTGTTAAGAGATCCTCTTCGTATCCACCAGTGTAGAGATTTCAAGGTCGTCGTTGTCGCCTCGTAAAGAACGTCGCCATTTAGGGCGTAGAGAGAACCTTGTTAGACTTGTGAGAGCGTCCGATCGATTACCTTAGTACTTGTAGTTAGCAGGATTAGCTCCTTAGCTGCCTTGGCACTGGGCGCGCACTGATGGGGTCAAACACCAGTACAAGTTAGGTGTAGAACACTCTGTTAATACAGAGTTATGTGTAAAAGATGCGGTGCGGTAGTCAGGTACTCCTGAGGACCAATATTCGTGTTTCACCCCCGTTGCCAGCCTCGGGGCGATCTACACTCGACTTCAGACTTCTCGCTGTTCTTTACACGATCGAGGTTAAGCAGATGGTCCTCGCAACACATGCAGACCCCGCTCATCATGTGGGATTTATGGACTTGCGCGCTCTTCCTCGCTCCTGCATCCCACATATGTTGTCGAGCTTAAGGGCCTTGGAACGGAAACAGTTTTCCTCCAATGAGATATTCCCCTTTGACGACAAGCTGCTTGCGAAGCATAATACGGCAGTGTTCGTTGGGGTCTTGCATGTCGAGTCACAACCAGAGCTTGTGGCCTACGCCGTCTGTGTAAGATGGAACCATCGACTTCTCCTCCATAAGATCTGTGTCTCCCCAGCTTACAGACGGCAAGGGCTGGGAAGTCGACTGATGCAGATGATAATTGATCATGCTCATCGTTGGTCGTGCCGTGCGATTGACTTGTGGGTGGATGAGGCGAACCACAAAGCGCGAAGCTTGTACTCCAAACATACCTTTGAACTTCAAGAGACTGTACTTGACTACTATGGGCCAGGTCGACACGGTCTCAAAATGTGCCACGCTCTCCAGCCTTGACCCATCAATATCGGTGCTGCCAGGAGTGGCGCATTCTCTTGCAAGACTATCCCTTGCAGCATTTATGGGCTCCCAGATAGCCCTTGCCCTTCCCAAAGAGATGATAAGTGCTTGCAGCTGCGCTCTATTATTTCTCCTTTTCCTCCCCGTTCTGAGCTGCAATTATCTGTCGGACGCGTGGCATTCTCCCAAAGAACGGTATCTTACTCTCTCGCAGGCCATATGAATGCCTATCACTGGAAGGTGGGGGCCTTCATTGGCATGTTTCCTTGCTTTGTTTGCAGGCTCTGTGACAGCTGTGCCAGATCTGGCCTTTCCATTCAACTCCCAGGTGCCGCCTGTGGCATACGTCTCGCAGCCATACGAATTCGCCTTCTCCCCGTCAACTTTTGTCTCAGATGGGCCTCAGATATCCTATACGCTCAGCAATGGACCCAATTGGCTTAAGCTCGACAGCGTCTACCATAGGTTCACCGGAACGCCTGTCGAGAAGGATGTGGGAGCCAATACCTTTGATCTAATCGCGTCCGATCAAACAGGGGAGTTGTCGACCAGCATTACGCTCATGGTCGTGGAGTCAACGGACTTGGAGCCAGATGAACTCGTGTTGCCCCAGCTGGAACAAGCCGGACCGACATCTCCGCCAACATCACTACTTCTACATCCCCTGCAGCGCTTCTATCTGCCCTTCTCTAACAGCACATTCCGTGGCACTAATGAGAGCACGAACTATTATGCTGTTTCAGCGGACAACTCGCCTCTTCCATCATGGATACAGTACGATCCATCCCTCCTGCTGTTCTCAGGCACCAGCCCTCCCTTGGTCTCAGCTTCAGCTACTCCACAGACGTATGGAGTACTTCTGATTGCGTCAAACATCCCCGGTTTTGCAGAAGCGGCTGTCCACTTCGATATCATCATCAGACACCATATTCTAGCCTTTTCAACAACGTCCCAGGTTTACGACGTATCTGAGAGCGTTACCTTCAAAACGCCACCACTGCGTTCCAAACTCCAACTTGATGGACAGCTCATAGAAGATGCCCAGATTACCAGTGTCGATATGGACGGGCCCGAGTGGGTCAAACTCGACAGAGAGCAGCTGTCGCTGAGTGGTACCCCAGGACCTTCGGTCGGTAACACTACTGTCACAATACACGTTGAGGATATATACAATAATACCGCCCATGTGTCCATTTTGCTACAGGTGCAGACGTCTTCAGTCGTGGACCTAGGCACTCTTGCTGATGTCAACGTGACTGTGGGAGATTATTTTTCATATCCTCTAACCTCCCCAGCATTCTCACCATCTCTTGGGACGCCGACCATCCTAGGCCAGTCTTCTGACTGGCTTCACTTTGACCCATCCAGCTGGGTGTTATCGGGGGAGCCACCGTTGAGTCTTTCTGGAAGCAACATCAATGTCACTCTCACATTCCAAAATGTCACGCTGAATGCCAGTGGCTTGATCGTCTTGCATCTGGTGCAGGGCTCTGCAACGACATCAACACAATCTACTGGGGTAATGGAGACAGCGACAGGTTCCGTAGCCAGTCAAACGAGCCGGTTTTCTAATCTATCGGAAACCGCAACGAATAGCAAAACATCAAAACGGCATGTGGTAGCCATCATACTAGCTACCGTTCTCCCTGTTCTTGGAGTCTTGCTCACGATTTGCCTGATTCTGTACCTGATGAGAACGAGCCGTGGTTCGGACAACGTGCTTGTTGCCTCAGACGATCTGGGCTCAGCTCACGCCAGAGAGCCTAGTGAAGACCAAGATGCTTCCGTTCCAACTGGGTCATCGCATCAGATGAACGAACAATCTGGAAACCCTCATCCCATACCGCCTGCTAGGCTTCCGGAGATTGAACTGTTATGGTCAAACGACTCCCTACGGCACTCTAAACTCAGATTGTCCGGCATAGAGCAACCTAATCGAGATGGCTGTTCGACACTATCTCGGACTGAGGAAAACTTGCAAGGAGAGTCGCGCAATTCTAACACTGTTCAGCCCACAGCGAAGAATAATATTCAGAGGAAAAATTCAAGCACGAGACCTTCTACAGAGGATTTTCTGATTTCAGCGCCTGCCAGTGGAAGTGGAACGATACTCAATGTGAAGAACAGAGCCTCATTACTGCCTGGACTTCAAAGTATACAGCAGCTCGAGGCTGGTCTTCCGACCAGGAACAGTGGCGCAGGACATGGTGCCGGAATCCCTGTATATCCGGACAAGGGTCTGAGCCGGAATTCGTGGAGAGATACATGGCTGTCCAATCCATCCAGGGAAACTAGGCGGAGCACTGTTGTTCTAGAGTCGTTTCCCATACCTCCAGGGGACAGGTCGATACAAGACAGGACCGGGTCCATGTCAATAAAAACTAATTGCCAGCCTCTTGACTTTGATGACAATGACGAGTCTCTATCATTTGAGACGCGACGTCAAAGGTGGCACACTGAACGCGCACGAGCTCGCTTGGAAGGGGTCGCGCGCTTTTCTAATGCAGGTACCTCACGACTCGCATCGTCACCACGAACGTTGGGGGCAGGCAGAAGAAATCCAAGGGAGCCGGTTGAGCGATCAACTACAGCAATGGGGGACATCACAAACATCGAGGGCATTGCGTATGGAGAGCATTCATGGCCAAAACGGCTAGGGACCGGGCCAGTCAATATCCGAGTAGGAGGTATGCCAAAATTGAGGGGAAAGCCCAGTATTGCCAGTAGCAGGTAGTTCGAGTCTTTAGCATCCTCGAGCAGTCAATGGGATCCCGAAGACGGCATACTGCAACTGACAGATAACCAGGAGTCGGAATGGGAATCTGATGATGGCTTAGAAGTATCGCAACGGGGTATATCTAGCCAGTTCCTATAGTCGCGTATGCCTGATAGAATAGGGTAACGCCGTTTGGGAGTGGTGAAGGAGTGAGTACTGTTGATAAGGGAAGTTGTAGTTCAGGCTGATGCTGGCTCTGGCTGTGGCTTGGCGCAAGGCATCCTTTGGCACTGGAGCGCGGTAAAGTTGAGTCTACTTTCGGCCTTGTTCGTCATTTATCGCACTCGGGGGTCAGTCTCAGCAAACAACCTGCGCTTGCACTCGGTGACACTCTCTCCCACCTCCATCTCTAATTCTGCACGCGGCACCTTGATATTCACTCAGAAAACACGCTTCGCGCCTCATCATCACCTCTATTATCACCCTGTGCATGCATCGGCCATACATCCTCATTGCCTTCTAAAACCCTGCACCCCTCCCGTTCCTGGTCTTGCACCGCTCGTCCCTTTCGTCTTGTGACAGCTTATGACCTCGCGTGCGAAGTGCACATGAACACCGCCACTCACGGCATCCATACACAATAAAGAGCTGCAAACATGGGACAGACTCTGTCGGAACCGGTTGTCGAAAAGGTGCGTTCAAATTTGCAAGTTATTACCCGGCATGCGAAGGCAGAGACTTGCGGTGCTCGCTGGGTCGGTGGCGGCAAAAGCCAGAAATGCACCTCAAGGTCTAACCTCGCATGCGAGCGTCAAGCATTTTGTCATCACCATCACTAACAATGGGTCATGACAGATATCCGACAGTGGCGCAGATGACTGTGTTATATACGGTCTCTCAGCGATGCAAGGATGGCGTATAAGCATGGAAGACGCGCATGCCGCTATACTCGATCTTCAAGCCGAAGGAAGTGGAAAACCACCCAAGGCTGCCAACCCTGACAAACGTTTAGCCTATTTTGGCGTCTACGACGGGCACGGGGGAGAAAAAGTAGCACAGTTTGCCGGGGAGAACGTGCACAGGATTGTTGCAAAACAAGATGCATTTTCCAAAGGAGATATCGAACAGGCTCTAAAAGACGGTTTTCTGGCCACAGACCGTGCCATTCTGAATGGTTTGCATCCTTGATCGAGTACGTTACATGCCCATACTAAAGAAGTTGCAGATGCGCGTTACGAGGACGAGGTATCCGGATGTACCGCGTCTGTTGGTATCATATCAAAGGATAAGATCTGGGTCGTGAGTATAATTCTGACCCCCGAGCACAAACCTCAACTCACATGTCTAGGCCAATGCTGGAGACTCCCGTACCGTACTTGGTGTGAAAGGACGAGCAAAACCTCTCTCATTTGACCACAAACCGCAGAATGAAGGTACTAAACCCACGCATCAATACAGAGGGATTCCCTAACCCAATATCCAGGTGAAAAGGCTCGAATAAGTGCTGCTGGTGGTTTTGTCGACTTTGGTCGAGTGAACGGCAACCTAGCCCTGTCACGTGCCATTGGTGATTTCGAATTCAAGAAGAGCGCCGATCTGTCCCCCGAGCAGCAGATTGTCACAGCGTTTCCAGACGTGATCACACATGAGATCTCTGAAGACGACGAATTCCTGGTTATAGCCTGCGACGGTAATTCTCTGTGCCGATACCCCCGTGCAATCTGTTACTAATTAACACAGGCATTTGGGACTGTCAATCCTCCCAGGCCGTGGTCGAATTCGTCCGAAGAGGGATTGCTGCGAAGCAAGAACTACACCTCATCTGTGAGAATATGATGGACAACTGTCTTGCATCCAACAGCGAAACTGGAGGCGTCGGCTGTGACAACATGACTATGATTGTTATCGGCCTGCTCAACGGCAAGACGAAGGAAGAATGGTACGAGCTGGTCGGTAAGCGTGTGGCAGAGGGCGACGGCCCATGTGCACCACCAGAGTACGGCAAGTCCAACCTCAATCCGCAAGGCCAAGTCCCTTCTAACTTCGCACAGCCGAGTTCCGTGGACCCGGGGTTCGACATCAGTTTGATCATGATAGTCCCGACGAGTATGAACTTGATCTAGATCATCGATCGAGAGGTTTCGGTGGGCGGGGCGGCCGTATCATTCTACTTGGGGATGGTACTGAAGTTTTGACAGACTCGGACGACGCGGAAATGTTCGACCAAAGTGAAGAAGACAAAGACACGGCAAACCAAATCAAGAAGAGCCCGTCGGACACCTCGGATGTCGACCCGGCTCGTAGCGAGCGAGAAGGCACCCCTGCTCCACAATCCGCCAGCGAGGAGTCGAAGGGACGCAGCCAATCTGACACTTCGCACGGATCGGATTCAGCGATCGCAGACGACACCCGGGAGAAGAATGCTGTCTAGTGTAAGAGAAAGGAGGAGATGCGCAATGACTGGGGCAGATCGAAGATTCACCACGACTCGAGATACCCCCCGTGCCCTCAGAAGGCCGATGAAGGAGATATTAGCATGCATGACCGTCTAGAACCACATCAAAGACCTGGTGATTGGGGTCTTTCCGTGGGCCATGTTTCCATTCTGTCGAGATACACCAGAGAATCGAGGGTAGCAGGATGTGCTTGTTTTGTGTACCACGTTCATGCTACGCAGAGAGGCGTTGCCAATGACTTTTCCGCCACAGAGCAGCACCAACTGCTCGTAGCTTGGAGGCGTTGCCCTGTTTTCTGCATGTAGGAGGCAGACACTACTATGCACACTGGTTGAGGCTGTGTAGTCCACCAGTATGTACGGATAAATCGCATCCATTATTGGGTTGGTTGAAGGTGCACGGGAAGGTCGAAGCACGGATATGACGTTGACCTGCAGCTCCACCTCGAACTTGCCAGATGAGCACACTGCCACACAGTAGAAAAGTACAGCACGTCTGGGTGACGGCATTACCGCAGGCCAGCAGCAGGTTTCCGATTCTCGCCAATGCCATGTTCTTCAAGCTGGCTTGTTGCAAGCAATAGATTCTTCGCTCCGTGGTTCGTCACCATTCTGACCTAACCTCGACCAGGTTGGACCTCATCCGCTCGCTCTCTCCTGACTACCACTTCCTGGAAATTGACTTTGCTCCTTGGCACCCGTGGAATCACCTTCTATCGACTGCTAAGTAGTGGTGTGCTTCCGCCTGGATATCTCTCTTCGTGTGACTGCCTCATCCCAGCTTCTGCATAGCAAGTCGATCGATCTAGTTTCCACGATGTCCTCTCCTTCGTCTTCAAGCTCGGTCAAGCGAAAGCGGACAAACGCGTCAGAACACCTCAAGTCCAGTGCAAACGAACTCCAGCAGCCATCATCTCGTGATGCTTCTGGCGAAGATCTCGCGGATTCCTCCTCTCATAACAACCGAACGCGCAAGCACACCTCGAGCAACTCTGTTGACAGTACCGTGCCACCTAGTAAGCGGGCACGCACTCGACCCAGTGCAGATTCCACAAGCCCCAACGGCGCAGGACACGACTATGAGGACCCCGCTTATGCCAGTGACGGTGACAGAGAGTCAGATGACAGAGAGACGCAAAGGCAGATGGCTGTTCCTAGCTCGGTGAAGAAGGCCATGGTTGCTGGTGATGATACCATGCACGAGCCGCCGAAGGCTGGCTTGAGAGATCCTGTGGGATACAAGACAAACCCACCACCAGTGGGAAGACCCGTGAGGGTGTACGCCGACGGAGTGTTTGATTTGTTCCATCTTGGGTAAGTCAAGGAATCCCCTGTTTCCTTTTTTTTCATAAAGCACCCCTGACTTCGGTAGACACATGCGCCAACTCGAACAAGCCAAAACGGCATTCCCAGACACTTACCTCATTGTCGGAGTCACAGGTGACGCAGAAACACACAAGCGGAAGGGCTTAACTGTACTCACTGGGGCGGAAAGAGCAGAGACCATCCGGCATTGCAGATGGGTGGACGAGGTTATTCCTAACTGTCCATGGATCGTCACGCCGGAGTTTCTCGAAAAACACAAGATTGACTACGTTGCTCACGACGATGAGCCATATGGAGCGGATGAAGGAGATGACATCTACGCTCCTATCAAGAAAGAAGGCAAATTCCTCGTGACACAAAGGACGGAAGGAGTCTCCACGACGGGAATCATAACCAAGATTGTTCGGGACTACGAGAAGTATATCGCCCGTCAGTTGAAGAGAGGAACTAGTCGTCAAGAGCTGAACGTCAGCTGGCTCAAGAAAAACGAGTTGGACATCAAAAGACATGTGCAGGAACTGAGAGACAGCATCAAGACGAACTGGAGCACTGCTGGAGGGGAGATCGGACGAGACCTCCGACAGTTCTGGCAGAATGCCAGCTCAAGGCCCGCCAGCCCAGCTCCTTTTAACAGACAGCTCAGCGATGGCCTGAGAAGTCCAAGCGCTGCTAGTGCCGTCGACCATTTGAAGCACCTGGAGGTGCCCGGCAGTGCCGACAAGCGCAGCGACTCTCCGGGCGGACTCAGTCGAAGCGAAGACTTTGCAGCCGGCTACAGCTTAGGATTGATCGGAGGGGTCAAATCATGGGTAAGCTTCCATCACTACCGTTCCTAAGGGAGACTGGCACTAACCTCGCCCGACCCAGATGATGCGTGGCAAGCGAGCTCTCCGGGATAGCCAACCCCCGAGTCCCGATGGGAGTGAGGACGACGAAGCAAGGAGCCCTTTCAGCAACGAGGGCGATGTCACTCTCGAGCTTAAAACACCTCCAATGGGTCGAGGTAGGAAAAACAAAAATAACAGCGACCCTGATGAAGCACGGCGAGAGGCTATGGATGTTCTGCATTGATACTATGCGGCCGAAGAACTTGCTATTCAGCCAGTTTTATCTTTGGAGAGCAGCGACAGCCTATCTGTCCAAGGCTTCTCGATTTACAACGAAGTGGCTGTCATTCGGGGGCTGGGTTTAGGGGGTACACTACTACCCGAAGAACGAACAGTGGAAAGGAAAAGTCTTTCGGGGTTTCACGGAGTGGCCTTAAAGTACACACCAACAGTAGGTATCCTTGCTCAATATAGACATCTTTGACCTACGAGTTTGAAGTCATCATGTGAGACGTGGCGAGTGCGTAGAATTTCGGAAACAGTAGGGACCACTTGACTCGCGAGGCCCGATTGTTTGATACTTGTGTTTTTCCATAGCTTTGCTGGTATTGAACGTCTATGGTTCAGCCATAGTTTGGCAGGCAAGCCATAGTCATCCTTTCAGCGCTTGAAGAGTTGCCCGTGACCATGCCTCATAGTATGCTTTGATTCCTCCGATTCCAGACTGTTTGTAATGCAAACCAGGTTTGTGAATCGTTGGTATTCCATGTCTCACGCCTTTCGCTCGTAGCCTCATCATCTCGATTTGTCTATGACCTGGGCTTCTCCTTCTTCTCCTTCCACAGAGCCGTCAAACCAACACCAGAGACCTTGACAACCTTGAATCGCACACCGGGAATATCACCCTTGGCCTTGCCCTTTCGACCGAAACCGGCGAGGAGAACTTCGTCGTTCTCATCCACAAAGTTCAAGCAACCATCGTTAGGCACTGTAAGCAGACAAGACCTGTTAGCACCCTTCCGCCAATGTAGCATCAGTGGCCTCAGGTCCACTGGATTATCCCATGGGGGACCGCGGAATTGTTAGGTTCCTCTGTAACGTACCGAAAGCAGTAACCTTCTTTCCGTTCTTGATCAACTGCACTCTGACGCATTTTCGGATGGCGGAGTTGGGTTGTTTGGCCTCGACACCGACTTTTTCGAGCACAATGCCCTTGGCGTGCGAGGAGCCACCGAATGGAGAGGATTTGTAGGCGGTTCCGAGCAGACGCTTCTTGTAGTGCAGATCGGCCCAGCGACCTTCCTTTCGGGCGGCGACGAGCTTGCGGGCGGCGTTCAAACCGCGGGGCTTGCCTCTGTTTGTCATTTCTGGAGGTTGCAAAAGAGAGTTAGAATTGCTAGATATTTCGAGGAAGCTTAGGGAGATGCGAATGAGTCAATTGCGGGCTCAAATGGGCGCTTCTCAAAAGCGAAACGTTCGTGCTGAAATCGTCTGGAGGGAATTGGTACGTACTGGCAACTGTGACAAGCAGAAATGGAATGAAGGGAGGGATTGACGGCGGTTGAGGTCGTTGTCGATAATTTGCGGACCAAGTTGAGATGGTTTCTCAAGTCTCAGTGCGGCTGCCAAGACTGCGACGACGGAAAATGCACTTGGTCTCCAGCAGAGGCGGTGAGGAGCGGCAGAATATTAGTCCTGCGGAACATACGTACTGTATCATGCAGTCCCGCAAATTGTTGATTTGGCCTTTGGCGGCGCCCCCACAGCCGACCATATCCATGTCACTACTCCGTACTGCATGGATAGCATTGCTTCTTGACGCGAGAGCAACGCTCTCTGCCGACCCAGATGTCGTCGTCCTCCAAAAAGCCGCCGCAATTGGAGGTGGCTGCGCCGTCGCCTTCAGATCGCGAGCGGCCGAAACTCAACACTTCGCGAGCGACTGCGCACCGTCTCCCTCCGCCAGCCCTATTCCAAGGCCCTCCGTCCAAGAATGCATCGCACATCTCCCTCGTCCTGCCAGGCGATAGGGTCCCAGGAGCTCCGCCGGACGCAGAGCATCCGCCACGCATGCATCGGCCTGCCCGGGTTCCTGCAGCCTCGTCGTTCTCGGGTCCCGCGCTCCGCCAACCCCTCGCTGACGCGGACGACCGCCGAGCAGAGAGCCTGTGGGCGGAGATGCAGAAGACGCTGGCCGATGTGGAAGTTTCGGCGATGAATACGTCGCACGTGTTCGGGGCATCACACGCCAAGGCGTTGGAAGATCTGCGCGCCGCCCAACTCTCGCTCGCGCAGACTTGGGCCAAAACCGAGGCGGATGAACTACATGATCACGAATTCAACATTGCTGCAGCCAATAACAACATCAATCACATTAACATCAACACGGAGGTCGTCGGCCAGCTGGACACGGGAACATCTACCCCTGTAAATCCTAGTCCCGGTCTTAATCCCAGCAAAGGGACCAAGGGCACCAAGGGCACCAACAAGGGCGATGGTAACGGCAAGCGCAGTGCGTTCACCAGCAACAAGAATCTAGAAGAGGAGACGGAGCGAGACATCCAACTGGCGCGCAAACGGAGAGAGGCCAATGACCGCTACTTCAAGCAAGTCAATCGGGGGGTCCTCGATGTCGTCAGCAAGCTCGATGAGGTAGCTGGTGCCATGCGCCGGGTCGAACGAGAGTCCCGCGAAATTTGGGATGAGTCGAGTGATTCCAGCCTCAGTGGCACCGAAAGCGGTTCGGTAACCGATCACACCAGACCAACAGACAGTCCGGAACCAGTTCACAAAGAACGCTGAAGCCGATCCTTGTGGACTATACAATGAGCCTTGTGGGACGAGAATTTCCTCGCAGCGATTGCTGTAGCAACCTAAACACGTGCCCTGTGTTCAACCCGGGTGCCATGATCCCATCCAACTTCGTCCAAGGATACCATGCTTCTGTTGTCATGATGTTAAAGATCAGCAGCATTAGCAAGGGGGATGGAGCTTCTTGGATTTTGTCGAGCATTATCCTACGCCGCACGGCCTCGTACCTCGCTCAATCGAGTGGTTCGAGGTGTGACACGCACGCATCGTGGACTGACAGACGTCCGAACAAGGAACGTCAAGCTTGGCCCGTAATTGTGACATAAGACACGGAAAGGGCGAGCACCTCTTGGGGTTCATGCATGTAGCACTATTCTCTACTGAAATTATCTCGTGCTTCATACTACTAACTCATATCTGGAAAGTCTCTTGCTGCCCAACTCCAGACTCGGAGGCTGGGTCTGGTCTACTTCGACTTCGACGATAGCTTAACCAGTTCGACATTCTGTTCGGAATGCTGGCTCCTGCTGCGTTGGGCATGGTGGACTAGATAGCCCCAAGCCACGACAGCCGAGGGACTCTCACAAGAATTCATAAAAGAAGATAGTCCTGGGACTTGGTTCATCGGTACGGCTCTCAAGTCTTGCTTGTTCTATGGCTCTGCGAAGGGTCATGAGGCTTGGGCTGTCCGATGCCTGCCTCGTCCAAAAGCATTTCATCAATCTTCCCTTTCGTGCACGTGTTTGAAGCTGAAAGCGGAAGCCCTTTGACACGAGATTCAGAAGGTCAGGGGAAGCTATAAGCTACTGCTATGGGATTGACGCACAAAGCTCCCAAGTCACACATCTCAGTCCCTATATTGTGGTCTATGCTCGTGGGTTGTATATAGCCATAGACTGACCGACCCTTCATTCTTCATTCGCTGTCATGAATACATCAGCGAGGCTGTCCTAATAATGTGAGTTTCGTTCCGCTTCGTTTATGCCTGGACCAATGCCTTGTTTGCTCCACCAGGAGCCATCAAGAGATTCCATTCAGAGCCAAATCAATTCCCTGCCTCACCCCCGCCGCCTTGATCAAATCGACTCCGGCTCGTCCGCCTTAAATGGAAGCCTGAGTCGGAGTCACGATGCCGTCCTTCCTGCTCAGTGAAGCGTACAGACGTACTTTGCCGCGTACGAGAGTGTGACGGAGGCTTTTCGTCCGTGGTATCTGACGTGAGTTCAGAATGAGGCACGCTGCTGAGCTGTCCATGCAAATTTTCGGAACTTTCATTCATAGGATCGGTACCCTCGGTCCAGTCGTCGTTGCAGGCACCTTTCGATCCCGCTGAATTTGGTCGGCTGCCTGTTGTGAGGGCCTGGGACGAATCAGAATCGCTGCGGCGACGGATCTTGACACTGTGGGTCAGAAATGAAGACCTTGTTCGAGGCAGGGATGCCAGGAAATCAGTCTGATATTCTTCGTCATCCAGTTCCGCCCATATGCCTCTAGCGTTACCGTCCGATTGCGCCTGAACGGACTGTGGGGGTGGACCTGTGCGACCAACCAAGAGTGGCGTCTGCTCATCCACAGAGCGTCGTGAAACAGAGGTAGAACTTCTCTCCCGTGCTGTGGGAGGCAATGGATGTCGTTCGTCAGTTGGTGATTGCATCAAACCCATGCCGGGTGTCAGAGGCGTTGGAGGCGGGAGCACTGGATGAGCGGACTCTGGTGGTGTCGTATCATCCAATCTCCACGACAAGGCGAACACTCCAGAGAGTAATACGACTGTGCCTAACGCCACGAGGCCGGCATGCAGGGCACTGAGCCTGGAGGCTTGTTGGAAATAAATCAAACCGTCTAGAATAGCTATGATATTGTAAACACAAAACACAAAGGGGTATAATACACTTGTACTGCAGAGACGAAGGCCGAGGTGGAGGTAATATAACTGGGTCAAGGCGAAAAAGAGAAGCGCCATGAGAATAAGCCATGATTGAAAGCGGTTGAACTGGTTCTTGTGATCGACGATTGTCCGGACAAGAAGCTCGACTGCGGATTTTGCAACCAGGAGTGAGTGGGCGGATAAGATGCCCGATATCAAGGCGTAGCACAAGCCTCGAATTAGTCGCAAACGACTCATTCTGGTTCGCACCGGTTGAGGTAGTTGAGCTGTGAAGGAACGATTGAACGTTATAGAACCGGCTGAAGTCGTAGACACAGACCGAGGTCTTTCGGCCTTGAGGAGACTTTGTGCGATGTACTTGTGAGACGCCCAGACTCTAAGGACGTGGGCAAACATGATGGTGGCGACTACCACGACCATTGTTCCAACCATCCATATTATGAAGTCCCGTTGACGGAGAAGATCCAGCAGCTGTTGCAAATTATGCGCGGGTTCGCCGATGGCGCCAAACGTAGCGATGAGGGCTGCGCCGGAGCAGGTGAGTATTGTACCCACAAGGGAGAAGTAAGTGAAAGGCTCGCCGAGGAAGAGTGTCGCAAATGCGGTGTTGAAGACTAGGCCTGAAGCCTGGAGGGTAGACAGGACAGGCAATGGTAGTGTGGTGATTTGTATAGTGCTACCGACCACATTCGAGATCAGAAACATGAACATTCCCAGCTGCCACTTCCTCCTTTTGTAAGGGGGGCGGCGCGTCTCTGGGAGATCTTTGGCATCTTCAATAATATGTGACTTTCGTTGAAGGGTCAAGCCGAGGCTCTGGACTGAGGTAGATAGGAGGCCAACAATGATCCCGATCTACTTATAGGTCAGTGAACGCCCTCCCGCGGGTATGTGAGACGTACAGCGATACTGCCCTGAGGCGAGATGCCCCCAAGCTGTCCCATGGTCTGGAAATGCTGGGGTAATTCCAAGGTCCATCCGTGATCCTATGCTCTCGACGGAGCTGAGCATCTTGGGCTCCCAAGCATGAATGTGAGGCTTTAATGAGAAAGGGGGTCCATATTGTGGGGTAGAGATACAAAGCGAGGAGATGTGCAGTAAAGTGTGTCTCGTATGAGGGCGGTGTAAACAGGTAGGAAGGCTGTCAGAACGTGTTTGACATCGCGGCGGGCGAGTGACTTCATATCATTGATTGATGGGTTGCGGCATGGGGCAGTTTCCCGCCCCGTAGTCCGGAAGCAGGTACTACTGTGTATCACTGGAGCTCAACCGCCTTGATACGCTCACGGCGAGGGTCATACCTGAGCTTCCTCTCACGTTTCTCAGTGACACAAGACCAGCAACTTGTACTCCGGCTCCGATCTTGTCGATTGGCATTTCGCGGCTTCTAGCAGACTGTGGAGCCGAGCACTACTAGAGTTGAGACAAGTTCGACAGCAGGAAATCACCAAGACTGCGCCTAGCATCGCCCTCGTTGCGATCTCGTTGTCGAAAGTTTGAGAATACTTCCCTACGGCTCCTGCAAGATAGTACAATCGCATACACCGCCAGCATGTCGTCCCACGCGCTCTCGGACGACCAGGTATGCCTCTGCAGATGGCCAGCCAGAGTTGCCCAGCTAATCAAGCCCTTGAATACATCAGGTCGCCTCCGAGCTGAAGAAGATGACCGCCTTCATCAGACAAGAAGCGCTAGAGAAAGCCCGCGAGATTCACCTCAAGGCAGACGAAGAATTTGCAATTGAGAAGTCTAGACTAGTACGCGAGGAGATCGCTGCCATTGACAATGAGTACGAGAAGAAGTTCAAACAGGCTTCCATGTCTCAGCAGATTACACGCTCCACCATGGCCAACAAGACCCGGATAAAGGTGCTCAGTGCCCGGCAGGAGTTACTGGACAAGTTGTTTGAGCAGACCAGAGGAAAACTGGCTGCTGCGGGAGCCAAAAATAAGAACTACGAGGAGATTCTAAAAGGACTGATCCTTGAGGGCATGTACCTCCTTTGTGAGAAGAAGGTCGCCATACGGTGCCGAAAGGCGGATAAGGAGAAGGTTCAAAGTGCAGCGAAGAAAGCGTCTGCCGAATACAAGGAAAAGATGGGCAGCGATGCGGAAGCTGTGGTAAACGAGGACGACTGGCTACCAGACGAATCGTAAGTTTCCTGGCTGAATTTCGGTGGCAGCATGGCATGAATCTGACTTATTCACCAGATCGGGCGGAGTTTTTGTTGTTGGTGGTGGCGGCAAGATCGAGTTGAACAACACCTTCGAAGAAAGACTACGGTTGTGTGAGACTGAAGCTCTTCCCAGCATCAGAGCCACCCTGTTTGGGGAGAACAAGAACAGGAAGTTCCATGATTAAGCGGTTATCTACTTACATTCAAGCGGGTCTATTGTTCGGTCCAGAAGGCGGAAATATGCGTCTTATATCTCGTCGGCAGGGAGACATCAAGGGTGAGCTCTGATAGAGGCTGGGCGGCGGGATTCAGAGCACATCCATGACATGACATGAAGAGGCTAGTCTTGTCTGCTTCATCGCAACTGAGGTATAATTGACACCACCATCTGCACACAGGTCGGTCACTCAGAATACGCTGTGAAGGCACACATATTTACAACGTCTCTTCTTGTCAAATCATCAATCATTCAACCAAACGCCATGCTCGTTAACAATACATCGTCAGGCCTGCCACTCTTGAACAAACAATGCATCTCAAGTGAAACTCCCATCAATCACGGTCTACATACCTTCATTCGCTCAGCTCCAGCTGCTTACGAATCAATCTCTCTGTCTCGGAAGGTGCGGGCGACTCCTCGGAAGATGTGACAGTCACGTCTGTCGTGAAAGCCTCGTTTGACGTCGCGGACTGCAAATCGTTTTCTTTTACCTTTGCCTGCTGCTTCTCTTTCTTCCGAGCCAAGAACTGTTTCATGAAATCCTTGCCCTTTTCCTCAACTCGAACTTCTTCGGCGTCTCGTGTTCTCCCAATCGTGCCATCGAAGATGTTCTTCTTGGGACGTACCTCAGTTCGCACGCTGTAGAGGAGGCGCCAATGGAGGGCTTGTAGAACATCCTTGGCCTCAGTACGGGTCATATGCGAGGCACCCGTGTCGATTATTGATATGAATGATGATCGAATGGTATCTGCCAGATGATCGACGGATCTGTTGAACGAGACCTCTTGGGCGCGCGAGGGAAAGGTCGTGGGACGGCCACCATCGGATATTGCAATGTCAAGAATGTATGTCCGGGCCCGTAAAGCCACGTAGTCAAGGGTATGGGGACCTTTGCGACGTCTCGTGTCAAAGGACGCTGATGTCGACACATGCTCTGCGAGGACATCAAGAGAGATCTGGGGTATCAATGATTTGTTGTCCTTGATGGCTACTACGCCCAGGAGAAAAGATTGCGCGAGTAAGATGCGGACTCGGGAGGCCGTCGTGGATGTTGGGGGGACATGAGAGAGCAGGTGCGCCTGCAAGACTGCGTCTTCCAGATGGTGACCGACATCAGCAATCATACTCTCAGCAACGTGACAACGCAGGCCTGGCTCCGGTAAGGAAAGGAGCGTTTCCAGCATTCCATCGACTTTGCTGGACACTCGACCATCACTCATGAGCTCGCAGTCCACGGCGAGTCGGCAGACAATCGAAGTCAGTCTGCTCAGTGCCATGAAATCTAGATCCTGACACACCGATTGGAAAAGTTCCAATGCGGCGATGAGATATCGCGGATCACGTTTGGAAGGTGTTCTGAGGAGGCGATGTCTGGGCTGGATAGGGACGGCATCCTGAAGACTAGCACTGTCTGCTCCCAGGGTCTGGAAAACAGCCTGCACGTCTTCAGGAGTCAGGCTCGTTCTGGTCCACGAAGAACTTGCATTTTGAAGGCACTGGATATACGCCGACCGTACGTCATCCTCTCGCTCAAGGACGACACTTTGAAAAATCCAATTCAGCGCCTCGTCGGACAACCGTCCTTTGAGAGCAAGCTCAGCCATGTACCCAGACGAAAAGGCCCGCGACCGAGCTTCGTCATCTCCTGGGCACCATAACTGATCCGGAATCGCTGTGTCAGGGAAACCGAAGCTCACCGGGGACTGATCGTGCCAATCATTCAGGCCATTCACCCCAAAGAACAAAAAGACACGGTTGGATGCTAGAGCCTCCGTGCGTTCCACGGCGTTCATGAGCCTTGAAACTCCCGCCTCTCCATCTTCGGTCGTTGCGACTGCTGCCAGTAAATCTTTGTCTATATTCGCATTGGTCTCGACATCCGTTGCCTTGACGGATTCGTGGAAGTCCGCTCGAGACTTCTTAATCTTTTGTTCTAGCTCCTCATCATCGAAATGTTCGTTCAAAATGTCAGATATATTGAACTGGTGCGCCCGCTCTCTTGCATACAGGGCTCGCAGTTTCTCCTTATTATGGGAAGCATTAGAACGGCCTCTGGTGAACAGGTCCAATGTTTTCAAGCGCTCGGCTTCAAGCTTTGCTTCGTCTGCTTCAGGAGAAGATGATACAGAAGTAAGATGACCTCCTCTTGTTATTCCCAGAATATCATCCAGCGACTCTAGCGACTTGAGTGAGTCGGAATCTTCCTCGTCCGAGTCGCGGATTTCAATAACCTCGCCATCTTTGACCACGGCTTGGGTTAAGCTTGGTAAACTTGAGAATGAGAGTGGCTTCACTGGTGTGGGGGATGAAGGATATCTAGTGTCTTTGTCGAATCGAGGCGCCTGGCTATATGTTGATGGCGGATCTATGGGAGGTCTGGAAGCTTTGGGGTGGGGGCTGCGGATGGGAAGAGAGGCTCGGGAGCCAGGGGCGGACAACGGTGACGGGACTGAAGAGGATGAAGGGGTTCGCGCAGGTCCATGTGCAGACTGTTTGACTGCCTTCGGAGTGGTCGTGGAACGGACACCTCCAGTCGGGGTCTTCTGTCCTGACTCTTCGATCGAAGGAGACGGCCGTTTGGTAGGGACACTACTAGCGACATATGGCCTGAAGAAGTCGGCGATGGGTCGCTTTCTAGGGGGGGAAGAAGGCATAGGAGCGACTAGCTAGGGCATTTCAATTGCGAGAGCCGGGCACCATACAGGACCACTGACCCATGGATAATGAATGGGTTTGGGTTTGGAAAGTGTGTTCAGAAGTGAGTATTGGGCGGCTACGCACTGGCAGCGCGCGGAGGCCCCAACGCGGAACGCGCCCAGATCTAGCCTCTCTACCCCGCCGGATTAAGGACATGATGACGCCGCCCTGTAGATCTCACTAAAGCCCTAAGCCTTTGGCCCTTACCACCGAGAACCCTTTTCATAGCCCTCCAAAGATCGGATCAAGTAATGAGTACAAGGTGCGTGCTGGTCTGGGCAGGTTGGACGGTGCCCGGCCAGTTCACAGATCATTACCGATAACATGGGCGGGGATTTCTTCGCTGGCATGGAACAATTCTCGCCGGAGCCTCAGCCTTTACCCCAGCTCGCAACCCCCGACGCATCCAGCTTCAGTGCTTCTGCACGGAGCATACTCGTACATGCAGAAAAATCAGTTGATCTCCAGGGTCAGAGGGGGTCAGAGAGCCTTGAAGGCAACAAGCAGGGCGACGATGCCGCCCATACCATCCAACACAGATCTAACGAGATTCATCCAGTTCCATCGCCTGAGCAGTCCCTCGACCTCGCCGTCTTGAACCTTTTCCCTCGCTGCGGCATCGTTGGAGAGCCCGATCAGTGTCTCGATAGTGCCCGTCATGGCCAGTCTAGTCCAGGGTAGCGTGGCCAAGGTGAGGCCGGCGGCAACGGCATACCCGACACGTCTCTCAGGGTCAAGGATGGCGGCAAGTCCAGTGCTCAGGCTGGACAAGAGAGCGAGCGGGACGATGGTCTTTGCGCCCCGGTAGTAGAGCTCCGTAAAAATAGAGGTGCTGGTCGCCGCAGGGAGACGGTACAAGATGGGGAGAGTAAGTTGAGAAGCTGAGAAGTGGACACCAGAAAGGTAGAGGGAGGTTGAGAGGCCCAAGAGGGCCGACGTGCTGAGGATTGCTCCTTTGTCCATCGGATGAATCTCTGATAGTGGTAGCTGTGTACGGTCTGAGCTGGATCTACTATTGTTGCTGTTTCAGGCAGCCAGGATTGTTGACTGATAGTGGACTGCAATCTCAATCTTTCTTCTTGAGCATTCCATCAAACCCCTAGGAGACACTGCTCACTATTATATTGTATTGATATGCGTACCTGACCCGGGGTTCGGGAGTTGTGGCAATGGTGGGGATGGGGACGGTTCGACATTACCCCGTAACTTCGATACGGGCGTAACCAACACTCCTCACTCCCGTCTCTTTGAAGTACTGTATGAATCCATTTCCGCGTATTCCATGCCAGAGTAGACACGTCTGCATGCTGGTACGTCCGTTAAGCAGGTGCTGCAACACATGATCTCCGCATCTGCCGGCATCATGAGTCCAATTGTTAATTAGAGCCAGTCCACTGACAAGGCACAACAACCTACTAGTATTTCGTGTGTACACGTACATATATATTCAACTACGGCCGAGCGGGATGTAGAACAGCACCGACTGCAGGTCATGCAGCGAGTGGCTAGCCCGTTCGCCCTCCTAGAAGAGAATTCTTGTCAACGAGTCAGACTAACACTGACTCCTCAAGACAATGCGTCTGCCTCGTCAAAAATTTATTAGTAGGCAGCAGTGACTGCAGTATCGAGAAGCTCAGGCTTAGGCTTAAGCCTACTCAATGTGCAAACCAGGTGATCCCAACTCAAAGGCCTTCCAAGCATGTACGATCACAAAACGAACTGAGCGTTCAGCCCCCCGAAAGGGTCCAGCCCAGCAGATACAGGATCAACGCTGAGACAGCATGTTCTACCATTCGTGGTCGAGTCGATACGGGATCGACTCGTGCTAAAAGCGCCGCACGACATCTTAACGGACAAGAATAAGATGCTTGCTGGCTGAATGGATCGATTTATGGATTGGGGCTCGAAGAGCTCCAGGCAACGTTGTTGTCATAGTCAAAGTAAACATTGAGGCATCGATGCAGGATGCAGAGGCACTCTGGTCGCATTTCATATGGTTGTACGGAGTACAAACTCTCGTGCCGAACATGAAAGAGGTGATTGTGTGTCCCGGAGCCTGGAGAGCAGATATCAGGAATTTTTTCTTTGTTTTCCACATGCGAATACTCCGACGTACAGTAGCTTATACGCTGAAGCATTTCTCCGGCGAGTGTTCGCCTGTTGACAACTGAAGTCTGCACACAGCAGTTCGTCGCGTCTCGCCGCTGGCTTCTGTCACCAGGCAAATCCTTCCCATATCAATGGCGATCTCAGCCCAACCCACTCACGTTTGCAGAGTGGCCAGTCCTCTTCGTCCAGAACTCCATGGAGCCCCTGTGTCGAAGCGCCAGATCGTGCCTCGACGCCAGCGTGTCAGGATGATCCTCCTGAGCCTGCTCTTCATTTCGAGGGCCATTAATGGCATATTCGTTCGGTCGTGACTCTCTGCTCGCAGCTCTACGTTACCGAGGCTCCCGTCTGGAGGAGGATTGCCTCTGTTCATACTCATTCTGCCTTTGATGTCACCCCAAGTCCTTGCTTGTTGCCCTTTGATCGCCGTGGGAGCTCATGATGCTCCGTAACACCGTGATGCATGAGATATTTGCCGCACCCTTCTGCAGCCAAGGCGGCTAAAGGTATGTATTGGTAGACAAGTCTTCCCAGCACTTCAGAACGAGGCTGATTGACTAGGCATACCAGAAGCGCAAGTAGTATCGAGCCCCATCTAAAGACGGTGCGATGCTTGTGGTGATGCTCCCTTGCAAGATATACCAACGAGGTGGCATACAATACGCATGCATTCAAGAAAGCTAGCGAGCAGATCGATACGTCCAGGTAATCCTGAGTCGGTTGTCCTGTGGCCTGATCCATATGCTCCCTGCGCTGCAAGGAACAGCTTCTTTGGGGATCCATCATTCGCCATAACTGCTGCCATCTTCCATCGGATGGGAGCCCGCACTGTATGTCAAGGTCCAGGCAATGCAATGATAACTGATAGCGATTGGCGACATAAATGCTACTCAATCCAGATGTAAGTGCTAATAATGAATGCCGTTGACTTTGGACGAAGCCGGCGGGCTCTTGGGGTTCCGACATGTTTGAGCACGGCTGTCAGGTCTGGCTAGTACATATTTCAGCTCAGAAGGAGAATGAAATGGTCAAGATGATTTATTGTGATCTCTCGAATCCATCCAGTCGACCGAGACTACACAGAGCCAGGCTATTGTGCTGGTCTTCACTGTCAGGTGTAGGCCAAAAAGGCGGCATTAAATCGTGGGCATCTGATATCTTTTCTAAGGCCGGATGTGTCAGTCTCGTACGAGTCTGTTTATGATTACTCGATCGTTGCAACCGGCAAAAACAGGTTTTCTAAACGTTGCTTGGGCGGCAGTGCATCGCCTCAGCCACCATCACCTCGAATCGGTAGGTTATCAAATATAATCATGACATTTCACCCCAACCAACAAGTTGGTCACCTCACTCTGCCTTTTTTCCCTTCCTTCCCTCTCTCCCTTCCTCTCATGGTCGCAGCCATCCCTCGCCATCTTGATTCTTCTTTTCTTTCGCGTGCACAAATATTCGACAGGCTGCACTGTCCTTCAGTCTGCGCTACATCACTCTTTAAGTACATGCCACCCTGCCGAGCTGAATTCAGAGCAATAGCAGCCCCCTTCGCTAGGCTTGCAATCGCCTGGCCACAATCTCAATCGAAAATGCGCCGTCGGCAAATTCTAGGGGCTCTGGTACTTGTTCCACAGTATAAGATTGTCGACAGTCGCCCAATCAATTCAACATCGACAATGCCCGCGGACGAGTGGAAGTACTAGTACCTATCAACACCTTCGAACCTCTGCGGTCCTGCAATCACTGGCAGCCGACAGTCCCTCCATGTCATCCCTAGGGACTGCAACCAGCATGCCCAAGCTCAGTCCAACTCTTACAAACGGTATATCTGTGTCGACACGAGCGAAGTCAAACATCACCACGCTTGATTGTGATCTCATCAATGATACAACGGTGGATGAAGCCAATAGAAGGGATATTGATAAGGAGATTCAGTCTCCATTATTCCGAAATATCCTTAAGTGGGCTGCACCTTTACTTGCCTTCTTCTTCACCCTTGCGAATGGGTGGTACAGACCACCGCAAGAGCCAGACATTTTTTGGCCGGTTACAAACCTCGTCGCGGCTGCTGCCATATTGCCTTTTCACGATCAGTCATTCTCAGACATCCTCGGTAATGTCGTGAAAAGCGTTGCGGTGGCAGCCAATGTCCTTCATTACCGGGCAACGGTGGGAAATACCTCTAGACCAGTGATAGGTCTTGTTATCACCATCGTTGTCTTCTTCTTGCTCTACAGCCGAAGGAGCAATCTCATTGGCGATGGGCCCGAAGACAAAGGTCTTCGGGTTGTGGCCCCGTGGATATGTGCCCCCATCGCGATCGTCACCGTCTCAGAGCTTTTCAAACTGCTACAATGGCGAATAGTCATCTGCTCTGCTATGGTAAGGAGCATCTACAACGCGATGGCGGCTTCGTCGTTGATCCACCTTCCCGTGGTGAAGCCCATCAGTACGGAGACGTGCATTGTTCTAACCTTGAATACGTCCAAGACCAGCGACCTCTCAATCTATTTGAAGAGTGTTGTGTCACTTACGTTCGAAGTTCCGCAAAGTCCACCGGAATTGCGCTCAATACTACGTTTAGCAGATTATACGTTGAAGAGTATCGACAATACGTTACGTTTCCCGAAGCTAAGAGATTAACAGCTTTTACACCGGATACTTGTCGTCTGCTCGAGAATCCTCGAACATTCCGTCGTCGATACTGACATGTAGCTCAGTCTAGAAATACAAGAGTACTTGCTTTACATACTACATCTACTACTTTATAGTACTTTAGGTACTTTTATATCTTCTTATCAATATTAAAATTCCAAGTTGCTATATATAACCGTGCATGATAAGCGAGTGAAACAGACAAGCGAGTGAAACACCTCACCAAATTTCCATACCATCCAACTTTCAATATGATTTTCTCCACCACCAGCGATGGCAACTATTAATGAGGAACGAAAAATAAATCTTGCTCTTCAAGCTATCAGAAAAGACCAAAATCTCAGTATCCGGGCCGCAGCTACGATCTACAAGTGTAATCACGTTACCCTGTCTCGACGACTCAAGGGCACTCCGTCTCGCAGCGACAGTATGCCCAACTCGCGAAATCTGACCTCCCTCGAAGAGGTGACGATAGTCCAGTATATCCTTGACCTCGATGCCCGATCCTACCCTCCCCGACTCGCTGGTGTGGAAGAAATGGCCAATCGATTACTCGCAGAGCGCGACGCGCCACCCGTCGGACAGCGCTGGGCTTCTAACTTCGTTAAACAACAACTAGAGCTCCGGACGCGTTTCCTTCGTCGGTACGACCATCAGAGGGCCCAATACGAAGATCCCGACGCGATTCGCGCGTGGTTTACGCTTGTAAAGAATATGATCGCGAAATACGGCGTGGCGGATACGGATATCTACAATTTTGACGAGACCGGGTTTATGATGGGCATTATCGCTACAGGGATGGTAGTGACAAGCACCGAAAGGCGTTCAGGTGCGAAGATGGTCCAGCCAGGCAATCGAGAATGGGTGACAGTGATTCAAGGCGTAAACGCGTTGGGCTGGACGGTCCCGCCGTACATCATTGTTTCGGGTAAATATCATCTCTCTACCTGGTACCAAAACAGTACTCTTCCGGACGACTGGGTTATCGCAACGTCTTCTAATGGCTGGACCACTAATGAAAGAGGTCTAGAATAGATTTAACACTTTAATCGGTACACTAAACTACGAACTACGGGTAAATATCGCCTCTTAGTGCTCGATGGGCACGAAAGTCATCACTCTACCGAATTCGAGCTCTACTATAAGGACAACGATATTATTACACTCTATATACCTCCCTATTCGTCGTATATCCTCCAGCCTCTCGACGTTAGATGTTTCGGCCCGTTGAAACAGGCGTACGGTGGTCAAATTAAAGAGAGAGTCCGAGCCGGCACCACCCGTATTTCGAAGGAGGACTTCTTTCCCGCTTTTTTAGCCGCTTTTCAGTAGACAATAACAGTTCAAAACATCCAGGGAGGATTCAGAGGGGCCGGGCTTGTTCCTCATAACCCGGAAAGTGTGATTGCTCGTCTAGATGTGAAGCTACGGACGCCTACGCCCAATACACCTAGTCTTATAGCGACTCAGGCATGGGTATCAAAGACACCCAACAACCCGACTAAGGCTACCTCGCAGTCCACCTTTATCAAGAATCGAGGCTCTAGTCATCAGGGAAGCTCGCCAACACCGATACTCGAGGCTATTGACTAGTTCACGAAGGGTGCGACGGGAATTATGCACTAGATCGCGCTTTTGAAGTCCGAGGTCAAGACACTTCGAGATGAGAATACACACTACTCAGCCGGCGTCGCCGCACTAAAAAGAAGCAACTCCGCGCAGGAGGGAGCATGACTCTAGAGGAGGGACAACTTATAGAGTCCCGTAGTCGTATCCCGGTCGTGACAAAGCAAGAAAGGTCGTCGGGTGGTGGTCCGAGCCAGCGGTCCGAAACGCGCGCGCGACGGTGTGGTGTCTGCGGCAACGTCGGACACAACTCTAGAACCTGTTAAGTAGTGATTACTTCGTCTGAAGAAGAGGAATCTAAGTAGTTATAAACATTTCTATGCGTTATGGTTGCGTGTAGGTTAAAAATGTCGAGGTGGTCGGGTTAAGGTGTTTCACTCGCTTGTCTGTTTCACTCGCTTATCATGCACGTTATACTTATTTTAATTATAAGACTCGAAAGAGTCTCGTATTAGTATTTATCATTACAACCTTCTTATATCAGGATTAGATAATTTACGCGCCTACTACCTTTACTTAGATATAGTAACCGTTTCTCAAGCTCCCTCTCCGGAATAAAACCCTAGAAAGAGAAAAGTTAGTACGAAGTTACGAAAGGTTGGATGGGTAGGGTTAGGGTTAGGGTTAGGGTTAGGCAAATTAGGCCAAGATCGAACAGGCACACGCTCAATGGACGCCCTCAGAGATTTGTTCAAGTTTTCATTTGATTGTTCATGACTACTTAAAGCAGTCAGGGTCATGGGGGCAATTAAGAGGCTTCACTGCCTCATTGCGGCAAGGCTGGTAGACACCCGTTGCCCTATTGACATAGGTGCAGTAGTGCAGCTCATGGTCGGCCGGGTCCAGGGCACTATGCCCAGGGCAACCCCAACGCCCACCAAGAGGGCCCGCGCACCCCTTCATAAGATTATTGACCGAAGTTGTGCTAAAAAAGCCGTGCTCCATCCCATCAACACAAGCCAACAACGCCGCCACCTTCTTGCCGCTGGGACCATTATGGCAGGTATGGTAGAAGGGCGAGGTAAAGGACCTGGCAGCCGGAACCCCGTACTTCTCGTCGACGAGGTAATGCCACGCCGCCTCAGTTGGCCGGCGCAGGAAGCAGAGGAACCGGGCGGTTGGTATCAAGGCATATCTCTCAGAGGACTCGGGCATCATCGGCCACCACTAAAGACGAGCGGACAACAGGCAGACTTTGGGCGGTCTCGGGGCGGTCTGTCTCAACGTACTTCCTCTGCACCTTTGCCGCTTTATCATGAATTTCTTGTTGGAGCTCATAAACATTCCAGAGCCGGCGTTTCAGGGCGGGGGGGCATTCGTCGTAGATGGCGCGGAGTACATTCTGGGCTCTCAACGCGTCTCCTTGTATGATTCGCATCGACCCAGAGAGCTTCTCCTCTGGCAGGTTATCAGGTAAGAGCGGACTGGTGGATGCAGGGTCGAAAGACTTCTAATCTTGGCGACCTAGGAACTCACCACCGGACGGTGGAGGGCGCAGGGCAGAAGAGACGGACGAGACAGGCGCGTCAGAGGTGATGTCAGATGGCGGCGGCAGCTCAGAGGATGGAAGCGGACGGCTCAACACAGGCGAGGGGGCGCGAGGGACCACCTCTTTCCCCTTGCCTTTCGAGTCAGCCATGGCAACGAAGATGTTTGTTTTGGCGCTTGTAGGCCGAGGTATCGGGGGCGATGATAGCAGTGGTGACAGTATAGGCAGTGTTTAGAGTTAGGCGTCTCTTGCAAGACAAGCGTTTGGCAGCAGGCGGACAGAGCAGCAGTGGATGGTATGTTCTCTTAATCAAGGTCCCATCCGGCTAAAGTGTGAAACGCGATTGTGTTGTGAATATTATGAGTGTTGCTTAACTTGTCAGGTTCTAATTACACAAGGTGTCACCATACATGTAGATACCACCACCCCTTGCCAAGCATTTGCCAAGCATTACTAAGCCTAATTAGGCAGGCTGTCATTTCATACTATCTCAACAGAGAGGCCGCGAGGTGTGGGATATGCCTACCGAGCGGCGATGTCAGTTACGTGCCAGGTACAACCACACGCTACCTAGTCACGTGGTTGCCTATCAAAACCGTGACAGCTGTTTATTGATAATGATTCAGAGGCCAATGCTTATAAGAAGTTGACAAAGTGCGTGTGGTAAGTTTCTGGATGGCATTTCTTGACGAGAAACTATATAAAATACTAATGAATTCTTCCAGCCTCAACCAAACCGTACAACCCATGATCACATCAATTCATGATCCCCTAAGGAACATCTGATAACGCCTTGCGCCCCAACCCATGCGCAGCTTGTCCGGAGATCAGCAACATTTGTTCCCTTTGGCATCTGGTGTCCCGGATGGGGTCATGTCGATTTTCACACCACCTGTTGGCGCCTGTGCCGCGTCTCCACTGTCGAGTGCCTTGCTGGAGACAATCCGATAGATCTCTGCAGCGTATGTCAGTATTGAAACAAGGACATGACCGATGAACTTCCCTGTCAATATGTTCTGGAACGCCAGTTCGACGTTGCTGGCATCGAGAGCCGACGTCTCGATAAATGACAGGTTGTTCTCGCCTGTGTAGATGTAAGCTCCTGCTCAGCGGAAACGTGGGTCTTGGGTACGCACTCGCAAACTGTTTGGCCTCTTCAGTAGGAACTGCGCGCAGATGCCGCAAGTCACTCTTGTTCCCGACAAGCATGATGACTATATTGGCATCCGCATGGTCCCGAAGCTCTTTCAACCATCTCGTGACGTTGTCATATGTCTGACGTTTGCTGATGTCGTAGACCAAAAGAGCACCGACAGCACCACGATAGTAGGCAGATGTGATAGCACGGTATCTTTCTTGTCCAGCTGTGTCCCATATCTGTGCCTTGATTGTCTTCGTGTCAACCTGGATGGATCTCGTCGCGAATTCGACGCCGATGGTGGATTTAGAATCGAGGTTGAACTCGTTGCGAGTGAATCGGCTCAGGAGGTTCGATTTGCCGACGCCAGAGTCGCCAATGAGAACGACCTTGAACAGAAACTGCTTGTGGTTAGCGGCGAATCTGTTGAGCGCGCAGGCAGAAACGCACATCATATTCATCGTTCGCCATAATGAGAAGCGACGGTACGGCTGAGAGAAGATGATCGCTCAAAAGATCGGCGAGGGCAGGTCAAGACCTCATCAGTGGGTTGTGAAGAAGCGTTCGAGTTGTGGACAGAAGAGCACCAACATCGCAGGTAATTAGTACAGAGGAGCCGTGACTGACGATGCTTGGCGTTCCCAAGTTGATCAACTCCTATTGGCCAGTGAGTTACAGCACCTCAACATTACCCCACCATCTATTTCAGATGCATGGCCGGTATCACTGACCGACGACTGAATTGGGCGTCTCATGCCTAGGTGAGCGATGCTACCCGCCTCCGTCCGCAACATTGTAAAGCGCTACGAACCTAATCAGCAGTCTGGGCCGAGAACCGACTTGCGACATAAGATGTTTGGCGTCAAGAGTCTTGCGCTGACAGCTCGAGACTAGCAACCATTATTCGCATAAGGAGCCCAAGGATCTAGCCCTCGACTTCGTGACGACTTGGAGCCCGACCGACCTATTGCATCCGCCCCACAATGGTGAACAGCATGGAAGGGTCTAAGTCTGAGGACGATGAAGTTGAGTATGAGGTCGAGAGAATTCTTGCCCAGTACAATACCGATGGGAAAACATTATACCTTGTCAAGTGGGTAGGGTACTCGGACGAACGATGTACCTGGGAACCCTATGAGAGCTTCTTAAATCCTCAGACGCTGACTGAATGGCGACAACAATTAGCACAAGGAGACACGCTCGACGAGGAAGATGTGGCGGCGCTCCAGGATCGTATGGATGCGTATGTTAAGGCCCAGGAGGATAATAGCCTTCACCAGGAGGAAATGGAGGAAAGGCCCATTCTAGTCAGTGTTGGGCAGAGAAGTCCTTTCTCCAGTAGGAACGGCAACGTTCAAGCTGAGTCGGAAGAGACTCTCACATCTCATGGAGTGAGGCGACGTTCGGAGCCCCTCTCACAGCCAGATTACGCCCTTGTGAAGCGTCGAAGGCCAAGTGAGACTTTCCCGATGACGTCGACAACCAAACGTCCCAGACCTGAATCAGCCAGCATCAACAAGAGTTCGCTGGGACAAGGTGATACGATCGTAGCCCAGACCCCGGGGAGGGCAAGCACGAACACCACAGCTCGAAGGACGCAGTATCGAGCTGGCGACCAGTTCAAAAATTTGAGGCACCAGAACAACTATGTCAAACTTGCACGTCAAGAACCGGCCCCAGATATGTCAAGAATCGAAAGGAGGGCTCCAGATGATTGGATGCGTCGCGGGTCTCAGATATGTCCTCAGACTCAAGGAAACGTTTCTCCAAAAGACCAAGATAATGACCAATGGCTGTTTGTGCCAGATGAGCGTAACGGCGCGAAAGCCGCAGATAAAGGAGCCCTGCTGTCTACCCAGGACGGTTCGCGGGGCGAAAGCCCAGTTTGCTTACTTGCCCGACACCATGACAAAGATGCGTCTTCCCGAACAACTCCTCCCGTGTCTGAACTCGGTACACGAGCTCATGATACGTCTCATGATACGTCACTTTCAACGCGGACGATTGCGGCTCGAAACGGGCGGACCTGGCGTCATGGAGATGTAGTAGTACATCTGTTGTTTGGTGATCACGCGGTGGGGGACGTCAAGATTCTCCATCTGCCACCCTGGCTCAGAGTCAAGATGTTGGCGCTGAAACAACCATTCGAACAGACTCTGAATGTTCATTTTCTGGAACGCAATGTCCTCAGTGTCGAGGCCTTTTCTGCACTTGCTCGAAACGTAAGGCCAGACCTTTGGGATTAAATTCAACTGCTAACGGATACAGCTGGATAAAAGCGCACCTGCCCTCAGCACCATCGAATCTTATGAGGACACGGTACAAGCTACGGATAGTCTAGCAGAACACCTGGAGGTCAACAATGTCGCTGCTGTATGGGAGTACCCTGCTCAAGGCGAAAACTTGATAGGGATATTGTACTCCTGTCGGGCTGCTGGTTGGCGGCATCTGGGCCAAAAAGGTGTGACAGTATTCCAGCCTCGTCTTCATTTACTATTTCGAAATGTCTCACACGGTTTTTGGCTTGGCCATGCTCCACCGGAGGAATCTCTTGCAGCACAACGTCTAGGTACCATATCCAACATGGCTTCTTCGCGGCGTAAGGGTGTAGATGCCCAGGGCTCCATCGATGCCCTTCCACCCTATGTGCACAATGGTGCGACCAATCCAAATTCGACACCGAAGTCACAGAACGCACAAGTCTCTATATCACATCAGAATCTTGTCAAGCCGGCTCTATCTTCTTCCTCGCCGCCGCCAGTGATCTCCTTCTCAATCGATGTCAAAGACTTACTCCATGCCAAAGACGGGTCCAAACGAAAGCCGGCCTTATATATTGCGTTTGCCGCCTCCCACCCAGTGCAGGCAAACGCCGTGAAAAGATGGCTTGGTGACCACGTTAGCGTACGACATGTGTATACCGACGCAGAGAAGGCTGGTTGGGCCGAGTGGTGTGAGGAAATTGACACAAAGTCTGGCTCTATCTTCTTCCATGACGAGCGTCCCTTATACTGCGACTTGAAATATTTCTCTCGATGTTTAGCCTCGGCCGCAGGGATCGCTTGTTACAATATGTCCTTTGAGCGCCGTCATCCCGGGGCATACCGCTGTGCGATTTCTAGACTCTTCCCGAGGGGCACGGCCATTTTCATCACAGAGAGATCAATTCTAAGATATCCCGAGGAGGCACTGCATATGATGCGATGGTTCGAGAAATCATCAACCGGGAAAGTTGAGAGTTGGAGAATGTGTCTTATGCCGAATGCCGTGGAATGGATACTAAAGCGGATACAGGGATGTGACAGTAAGAATGAAGAGAGGTTTGTCTTCCCCTGCCTTCGCCTAGGCTTTGCAATAACTGAACATAGTTACCTTGGAATGATCGATGTGATCCACAGACTACAGATGCAGTTGTACAACTGGAACGTCAGGCGAAGAGATGGCGACCCCGAGCAATTCGTCACTCAAGTTCCTCGCTACGAGCAACAAGGCTTCATCCTTCCACTACCCAACCTACCCGGATACTCGAGCTGGGCCGACATTGAGGATTCCGATTTGACCGAGGACATGGTAAAGGCCCGCGATATCATTTTGCTGGAATATTTCTGTGCCTGGGCGGCGACAAAGGCAGGACAATACCGGAAATTTCTGGTTCTGGACGATATACGTACCAACAAAACGCAGAACCACTCGTGGCATATCAAGTTTTGGGATCCTATCCAATTCAAGCGCGAGATAAGATACTAGCTTCAGACTGAAAACATTCATTCTGGCCTGCCGAGCTTGCACAATGAGACGACTGCTTGCTTTGGTCTGTGTTAATGAGAATGGTTAACAAAGGGTGTCATTGTCTCCTCATTGCATCGTATCTTAAAATATTGTATACTTATTTTGTGCCTTGCACGATATCCCGTTACTTCTTCCAAGTTGCCACGAGGAGATAGCATCCATGGAAGACCTCATTGTCAATTTGATATCAAAACAAAGCTGCAAATCACGCCACCTTGGACCGACCAACTCCGCGTCCAATTGAAATCCGCGAAAGCTAATTGCGGGTAGGATCCAACCCTGTCCATGTTCGCCGAGGGCACTGTATCATCTCTGCCGCTCATATGGGCTATAAGTTCTCAGAGTCGTTACGGAATATTCGGACATGCTTAAACCGCGTGATACGGAGTGCTGGACCTGAAGCAAACCTCGATATCCCATATCGATGCTGGGACATAGGTGCGGTCCGCTTTTTAGCCCTCCAGTTGGTATTGGGAATTCCGCTGGACAAGGGACTTGTAGTAGTCACACAATACCTCCGGCTTTGGCACTATTCGCCACTCCATTCTCGTCAGAAATTCAAGTTCAAGAAGGGCAAGCTCCTTCATGCTAACGCCGCCAACCCTGGCGTACGTTTTGTTGGTCCAAAATGAATCACTCAACCCCTTGCTCGCAACAGTGGCGCTGGTGATTAGAAAACGGTGGACCGTGAGACTACTAATTGTAAAGGCTGGATAGAGAGCGCAGAGGCGATCAATGTAGAAGACCACACTTAAAAGTATCGGTGGGGATAGTGTGGCGTGAGTTGTCAGTCGTTGAAGATAGTCGAGTACCGAAATGCCGGGTGGAGCTCGTGAGTGGAATCTGGTCAACTGTCCTTCTCGTAAAGGGATCGCGTCGTTGTACCGAATCAGTTCCATGAGCATGGAAGAGATCAAGATAACCAAATCTCGGGTGTTGCAATTCTCATATTGACGCGGCATCAGACGTAACGGAGGGGTATCTGGGCGTGCCTTCTTCACGGGTGATGGGAGTACCGACTGTTGGTCCTGCAATACCGGGTCAGAGAGGTCTGGCGATGTCCCTGTTGCCGGATCATCGGCCGGCCTCTTTCCTTGCGCCTGCCCTGCATTCTCTGATTTCAGATCATTGGCAATATTCACCAAGCGTGTCTCGCCACCTTCATGGGGCGCCTGGAAAGCGAGAGCAGCAACTCTGATTGACTCCTCCTTCTCGGACAACTGGAGGCCGCCGATTGTCGACGTCGGCGTTTTTGTCCCAGGTGGTGTAGAAACTTTCGGGTCTGGTGGGGACCATTGTGTGCCCTTATCGACCATCTTTCGCGGGCCCGTGTGTGAGCTGTAGCGATCTAGCGACCGTGTGCTGGCGTTTCTGTTCGTCTTGTACAAGAGCTCAGGGGAGACGTGATATTTGCGACTTTGTTCGGTCTGCTTCGCGGCCGGTCGGGTTGGATTGGGAGGCTTTGTAGATTGATCATACTGAGGCCGTGAGAATCTGGTGCCGCCGGACTCAAGATTAGGGGACGGGGATGTTGCTAGCATATTCAAGGAAGCTCAACATCTGACACCGTTCTCGCTGCGAAGTTCTGGATTTCTGGGAAGGGGTTAGCATCACCTCGGGTGAAGAAGAAGGTTGCGATTGGGCCCATAGGACTTGTCGACGCCGCCACCGGCCAAGGTGTAATTGGGAAGCCTCTCAAGACAAGAAAATCGCCACAAGGTAGAATGCAGGAACGTCAAAAAGAGAGGAACCTGAATTGCCTAAGATCACATATTGCGGCAGTGTGAGTAAAAGGCAGTTCTCTGGGAAGATTTCCCGCAGGGAATATTATTGGTGGCGCGGCCAAGGGTGGAGTGCCATGCTACTTCACGAATCACTGTAGAATATGCTTTGAGCACGAGGCGCGGCTGTGTCTTTGCATTCGTCCTCCAACTTCACCCCTCCGTAGCGCCGTGCAATTCAACCCGTCCGCACCCCAAGGTCTGCTTCATGGTATTTCAGTCCAATCTCCTTACTATCACTCGTCCCGTCGAAACAGTCTCAAGCCCGATTCAAGAATACAGCCGAGAGAGAGACTGGCAGGCCTGTCCGCCGTAGTCCAACCATCCAATATCACGGCTGGACCGTCCTGTCCCCAAGCGCACGTCACCCATCAGACCTACCGACAAGAAACAGTGTGATTTAGATGCGCACCCATACACCTTATGGCATCTGCTCTCGCGCCTGGCACGCCTGTGCTGTATCCTCTACATGAACTGAGCGTTGCTGGCGACAGGCCATCTTTAGCACTGAAGAGAATAAAAAATGAGTTGACGGGGCATTCTTTACGAAAGATTGAATACATTCGAAACGGAACTGTACCTGCTCTCACAGAGATTCTGTTCAACGTTCTTGCAGAGCTGCAGACCACTGGCGCCACGGCTCCGAAACCTGAGGATGAGGACACTTTCGCGCAAATTGCCCAAATCTTTTGTGTGATCGCCCATGGTGGGTGATTTGACCACCCGCACCGCATGTCAAAGGATACTGATCAATTGGGCAGAAGGGCCTTCTTTGGTACAACCCCTATTAGAGACAGACGTCCTGCGCGGATTGATATCCTGCCTCCTCATACCCGTGTCCTCCAGAACATCCCTCGCAGTGTTGAGATGCCTCAATGCCGTTGCGGAAAATCTCCCTCCCGCGGACTCTGAACAATGGTTACCACATCGGGAACTTGCAGACTTGCTCTATTCTAAAAGATACATCTCATGCTTTGCCAACATTATCGCTGGGGCTGGCGATACAGGAGTATCTCAGCAAGCCTGCGATGCCGTCCTAGCCCTGCTGTGCAAAACGGCCACACTGGAATGGCAGAAACGTTCGCTTGTCGAGAGTGGAGTGTTGTCGCTGCTTTCGGCTCGCTTGGCATCATTCGTCGTTGCAGAAGGACTCGTTCCGCCCAGTCCGGAATCACTCCTTGACGATGATGGTACGCGTGCCCGCATGCCTAGGCCGGCTCCATCCTTTGCCCACCTATCGCCTGTGCTTGAATCTCTTTCCATCCTGATCGAACATTCCAGGAAGAGGGCAAACCTGTTTCTTTCTGATCCGACTGTTAAGGCTGTACTTCCAGACCTGAAGGATGGTTTCTCTCCAACGGATATTCGACAGGCGCCGTGGGGAGTAAGTTATTTTTCTGGGGCGGCAGTCCCGCGCCTTTGTCCACATGGGCCATTTGACTACCTCCTCCCTTCCATGCCAATATCCGATGGTGCAAAATCGGCTATGCAGTCTGGGTTTCCTCCCTTGGGCTCTATTGCCGCTTTACCGAAAAGACGAGCGTCGTTTTTGCCAACAACGGCCGTCCCACCTCGACTGGCTTTAAATCATGTTTCCACTGATGAGACCCAAGAGAGCTCCGTTATACCCTGGCTCCTTTCCACCGTCCGTGAGTCCAAAGCAAAGCGCCGCCTCCTCGCTGCTAAGCTGCTGGTAGACCTCTGTGGCTTGGGTCTCGTCACAAGGGGCCGACGAGCCTCATTTGCTGCTTTATTGGTTCCGCTTTTGACTCGGATGCTGGTATCGGATGCGGTCCAGACGGACCAAAGTGATGGGTTTCGCGGATCGCATTTATGCGGTGGGCTTCATTACACGAGAGCTGTTCCAGCCGTTCTAGCTGCTCTTGTCATGGATGACCCCGGGATGCAAAAAGTTGCCGTCGACAGTAACGCTATAGCTGCCTTGTCAGCCGGGCTCAAACTGACATTTGATGGTCCAGCTAGGCGAAAGCCATCGCCTTGGCAGCCTTACAAGATCACTGAAATGGAAACCGAACAAACACTACCTGGTACTCGACTAGGCACTGGGGGCCCAACGTGGACGGTGCGGCGGGAAATGGACTACCGGGAGGGGTGTCTGCGAGCGCTGGCTGCAATTGCTCCGTTTGAGGATGACTACCGTAAGGAAATATGCGACCAAGGAGTACTGACGCACGTCATGCTAGCTCTTGAGCCGTACCAGGTCCAGTACAGCTTGGGTCGGCGGGTAGAAGCGACGGGAAATCCTGTCCCGGTTGTACTTGCTGCTTGCGGAGTGGTGAGGGTGCTTACGAGGTCAGTGAAAGCGTTGAGAACGAAGCTGATCGAGGCGGACGTTGCGAAACCCATCATCAATCTTATGAGCTCGACAAATCCAGAACTGAGGATCGCTGCGACGAAAGTACTCGCAAACCTGGCCATTGACTTCAGCCCAGTTAAGGAAAGTGTGGGAGACTCGGCTGTCGTCAAAAAGTTGTGCGAGCAGGCCCATTCCGCAAACGCAAGGTTACGGTTGGAGTCGCTCTGGGCTCTTAAGCAACTTGTCTTGAATGCCAGCAAGAAGCTGAAACAGGATGTGGTAGACGAGTTGGGCCCAAGCTGGATAAAACTATTGATCAAGACGGACCCCAACGACATTCCGAAGGGCGAAGTGATTGGCCTGGTGGAAAGGGAGTATCCACCTCTAACAAGTGACCCTCGACCATCGTCTGGACGCAACAATACGCATGACGTGGTCATGAGTGATGATTCGGACGACGGACTGGATATTGCCCAAACACTGGGCAATGACGCAAGCTTTGACGGCAGCACCGGATTTGACACGAGACACACGACCGAGGATGATACGGAAATACAAGCTCAGCTGCTAGACCTGCTTCGCAATCTTTTTTGTGGCGACAATGCATCTGATCTTGTGAAATATATCTTGGATGAGGTGGGCCAGGACGACTTCTTCAGAATCATGCTTGACAGACTGAGGCCACGCACCATAGCTGGTCCAACTCGCAAAGAGAACTACACGACACCTGCACCAAGCGCGATTGTCGTCAAGGTGCTGTACATCCTCGTACATGTCGGAGCATGCGACTCGAGGTGGAGGAACGCGATCGCGTCACACCATGCCCTGATGAAGCAGGTGTTGACTTTCTGCAGTCATTCCGACCGGGAGATCCGGGCACAATGCTGCTGGATCGCCATAAATCTAACCTACGAAGATGATGCTAGTGACCGACTAGCCTGCAAACATCGGGCTGTTGAACTCCAGAAAATCGGATTTGTAACGCAACTTCGGAAGCTGGAAGGCGATCCCGACTTGAACGTCCGGGAGAGAGCGAAATCGGCCATTCATCTGCTGTCAAAATTGATAGCGCAGTGATTCATGAATACAGCCTTTGAAGACATCAATACAAGATCCTAATGACACTCTGGTCCAGTGTTCACCATTTCCCTGCTCTATGACCTGCGAGGCGGGATGTCCAAGCAGGCGGTTATCGAGTTGATTTAGAGCATATTGTTAATTCATCATTTGAGCATCTTAGAGCGTGAGCAGGCAGTAAACATGCTGCATAGAATATGTTCTTTCGCTTCGGCACTCATATGACGCAGCAAAGTACTCCGTGTCACGTATGGCCCTGTAGAGTTGGTTACCTTGTAACAATTGCCTCACCTAATAACGTCTTATAATGTACAGATACCTGAAGCTCGGTGCTCGGGCACTGGCGGTGACGTTATTTCTCGGCTGGAAGTTACCCGAGCGCCGAGCTCGATTGTTTACATTGTCTTGGCTGTCGCGAGTCAGTAGGTACTACTACCTAGTAATAGTAGTGCAAATGGACCTTGCCATCAATGTTTACGTAGCACTTATAACACTAGATCTATGTGCACCATCTGAATTCAGCTGCGGTTGGCTTATTTCTTCATGGGTACAAAAAAGACTCGCTTGCCGAGGATGGTACTGCGCAAGATTCTGAAGGCTCATTCCAGGAAGAACGTGGGCAAAGCTGTTGACCCTCTGGTGTTCCTCGACTATGTTCTGTTCATCGAAGAGTACGGCACAAGAGCTCATTCTGTTGACACTGCTAACATGGCATGTTCTAGGCTCGTGCAAAACGCAAGTCGCAGGGCAAGAACCGACGGAGAGAAAGTCGTAGCGGCCAGAGACATCAGAAAGGTCACATTGGTACGCGCTACTGACTCTATGAGCCGATGTTCCCATGCTGACGACCAACAGAATAGTCTTCGACGATTCAAAGGCTGATCGATACCGAAACTCTGCGCAAGGGTCACCCGGATAGTGATATTTATTCTACAGCGTCCCCCATTCATGTCGTGTTGAATCACCCTCATTCACGCACCTCGCGGAACACCCTAGAACAGCTTCATATGATTGGGGCGGAAGGGCATTCCTTAGGATATCTTGTCTGATATGGGTACGACTACACAAGGACACTGGAAAGGAGAAGGCATCTCGTATCACATACAAAAGATGAATCGACATTCGATTTGGTCCATGCTCAGGGGGGTTGCGTGGCCCGGGCCGTCTATGCGGTAACAGTCACATCGAGGATTGGTGGATGGTGATCAAGGGTGCCCTTCTGGTGAGCAGGACCAGTGAGGGAGCATAATGTCGTGCCAGAGCAAGAAAGGGTGGCTCTAAAATCACGACTGGCCCTTTGGAGGGGGGAGGGGGAGGGGGAGGGGGGGGGGTACCCTTCCTCTATCTCGAAGACAGTTTGTCCCTCCAGAGCTGACAGTTCAACATCTACAAATGTTTCCTTGATTGACCGACTGCTGGGTAAGGATATACAATAACTGCGGATGTCCTACAAAGATGGATGTCAGTTCCATGAATGCTGCGGCCTACTGAACAAGTTCCGTTGAAGCAAACCAAAGGTGCTCGGTACCAGCACTCTGGCAAGGAAATCTGCCTAATGAATGAATGTGGTCTTTGTATGGAGGAGTCCCTGATGCCCACTGATAGAAGGCTACTATGGAGTTGATCTGACCAATTCAATTGTGCATTAAGTCGATTGGAGTTGGAGCACTCATGACGGTGCACTTGTGTAGTAGGCATGTCAACTTCGAGGCTTGGCGAGTTTGGCTAAAGCTGCACTTCAAGGCGGCTGTCCAGCTATAACTTATTTCTTTACTCGAAGCCTCTCACGAGCAAACATTTTCTAAGTTCGAGACCATTTCTCCTACACTCAAGTCTCTCTATTGTTAGGCTTGGCTTCTTTCCAACTCGTGTCCCCTCTCTCACTCCCCTAGGGCCTATAGCGCAAGGCTCATCTGATCCCGTTTGACCGACCAACTAAACTCTGTCCCTGATCTACCCCGGATCGTCCTCCACTATCACCTGCGTCAATCAAATATGTCTACGGCTGGCTCTGTCTCCAACGACTCGAAATCGGCAAAGAAGCGTAAGGTCAAGAATGGAAATGCTCCCCCAGACAGCGGTTCAGTCACTCCCTCCGTCGAAACGCTTGCACCAGACATGTCGACTCCAACTAACGGTGTCGATTCTCACGGCCAGAGTCAATACATCAAGGATTTGGCGAGGTGAATCTGTTTCTGACTAGTAATGGTCCATAGCGAGGCAGAACTGACATTGTACCAGGAACATTCGCAACCTCCACAAGAAACTTGCTGCCTCCTCGAAGGCTGATGCAGTCGTGAGCGAAAACCCTAATGTCTCGATCGATGACTTAGTTGCCGCGAAGAAACTCAACGCAGATCAGAAAGCCCAACTCCTCAAGAAACCGGCTCTTCAAGCCCAGCTCTCCCTGCTTGAAGAACAGCTCACTTCTTTCCGCGCCTTTGCCCAAGAGCTAGAGGAGCGGTTTTCCAAGGAAAAGTCAAGCCTAATCGAGGCACATGAGACGGAGATTGAGAATATCAAAGAAAAAGCAACTCGTGATGCAGAGGATATCAAATCAAAAGCCGTGGAGGATGGGTTGCGAGTCGTTAGCTACTTTTTGCACGCCGCGGCTTCAAAACGCCAGTCCGAAGAGGCTGATTCTGAGGAAGGCCGTGCCTTTGAGGGCGCTCTATTACTGGTCTACCAGGGCAACGACGCGTCTCTTACCTCTCTGAAGAATTTAGTCTATGGCACGGACGATAAAGTACCAGATGTGAACGGCGAAACTTTGGAGGTTACCTATGCACAAGTCAAACTGTCCGCGCTGCAGGGGGCACAAGAAGAGGCTCCCGCCACGGAGCAGGAGGTGGAGGTGGAGGAGTCAAAGGCAGCCGACTTTACACCAACCGCTTCTGACGTGCAAACTGATCCGACCGTGGCGAGTGCAGGCCTGACTGAGCTCGACGATACCGTTGCCATACAGACTCCTGTTACCGCCACCGCTCCCAATGAAGCTCTCTCGATCCCCGTACAAGCATCCACTGGTGCAGATGCTGCGAATGCAACTGCCGAGGCCACATGGGACCCTCAGGCATCCGTGGTAACTGATACAAGCGCAAACAACGAGGAATGGGTACAAGTTTCCCGAGACCCTGCCGAGACTGATCACGGCGTCACCGCCACGCCCGCTGCCGTGCACGATAAAAATAGCTGGGCGGAGGAAGCTGGTGCTGCCGCCGAAGAAAAGACTGCTGCCGAAAACGATGGATTCGAACAAGTGCGTCGCGAACGTGGTCGTGGACGAGGCGGACGAGGCAGTCGTGGGGACTTCAGAGGACGTGGTCGTGGCGGTCGTGGAGATGGGCACCGTGGTGGACGAGGAGGAGCACCAAGAGCTCGAGGCGGCTCCAAAGCTGACAAGAGCTAGATGTGTGTGTCGGGTTGGGTAAAGCCTGAGGACGATCTACGGTGCAATCTGCCGCGCTGAATTTCGAACCCTTGGGGCGGACAACTCTCCAGGCGTTTAACATGACAACACACCAGCAGGTCACTTAATTTGCTTCCAAAGCTTGAGAGCGAGGACAAAATCGTGTGTAAACAAGTAGGAAGAGGGAAAATTGAACCTATGGGATCAACTCATGTATCACGTGGAGTCATAGGCATGTTCGCTGCCATGTATCGAACCAATACAGTCTACCGGACTTGAGTGACGAAAACAAAAACCATGGAACCTTGAAGAATTAATCAAACAAACCCCCATGGAATATCCTTATCGTTTTGCCGAGGGAATACCCTGCACATGCCGGGTTCGGTGAATGCTCATACCAGATCATGGGCAAGATCTTGGACTCGAACAATTCCACTACCCCAACCGATAGCGGCCAGCCCTGCGCAAGCGGCATTAGGACACCAATCGATGGATGTGACAGCCTGTTCTTCTTCGAAAATGGGCTCTGCAACTCCGATGTCCTTCTGTTGCAGCGTTTTCCTTGTCAATGGCACCGACCCCACTTCAACCCTCTCAGGCTTGAAGCCTTCATGGAAGCGAGACAGACCTGGCCTCACTCCTTGGCCATGGTATAGATCAACTTCTTCCGGCGCCCCGAGCAAATGTGAGGGATCGCCAAGCTCGTCTGCCGAGAGTGGCCGCCAGTCATACTCGCATATTTTTTGTAGGTAAGCGTCTGCGGCTTTGCGGGGATCTCCTCGTCGGTAAGGGAGAACTTTACGCAGATAGTTGGTTGATAACACCTGACCTCGAGCATTTCCGATCAGAATGCACGGATGCCAGGGGGAATTTGCCAGGGCCGTCACTGCTCCCGTATAGTCCGGAAGTTTAGCTATCCTCAAACCGGTGGGGAACTGCCGCAGGTGGTGGCAGACAACGAAGGTGGCCGAGTGGGTTTCGACATGCGTATTTCCTGCTCTATCCAGCCCGGTGATGAACGAGCGTGTGAAAGGCGAGAAAAGGAGATCGCGGTGGGGAAAGCATGCTCTAGGAATAGATATCTTATCCTGGTCCGGGCTACGCAGGTCGGTGAGCACCAGCTCGCCCGAAGCGGAGGTGCTCGCAATAAAGGTGGAGCAGGGACTCGGCGAGGCTGAGCAGAGAGAGGTGATGTAGGTGTTGTGCACTTGTTGTTTGAAATAGCTTTCTGGGGACTGACCGCCATTGCTTTGTCTAGCGAGGTCAAATAGTTGGATCGACCCGTCTGAGGCACCCACTGTTAAATTCTTGGGGTCTATGAACGCGAGGCAGGTAAAAACCATGTCTGCATGTGGAGATATGGTGACGCCGGCCTGCTCAGCTTTGAGAGCGATTGGGCTGTGCGAATTCAGATTCTCAGGCAGACGCAGAGCCAACACTCTGGCGCAGCCATCGGTCGATATTACACCAAGGAGACCCGTGACAACGTCTGGTCGATAGGTGGGGTGCGTAATTATCTCGGTAGCTATAGATGGACACCATTCGATGCGGCGTATGTCGCCCCAGTCGGTTGCGACCACGAGAGCCAACATTGGGGGGACCTTGAAGGACAAAGTCCGGACATGGTTAGTTTCAGTGGGCTCCGTCTGAAATGCCCATATTTGGATGCTTGACGAGTATGAAGGTGAGGGATGGAATGCTGGTCGGTCACTCCCATCCCCTGGAACAGATCGTCTCTGGCCAGGTGTGCATCGAGTAACAATGGCAAGGTATTGTAGATGCCCATTGAGTGGAGCCCATGCCATACACTGAACCTTCTCACCGACATCAAGCAACCAGCCTTCGTGATGCCGACGATTTGGGACCGATTCTCGGATAGCCTGCTCTGCGGCCATATAGCTTTTTGTATCTACAGACCAAGCCTGACCAAAATCCAAGGAGGACAGCTGGGCGAGGTTAAATCTCGATTGCTTTCCTCTCGCGCCGAGGACAATGGAATGGGATGTTGCACGCCGTGGTAGGTATTTTTCATGAAGCTCTTGGTCGTCTATTTCTGTGAGAATTTGGTTGTTATGGATTATCTCAGCCAGGGGGGTGTCGTTTGTCGATATTGGGCTCAAGGGGGTATGCGCTTCATTGCCAGTGGGAGCACAACTTGACCGTGATGTCCGGGAATGCGCAATGGCATTGGATATTGATCGACGACTAGGAATTGTCACGTCCCGGCCTTTCAGCCAACTATCTCGGGCGCGGAGGACGTCAGACAAGTCCTCGACTCCGGGTCCAAAGGTCTTTTCGTATGCTGCTCGTTTTGAACCACGACTCTGGCCAGGAGCAATGCCTCGCGAATGCGCAGAGGCGGCGGTGCTGCTGGATACACGGAGATGGGGTTTCTCTCGGGAGTTTTTTACTCCAGTGGTGTTATTCTTGGAGACCAGGCTGATGTCGTCGTCGTCTTCGCTGAGGCTTTGAATGTCTGAGGACTGGGAGGGCGGCGCAGAATCCAGGGAGATATCATCGGCGGCTTCGGATGATTGCTCGTTCCCGTGATCAGAAACTGGTGCCTTCTCGTCTGGGCTCGAGCCAGATGACTCGGAAGAAGCGCGGAGAACGCGCAAGGTGTCCTTGTCCCAACCATCATTGGCGTATATTGGGTTGACCTTGTGCTGGCGTGCGGAACGGCGGGCAGCCTCAACCATGATTTCGAGGATGAACCAAATCGAAGGCGATCAAAAGTTGAGAAAATTGATACTGTGTTGCATGTTGCCAGTATCCGTACAGCAATTAATGAAAAATTACCTGGGTACCGACCTAAGTACCTTACCTCAGGTATAGGTACCTAGCTAGGTACCTAACTTATAATAAGGTAGTAGGAAGAAACACCCGATTCCGTCTGTCAATGGTCCCGTGTCACGATAGGGAATAAGCTCTGTCTTTACAATGATTTTTTCATCTAAACATTACTGAGGTACCTAGGTACACAACAACCAGCCTCTTCTACCAATATCGGCCTGGTTGTACCACATTAATAAATGATGGTGGTCATGGGCTAGGCTTGACCTACGTCGTGGCTGGTTCTTCCAGCGGGCATCCTATGTCTTTATCGCCGTCTCGACGCGTCATCAACCAGCACCACCTCAGCACGGCATCTTGTACTCCGTGTACGGCTAGAGGTCTACCTAGGTAGTCAGGGCCGATAGGTACCAGTTTAGCTCAAGGCCAGCTTCGTGCCGGCAGATCGGAGGGTTGGAGGCCGGACACAGCCCAGCGCCTGTTTGTTTGATTGGCCAACGGCACGAGGTTACATATAACCCCAGCAGATGCCAGACAGTGCAGACACCCTTCCATCCCTACTTTTGCTCAACGCCTGATGTTGATTCGTGAACAGATACAAGGGTGCGCTATTTCGGGAATCAGTGCCCCAGTTTGTCCGCTGGCATCAACATGCTGTCGGCCCCCTACCGACGCGATATTACGAGTAGGAGACATCACTTTTCTACCTCCGAGGCCTCCTCTATCAGATGGTCTTCGCGCACATGGTGGAAGACATCCTTCCTTTCATTTTCTTCTAGTCTTCAATCCACAACAACGAGCCTTAAGCAGCAATGTCACAAACAATAACATTCGCTCTGCTTGCGACAACCTTGCTGATGCGCAGCGTCAATGCGCAAATTGAAGGATGGCGGGGAAACTTTGGCAATAGTGGCAACAGGGGCCCAGGATGGTGGAACAATGGTGACAATGGCGGCGACGACGGCGATGGCAGTTCATCAACAGGGATAACCGGCGAGAACTCGTTGTTCTCTTCCCAGACCGAGTTCAACAAAGCCACCCGAATTCTTATCATCCACGCTGTCCTGGCCTCTCTAGTCTGGGTCATCTTCATCCCGTCGTTGGCAATCCTTTTACGCCTTAACATCAAAAACCCTGTCATCCTCAAGATCCATGCGGTCGGTCAGATCATCAGCTATATTATTTACATCGTCGCCGCCGGCATGGGCTTTTGGCTTGCCCAACAATCGGCCGCATATGGAGTCTGGAACGACCCCCACCCAAAGTTGGGTCTCGCGGTCCTTGCGATCGCCTTTTTCCAACCCATCTTTGGAGCGATTCACCACCGTATCTACAAGAAACGAGCCGTTAACGCGCAGGCGGGCAGATCCACTGAGGCGCCAGGTCGGACGTCGGTTGGCCACGCCCATCTCTGGCTAGGACGACTCCTCATCGTCTTAGGCGTCATCAACGGCGGCCTAGGTATCAGACTGGCATCTTTCAGCCCGTTTCAGACTGGCGCCACAACCAACAAGGCTCGCATCACCTATACTACCATGGCAGCCGTCATGTTCGTACTGTACATGATCTTTTTGATCCTGTTTGAAGTCAGACGAACGCGGCATCAGAATGTGAAGTTAGAGAACAGGAGCAGCTCAACGATCCCGAAGGATCCCTTACCAACGTATGACGAAAGCGAGGAGTCTGTAGGAAGGAACGCTCGGTATACTTGAGAAGTATCTTGACTAATTGGCCTTGCGTGATGGAAGACGGGTATGGTTATAGGGACCTGTGCTTACTTGTGTGCTGGAAAGGCCACAAAAGAGCCATAGATGAAAGATACGGATTGGTGCGTATATAGCACTAATCGAAGTCCCCAGATTCCAGGGATTGGCGCATACGCCACGTTCCTATTGACCCTAGCCCACGATCTGCTATCATGTTACCGCCATGGTCCTAAGGTAGACTGTTAGGTTGCGATATATCGTATGTCAAATTCTCATTGGATTTTTTTCACCCACCTTGACAGTCGGAGTCCTCGTGAAATCTCCTGGCCCGGATGGACCACTCCGTGTAGCAGGACTGATAATAGAGATGCTTGTCCATCCTGGGCTTTCCCATTCACTCAGAACTCGGGGCACGTGGCTTTGGGCAAGGCAAATCGGAGTATATCGTCGGGTTTTATGGCAAGAATAGGAGAATATGGGGCGGATAGACCGACTATTTGAACGCCATCAGATCTGAAACTCAGTACAATAACCCTTCGCATTCGCGTCACAGTGCTGGAAAAACCCTGTCGGGGAGAAAAACCAGCAGCAAGGGATGGAACAAAAGACTACATCTAACCAACAGAACATGGTAGCATCAGTCAGCCGGCCAAGGAGCGCAAGCTATGTCGCACAAAGAGACACAGCTAGCCAACCCCGCCGTGATGGCCTCACTCTGGTCCGTCCCGGTAGCAATACCAAGGACGACGAGCGCCAATTAGTAGTCGTCTCCGCGACTAAGGACTTCTTTGTGAGTCTCGCGTAGGAGAAGAGTCTAAGATCACTGTAAGACACGCCCTGATTTCGTGCAAGGTAATATGAACTTACATGTTCAAATTGCGCCGAGTATGACCCCTTGATATCCGCTAGAGGTTGATACGACTCTACGATGCCGTTCGAGATGAGACAGTTCATCTACCGTGTGTTAGTATGCACCAACATTCCCTTTGCTAAAATCGTGATACTCACGCCGGCCAGATACCTCTCTAAGCCAAGTCGGTCAAGATAACGACGGCAGAACACCAAGGTGCTGAAATTCTCCCTGATCGTCTTGTGTAGACGCCTCGCAGAAGCTAGGGGCAATGGTACCGCCAGCGGAGTATCTTGAATCAGCCCGTAGCCGTATATGCCCGCCTCGCCCGCAGTTAGATGTGTTGTTTGCACTGGAGAAGGATAGCTTACATCATCGCGTATGTAGCCGCGTCCCGTCGTGCCAAAGGTCTCGATGGCGAAGACCTCGCCTTCCTCCATCTTGGTTTGGTCTGAGTTCTTCACAAATGGTATAGACTTCCCGCCGTGAATATGGTAGCGCTTGATATCGTGTGCACTGAGATTCCGCACTGGCTTGATGGGGAACGTCTTGCCACGGATTTCAACCTCATAGCTCTCCATCGTTTCTTGGATGGCAGCGCTAACATCGCACACACGCACGTCGATGCCAGCTGTCTATTACGGTCGTTAGCCATTAGTACCTTATGCTTCGGTGCCATGTCGGATGCTCATCACCTTTACCCCTGTGTTCGTGGCATCCTTGACAGCAGCTAGAAGATTGTCGTAGGTAGGGTCAAAAGCCATAGTAAAAGCACTGTCGACAATCCAGCCGTTGATGTGGACACCGAAGTCAACTTTCATGACGTCCTGGTGCTGTAGCACGACATCCTTCTGACCGGGGTTGGGCGTGTAGTGTGCGACTTGATGGTTGAGTGAGAGACCAGTGGGAAAGCCCATGCCGGCCTTGAGGCTATCTCCTGGCCCCAGTCCAGCATGACCCAGCAGCGCTCTTACGCTATGCTCGATTCCTTCGGCGATGTCCAGGAGGGTCTGGCCGGGCTTGACGCTTTCCTGTACCCATCGTCGAGCTTGGCGGTGCACTTCCGCGGCCTTACGGTAGTTTTGTATAAAGTCGTTGTCTTCCCAGTGCTGATGAGCGGCGTAGCGTGCTTCGGCGGTCGCTGTCCGTGTCTTGGTGTAGCTTTGCACCTCCCCCTCAGGATAGTCCCCAGACGGGAAGAGGTCACTCAACAAGACTCTTGGTGGCGATGATTGCTGTACGGGTAGTAGTGGTGCTGTCCTTTTCTTCTTCTTTCTGGGCTTCTTCCGTTTCTTCTGTGCATCTCCCACTTCAGTTGATAAGAGTGCCTCTAGCGGTACTGGGCCTGTTTCTCCACCTTCGCCGTCTCCGTCGCCGTCGCTCTCGCCTCCTGCGTCTCCGAGACAACCATCGCCATCTCTAGACGTATGCGAGCCCCGAGGCTCCCCACCCCCGTGAGAGGCTCCATCTGAGTTGGATGGTTCTCCTTGACGAAATCAGGATACGCATCTCGAGTGTTAATGTGATGGTGGGACACGTACCCTGGTTTCTACGGCCCTCATTTTCCGGAGTTTGGGATCCCATTTCGACATTGGAATTTGGAGCACTGCAAACTAGAATGACAAATAACCAGTATTCAGCAGTTTGAGGACTAAATACGAGTAGTAGAAAGTGTTGCCAAGCCGCCCCTCATTTTTATGAGTCACGGTTGCTACCTACAAGTTGGGCTCGTCATCTCCAATCGAAATCGCATCCATACCTAAATTAAATAGAGACTCGGCGATTTTGACTAGACCCGCTACAGCTTTGATCTCAGTCCTCGTCGCCCCGATCACTCAGCAGACATGAATCCCATGGAGATGTCTCTTCTAGTCGCTCCAAGGATCTGTGGCTTCGGTGCGAGACTTTTGCATGTCTGAAATGAATCTGCATCACGCGGAACCCAGTTCCGAGACTGCAGGTACAATTCAAAACATCGGCCACTCATATTTTACATTTAGACGCAGTCCTCCTTACCTTGCCCTGGCCCATGTTGAATTGCGCTCAAAGCATCCCTTTAGGATACAGGACAAAGGGGAAGCTCTGTAGGACCGCCGACTCGTCGTATGGCCACCAATGGTCTAGCCAACAGAGAAAGCCATCAGTGGCAGTACCAGTGTGTGCAACCACACATATGGATGAACCGCACTTTTAGAAGGAGGGATGATTGTGGGAGCAGTATTCTCTGTGGGTACTGGTATCTTTCACCCCCATGTCGCACGCTTTCAACCACAGTCTAAGCCCTTACAGCCTTGACGGAGATATACCTTCCCTCTCCCCAGTGTAGATACGTCTCAACACCGGCCATAAGATTCGTGAAACGGCCATGAAGTCCGACAGCCTGCAGAGTCCGATATGGAATGTATCCGATGACACCGAAGAGACGCCACAGAGGAAGGACCTCATCAGTTAGGTCTTCAACGTCGATGTCAATAAAGCCGACTTCTGCGAGCATCTCAGCCCAAAGTACCTTCCTCGAGAGTGTTCTGACAGTGTGACAGGCGGAGTACATCCTGCAATATGTCGGAGTTGCGGTTAAGTCGGCCTCGTTAAGGACTAGTACACCGCCAGGCCGGAGCAGGCGGTGGAAGTTACGCAACACTTTGGCTGGGTCATCGGCATGCACGAACGTCTCCATAGTGTAGACACCATCGAAGGAGCCATCGGGAAAGTCTGACAGATCATGATAGTCTCCAAGTCGAACAGAAACTTTGTCTTGTAAACTGCGTTTCTCGATATTGCGCTGGGCATCCTCGAGATGCAGGGGAGTGATATCGACGGCTTGCACATTCAGCCCTTTCCCCGCCATATGAATCGCCACATAGCCCGATCCTGCCCCGGCGTCGAGGATGCGCAAACCTGATGCTAGGTCCAGTCTAGCGTATAGGTGATCCTCCATTGCTCGCTGGGCTTTACTTATCGGAAACGGCGAGATCTGGCCCTTTGGGTATAGGCCGCAGTGTCGTGTATTTCCTAGTAACAACCAGTATCCCAACCGCGACTCCAGGCTGCTGTAGTACTCTTGCACCGAAGGATGTGGGGCTCCATCGTTGGCGATGACCGCTGTAGAGAAGGTGCGTTAATGAGGGATTGGTGGTGCGAAGGGCTTCGAGAATACCGAACAGCGCAGCTGCTATTGCAGTCAAAAGAGCGGCCAGGTAACGCAGCCTGAATGGCCTTCGTTCTTGCGGGTCTGCGCTTCACTCTGTCAGTGACCACTGGCTTCTCGTGTAAGAAGGATTACCAACCTGACATATGACTTGTGAATACAAAGTAGCATGAGGGGATAGCAGTTGCTGAAAGGACATACGGGAGGTAAAGTAGCAGAGCAAGGCGCAACACTCCCCAACAGTATTAAACTGGCTTAGAAGGCCTTAGCCCTTACATCTCCCTTATGGCCCCTTCTCTGCACGTACCACCGTGCAGTCACGCCTTGACGGAACACTTGTGGTGGACGTCGCGTTCAGAGTCAGGCGTCTCATCAACCGACTCGAGTTGTTGGTGTGTAGCCACCGTTGTGTCGAGGTATGTTTGTCTCCCATCGATGCTGCCAAGGGTAAGTTTGCACTCCAGCCCTCATTCCTCGTATCGACATGAATGCTTCTCATACTCCCCATACCGATATCCTGGTCCGAGGCTGGGTTTATCCGCCGAATACCTGCGGCACTTTCGACCTGGCCCTGTCGTGCGCGGCAACAGTCCTCTTGTGCAGTTGGTCTTCCATTTGCGTCAACGTACCGAGTCCGCAAAATGGCCGGCGGACATGCATGTTTGTGGGAGATATGTCGGCGGACGGATGCCAGGATGGAGCAATCGCGCACATAGCAAGGCCACTGAGTCTGATCCCTATCAACACAACATCAGTTGGATGGATCCGTAACCATCTCCGGGCTATTCTTCCATCTCATATCATGGCCCGGTTAGAGGAACCTCTCCTCGCTAGATTGGCTTCGTCCAAGTCCTCCACCAACGACATCGAGGAGAAAGACACCCTCCTGATAGGCCAGCCTACGAACCGATCCACCCGTCTCTAGAGCGCGAAAATAGAGAAACCGAGTTCTTCGTATAGGCGCTCCTGGCCACCGTCGCGGTTATCGATCTCGCCATTGTCTGTTGTCTACAGCACGAATCCTCCGTTGCGCGCTCGAGACCGAAGGCAGGAGAACTGTCAATGAGATAGAGTGAGGCCCTGAACCAAAGGCGCTTCCGAACGAAGACGACACAAAAGGATCCGAAGACATCACTCTGGTCACCTGTTACGCGGTCGATGATCCATCGGCCTCCAATCGAGGATGACGCTTACCAGAAACTCGAACTGATGGAACCATATTAGGTACTGTACGGAGTATTAACTACACTGTGAGTACTGTGAGTAGTCTATGTTGGAGTATATCTGCCACCACCCAATATCAACTTACTAGTGGAGCTTCAATAAATACTCCACGCACCACCGGTATCATAACAGTTCCTCATACCGCGTAGGTGACTTGATCGTTTAAAGGCTTTGACTGGGAGGAGGTTGCTTGATAATAGTAACTACTAACGCAGCAGAACGTAGGTATCTTTTTACGCCATCGTCACATCTTTGGCGGCCTTCTCCGAATCAACAGGGCATTAAAAGCTGGGATACTGCTCACCTCCCAGTAGTGATGAAAACCCCCTTCCAAGCAATCCTCACTAAAAGCCAATAATCACACATATTCCAGATCATGGCTACTACATCCGTCTTTGATACGGGCCTCGGTTTCGAGGGCTCACACGTCCTGGTAACCGGGTCCAGCGGCGCAATAGGATCTGTTGTAGTTACAGCATTTCTTTCTACTGGCGCACATGTCTCGGCCTTCGATATTCGGACTCCAGAAACTGCCGTTGAACATGTACGGCTACGTACATATCAGGTCGACATCACCAATGAAGCTAGTGTGGAGGAAGCCATGGAGATGGCTAGGGCAACATTTGGGGTCATATCGACATGCATCGCTGCGGCTGGTGTGGACTTGTCGTTCGCGCCGCATCATTCTCTGGCGGATATGCCTCTCCAAGACTGGCAGAGGATCATGCAGGTCAATGTTGACGGGACATTCCTGACATGCCGAGCATGGCTTCGTGGCATCAGGAGTTTTGCGACTTCGCAGACCAAGAACATCTCCGCAGTGATCTTCGGCAGTGAAGCAGGGAGATTTGGCGTTCCCAGTTGCGCAGCATATGCGGCGTCTAAGGCGGCAATCCAAGTGGGCCTGGTCAAATCCCTCGCACGCGATGTGGTGAGTATAGACGCACGCTGTAGGGTCAATGCAGTCGCACCGGGACCTGTCGACACAAGTCAGTTCAGAAAGGAGTGCGCAAATGACCCTACTGCACTCTGGCGGGAGGCGCAAGCAACTGTCGCACTGAACAAACCGATTGCAGTGGAAGCTGTGGCGAGAGCCTGCTTATTCCTCGCGAGCGACAATTTTGCTGGCAACATCACTGGACAAGTACTCCCGGTAGATTCAGGGAAGAGTGGCATTTTATTCTGGCTTGCCGACGGGCGGGACGCTTGAAAATATCCTCGAGAGTCTTCGAACAGGTAGCGGATGACGCCACTCTGTAGCCCGTCCTTGCAGCGAGGGACAATGGCGTGTACTGTCGAGGGCCCCCGGCCCAGCGGAAGCAGTGGCATTATTGGAAGTCGTGGGTGAAAGTGGTGCAACGAGATTCGGGTATTGTTTACAAAATTTAACCGTCAGGTCGGGCTATCATGAAACGATAGCAGCCACATATTCTTGTACCTATCTCGCCTGCCCAGCGGCAAGGTTCGAACGAGGAAGAGGTCACGCATGGGTGACAAGCAGTGTTTGAAAAATGGCGCAGTAATCAAGCTCGACAAATATACCCGAGAGGCGTAGGAGGGTTGCAAGTGCCCAGGATGTCGGCGTATCTGTGAAGGCACAACCGGGATCCTCAAGTTCGGGGCGGATGGGAGGTTGGAAACAGGTCTTACCTCTCAAAATCTCAATACTGTGTAAGTAGCAGGGGGTCCAGATGCCCCAACGGCACAATTATCATTATTCTTTTTTTGTCCACATAGTGCGCCGAATTTTGAGCTGTTCTCATACCACTATTGGGGTTTGAAGATCAAAGGTGCCGTGCATTGGGGGGTGGCAGTCACCTAGCAGTAGCAGCGAGGTGCCTGGTAGGTATCCATACGAGGTACGGAGTACGGATACGGAGTACGGTTTATGGCAACGAAGATGCTAACTAGCAAATCACGGAGACTTTCTGGGGGAAGAGGCAGGGAGGGCCAAGCCAAGGCCCCCGTCTTGCTTCGGTTTCGCCCCTTAGCCTGCGGACACTGGGAGGAGTCACCTAATAATTACTACCACCTACTAGGTAGTTACAGTATTACTGCTGCTGCTGCTGCTGCTGCTGACCACCTGCTGCTAGCAAATTGAACTCCACACTTTGGCGGTTTTTGAGCCCTTTGAACACCACGTCTCTACCAGCAACACGGCTTAAGAGTAGCTTGGTCGCCGACTCGGACTGCAGCAGCGAGCTCGACGCCGTCCGACTTGCCCTCGTTGGCGTTGCAGTGATCTCTTTGTTGGGTCTTCTAGGGTAGCTCCCACCTGCGCGTCCAGAGCAGCGGACCAGTCACAAATCTCAACGCTCACTTCCCACAGAGCAAAAGTACCACCAAAGAGCCGGTTCAATCAATCTGCTCTTCTTTCCGTCGCCAATATCGCGCGAGACTGTGCCAACAGGCATCCCGGTCACCCTCCTCCGGTTTCCTCTTCGCCCCGTTGCTCAAGTCACGCTGGTTAAGAGCCTCCGAGTCCGTTGGCGAAAGAGATGGCTTAGTGGTTTCCTGGATGTGATCGCACATACTCTGTGTTGCTGAACTTGGAACACACGCGCACAATGGCGTCGCCGCAGGACGACGACATGTATCTATTCTCGGGAAGCCTTGACCATACATCCACCTTCGCCGGTGAAGATTTCGACACCTTCTTGACATCTACGGCTCCTGAACTGGATCTGCCCGCATCGAGCGCCGGATTCCTCGACCCCAGCGACTTGTCGATCAAGAGGGAGACCGACGACTTCCACCCTCTCCCGAGCGGTGCTGCCTTTGCCCGATCTTCACGTGGGTCTGGTTCGGGTTCGAGCACATCGTCTGCCGAGTACCTCGAGGATCATAACCGTAACACCTCCGCAGCCTCCACCGCCTCCCCTCCTGCGCATGATTCTTCCATGGAGCGAACCTGGGGGAGTGGGATAACCGGATTTTCAATATCGTCTAATGAACCCCTGTTTGAGGATGCATCTATGGCCGGCTTGGACCCCGACTTCGAGGTCAGCAATACACAGATGGCCACTGATTTCGATTTTGAAACGGCAGCGAGCACGCCAAGTGGGTTTGACCTGAGAAACCTAAAGAAGGTTAAGAGCTCTCTGGTCACCCAGCCCTTTGATTCACAGCCAAACAATGCGACCTTTGGGAAGTACAACTCCCCCATCAACTATCCGACCAGTGGGCAGCAACAGTTCATCTTCTCTAGTTCCAGAGAGGCCTCCCCCCTCAACGCAATGCTCCCCTCTGCACAAAGTCGTTCCCCCTGGAATAAGCACTCTCCATCAGCCGGCTTGGAGGAGACCTTTAATCATATCACCATGAATGGGGACTCGCCCGGAAATGCAACTTTTTCTCCTAATGTACAATTTTCGGCAACGGGCTTCAGCTTCGACCCAGAATCAAGTGCAACTCCTTCCACCTTTAACAAAGATATACCTTCTCCCGCTTCGACAGTCAACTCCGCAGAAAGCGGTCCCGTACTCACAGTACATCCGACCTCTCTTAAATCCCGAGTCGAGACACAAATCCCGATCAAATTGACTCTCTCGTCCCTTCCCCCGGGGGCCAAGAGGCTAAGGCTTCCGAAGCATACAATCTCAAAGCCCAAGTTTCTGGCGAAATCGGACCCTGACCGATCACCCGAGATTTTAGAGCTCCACACATCGTTAGTCTGCACCAGTGCCATGCAAGATCCTGCCAAGCTGCAAAGGGCGTGGGCTCGCGCGAGGGGCGAAGACCCGGCTCCCTACACACGTCCGAGCCCTGCTTCTTCAACGGAGTCGTCCACCTCGAAGGATGACGAAGATAAGCCTTTGAATGGTGGCGAAGTACGCATTTGTGCTGGCTGCATACAACGAGAAAGGAAGAGAGCGTCCAGGAAAAAACAAAAGAAACCCGAGGAAGAAGAATTGTTTCAGAAGGACGAAGAGAGAAGGGTGGTTGTTTTCAACACCAACGAATTGAAAGACTGGGTCGAAGTTCCCCCTGATACGACCGGCTTACCCGTCGCAGCAGACCATCAACAGGTTACTTTCCCCCCCGGGGCCATAGAGGTCGAGCTTCCCATGCGCATTGCCTGTTATTGCCGCCACCAGAACGAGAAGATGGGCTTTCAGGTGATCTTCACTATCAAAGATCATCGAGATAAGGTTATCGCTCAAGCCATGACCAACCCCATCATGATCACCGATGACCACAAAACTCACAATGCTACTGCACCAGAATCAAACCTTCCCACACCTGTAACGACCTCGAGCCATCAACTCCCCGGCGCTGGTGCTTTCCCAACCTCAGGCTCAGGACAGGGTCGTCCGCCTCCAGTCAACCCCAAACTGTTCAAGCAGTCATTCTCTACTACCGATCTGCATGGGCTGCAGCACAATTTCAACCCTAGTTTTCCAATGGCTCCGCCAAGCAATCCGTTTGCCATACCATCCGCAGTATCCAGCCAGACTTCCAAGTCTTTGACTCCTCGAAATCTATCGAGACCTGCTTCTCCGAACGGACCATCAGGCCCTACGACCAAGCGCCGGAAACAAAGTGGATCTGGCAAACTACCGTCTGCATTGACAATGACCCGACTGGATACCTCGCAGGTCCCTTCTGGATCTGTGATAATGCCTAACATCACCTCTTCTTCCCCATATGCACCCAACGTCGCGTCCTACGCGGCGCCAAATGATCGTCAATTCGGGTTCCCTCCCGCACGGCCCGGCCCTCTTGGTACCAGCCCTCCCACTCCTAATGGTAACGACCAATCTTTTTTGGGTAACATCAATCGCTCTTTCAGTCTTGAAAATCTCTCTCGACAGGCAGCAATGTCTGCACCTCCCTCTCGACAGCAGAGCAGGCCTGGGAGCCCAGGCTCTGCAAGAAATAGCTTCGGCGCAGCAGACGCCACTTTTGGACAAGCTGTGACTAGTCAACTTATAGGTCAGCCTACGCGTCGTCCACCACCTCTGATACACAAGCTCGTCCCTGCCGAAGGCTCTGTAACAGGCGGCACTGAAGTCACGCTGCTGGGGAATGGATTCTATCAAGGCTTGGAGGTGATGTTTGGCGACACTGAGGCAACGACAACGACGTTCTGGGGAGAAAAATGTTTGAACTGCATTGCTCCTCCAGCTTTGCAGCCTGGGGTTGTGTCTGTCGTATTTAAACACGACCACCCTCAGTATTCTGTGATGCAGCAACAGTCCCAGGTCCGCCCATCCCTCTTTACATATGTCGACGACAGAGAATTGGAGATGTTCCGCCTTGCATTACGGACCCTAGGTAAGCAAATGCAGCATCCTACCGACGATCCGTACTCTGCCGCGCAACAATTGCTCCAGGGCCAATCGCATTCGGTATGGCCTTCTCACGCCAACTACAGCATCAATACGGGCCATCAGCGTAATGTCGGCCCTGTCGGAGGAGTTCCTATTGACACACTCGAATTGGAGACTACAATGATTTGTCTCCTGGAACACATGGATGAACAAAGTCGTTTTAAGGCTCCAAAATTCGACCTCTACCGTCCTTCTGGCCTGACATTGCTCCACCTAGCTTCATCTCTTGGTCTTACTCGTTTCGTGGCAGGTCTGCTTGCAAGGGGTGCTGACCCTAATTTGGTGGACAACAATGGTCATACACCCATGCATCATGCAGCCATGAATGGCCATACACACGTAATCCATCGGCTTCGATTAGCAGGTGCCAATCACAAGGCCCGCAGCGTTCGACAATTCACCCCTGCTGATCTTGCGACCTCTTTGCTTGCTTATCAAGCGACAATGACTCCGGTTGAGCATCACCGGTCGCGCAGCTTAGGTGGAACACCAATTCGTCGGCATAGTCGCAGCTCCTCCTCTCTTCGGTCCTTCTGGGACAATGCGTCCGATCACTATGAGGGGACAGATATAGAAGATTGGGTCGACTCAGAAAGTGACAACGAAACTCCTACTACGGTATCCGCCGAAGAGCTTAAGCCTGCTAGGCCGCCAAACCAGCCTGGTCTGGTTGAGGCCGTGGTCAGTGTCCTACAGTCACGGAGAAACAGCTCGCAGCATAATACCGCGCAAGGACCAAGCTCACCTCAAGACAGAAAGTCGAACGCAGTTACAGGAGTAGCACCACCTGCTTTTATGCTGGCGTGGCGTGATCACTTAGTAGCCCAGTTGCAGCAGTTCAACGAGAGTGCACAATCGGTCATGCCAAACCTCGTCAACATGAACGGGCCTCTAGCTGCATTGCAGGATTATCAAGCCTATCCGATGGTTCGTCGTGTCAGCTCGCTGTTCCCGCAGCGGCCGAGTCCAAGGCAGCAGCCTGGTCAGCGGGAGGGTTGGTGGGAGACGTTGACTGGTACTTCGTCTCCTGCACCATCTTCGCCCCCTGCGTACGGAGACCTCTATCCGGAAAGTGAAGAACGCTTAGATGGGTGGAGTCTGAAAAAGTCATCTGCGGTCCACGCCGCTGCAGATGCAGTCATGGATCTTCAGTTTGAGCGGCAAATGGCCACCCAAGGTTCCGGGAATAAGCCTTCGATACCTAATCCTGAGCCTTTGCCACGGAAGCAGATCGAGAGGATTGAGCTGAGTCGTGACAGGAAACTATTCTTCTTCTGGGTATGCCCCCCTAACAGACCGTTATTCCGTCTACTAATGCCGTTCTAGATTCCCTTACTGGCCATTGTCCTAGCAATGATGGTCCGGAGTTCTGGCTTGACAAGTGTATTTGAATTTCCAAGTATTCCTGGTCGAATCTCACTTGAAAGGGAAGCCGTTGAGGTTTTATGAGACTATTGGCAACATTGTACAAATGTTTTGAAAGATGACGCAGCGAAATCTATGAATCTTCTCCTTGGTGGATGAACCACAATAGCCTGCCTTACTGCCTTAGACAACGATGTTACAATTGTATTAAGGCCTTTAAATGTTGGCCGAAGGTTTTCTCTGGGTGCAGTGGTCCTGGTCAAAAACCAACTTTCGCTCTCGGAAGATAGCTGGCTACATAACCTGGCCTTAACATAATCACCCTGGCTATCAGTATTTATGTGAGGTTTCTTAGGTGTAATCGGTAATTAGGTAGGTAAGAGTACATATACAGATACTCCGTACTGGTACCTACTATAGCTACGAACAACTCCGTACTAAGGACCATCAAGGCTTGGCAGCAACCCCGGGTTTGCATCTCCTAACACTACATGTATCACTACATGTATCGGTCCCAATTCTGCGCGTTGGTGCATCTTGGTCTTCCCAGGCAATAAAATCGCTACCTTCGATTCTTCATGGCCGAACAGCCCAGAGATGAGCTACAATACGAGAATGAGCATGTTCATGAAGTATATGATCAGATTGCAACTCATTTCTCCTCTACCAGATACAAGGTTTGAAAATGCTCGGGACACATCACGGTCGACGGTTGACGAGCCTTGCAGCCGTGGCCGGTGGTAGATGAATTTTTGCGTAGTCTACCGGCCGGAGCCGTGGGCTTGGACGTCGGCTGCGGCAATGGAAAATACCTGCCAGTAAACAAGAGTGTCTTTATCATCGCCTCGGACAGGTATGCAAAAGGTTGAACATCCTTTTGTTGCCATGGCTGACCGGCCCAAAGATCAAAGGCACTTATCGACATTGCCAGGCAACACGAACCCCATACTGCCATTGTTGCAGATACTCTCCACCTCCCCCACCCGCCTGCGCGGTTCGATTTCGCTATATCGATAGCCGTGATACACCACCTTTCGTCCGTCGAGCGAAGAGTGCAAGCCATTAGAACGATCATACAGACCTTGAGGCCACCCTTGAAGGGTTCTAGCGGAGGTCAAGCGTTGATATTCGTCTGGGCGCTCGAGCAGAAATACAGTCGAAGAGGCTGGGATCAAGGCAGCCAGCAAGACGTCCTTGTTCCATGGATTCTCAAGCCAGACCAGACATCTGGGCCGGACAGTCCACCCAAAACATATCAGCGGTATTACCATTTGTATCATGAGGGCGAATTGGACAACGATGCCATTGCAGCTGGCGCTCGTATACTCAGGTCAGGTTATGATCGGGATAATTGGTGGGTTATCATTGCGCGGCAGGCCTGAACGATACCGTCTGCCTCCTTGGAGTGCCTGCTGTTGATCTGTCTGTAAAACTCAACTTCTGGCTAGATTACATCCTTCTTCCTGGCATATGGGCAGCGATGGCCCGAAAAGACAAAAAAAGGAAATACAACAAGCCCGAAATTTTCTCCTTGCGCCTTGTTGCAAATCCAATGAACATGCTTCGCTGAGACATAACGCCACCAGCAAGTCTATCGGAACCGAGCGTTTCGTCCCTTTGGATGATCGTACAAGTGATGATGGTAAAAAGGGTCTGGGGGTGGTTGAGGTGGTGCTGAAAAGGCCGGCAACCCTGCCGTGAGCTCTGCTAACGATGGCAGTTGCTGTGGACCTGGAAATGATGGCTCACGCGGCATCGAGTTCCCCCGTAGCCGTGGAGGAGGTCCCCCATGCGACCTAGGAGGCAGAAATGTTGGATCGGTGCCGCTTGCAATATTGGGGAGTGAGAACGGCGTTACGCCCGCTCGCTTCGCCATCTCATGCTCGCCCATTTGCCAATGCATTGCTTCCACCGCTCTCCACGGCATGGCCATCTCCTCTGCCACCTTTGCCCACATGTCTGCGCGAAATCTGGCCAGAACAGTTCAGTCAGATTCTCTGTATATCCCGATGTTGACACCTCGTGGTCCAAGATTCACAAGATCTGACCTGGTTCCAACCATCTAGTGCGACGTTTCTCAACATACCTCTCGTACAACCTCGCGAGCTTATTCTTGCGATCCTCATCCCACTCACTCCTCCTTTCCAGGTAATTCTGGTAGTGCAGCCTACAACTGATGGCACTGCGACCGGGCAAATGCTTACTGATATCTTCCCACTTCATTCCATCTTGGCGGAGTTGAATAATCCTGGAGTCCTCTTCCGGGGACCACTTGGACTGTTTCTTTGCCGGGGATTGGGCCGGCTGCTCCTGGCTCGTCAGCGGCCGCTTGGCCGGCACCGCAGAACGCGGTTGGTGTGGCAAAGGAGCCACGCTGGTGGCGACGCTCGATAGCACAGACTCGGACCGAGAGACTGAGGAGGGAGAACCGGTTGATTGGCCTTCGTCGTCGGTCGCCGATTTGAGCAGCGACGAGATATCCACGATGAAAGATGATGCAAGAGGTCGAGTGCACCAGTGTGAAGGGAATGAGTTGGCACGGGATAAGTATTTGCGGCCATACACATGTGGTGGAGGAAATGGAAGAGCTGAGTAGTGGCTGAGCGAGGTGCCCTTGAGGAACGAGGTACGTCCTATATTCAAGATTGCTGGCTTCTTTGGACAGGGCCGGTTGTTCTGGCAAGACAGCTGGCCGTTGGCGTTTCTACAGCAACTCGATTGCAGAAATCAAGAACAATAAGGCCTCAGTTCTCGGGGGTTAGCATATAGGACAGTACTATCAGGGAGACCAGAAGAAAAGGCAGAAGAAGTGAATCAATAATAGCAGGCGATGTTTAAGAGGTGGCCAGCAGCATGGAAATGTTCCAAAGTGCGGTCTGCCAAAGACGGCGAGGCGGGTTAGCTCTGCGGCAGTCTCCCCATCGATATGCTTGCTAGCTATGTTCCTTTGGCAAGAAGGTCTGTGACCGCGTCCTGACACTTTCCCTGGTACGTACTGCCAGCACAAAGCACAAACAAGCAGGCTCAAAAAGGAGCAGGACGAATGTACGGAGTACTTAGCCTCCAAGTCTCCATGTCGGTGCAGCGGCAGCGGCTGCTGGCGCCTGCGCCATCCGCTTCCGGCGTCCGCGCCTGTCCTGTCATCTGTGTGCTGCGGGCGGAGGTGTCTGATATCATGGACGCCCTCAGAGAGTGGTTTGCGGGTTTGGGGCTGGAGAGAGCGGAAGGTATCCATGTTGGGCCCTTTGGCCATCGGCGCCAGCACTGGCCTCACGCGCCAAGGGGAACTGCATGGATCCAGAGGGGGCCCGGGCAAGAAGCCAGGGTCCAATCTTCAGGAAACGGTTTGCAGTAGAACGCAGCTGGAACAGCGTGGTCGGCGGAGGCGAACTGGTGTCAAACAGTCAGAGCCCGTCGTGATAAGCGAATGGAGGCCTGAAGGCTGGCAAATCGTCCGTAGCACGCCTTTATCAGGTTCGTCTCTACTGCTGAAGGCTGGGCTTCAGGTTTGCTGGAGGTGGTCTGGCGGGTTCCAATCACTTCACATTTTCTCTTTGTCCAGTTGAACTCGCCGCTGCTTACAATATTCTCCCCTCTCCGTCTCTACTAGACGTGCCTCCTTATGCCGACCTATCTCGCATTGGGCCATCAAAAAGCGTCGTGGTGGGCGCTGTGGACGAGCCGAAGAAAGCGCAGTGATTTGCCTCCCTGTTCCTCTCTCCATCAGTAAGAAAGTCACCGCATCCTTAGCTCCTCCTATCCGGAAACCGTCCAGCCCAAGATCCCCCTAGCCGGCCACTTCGCGCAGACAGCCGTCAGGACAGTCCCGCTGCTTTTTAGCCCGGCCGGGGAGCACCGGCCCATTATTGTGGATTCCTGCTAAAGAAGAAAAAGACATGGGGTGGGAATGCAAAACGCAAGGGAAACCATGGCTTGAGGCTTGCAACAAGACAGAGCAGATGGGTACTGTCGATCACGATGCGATGCTTTTTCACCACCTTGAACCGTAGGCCGACATGAGCGTGTTCAACGCTAGGTCTTGTGACTGACTGAATACGCGCGAAACCCTCTCGGAATAGAAAATACCCTGGAGAACTCAGGTTCGAGAGCACTGCTTCAGTGTTTGATTGTGAATAATGCTGACAATAAGCACTGTACAGTGTACGGAGTACAGCTAGCTGTCTTACTAGTTAACAGAAGGGTCCACCACCTCATCAAGTCTCGCGACTAGCACTTTTGATTGACGGACGAGCGAGACGTTAATCACCCGCAGGAGCGAGGAACCCCCCTCGACATTTAATGATCAAGGCCAAGAATGGACCCTATAAGACCAAAGAAAATCTTGGGGGTGGAAAAAGAGATCGGACTTCGGATACGTCAACAATGTCTCAAGTGTCAAATGTAGGCGACCGCCAGCAGTATCTGCCACCTGCCACACGGTGGATATGCTGTACGGATACACAGACCAGCAGTTTACCGCCATCAATTCATCTTGCGCCCGGGAGCCATGCAGACACAACAAACAGGACATCACGATAGTGCCTGGCCGCTATGACAATGGTTTCATCAAGAAGTTAACTTGGAGCTTGCCCACACAATCGTCGAGCCACGCTGGCGGTGAAATTGTCGGTGTGTACACCGACAATCCCACACTCGCGAGCAAGCATTGTGTGCACTCACTCCACGCTGCAAGTGTGGATCAAGAGAAATAGCTCTGCTGAGGAAGTGTACGGAGTACATGGCAGAGATCTGGCTAGATACCCACAGGATTGTCGCTACTCAGTACATGTTTGCCAGATGGTTACCACGCAACAACAGGGCGGAACGATCTCGTCGATATCCAACCAGGGGGTTCCTGTCAGTTGAGCAGCTAGACAGCTAAAACGACGCGTCCCCTGCCGACCTGCATCCACGCGCCCTCAGCTGAACGCGAAATACTTGACAGCCGCCATCTTCTCTGCCACTCTGTCAAGTCACGTGCCGCAGAAGCCCGGCATGTACTCTGTACAGTGTAAGCGGCTGCTTGGGAGATCCCTACCAGCAACACCGGTGCTAAGGAGGCTGAGCGATCGAACCCAATCCCCGGGATAATCAGCATGCTTGTTCATCATTCGCTCCGCAAGACGCACTGGTACCGCGAGGTCTAAGTAGCAGCTATTGTCAGATGATGACAAGTATGGTTAGGGTATAGCACCTTGTACGGAGACTCTTTGGACTTCCGGCTGGGAGCATATCTAGTCGGTGGTTTGACCAGGTTACCCATGGTCAATACGACTTTCCGGCCTCCTACGAGTATAGTCCCTGCTTTGGGTTTGTTTTGGGTGGAGTATGTCTCCATCTCTTTGGCCCTCGGTTCCTGAACCATGTGTATATGCTAACACGTGTGCTCAGGATGTTGATATCGGACTAATCTTGGGGTAATCTGGAAATGCACAGTCCCGTATCATTGCACCGCCTCCCCTCCCCACCGTCTTGGACCAAGTTATCATCCTCAAAGCCTTTGAATACCTGGCCAATCATATCCCTTAAAGCCTCTCAGCTTCCTGGACTGGACAGATGTCAGGTTTCACCATCGAATTTCACCAGGGCATTAGACGTCCGAACTCATGTCGACGAAGGATGGTACGGTTCTACCCCTGGGTGTGTCGGCAGCGGTATCTCACGGGCATATGATATGATATACTGCTCCCACAAACCTGTTTTGAAAAGTCGACACTAGCAAGGGGTCTCTTCCGATTTGCTACCTGTCATATATTCACGTTGGAATCTCATTGAGCTGTTTGGTAGCAGCCTCTGTTCCAAAGAAAGAGCCACATCGCTAGCCCTGATTTGAGCAGTTGACCCCCCTTTTCCTCGGCCGTCAAAACCTCATACCCCTCGCCTCGTTCTCTTGAGACGTGTCAACCTGCAGGGGGGAGGCAGCTGGGACCATGGGAGGTTGTCCGAAAAGAGGAGGACTAAAGCACAACTGGCCACCAATTGCAGCCTCTATCTGCCGCGGCTGCGGTTGGATGTTCTAGCCGCACCCGGCAGACTTTATTGCCTTCACGTAACTGATTTGTGTTGCGGTCCGAACCACGATTGTTACTTTCTCCGCTCCTCGGTGGATATGCGGTATATCACATCCCCAGGTTGTACACAAGAAACAACCGCAGTCGGGACGTGCTTGATCTGTCCTGCGGTATTGAGCAATGATTTTGCCGAATGCTCAAATCTGTGACGCAGTGGCATCTTGAAGTGACATGTTGGGCATGGTTGAACGTGTGATTGTTTGGCGGGAGGCTTGTTCAGTCTCAAGAAGCATCTTTTGGCATGCCTGTTTGGAGAATCACCGGGGTCGTCAATGGTCGTTGGCTGCACTCCTCTGACCGCTCAGTATCAAGCACCATGCAGAGTCTGTTGACCCATATTCATATTCTCTCTTTAGTCGTCGTTTTGACAAGGTAGGTCCTAGAACCAAGCAAGCACAGTGGTAGTGCCAGCGGAGCCGTCGATACGGCGACCCGGCTTTGATTATTGGCACAACTTCACCAAATAGAGCCGATTCAGTGGTGATTTGGTTGGGCATCTCACAGCCCAGCAGCATGGGTGCTATCTCCTAAAGATCTAGGTGCGACGTGAAGATCTTTGCGACTGCCTCTCGGACCCTTCCTGGCCCATTCACCGTCACTGGAATCAATTTCGGTTGCGGTAACGTCAAGACTGTCATCTTCAACTTGCGCGCCAAACATCTCCTCCGTGTGCCCCTGTAGGTATGTGTCGAACTTGCCATCACGCCTTTCTTGCATGGCCTTTCTCGCTTGATTCTGCCACCCTTTCTCATAACAGCCCTCACTTATGTCTTTCTTGAACCTGCAAATGGCAGCTTTGACGTAGGGGTCGTCCAGCACGAAATCCACGGAGATGGGGCAGAAGAGGTTCCCAGACTCGTCGACCTTATATTTGCGATATTTCGCCGGTAGCGCATTGATGATTGCACTCTTTTCGTCCTCGTTGAATCTATCATTCCATCCCGAGATGCAGGTCACCAGGAAGGCGTGGAGATCTTTTGTGATGATGGGCGACGTGGAGTTCAGGATCCGAAGGGCTGACCATGGACCCGTGTTCCGTTTCAGTCTCGTTGATGGATGAGCCATTTTTGACGTGTGCGTATGTCAGACCTCTCCGACCTCTTAGAAGCTGCTCAGCTTGCATCAGAGCTTTGGCAAAAGACTGCTCGCCGACAGATCGGCCTATGTGGCCAGCGGCCTAGAAGGGGAGAATAGGCTCCAACAATATTTCAGGACAATTTGGCCCCGGAATGCCAAACGATCAACGAGTTAGACACGTTAGCTGAGACAACAGAAGTCAAGACATTGACTATATTGGACAAGGTAATAGATAGATTCCTTCAGGTGTTTATGGCGTCATCCCACGTGATGTTGTTTTTGATCAGACAGTAAACAAACAGATGCTGATGAATTATCATAGAGGATACATATATACTAATGATGATATCCTACCATGGCGGAGGAGATGCCTGTGAAGTAGATCTTCTATGAACTGGGATAAAGGATGGGATGTCAAACATTTTGGCTGATTCTGCCTCGGTTCACATGCAGCCAATCACGGTACAACAACTTGGCGCAGCCACCTACTACTCCGTACATGCAATCACTAGCAGAGTCGACAACGAACCACCGCCTCACAGTGCCTTACCATCAATCGCGACGGCATATAGAGAAAAGGCTTGATTGCGGATTTCCTCTCACATCTTCCACGGCCTTATATCAGGCAGGAAGAGACTCAGTATAGCCGCTAGTGGCGGTTGACCTACGACGCGACAAATGTGGCACCAAAATGGCCTCATCAGCACTGCACCGAACAGTGCACACGACCATGACCAGCCTTTCCAACGCCTCTGTTGATCTGACCAGAGCCGCTATCAGCCTACCATCAGCCTATTCAAACTATGTCGCGTCCAACTCTTCATCTGTCTCTGGCATCGAAACTAGCCTGCGCTCTTTGACCTACCTTCTCCCTGGCACAAGATATCACGACTCCGAACTGGCGTCCGAGGGGGTACATACATTTGTGCAGCTTTTGTCAATCTATCATGACCATCTCCTGAAAAACCGTGAAGCTCTGGGTGCCCTGTTGCCGACGGCTATCAAGGCAAATACTACAAAAACACAAAGGACAAAACCTTCCCTTCACGCGCGCTACACGATGTTTTGGACTTCGTCCTCCTCACTCTATACCAAAATCGCAACTCTTTTGAAAGTTGCGCAATATACAGAATTGCTGTGGGAGATGATTGCACGGCGCAGAGGTGGCGAAAAGACAAGGTGGCGAGTGGTCGTTTTGTTGGAGACATTCAAAGCTGTTTGCCGGCTTTTGCTAATGCGCCTTACACACGCGCGACCACTAGTCAGTCCGCCGATGCCTCTGAGAGAGGATCTTGCGCCCGTCCAATCTGAAGACTCAGACCAGGAATTCTCAGAAGACTTGAGATTGGCAGATGACGAGGGGTCAATCGATATCAAGGGAGCGCTGGGCGATGCCGGTGTCCTAACGCCACCCCTGTCAGATGCTGGCAAGCCTGCTTCGTCATTGTCCACCACCGAGCCCTACAGCATGCCACGGACCGGGTTCACTCTGCCGACTTTACCCACGCCGGATACGGTATCGGCGTATCTGCTTGATCATGTTCTCACTGCGGACGATGTTAAGCCAGCCAAGGACTTGCTCCATCAGTTGGCAACCCTGCGCGGGCAGGCCGCCGAAGTCATGTACATCCTCCGACCTGTTATTTACGCACTAATGATGCAAAGGGTTGCTGGCATATACGGCTATGAAGGGTCGAAGTGGAAGCGGCACTGGACTCCATGGTTGATCGGCATCACGATGGAATACCTCGCTCGACAACTTGCCAAACAAGACCTCGCATCCCGAGTACCCGGGGGTGCGAGAACTGGACTGTCGGCCCTGGAACGCGAAGAGTTGCGGAAGCGAGGATGGGGTCTTGCCTGGTGGGGCATGAGAGGTGCCTTCTATGAAAATATTACCAAGAAGTGGGTGTATGGCGTGGCCGAAGCATTGAAAGGCAAGCCCGTCCTAGACCTGGTCGGAGTCGTTGTTGATGAGTATGAATTTCTCTGGAGTAATTATTATTTCAGCACCTCCACAATGTGATTGCATACTCTACGGTGACCATGACGACTTCTGCCTGGGTGTTACTGTCACTGGTCTGGTGGGCAGCACAGTCATTGCAGGAATGTCAACGGGTTGATTGGGTTTCGATACAGAACTCGTCAAACAAAACGGGAGCATGTTGGTACCCTTGTTGCATGGTGGCCGCGCTTTTCTCAGCAGCAAACATCTTTAGACTGGGCCGCTCTGATGTGGGATTAAGATACGACTGTGACAAGTATTCTCAGGGAACTCCAACTATCCTTCGGTTGTTATCACAATGCATTATGATCCTGGCACTCGCCGAGAAGAACGCAACCTGTTCTTGCTCTTCGGCGGTGGGTGGTTGCGAACATGTGTCAGTTGACCTAAGACCATGGTACAACACAGCGGACACAGTTAGTCTGTGGCATCTCTCGAGGCTTTTTCCTGCCGGCCTTTGGACATGACCTTTGGTCACGAGGCAAACTGACACCTACTCGATACTTTGCGCAGCCAGTCGGTTTTAGTACGAGGTGCGTGCCGCGTGAGATCCCAACCAAGACAGAGCACGTTGCACGCAAATGGCGTTCCATGACTATTGCCTCTTGGTGCCTACGATCATCTTCTCGGAGCGAATCGAAGCATGCGTAAACCACTGTGAGGGATCGATCTGCGAACATGGAAACAATCCATTTGACTAACAACAACAAGAACAACACACTGTTTTTTTATACGAAGACTTAAATTACAGTGACTCGTTCGTACCTTGGTGCTGTCGAGAACAATCCATGTCCTTCTGAACCAGTTCAAATCAATAACAGGATGTCACTGCAATCATTTTCTGTGTAGCGCATAATGTCATGCCCAGGATGAAAATTCGTAGAATTTCATAATCACAAGCCAGTGCAATCCTGTGGTTCATCTCGGCTGATCCTTGCCCTCGTCGCAGATGCTGCCAAAATCATCCGGAGATCCCTGTACATTAGCGAGGGCGTCTCGTCAGTATACATACTCTCTCTTGCCTTCAGGCTCGAGCTGTTAATCTTACATCACACATGGCCAGGATGTGCAACGAGCCATCCTAGTACCTGTTAGTGTGCTCGTCGTCTTCTCTCGTGTGCGGGTAAGATCAGAGCGTCATATGCACCGAATATGGAAGAAAATTTCTCGTGAAATTCACCAGGTATAGAAAAGGATGGGGTGAATGGAATATATAAATGCTTGACAATAGTAGACACCTCGCGACGGTTGTTGATCCAGTTCACAGCACAAGACCCAAAAATTTCGCGTGTTGCTGGGTTGACGATGCACCTGTTAGAGATCTCCTGTTTGCAAGGGTTCTAGACTTTGTGGAAGATGCAAGAAGATATGAAAGCTAGAAAGTAATCGTACAGAAAGTTGGAATCGTGGAATAGAATTTCAGGACCCTGATCTGTGCCGATGTATGTTCGAAGTTCCAACAAGCTGGGATGGACCGGTAGCGTGTCCAGAAGGAGAACGCGAACGATATGGATGTAAGAACTAAATCTCAAGTCGAGGAGGATTTGTGGCTTTCGAAGGTTGAGACCGGGCGTCTCCAAGAGAGACACGCTTCTTCTCGAATGGATCTGCAAGAGCGCATATTTGCCACATTGTCTGCAAGAAAAGTGTGCTTGGCTTCGTCTGAAGCAGCCTTGGTGCCCTTTGTGGCAAAAAAAGCCGTAGTAAACGTATGAACTTTTGCCAGCATTCCCTTAGCCATCAAGTCCACTTTAGTGATGTACACCTGGCCTATTGAATCCGCCGTGACGACACCTGCTGCATAATTCTCTTCTCCATCCAGCTTGATCCGCTACACGGAAATGTTTGGAACTGAGTTCCTTTTCCGTGAAGCAGAGTCCTCTTTCGCCCACCACATCTTATTGCCTTTTTGGAGATTGGAACCGCATTGGCTCACTTGAATCCAGTTTCTCATGTCATCGTGATGTTCGACAATACAGCGGAATGACCGAGCATGCAAAGGACCGCGAGGTGAATTGGATTGAAAGGAGAGGAGAATCGGCGAAGCTCGTCGCGGTCACCTAGTTTGGGCAAGCTGACTGTAGGTGACCTGGCTGCTTGCCTGAACAAGTTGTTAGCATAGGCCATCCAAGATTGGCAATGAGTTGCTCACATTTGTAGCAGATGCGCTCGGCGCTAGCTTCAGACGGACAGTCCCTAGATAAATGACCTTGCTCGCCGCAATTCTAACTCGATGTAAGCGGATGAAAGTCGGGAAGTGGGATATAGACCTACGTAGCACTTCTGAGCTCGGCCTTGAGTGCAGTCACTAGGACATGATTAGCTGAGCGAGAAAGTAACAGATGATGTTGTGCGCGATTACCGTGACATGTGACCAATCCCACCGCAAGACTGTAATTCGAAAGGATCAGTATAGGTCTGATGGGAGGGAATCAGAAGCAACTCACATAGCATGTCTGGCCACCACCGCCACCACCGCCACTACGGGTGAAACCGCCACCATACCCGCCTTGGGCGCCAGAGGTGCAATCACTAGGCGGATCAGAATGTCTTGTGATGTCGCTCTTGGGTCCAGAACTCACCGTGCTATGTGGCCTTGTCCGCCACATCGGTAGCATTCTCGAGCAGGCCCTCCGCCATAAGTGTTCCCGCCTGCAGCGCCCCAACCACCGCCTGCGCCACCGGCTGGTGGAGCCTGCGGGCAGTCACGAGCAAGATGTCCTTCATTGCCACCTATTCTGCATCAATACTGGTGTGTGAAGGGGAGATTCTGGTAGACTGGACTGACATTTGTAGCAAGACTTGGGCTTCGGAGCAGCGGTGCAGTCTCGGCTAAGATGACCCTCGGCTGTAGGAGACATGAGTGAGAGGCGCAGGACAGACGTTTGCGCAACATACCTCCGCAGTTGTAGCTATTGAAAATCAGTAATGCGGAAGAATTGTTCGAGGCCTCGTAACTCACCAGGTCGGAGTGCCTTTCTTAGGGCAGTCGCGAGCCTGAAGTAAGGTAAGAGAGAGTGAGAGGAGTGGCAGCAGTCGCAAGAACCTGGTGAGAAGAATCACCGCAATTATAGCAGCCTCGTTCCATGTTGAAGGTGAAGTTGATTGATCGAGACTGGTTGCTGTCTTCGCTCGTTAGCAGGTTGCGGCTGAGATACAGCCAAAAGCTCTGATAGCGTACCAAGAGTACAGAGTACTCGGAAGGAGGCGAGTAAGATAGGGGATGTACCTAGTGATAAGATGTAAAATCTCTGTATTCGCTGAGTGAAGGGTGGTAAAGCTGGTTGGCACGATCGATGAAGTTGATTTGAACGAGACAAGGTTGGAAAATACAATATTTCCTTCGTACTAAAAAAGCGGAGTGCGATGAACTTGACTGCACGTCACACGTTTTTCGCCTCCCCCCTTCCCCCCCAGGCAGAATTCTACTTGACTGCGCGAGTTTCAAATTGAGGCTACGATGAGTTCGACTATCTTTGTATATATATTTTCTGGGTGAAACGAGCCCTCCTCGTCCATCCACGCGCATGTTGTTTGTCTATCGTGACCGAGATCGTTTCCATAGATACACCATTAAGCGAGGTGTCAAGTGGACTTGTGTAAGGCTACGTGAAATCGTACAGCGCCATCACCTGCTTACGGTCCCTTTCGCCTAGTACTACGACGCGCTCATCGTCAAAGCCTACCCATCGCCGTGTTAGGCTCACCTCTCGCTTCATGTTCTGCACCGCGAAGCCTAGCCCGGAAGCTCGGCGTGCCAGAGCAGAAATATTTGGTAGAGAGTGGACAGCCTTGATTTCGGTACTCGTTCTGGGTTGACTGTTGGCTGTCATGACAGGCTCCAGTTCCCACAGCCGAATTTCATCTCCCCTGCAGCTGATCGACACCGCTTTACCTCGATTGTTGACTTCGGCATCTGACACGCCAGATGTGTGACCCCATAGGCGTCTGCCGGAGCTGATCTCGAGTTTCTCCTCGTTGGAGGTCACCAGAAATGACATTATGGTGTTGTCTGCAAGTGTACCGACCAGGAATGGATGCTTATAGGAAATCGATGTGGGAGCACTCATTAGTTGAGGATAGAGAGAAACCGGCAACGAACTGGCGGAGCGCGTGGAGATTCCACGCTTGTCCCTGCCCTGGTACCTTACATCCAGGGGCGTTTCGACCGAACAGGCCAACCTGCTGTCTAACAGTGTTCCGGCTGGAGTCAGTCTGATTTCCTGAAGGCCCAGGCACCAGCCCGACTGAAGTCTATTGAAGGCATACGCAATCGCCGCGGTGAGGTTTCCTGGTGTCCTCCGAAGTGAAAGCGAAACTGGCGAGAAGGATGCATCGGACTGGAGTTGAGCAATTCGTGAAGCGGCAGGGGGCGCACTTTCCCTGGCGGTTGAAGTTTCCACATCATACAGCGCCAGCAAGTTGGTTCTCGATACCGTCATTATGTAAGGTATGGCAAGCGCCACGCCCGTGAGCGGCCCATCGTCCGAATGCTGAGTCGATCGAGGTTCGAATAGTTTCTCATCTGTGTAGAGATAAGTTGAAAAGGAGCCGTCCGCAAACCCCAAAACAAGGTGAAATTCCCCATCGATGATATCCACTGCCATGCACGTCGCCTCAGTTGACGGCTCAAGCCGTAGTTGAGCCTTCAACGATCTTTCTCCCGACCATGCACGCAGTCCGGCCAGCCGGTCGACCGTGAATATCATACCCTGGCAGACCTTGGCAATAACTGGCGGCGATGGAGGGTACGCAACCTCTAGCTCGCGGAATTTCGCTTTCCCTGATGCCCAATTTGTCCGGATCTTGTACTGGCGCTTCCAATCGACCGAGGGATTGTTGCGTAACTTATGCCCATGCCGTAGCCACTCTGCAGCCTTCGCCCGTCGTTTCGAATCATCTTGACCTTCTATCAAAGGGGTATTGCGAGCTCGAGACCTGATCCAGGTGTCGTAATATTTCACTTTCCATAGTTCTCGATCGGTGGCAAGAGAGCGAAACCGGCGCGAGACACTGCCGGAGCTGTCAGGTGATTCTTGGGTGAAACATGACATGGCTTACCATTCAATGTTCAATAAATCCTTGATGGCCAGAAAGGACAGCATCCGAAGCAGGATCTCGTCGCTGATGTCCAACAGATGGCGTGCGGGACCAGTGCGAGACCTCTTGACTATTGTTCGGTTCCCTTCCGTACCGTTTCTCCTCCGCTTCGGCATCTTTGTACTGGAGGTACCCAACGTAAAATTCCTGTAGGCGACTTGGGCCCAAGGGAAAGGATTACAACGGAATCAGCGTCGAGGTCGGCGTTGGCGCATGGAGATAAAGACTTGAACCCGTCTGATCGATAGCCGAGGTTCTCCCGCACGGCGCATCATTTCGAAACGACAAGACGCGACGCGACTCTTTGCTTGCACGCACCACAACCGCAGCCATAGACATGAGCACGCTACCCTCTCCGACTGGGACGCTGGTGTTGGCCCTGTGTCAAACTGAAGCCCTTCAACGTCGCGCCAAGCAGAGCATTGAGACCATCGAACGCCTCCAATTTGAAAACGAAAAGCTAAAGCGTGAAGTCAAGGAGTTGCGTCAGGCACGTAGAGACGAAACTCCGAACCTCTCCGCCCAACTGGATCAATTGTTCAGGCAGGACGCAGAAAAGCAAGCCGAGATCGATGAATTGAAGTTGAAACTCCGCTTGATCCAGGCCAGGGAAAGAAAATGGCGATTACAGAACCACTGCATCTCTTCACCGACCATCTCTTCCGACGAGCCAGAGGCAAGCACGCCGGCATCAGTGTCACGAAAACGGCCTCGCAGCGAGAATCCGGACGCGCAGAGGCCACTGCGAGAGATCTCAGCCAATGCTGCCCCCTCCCATCCCCCTCCCCGGTCTAAGAGATTGAGTGACAGAGGAGCAGACGCTATCCCAGCTGTTGCAGAGGACGGCGAGGACTATCACCGGAGCAGGTCTGATATAACCACTGGACAAGTGTTCGAGGATGATCAGGCCAACTGCCCCCGTCACCGATTACAGGCGTTGCTCTCAGCCCCCGCACCTGTCACTCCACTGCTTCCGCGTCCTGACCGCAGCTTCTCTACTGCTTCAACGGCTCCTTCGCGAGTGCAGGAGAAAACTTCAAGTCCGCTGCAACCTGCCGCCGAGGCCAATCCGGCAGGGAACGGCAGCGCTCGTCTTCAGCGGCTTCCTGGCCGATCGAAGAAGCCAGTAGCTCCTGAGGATGACGAGCCCTTCCGCGCCCGGCCAGTCAGCCGGCTGAACCGCTCGCATTTTAGGATCAACCCAATGTATACTGGAGGCTACGATTATGCCTACGACGAGAATTTTTGCGGTCGGGAGGCGAGAATGGGTCATTCTGGATGTACACGAGCTGAATGTTGCGGAGACAAGTTTAAGGCACTAGCAGCGACTCTTCCTGTTGAAAATGACATATCAGAAGACGACCTGCTGCTCGAGTTCTTGGGGCCTGGCTCGGAGGCAAACATACAAGCGTTGACTCCTCTAGCCAGAGAGAAGCTTATACACGAAGCACGGTCGAAAAGACTGGCGAATCTATACGGGAAAATGCACCGGGCGGCATTCAATCGTCCTCAGAGTCCGCCTGGATATTGGGACACCGATATGCCTGGGACTCAGGAGGAGCAGCACAACCGGGAGAAGGCCCGGCTGGGGGAGCGGGAAGAAGTGGAAAGTAGATATCAAGATGCCATGAAGGGAAATGGCCGGTGGCTATTTGCAGACGAATGATAGAGATTCTAGTTGAGATTGTGGAAATTAGTTATGTGAAGGGGCAGAAGGGTATACTCCGTACTCCATGCGGATACTCTCAAGGTTGTCACAAGGTTAAGGATTCCATGTCTTGTTGGAAATTCATCCACGTTGACCTGGATTTGTATTCTTGGTCTTACACGGAAAGTTTGCCCACAAGCTGACATGAGCGAACAGTCGAGCATGTTCACCTGGCTAATATCAACCTTCTCTAGACCGGCCTCATCGCCAACGATCCTGTCGCACATTGCACGCGTCGAGCCTGGCAGTAATCTCGCTTAAGGTGACTCAGGCCGATTTCAGACCAGTTTGAGATTCTTCTTTCACTTATCTTGAATCCAGCTAGGATCTTCTGTGTGGTGTTGAAGTCACCAGTATCCTCGCCTGCCTGCCTGCGTTCGCCATTCACTCTCCTCTCACTAAGTGCATCTGTTGGTTCAGAATCAAGGCCCTCTTTTTGCTATCAACGGCCACTATTCTCCTGGTCTCTTGATGAAATCGTATCCTTAGGAGTCTTATCTGTGCTGGGATGTCGTCGTCAGCTCTTACGCAGAGATCGCCCAGACAATTCTCTGCTGCTCTCAGTCCAAGTGAGCTACCGTCACCGCCCTCCTCACCGACCACCCGACAACGGAACCTACGATCAATCCTTCGGCCACAATTCGCCTCTCAATCACACGGTGCAGCTTCTCGAAATGCCCCTTCGGCTGTTGAGCCACGTCCTGGGCATGCAGTTGTTCATGAGCGGGGATCCGGAAGCAAGGACGCAGCTGTCTGCCCATCCGAACTACAACGAAACATAGCGGAGGAGCCACCAACAGTCTTGTCAAACCAGTCCATGGAGATAATGAGGAAGAGAAAGAGAGCTCATACAGAGGTACGAGCAGATGAGTACAATTCGTCGATAGCGGCAACTCCGGGCCGTACAAAGAAAAGAGACCTTAGCCCCGATTCCGATATCGACTCCAGCACCGACTTTAGCGAGCCCGAATCGCGGGTTTCATCTGACCGAGGATCCGACCAGGCAGGAGAGGATGAGCAGGATGTTACGCCTCAACATGAAGACAACGACTCAGCTTCAGACGATCAGGCGCCTGCGACGGCCAAGAAGAAGAGAAGAAACGTTTATGAAGGGATGTACGACAAAGCCATGGCTGAGGTGCGTTTTCTCAAGCGCCTGTTGGAAAAGGGAGTCGGTCTTTCACAGAAAGATGTGGATGCATGTCGGCAGCGTGTTGACAACGGCACGACCTACAAGCGTGCCATTGCCCATGTATTTCCCCCAACCCACCAAAATACGCAGCGGCGCAAGAATAGCGCAGCTTGAGCGGAGCAGGAGGTCAATGGTACTGTCATGTCTTTTTGACTGAATTCATCTGGAAACTATCCTTGGCTGTATTGTATACTATTCTCGCTAGGCTTGCATAAGCTATTGGCCACCTCGCACTCGCCATCCCTATCTTCGTTTCCTGGGACAACTCAAGGAATAACTCTTGCAGGCCAACCTGCTCTTCCGTCTCTTTCCCATCTCTTAGAGCTCCAACCGCACGAGGTATTACGACAGAGTCACCGGCCTGTTTCGATTTTCGGCTACCTTCACTCCCGGGCTTGAGAGCTGTTATCGACTAGGACGTAGCTCCTCCTGAGTTGGCACTGACTATCGTCTCGAGAATTCTGAAAGAAGTATTGGGCTACAGAAAATTATGCAGAAGTGGTGTCAGCCGTGTTCATAATGATGGAACTTGTTGTTCTTCAGGTCCATTCACACGTAGAAAGGTGATAGTTACAGCATAGCTAGAGTAGAATAGATTACCCTTGTTGTACTCCGTACATTAGATCATAACCGATGGTCCGCACCTACAGGCCCGGAATGGATAGAAAGAGGAAATCAATCAAGACAAGAATTCCTCGTGCAGGGGCATTCTGCTCCCTTTGGCAGGATCTTCTTTTGAAAACATACAGATGCATAGATCTCCGGCCTTTGCTCGCCTCGAGACGCTCAAGCATAACTGGAAAAAGGAAATCCCTGACAACGAGACCGAAATACACATGTACCAGTCGTTGTTGCACAGATCACGCTAATATGAGATGTCCTGTCCAATGGAACATATCCTAAGTAGAACTGCCACGCGATGGAAGAGTGGAAAGACCTACGGAGCCCAACACAACCCGAGGCTGTGGCAGTCGCTCCATTGACAGTGCAACACTACGTCTATGATGATATAAAAGCAGCTGCTGCTCTAGCACTGTAAAATCGAAAAGAGAGAACGCTATATGATCGTGTAATAGTGCCTCATACAAAGTATCTAAGCAAGTTCGTCCTCACATCGGGTCGAGTCATTAGCAAGTGCTTCATGACTAGCTGGCTACACTGACTGCGGTGGTGAGATACTCAGACGCCATGTTACGTCGTGATGTCTGACTAAGGGTCAGGGTGTGATCTGCATATTTGGGCCGTATCATCCTACTGCCTGGTGGGTGGACGGCCACCATGTTAGGCTGCACTTCCCAGAATGTCCCATACAGCCGAAATGTAGGGAGGATATTGAAGAAAAACAGTCCCGAACCGGAGGAACGAAAGCTCGACAACTGACGATGGAGACGCAGAGAGCGTTGTGTTGCGAGCGTGTAAAGCCTGACTCTGCCCCTCTAGAAGAGGCCTATCAGAAATGGCGCACATATGTACAGGAAGCCTGGGTCCGACCGTCTTCGTCAGAGCTCGAGTTTTCCGTTGTGACTTATGAAACTGTGCGATACGCCAGTCAAGAGTCGAAAATTGGGGCGAAGATTGGTACTCCGCGTGATTCAAGAGCATATACCACCCTTCTGGTAACTTTAGGGTTGGAGATGATGAATACAGCTTCTGCGCCGGATGAAACATACAACTCGTAAGTCTGTCGTACGAGGTGAGGCCTCCCAGCCACAGTGGTATTAATGATGATGGCTTCAGGATCTGCACGACGGACATGCTCGATCACGCTTGTCGAATAAGTGACTTCAGGATCTGGAGTAGACCATAAAATTCGACATGTGACGTCTCTTTTGCACAACAGTGACATGATCGGGCCTATCCCTGAACCTGTAGCGACCAAGACCAGTTTCTTGAAGATGGGAGCCACGTGCAGCACACCCATGGTGGGAATCCCCCGAACCCAGAGCTTTGTAGGTGGTGACTTGATGAGTCGTGAGGTCCAATCGCCTGCCTTAGAGACGAGAACAGAGAATCCTTGACCGTCTTCTTCGGGGATGCCCGCAAAGGCATGCCACTCCATAAGCGGACTATCTGAGAGCCGAGGGGCTGCACAGAGAGGTAGGTTGGTGTAAGTGAAGTGTAGACGGACTGCATGGTCCGATAAAGGTTCTGCATGGACCGGGACCTTCCTGAGCCAAACCCAGGGAAGGGCTAGTGAGATTGTTGTGACCACCAGCGTCCAGAAGACAGGGCTATAAGCTATTGCTTCTTGAAGTGTGACGCTGGATAATGGGGCATGGGCCCTCTCATCAGCAAGTAGCCCAAACTGTATCCAGAACAAAGCGACTGCCGTCCATCCTCCAAAGCGGTGGACAGTCTCGAAGACGTTATGCATCCTTGAGCGAATGGCAGGGTGAGCCGTGACAATGATGGAGAGAAGCAAGATGTCGAGAACGACAGTGATAACAGGAATGACTGTCTGATGCGTGCGGACTTCTCTTGCTCGCAACACCCTGACGATTGCAACATTAAAGAAGGCGAACCAAACTGCCGCCGACATACCCGCTCCGCTGTGAACGCCACCTAGATGATAAATCTTTGCTGCTATTCGACGAACGCGCAGAGGAAGCCGCTGGGGGCATTTGCCAAACGACCAGAAAAGAGCGTTGATGACCAGCTCTTGCCGAACCAGAACTGCGACGGTCAAGTTGATGGAAACTGCGGCGGCAGCCGAGTCGGGGGACATTGAAAGGAGTCTATGCCGCGCCGCAAGAGCAATGACGGCAATGAGATTGGCAGTTAGGACGAGGAGGCTGAGGCGGCGGTAGACTGACAGGACGGTCCAGCGTAGATTTCTCATTATGCGGTTGTACTTTTTGTCTTCCATTGGTATCTCTGGGATTGGGTGCTTCTCAAGAATGAACGACGAGGCAGTCTTTGAGGACGTTTGGTCAGGGGGCACTCCGTCTCTTGTGGGGGATGCCTGTGCAGCGCCAGCAGATGAGTCTCTTCGCTCTAAGCTCTCTGTTTGAGACGTTGAATATTGAGAGTGTTGGGGCCAAGTTTTCCCGAGGACATTGTTTAGTGAAGCGCCTTCTGGATCCGGGACGGGATGCACTGGAGCTTGCTGAGAAAGATTGCGTATATCAGAGACGATGGGCAGCGCCGTCAGTGCCATTCCGGATTGCTGTATCCATGCTGTCAGAAAGAGGCCAACACTGCCAATAGGCGATAGTAGTCAGACACGAATCGAGGGTGGACCAAAGTGAAGGGTTTATAACCTACGACTGCTAGATGAAATGGTCGAGTGCTTGACGCAGAAGTGAATATGGAGGTGTTGACGGAAGGAAGTACCAGGGTGCGAGTGTTGAAAGTGATTCAAACAGGCTGTGAATGCTCACTTACAAATGATACCATGAGGGCTAATCCAGGTGACCAGAATGAGAATGTTGTCTGGTGCGTGCGCGCGTGTGTGCCAAAGGTAACTTGCTCTTGTTCTTCGAGGGAGGGTGAGATCGTGTGCCTTATAGGGCTCGAGAAGAGATACCGGTGGGGACGCAAGGGACAAGAGAACTCGGACAGGAAACTCGAAGACAAAGTAGCGATGGATGGATGGATACTACATAGGAGATACCGAACAGAGAGGAGGATGTCGGGGGTGGTGAGGAGATGGGTGGTGGAGGTGAGAAAGCGTGCAGAGGCAATGGAGGCAACTGGAGGTGACTCGAAAACGTGGGCACTGAGAAATCATGCAGCCGAAGCCGAAGGATGACAGAAACGCAGCCACCAGGAGCAAAGCGAATACCGTAGTGAAATGTGTGCGAAAGGAAGCGGGAGACACAAGGCAGTGGGTGCGTGGGAACAGAGATGTGATGGGATAGTAGTAGTAAATGGGAGGTGCCTGACTGCGCTTTCCATCCACCACTGGCAGTGAATATTAGTACTCGACGGATTGACCGGACGGATGAAGGGAGAGTCAATGGAATGCCGCATTGCACCGAATATGAACATGGGACCATCCAGGTTGAGGCTTTACCGGCCCTGTACAGACTCGAACCCACGGATTGGGATCGAGGAGCTGGCCCAGTTCGGGTTGCATGTCCTGGCATCCTCGGTAGCCAATTGATAGTCGTCAATATATCGAGGCATGTTCTGCACTCAGTTGCAGTATCTTCCGGGCAAGGCAGGCGCAGGCGCAGGCGCAGGCAGTCGGTCCACCGGCAGATCTGGAGGCACCGGTCGTCCAGACTGGGGGTGACTGCCTTGACTAATGTAGCCGCTGTCAGAAACAGATGCTTCAGTTGCCTGTGGTTTCGAGTGCTTCAATGTGACCAACTCCGAAACATGGACTGCGAGAGAGAGCAGTGTGTGGACTGCTGGGCCGCGTTCCCTTCTTACCTGCCTGCTCTCTCTCGATGATCTGCCTGACTGCCCGACTGCGCTTGGTGTCCTGCTCATCGTTTGCTGCCAGGGGACTGCGTCCTTCACGACAACTTGAAGTAGTAGTAGATCTCCTGCCAGTCATGCTCTCCGTTGCATCCTTACTGCCTCAAATAAGAGCAACATACTTTTACCACAGGCGGCCTTGTCTTCACCAGCAAGCTCTCGTTGCTTTCTCCATTTGTCTTCCCTCATAACGTGGACGTGCCGTGTCTTTTTTCTTTTTCAACATCCGACCCGTCTCCTCTCACAAATACCTACGCTTTATCCGCCGTTCCTTTGCCATCCGACCTCACAAGGGCGTGCTCCTTGCATTCGTTGTCTTACCTGACCTGCAGCTATCCATGCTGTCCAGCCATACACCTTTGGCACCTGTCTTTCTATGCAAGCCAACGTTACACAATGTCTCTGTCCACGTCGCTCTCCACCCATGCAGTCTGGACCTCTTCCAAGTCAATGCCCATTCCAGCCACAGATATCTTGACTTTTGCTTTCGCTAATCTTGGCCAATATGACAATGAGCAGCCGGTAAGCTGCTTGAACTCCCCATTGTGGCATCAAAAGCTGACCCCTGCCCTCCATTCCAGCTCTTTGTTGATGCCAGTGACCCTACCAACTCCATTTCAGCCCTGCGAGCATTTCAAGTCGTACGGCGTCTCATCAGAGGCCTCAAGGATCTCGGATTGCAAGAGGGGGATTGTGTGTGCCTGCATGCCTTTAACAACGTGAGTGATATTTTGGTGGTTCGGTCGGGGTTGCCGCCATCCTTGACGCCCCAGGGCCTGTCGTGTAACTCTGCTGACCGGGTCAATCTGGGGCATTGATAGATCTGGTATCCCTTGATTTGGCTAGGAATAATCGGATCCGGGGCTTGTGTTTCTGGCACCAATCCCGCTTACAGCTCCTCCGAACTTGTCCGGCACTTTAAGCTCACAAAGCCAAAGCTCATCTTTGCCCAAGGCCATTGCATACATCCAATCATGCAGGCCGCTTCAGAATGCGACATATCTGTCTCCAACATCTTCGTTGTTGGCACCCAGAAAAATGCTCCGCCCGTTGACGGTTGTCGAGACTGGTGGACACTGTTAGTCGGTGGAGAATGTGATTGGAACAGCACATCCGATGAGGGTAAATCTGTCCAGGATCGAGTTGCGGTGTATTCCATGACCAGTGGGACAACCGGTCTTCCAAAGGCTGCCATGATTCCACATCGCTCGATTGTTGCACAAAGTGTACTATTAGAGGGTCAGTTCCATGCCAGACCTTATCAGGTATTGTTACCTTCTCTGAGCCCCGCTCGGAAATGGACTTGAACTGACATCCTTCATAGCCATCGCAACTCATTTGTCTTCCTGTCTTCCACGCCTTTGCCTCGCCCCTGGCCCTTGTCCTCCCTCTCCGCCTCGGCATTCAGACCTACTTTCTTCCCAGGTTCGTGCTCGACGATTTTCTGCAGGCGGTCCACACTTATTCTATCACGGACACGCCGCTCGTCCCCCCAATCATTGCCTCGTTGAACCGACTTAATGCTGCGGACCATCATCTTCTTGGAAGCCTTCGATACATCATTTGTGCTGGTGCACCCATGACAGCGAACGTCCAGACCAAGTTGTACAATATTTTGACTGAATCGGCAGTCATCGCTCAGTGCTGGGGTACAACTGAGGCTGGCTGGCACACCTTGTTCGATTGGAAGGAAAAGGACACTTCTGGAAGCGTAGGACGGCTGTTGCCAAATGTCCAGATGAAGCTGATCGACGTGGACGGGCTAGGTGTTGGACAAGAAAACAAGCTCGGGGAAGCCTGGATTCAATCACCGATGTTGTTCACTGGTTATCTGGAGAACCCAAATGGAACCCAGGAAGCATTCGACTCGGAAGGTTACTATCGCACCGGTGACCGTGTCTATATCCTCGACGGCAAAGTGTTCTATGAGGGCAGAATAAAAGAGATCATGAAAGTCAAGGGTTGGCAGGTTTCACCACAAGAACTTGAGACGATTCTCCTAGAACACCCCATGATCCTGGATGCCGCTGTAGCCGGCATCACCAGCGAGGATCAATTTGGACTTCCGGTGACATTGCCATGTGCATATGTCGTTCGCGCTCCTGTTGCTTCCGCTGGGCCACAGTCCGAGTGCCCAGCAATCGATGGGAATGGAGCGGGGATGCCATTGACGGCGGAAGCTGTCCAGAAACTTGTATCTGCTAGGCTGATTTCGTACAAACGGCTCACAGGAGGTGTGGTCTTTGTCAAGGAAATACCACGTTCCGCGACAGGAAAGATCATGCGTCATCGCCTCTCAGAGATGAAACTCGACCTTACCGCGAATTGAGTAAGAGCAGCGCTGGCAGAGACCGAATACCATTTCTGTCCGGTCCGGTCCGAGTTGCATCTATCTGATTTCGTGTAGCTTTGGCGCTACCAAAGCATGCGGGCCGGCATTTCCACCGCGAGGAACTGTTGAAAATGGTCGAAGACATTGTGGTCAGGGGTGTGGAACCACTGTATTGGTCGTGAAAGGGTCATGGCGCATTTGCTGTCTCAAAGGGAGCGGTGGGGTTGATGAAAGCGCCCTCATCAGTAGATGCCTCATATGACATACTATCAATAGCAGCTTAATACCTAGGTATAGATGTGTGCTGTGAAGACTACGTGAGGGAGTATGCTATCTGAAGCAAACAAAAACGTGGAGCGAAAGCATGCCAAGGTCATTTCATCTGTCATTCGAGTTGTTCTGTCCCCGATCCTGTGTTGCCTCAATTGTTTAGGAATCCGTTCATGTACCACACTCAACCACAGTTATTCCCTATCAGGCTCGCGGCGGTCTTCGACATCATTATTTGAAGTACCAGAAGGCCAAAATCGTGTTGTTGCCTAGGTCACTACACAAGATACAAGCGTTATCATGTCGACTTCGACTCCAGCGGATATCCCTGTCCAAATCATTGTTCCCAACGACGCAAACCCCAATGCCGTTCCTCTACTGGCTGCCGAACGACGCATCACACCGTCATGGACCATCGCACAATTAAAAGCCAAACTCGAACCTGTTACGGGAATACCGGCTGGCGCTCAGTCACTCCGCACCAGAGGTTTGGATGGAGCCTGGATCAGTCTAGCCGACGAGGCTTCTATTGCAGGCGATACAAGATACGCCTTACGTAGAGGTTCGGAGATAGAAGTCCTCGACGCCCGGCCGCCCAGCGCACGCCAAACCATCAATTTCTCCGACCTGTCCTCTGTTGAGAAATACCAAATGCCCGAATCGCAATACGAGAAACTCGAAAACAGTGTGCTCGCGTGGAAACGGCGCCAAAATCTTGGCCGGTTCGACCCCAACGTGCAATCCCTGGAGGCTCAGGCGCATAATCGTCGTGAGCATGACGAGATGGAGGTCGCCGTCCGGGGCATCAAGGTTGGCCTGAGGTGCAGAGTAGGCAAGGCTGATGGGCGGAGAGGCGTGGTCCGATTTACAGGGGAAATCCCGGGGCTGGGCGGCGCCAAGGAGGCAGGCTGCGTTTGGGTAGGGGTCGAGCTTGATGAACCCGTCGGGCGGAATGACGGCAGTGTGAGTGTCGAAATTGAAGACGGGTCCCATCAGACGAGCAGGGTGTTTCAGTGTCGAGACAAGTTTGGCGTGTTTGCAAGGCCAGACAAGATCGAAATTGGATCTTTCCCACCGCTGGATGATCTGGACGAGGACATGGAGGAATTATAGGCGAAGATGGAACCAGGCGAAACCACTACGCCCTCATGTCGACAAGCCACCAAGTAAAAGATTCTACCATACCAGAATTCCGAAACATCCAAGACAAGACCAGCAAGTTGATGGACATGACTGACCAGCGGACTTCGGACAGGAAATAATTGGTCATATCACAAGAGCAGATATACGAAAGGCACTCATGCTAGAAAGACCCAAGGTGGAATGTCGTCTTCTGATGGTTATGCTCATCCTGTAGCTGTGCTAGAGTTATGGATCGCCGCCATTCATACAATGAACGCATGGTCCACTCAACAATATCATCTCATGTCAGATCGACCCAAGAGACATCATGGCAGGTCCAGTCTGCCCTAGTCGGTAACAGCAAACACCACCGGTCGCATTCAAGACTCATCCTCATAAGGCGAGGCCTCACAGCCTTGGCTGAAGAATATGCGCGCGGTCTTGTCGAGTTGGTTTTGGATAGAATATTGGTTTCCTAGATCAACTCAGTCAGTACCGTCGTCAGAAACAACGCATCTCAAGAACAAACTCACCTCGTGGAACTTGCCAAAACCCGCCCTTTCCAACACTGAAGCGGGTCATACTACCAGTCACCTCCCCCCCAATCGGGCTTACCGTGACACTCACCCGTCCTTTGACCACAAAGAAGCTCATATGCATCCTCCGACTGTTTTTAGGCCGCTTCATCCCTCCGGGAGGTAATTCCACCAGTCCCGTACCGAAGAATCGCGTGCTAAGCAGCTTGGCGTATCTGAAGGTCGGGCCTTCATCGAGACTGGAGCGCTTCACCTCGTGTGTTTTGATGGCTGCAGCCGCATGTGCAATTTCCACCTCCGCTTCTTCTTCCAGAGGAGCCTGCTCTTGTTGATCCCACAATGACACGTTGCCCCGAAGCGTGCCTGGTCCGGTCTCCCATGGTTCGGCATGCGGATCTTCGGCATAACCTCCGTCCATTTCGTAGTCCGAATCCGAGGACTCTGACTCCTCAACTTGACCCTTGCGGACCACGGCTTTCTTGTTGGATTTCTTCTTTTTGTTGTTCGACTTCTTCTCCGCGCTTGTGTCTACCGCCTCGACGCGGACGATCTCTTTGATACTATTCAAAGGAAATCGAGCACCCTCGTCCAAGCTTCCGCTACCAGGACTGCCACCGTAAACGCACCTCTCGTTGCGCCAGTATGCAAGCGGCTTGATACTTACTCGGCCACTTCTGGTATGTGTCACTGCATCGTCCATAGGCGTTTCTCGGCGGAGAATGTATAATGATCTTGGAGGATCCGGCCTTGCTTTCACCTTCTCAATAACCGCATCCAATTCCTGCTGCTGGCGGGAAGACATTTCCATGTTCTGGTCATTGGTTTTGAGTAGTCGCTGTCTCTTGGCTCTCGACGATGGTATGTTCGAGCTGGATGCTTTTGGGCTCTGCTGGTTTTCAGCGCGCGGCGGCCGTCCTCTCTTGCGTATTGTGGTCGGGATAGGCGAGGGGCGCACTTCATCGTCGATCACGTCAGACTTTCTCTTTTTTCTGGAATTTGGTTGATTTTGTGTGGCTGGGGGCTCTGAGGGTTCCGGCTCAAAGGTTTTGTCAGCCTCTTCATCGTCAACATCTCCGGATGCAACGTCCAGCCCCACGTCCATGTGTGCCTCGTCCTCCACGTATTCATCGTCTTCTCCGAGAAGAACCACAGAATCATGAGTTTCACCGACGGTAGCATCCACCTCTTGTGTAGCTTCGTTATGGAGGTTTGGTCCGTCATCTTCAACTGGAGAAGATGCCTCGGTTTCGGATTGCCTAATGTCTGTGAACGTGGGCCGGGGCTTTGTGCCTGAGTACGCACGGTTTGTCGCAATGTCGCGTAGTGGCGTCTTTTCTGGGCTATAACTGTACCTTTTTAACTGGCTGGTTGCTCGAGTGGCTGTGGGTGTAGGCGTATTCTCTCGGTCTTCAAGGTCCTGGGCTTGCACGCTTTTTCTTGTCGAAAATACGTCAACTCCGTCACTCTTTCTGGCCACACCGCTGATCCCACTCTTCTTCGGAGACGTCGATCTTGGGGGTAGCGTTGACCTTCTTGTAGTTGGTCCTCGAGAAGCAGGCGTTTGAGATGGGGTAGCGACAGAAACTATGAATCGGTCAATTTTACCATGTCAGATCTGTGGAATGACAGCACGTCGACCACCTGAGCCAACTCTTCACGTACTGTTGTTAACATATTCCTGCGCCGCTTCTGGTGAGGCACTTCTTTCCTCCACATTTTCCATGGTTGTCATCTTCTTCAACGGGGATGGCTTGCGTGGGGACGAGAAGATGCCCGAAATCTCTTCCATTCCATTGGCGTCAAGAGGCCGCTGGTCCAAGGCAACGCCAGTGCGTCTGCAGCCCGTCAGCGGTCCATCCTTCTTCAAATGTGCCAGTCTCCCACCTTCCCAGTTTTCCAATCGCGGAATAATCCACATTGTCGCGTTGACGGCGAGGCACTGAGCGAGGGCCCATGTTGGGCGCAATTGAGGCAAGACTTTGGCGACAGATCGAAGCGACTTCTCAAGCACACTGACACAAGTTTCCAACTGGTTTACTGAGATTGACTGGGAAACGTTGATCATATTGAAGATGCCTTGTTGTCGACCCTGAACTTATTCGGTTAGCGTGTTTCTTCGCACTTTACCGTATGCGGAAGAATTGCTACCGCGGAGCATTTAGCGATGTATGGTTTTGACGCGTCCAGCGTTTAGTCGGTCGTGTCGCGTCTTCTCCAGGACAGTGTACGGTGTAGACTTGTTTATCCTTGTGTCTCTCAATATCTTCCACCCCTGGCCCCTGGCACATCACAAAGAGCCCTCTTGTCATGATGGAAGATGACCTTATTGCTTCGGCAGTCTATGTTCCGCCTTCCGTTCAGGATCACCGCGAGAGCCTGTTGCTGGGTAGATCCTATGCGCACTATAGCAACGTTCCAGCAGGCATTGAAACCACAAAAAGGGGGCCCCATCCCGAACCTGGGACGTCATGTGTGCTGGGAGTTGACGAAGCTGGACGTGGCCCTGTCATTGGGCCCATGGTGTATGGTGTCTATTACCTCCCCATCGAGATCCAGCAATCTCTCCTGGCCACCACCTACCATTTTGATGATTCCAAAGTGTTGACGCCGGCCGTCCGAGCAAATCTCATGAAAGCAGTCTGTGCCGCCGACACCGATCTTTTCGCGTCTTCGGGCTGGGCTATCAAATCCCTCAGTGCTCAAGACATTGGAGCGGGAATGCTAAAAAATGGAGGATCGTACAACCTCAACGCCCAGGCCATGGATGCTACTGTTGAGCTAATCCGAGGTGTTCTCGACAAGGGCGTCAATGTGACGGAAATATACGTCGACACCATTGGCAAGCCATCTGTTTATCAGAGGAAACTGGAGTTCATCTTCCCAACTATCAAAATTACCGTCGAAAAGAAGGCAGACAGCTTGTTCCCTTGTGTCAGTGCGGCAAGTGTGGTGGCTAAAGTGACGCGAGACGTCAGTTGTGAATCTCTCCTCGAGGCGTACGTTCGACAGAGCTCGACCTTCTCGACGGAAGATACGATGACTTGGGGCTCCGGCTATCCTTCGGACGCGAGATGTGTCAACTGGTTAAAGTCAGCCGTCAATCCTATTTGGGGGTTTGGTAACGAGTGCAGGTTCAGCTGGGGTACCGTCAAAGACATGCTGGAGCAAAAAGGCGGGGCAGCGACCAGAATCGACTGGCCGGACGATGGAGATGACGAGAACATGAGGCTCTGCCATTATTTCAATCTCGACGGAACTCTGGGACCAAAAAGCGAAAGCGATGAACTACGTACTTGGTTTGGCACGGGTGTTGGACAAGAAGCATTCTGAATTGGGAGCCATCAATGTTCTATTAGACAGTCGGAGGATAAATCACCGTTCAACCTCGTTCCACCTATATACGGTCGTCTACGCCATTGTTGGATCCAACCCAATTGCGCCGTACCAGTGACCACCACCATGCAAACGTCCGGAAAGCAGATCCGATTCGCTCAGAAGGCTTGAACCACGCCTTACAACTTCGCTTTCGCCCACAGACCTTTTACGGCTCCCTCGATTCCAGGCAAATTTGCAGGCCCGTCATAAATATCCCTTTCTACAGCTCTGGTGTTAATGTGCAAAGGACCAAGGTCGGTCACCTTTGCCGCACCTAGTAATCTGGTTGCTGTAGCGGTTTCATCCCGCAAGATCTCAAGCACTCTTTCCACTCCTTCCACACCACCAGCTCCGAGACCGAAAAGGGCAGCGCGCCCGATTCCGACGGCCTTTGCCCCTAGAGCCAAAGCCTTGACCACGTCGGTGCCCCTCTTGATACCACCATCAACGACAATGTCCAGCTTGCTGAGCACCTCGGGGCAGTATTTCCTTATTTCCAGCAGTGTGTGGATGGCCGGGGGCGCCGTGTCAGCTGCTCTCCCACCATGGTTCGATAATATGATGCCCTTGACTTGAGGCGTATGCTGGGCGGCAATATATGCATCTTCGTGACATTGCAACCCCTTGAGGATGATGGGTTTGTTGGTGTGCTTCTTCAGCCAGGGCAATGTTTCGGTCCACGTCAATGTAGGATCTGTGCCGAAGAACAAGGACTGTCCAATACCGCCACCCCCTTTCAGCTCTTGGCCGCCGGCATCTTTGACGGCCTGACTTGTGTCTTCTGCGATGAACTTTCCTCGCTCATCATGCTCTCTCTTGCCTGGGACCGGTGCGTCAAGTGTGAGACAGATAAACTTGATCGCATCCAGCTTGTTGATCCGAGCCAACATATCCTCCGACTTCTTGCGCTCGGTCTGGACATAAAGCTGCCAGCCGAATACTTGATCTGACGCCGCATCCTTTACGATCTGCTCGGGTGTCATACTGGCGTTGTTGGAAATCATCTGTATGGTGCCGAATTTCTTGCATGCCTGCGCGATACCCCATTCGCCATCGGGATGTGCCAGTCTCGCCATGGCAGCCGGAGACACAAAGATCGGGATATCTAGCTTGTGGCCTAGAAAACTTGTGCTAAGGTCGCAGTCTTTGCAGTTGACAAACACCCGCGGCCGCAGGAGAATCTGTCTGTACACAGTGTTGTTGAAACCTTTGCTTACCAGGTCGTCGGCCGCAGAGTAATAGTATGCCCAACCCTTCTGTGACATTTTTTTCGTGGCCGCGGCCTCGACCTCGTCCAGATTCAGGAGGGCGGCCAGTGGCACTTCCACCTCGGTGTTTGGTTCCGGCCCAACGTCCGTCGCCGCCTTTACCGGTTGTGGGAGAGTGTTGGTATCGATGGGTCCAATGCGCGCGGATTCGGGCAGGTTGTCTTCGAGAGTGCCCGGAGGATGGATAGGATCGTACTCTTCAGTGGCATCTTTGCCGGCGAGCTTGAGGATGATGTTGGTACCGCCGGGGTGGTTGGGAAGGAAGTCCGTCACGTCCCACACATAGCCATAGAGGATGACCCAGCATGACTCTCTGGAGGTGTGTCTCTGCACTGTACGGATACACAATCATCAATCAGGGATCAGCTCATTCCTGGCACACATGTGGAGCGAGTCCCGCGGAAGGATCAAGAGCGTCGAAGGACTCACCTTCGGCATAGTCTATGAGTTTCGACATCTTGCTCTACACCCAAAGTCGCAGCCAACAGATCTCCTCTCGCCAACGCGTCCTAAAGATAGAGAGAACGGAAGATCGAGGAGCAGCATTCAACGGTTTCCGGGGACGATCAAGGCACTAAATACAATTGCCACGATTGGGTCGTCGCAGGCGGAACCCATGGTACCAGGAATTATTTTAGGTGTACGGAGCACCTGCGGAGTAGTTAAACAAAAAGACCGAATCGCCGACAACTCCAATTTTGTCGGCATTCTTGTCGATAGCCGTGGTGCCGGTCAAGGCAATATTCGGCGCTTGATGGCCCGAACGAGTCGCCAAGCATGCGATTACTCAGTAGTAGACAAGCTCGGCCACTCCACTCGGATAGAAATGCGGGCGGCCCAGGGGTTCAAAAATATTGGAGGTGACACGACTCTCGCAGGCACACGATCATCTATAGAGGTGATATGATGGCACTCGTCGAGCATTCCTCATTGAAGACGAGTGCGATGCTAAAAACATGTGAATCTTTTCCTAAACCATTCCACTGCATCTCCCTTTGTCCAACAGGTAAGGACAGTAGCACACCACGAAGCCCTCCCTTCGTCTCACCCGGTTGACGCCAAAACCCGCGTCTCTGCTTCGCACCTCACAGGGCAATCCCCCAGCGGGGGGCGTTGATGATGATGCCCATGATGCACCCAGAGATGATACCGGTCACAGGAAGAGTTATGATCCATCCCATGTAAATCCAGGCCACCATCCTCCAGTTGATGGTCCTCCAAGTTCCCGCGCAGAGACCCACTCCCACCGTCGCACCGGAGATACACTGGGTGGTCGACACCGGGAGCTCTAAGAAGAGGGTTAGTACTTGTTGCGAGGGGAAGTCCTTCGACACGGATATAACTTACTGAGCCTAGTGGCCACGATGACGGTGATTGCAGAGCCCAGCTCCATGGAGAAGCCTCGCGAAGGCGAATGAAGTGTTATTCGGTTACCAAGGTTACGCATAATGTTGTAGCCGTAGGTCCAGAGGCCAATCACGATAGCAGCGCCTCCAAAAGCCCTAAAAAGATGGTCAGAAACTTTAGAACGTCCACAATATTTTGATACTGACAAGATCCAGTAAGGCACAGGTGTCTTGGATTTAAGTTGATTGGTCGACCAGATATAGTAGATGGTTGTATAGGGCCCAATAGCACTGGTGCACTCAGTCAGTCGAGCGTGGACATGGCGCATGGGGAATTCATGCTTACTTTGACACGTCATTGGCGCCATGGGTAAATGAGGCCGTCGCAGCGGTCATAGCCTGGAGGAACGAGTACATATACTCGGCTCTGTTGTCGTAGTGAGTTGCACGGGCGTGGATGGCCTCAATGTCGCCAGTCAGGATGCCGTTCTTCTTCTGCATGCTGATCACGTCCTGCTCAACCCCATGAAAGAAGACACGCTTGAAATGCCAAAACAGAACGGCCGGGTGAAACTTGCCTCCCTCTGGGCGAGGGCCGATTATGGAGTATGTTTGAGCCTCTGCCATGACAGGAGTTGCTGCACCTTCGCTATCCGAGTGAATCATGTCATCCGGTGTATTGAAACCTTTCTCGTGCGAGGCCGCTCCGTTGTGCTCATTGTTCTCAGATTTCGTCTTCTGGGCGGCGCGTTTAGCTTGAAGTTGTTCCATGGTCAGGTGGCCGCGGTAATAGTCTCGTACAGCGTTATGGCCGGCGGGGGGAGGCAGGACTTCGCCACGACGAAGGAGGAGAGGACCCAGGGGGATGTGCCACCACCTTAGTTGCCAGTCATTTCTGATCAACACACAGTACAACCATGGAAGGAAAAAGATTGTCACCAGGAGGGCGACGCCAGCTCCCACCCCGATAATGACCCCGACGGTCTCGGCGTCGCTGATTTTGATCTTAGCAGAGCCACCCTTCCAGACGATGAGCACTATCGCACAGATTAGAGGGATTGCTTCACATGCCGCCGGTGTCAGCCACACTTACTGGTGAGGAGTGCAGATGTGACGCCGAAGTAGATCGGGACGGTCACAAAAGCCTTCATGACAGGGTTCTTGCGAAGCATAACGCCGTACTTGGTGATGAGAAATATTACAGCCCCAAAGGCACCAGCAAGGACCGGAGCAATGACCCAACCAAGAAAGACCTGGGTGACGCCGGAATTGATATTGCCACCCCACCATTGGATACCATCCGTGCCCACTGCTGCAATACCCATTCCCAGAATACCACCCATGATGGAATGGGTGGTCGAGACGGGCATGCCAAATCTCGTTGCAAACGTCAAGTAGAGGGAAGATGCACACACGGCACACACCATACCGAGCATCAACAGCGCCGGATTGTCTTCGAACAAGGTCACGTCGACGATTTTGGTGCGGATTGTATCAGATACACGAGCACCCACAGCGATACTGCCGGAATATCAGTTCTGTATATCCCTTCATCATTGGCCATTCTCCGGTGGTTTCATACCTTCCAGTAAATTCCATCACTGAGCCAATGCACATGGCCTGAATATAGGTCAAAGAACGGGACGATACTGAGGTAGCAAAGGAGTTGGCAACATCATTGGCACCAATGTTCCATGCATCGAGGAAGGCGAAGATGGTGCCAATGGCAAACAGATAGTCGAATTGATGAAGATACATCCTGTTGTTCAAGTCTGTCCGGCTCTCAGATTGAACAGATTGAAGTCCTGCGGATGGAACTGTGAGAGTGAAAAAGTTGACGAGGCATATCTGGGCTTTTTATTGCTGGGATCCGGCCGCGGCACACTCATGTTCTTCGCGAGGGTCATAACCGAAGAGTGGCGTGTCCCATGCTCGTCGAGCTAGATCAAGCTAATCGGCTTTCAAAACTGGAGGCAGTGGATGCTCGTCAAGGAATGAAGACTCTTGCGATGCAGCACATGCACACACGTAACGTCGAGCCAGGCTCGCCATACCGATCAGAGCGCAAATTGCCAAGTACAAAGTACAGCAAGCTTTGTGACCAGTACAATACCTAAGGTATCTAGACACTCTTGGCAAGGGCAGAAAACCTCATATGATTTGAGGAGCACCGACACGGGCGTGAGGGCGTACATACATGTATACTACCTAGTACCACTAGGACCTACCGATCCTGTCTCGGCGCCCAGCCCGTCGGACTGCCAAGCCGGTTCAAGCTGACTGCCAATGGGTGGAATTCCGCCGCGCCGGCAAGAGTGCCAAGCCGGAGAGCTTACATGAGTTTCTTTCAACTAATCAAGACCGCTCTTTTGCCCACGTGTGGGATGAAGGCCCCAATTGCTCTCTCAATTGAGGTGCGAGGCGCGACCAGTTTGCATCCCAGGGGGATACACTGTGCGTCTTGTGCCCACATATGCCCTGCGCTGGGTTCCCCCTACTGAGGGCTCGTGTGGCTCCATGAAGGTAGCATTGTCTGTTGGTAGGTTTTAAAACAATGGCTTGGGCTTTACGCAGCCAACGAGGCAGTATTTGTTGTGCACGTGGACCGAACAGAACCATAGAAGGCATCACAACCCAGCCCGCGTCTGCTTCCACTTTCCGGGACTGGGCCCTGTGGTACTCATCAACCCCGGGGTAGAAGCCTCCCTCCTCCAGCCAGTTATACCGGATATTCGACAGGTGTATCAAGTTGAACTGCTCGAGACAGAGTCAACCGAGTTTTGTTCTTTCTCCAGGGCCTGATAAACGCGACAAGGATTGCCAGAAGGACGCAACAATCAAAGTTCCCTGAGGTTCTGGAGGCACTCCTCGGCAGTCATCGCGCCTCGAAAGTGGCTAGGGCTCTGAGAAGCCTACTTGGATGTCGACTAAATATCGGAGACGGGATCCTTGGCAGGGAGGCAGATCAGCCACGGGCTCACCGTTTCCAAGACCAGGCCATCGTCACGCCACACTTGGCTAGCCTTGAAGTCACTGAAAGAAGACACCGGTGAACTTGGAAAGTTTTCACCCGAAAGGCGCGTGGCCTGAACAATTGGCCAACGGTGATGGTTCAACCCGTCTGAAGCAGTCTCTTGAAGCTCTGGAACTTCTCCATCTCCGGCAACTGGGGATACCAAGATGGCAGAGATACCGTGAAGTGGTTGGAAATAACAAGAACCTGGGCACCATGATCAGCCAGCCGGAATCCAAACCAAAGCTCTCATTTCAAGAAGGATTTCGCACAGCTCCTGGAGGAAGCCCGCTAGGCCCTATGTCATCTCTTCAAAGTTGTGATGGGGAGGCTGCTGGCCCCGGCGTTCGTTGTTAGCAATATGTACAATATTCAGCGTTAGAAAAGTCTCCACGTGAAAGAAGTCGTCTCTCAAGATGATTTAGTGTTCGCTTTATTGCCTCGTCCTAAGCATAGCCCTAGAACTATTGTTCAAATAAGACGCAGCGCATCCTGGAGCAACGTAGAGAACAGAGGACCAGGGCGTAAGGGAGGGAAGCTTAGAACCGAGACACAGTGGTCGGTGTATGGATCCACACGCAATATTATCACCATCTTATCTTATCTCATATAACCAATATGGGTCGATTTGTTAGGTAAGATACAGAGTACGGAGTGGTGGGAGTACGGATATCTATAGTGCCAAGTGCCTACCAAGTATCTCGTATTTGTCCATCCCACGCCGGATCGTTGCGCAGTCGATCACCATAAAACATACAACCTGTTTAAGAAGAATCCTTTGTCCCTCACCAATGCTGACTTGCGCAATCAGTCTTATCAGTTCCATGAGAAGCCTTAGCCTCCGATCCGCCCATAAATTCATCAGCCCGATGTGCCAATAACATTTAGTGAGGTTACTTTCCGTTCGCCTACCACGAGTGGAAGATCTAAAAGCAGGCGTGTATTTCTGCTAGACAGGTTGAGATCGCAGTTCTATAGGGGTGAGTATTTTAAGTTTCATCCACCAAGTGGTGCTGAAAAGTCTGCTCCTGGCCAAGCTTGACCGAGCCTTTCTTTCAACGGCCCAGATCGCATAATAGCACGGGTGACACGAGGAGTGCCTGACCTTGGCTGGAGTGTGTGAGGCACATTCAAAGCATTTGATACGAGGACTCCAGTTGAGCTCGGTTGAAAGATGCCCACCCTCATCGTCTCCAACTTCAACATTGCCTGTGCCGTTCTGGGTGGATTCATCACTCTCTTTGGCCTTGTCAGTTATCTGTTTAAGGAGCGTTTCTATCTTTCCGAAGCATGTATGTTGGCCAGCCATTCTTTCCCCTACCAGACACTAACATAAGCCATGTAGTGATATCACTGGTCGCCGGCATCATTTTCTCTCCGCATGCCACCAATTTCATCAAGCCGCTGGAGTTCGCGGGTGGCTCGGTGGAGAATCTCGAATACATCACATTCTACTTCTCTCGGCTTGTCCTGGGCGTGCAGCTCGTCCTTGCCGGTGTCCAGCTCCCGAGTCGCTACCTGTACACCGAATGGAAGCCTCTAGCCCTCCTGCTCGGACCGGGCATGACGGTTATGTGGTTGTGTGCCAGTCTGTTGATCTGGGCCATGGTCCCTCACTTAAGCATCCTCCACGCCCTGGCGTGTGGTGCTTGCGTCACTCCCACCGATCCCGTCCTTTCCAATTCCATCGTCAAGGGCAAATTCGCCGATAAAAACATCCCCAAGCCCTTGCAAAAGATCATCATTGCCGAATCAGGCGCCAATGACGGCCTCGGCTATCCCTTTCTGTTCTTGGCCTTGTATCTGATCAAGTATACACAGATGGGCGGCGCCGGGCAGCCGGGCGGGGCGGCCAAAGCTATGGGCTACTGGTTCGGAGAGACATGGGGCTACACGATCTTACTCAGTGTCGCCTACGGCGTTGTTGTGGGTTGGATCGCAAAGGAGCTCTTGCACAGGGCCGAGGAGAGGAAGTTCGTCGACAGAGAGAGCTTCTTGGTGTTTGCCATCACTTTGGCCCTCTTCATCACCGGGACGTGTGGAATGATAGGCTCAGATGACGTCCTCGCTTGCTTTGTGGCCGGAAATGCCTTCACCTGGGATGATTGGTGAGTTGCTTGACTTGTCTGCTTCATCGCTCCAGCCGGTCTCCCTAATTTGTTGCCATTAGGTTCCGCATCGAAACAGCCGACGACTCTCTGCAACCTACAATCGACATGCTGCTTAATATTTCAGTCTTCCTTTGGTTTGGTGCCGTCTGCCCGTGGGCCAGTTTCCGAACTAACGACATCGTTCCCATCTATCGCTTGATCTTCCTTGGTGTCTTGATTCTCCTTCTCCGCCGGCTGCCCATCATCTACGCTCTGCATCGAAATATCCGGCAAATTGACGATGTCCACCAGGCTGCATTTGTGGGATTCTTCGGCCCCATTGGGGTATCGGCCATCTTCTATCTCTATGTCAGCCTGGACTTCCTTGGCCAGATCAAGGTCGATGGAGAGGTCCGAGAAGACGCTCAGCATCTCGGAGAAGTCATGCGAGTGGTAGTCTGGTTCTTGGCAATATGCAGCATCGTCGTCCATGGGCTCTCGGTCCCACTGGGTAAACTTGGCTATCACCTTCCAAGAACCATGTCTCAAGCTCTCAGTAGCGAGAGAGAGGAGGATGAGCCAGACTTGTCTCTCCATCATCATCATGATCATCATCAAGCAGGGATACAACTGCGTCGGAGAAAGAATCCAGGCCAGGGCGCCCGTCCGCCAGGCCCGGGGGCTTTCATGATCGGCCGACCACACCCACAACATGATGGCGGACTGGACAGTCCGGCCGAACCTCACCGGCCCGTTCAGATCATTGACACTCCCCCAGCCGGTGCCCAAACACCAGTCAAGGAAGAGGTGGAAGTAGAAGGATCCGCAGACAGACAAGTCAAAAAGGATGCTGCGGCCAGTGCAACGATGTCAGGCCAATGAAAGCCTGGTAGGCCGGCGGGTCAGTGGTGCTTGATGTATATTTACGTCCTTGCGACCTGGGCCCCCCAAACCCCATTTACTTCAGAGAATCAGAGGGACAGCCGGCTGTGTATTATTTAGGTAGTTTGCTTAACATGTAGTGTAGCCGTAGCGGGTGGCGGTGGAATGTGTCCTTGACCGGTCCCTCATCTCCCACAGCTAAAGAAGTCTCCCCGACTCACTACACCTGGGCTTTGCAGCTGTAATACCACCCAGATACTACCTAGGTAGCTGATGGGCTATCTTGACACTTAAGACCACTAGCAGCTCAATGTACAATATGTGCTCATAGTCAGCTGCTTCCCACCCCGCGCATCAAGTGTATGGATTGAGAGTGCGCTAGTTACTTGACCGTATTCACCACAAAGTCAACAAACGGTTCCCCGATCGTTCTGCCACAATCTTAAGACACCTCGTTTCCCTCCTCGACTCACCTTCTTCACCGCCATCCTGGTCAGTGGACTTTTCCCTCCGGCAAATGTCTTGACCGCAAGTTTAGTGCTGAGTTGTGTGGACTCGCCCGGCCCCGCGGCCCTCGTTCAGTCCAGAGGCACCTCTGGACCCTCCAACACCTGCCATATCAACTCTCGCAACCTTCCCACGTCCTTCTCCCCGTCAGGTCAATCTGCCTCGTCTTAGACGACTGGGTCTTGCCCCACTTCCATTCGGACTCCGGGCACATATGGCTCAACCGTCGCTCCCAGTTCGAACCAACGATGTCTCACACACCAGTCCCGCGCCCAGCAACACAAGTGGTATAGTAGGGCTGAAGAGGAAGAGGACACCAGAACAGAAATTCTACGCTGTCAAAGAGGGGAAGGCTCCAGGTATTTATGCCACCTGGCCGGAATGCCTCAGCCAGGTCAAGGGACACAAGGGTGCGCAGTGTATGACTCAATTCTATGCCGACTATTAAGATCGAAGCAGTGCTAACGATCCGGTTAGACAAAGCCTTCCAGTCTCTTCAGGATGCCCAGGCCTTTGTTGAGGGGAGACTCCCGATGAACACGACCTCTAAACTTCAGAGATACTACGCCGTCCAAAACGGAAGAGTCCCGGGTGTCTACACGGACTGGCCACAAGCCCAAGCTCAGATTCGAGGTGTATCCAAACCCAAATACAAGAAGTTTGACACCAGAGCAGAGGCGGAAGCCTTTGTTGCCGCGGGAAAGAAAGCCAACAGTGTAGAATCCCCTCAGAACCTCAGTCCCGAGGAGGAAATTCGCCAGCTGATTGTTCGCAATTCAGCTCCTGGGTTACAGCTTAGAGGCACGTATGCCCCAACAGACAAAGACGGCAATCCCTACGACATCGCTCGGAGGCCTCTCCCTCCTGGTGCGGAGGATGGATATGACCCGAATGTGAAGCTGGCCCCGGACGGCACCATTGTTGATCGCACGGACGAGGAGAGGAACAGAACCAAGAAGGTAGCCAGGGAAAAAGATCCTCCAGGCATGCTGCGGATATACACCGATGGGTCAAGTCTCAGGAATGGCCAAGCTGGGGCAAGAGCAGGTGTCGGAGTGTATTTCGGGCCACAAGACCCAAAGTATGATGACTTTTCGCTATCTATATCCAGGCGCTCCCCCAGAACAAGAAACGCCGAGCTGGCGCCCAATTGGAAAAAGAGAGAGGCTAATGAATTGGCGTTACAGAAATGTCTCCGAGGCGCTCAAGGGTAGCAAGCAAACCAACCAACGCGCCGAATTGACAGCGATACTACGAGCGCTTGATATAGCACCTCGACACCGCGATGTCACCATTTACACGGACAGCAAGTATTCAATAGAATGCGTGACTAACTGGTACCGAAATTGGCAGAAGAACGACTGGATGAACGCCAAAGGGAAAGCCGTCGAGAACAAAGATCTCGTGGTGGACATTCGCGACAGAATCGAGGAGAGGGACCAGCTTAGCAGACGCACCCTTTTTGTCTGGGTCAAGGGCCATCAAGACAATGCGGGCAACATTGCGGCGGACAAGTTGGCCGTGGCGGGAGCGGTCATGGGTAGGGGGTTCAGTGAGGAAGGAGAAAAAGATGGTCAGCCCACAGTTAGAAAAAGTGGTGGAGCTGACCGAGCTGGCCGCCGGACTGGTGGGGACGACGACGAAGACGATGAAGCCAAAGCTGCATTTGACGCCATGGATCGTGCTCTGGAGGATGGTGATGATTATGATGGGTTCAAGTGAGGTAGATACTAACAGTCGGCCGGTCAAGGCAGCGTAGTGTTCTCGCAAGGATGCTACGTATTTTGTACGAACAGCCCCAGTTGGGCGATCGCTTGTCCACATGCATATCATGTCTAGGTTAAGGTTGCGATGTGCTGACCTGGCCCCAAACTTACTGCTTTCGTGCAGGATTCCCTCATATAATGTCCCGTGGCATAGTCTCGAGGCTTGCTCATCCACATACTATTTTGTGATACTCGTTATGTCGTCTGCCACAGAGCAAAGCCGCCTCGTGGGAGGCAAAACAACATTGAAGCATACCGCTGTGTTGCGTACGCTCTGTAGTCTGTCATTTGGCGACTTGACTCCTTGGGCATCGGGCTTCCAGTTCTGTATTCGCCCAGAACGCCACCGTGACAGAAATGCTGCATCGCCAGGTGTTCTCGCGAAGAAATTCGATGGTAGCACCAAGCGACTGGTCTGATCCGTCAAAGGCTTTGAACCAAGCTTAGAATTGCGCAGCCAGACTGTCTACCGGCTTTCCTCCGACACACGTCGTCTGTCGTTGACACCATACTGGCCATGTGTTGGGTGATGTATCTCTCACACTGTCTTTGGATATGAAGAGCCCACACGGCATCTTGTTTCATTACTGGCATCGTGGTAGAGGGAATGTGTGGTCGCCCATCCTGATCCAAATTGGTGGAAATTGTCATGGTGCTGGATTCCTGACCAGACTTTCCCCAAAATGCCAGACCACCATAACATCATACAGATGTTTTGCCCAAGAGATAAAGTTGTGACATGGTCGAATGTAGTTTCAAGTCTCCAGCCTCAGCGTCAACACCAGTAGGGTGATATACGCAGCGATACTCAATGCCGTGAGCGCGACAACCACGTTACCACTGGTTCTGAATCGCTTTCTGCCCAGACCGTCGTCACCCACTTCACTAAAGAATTGCCGATTGCCTTGCTGGCGACGGTACGCACTGACGGCCAGTACACCCGCGCCGTACACGGCGAAGAGGGCGCCGATGGAGTAGAACTCGGAGGTGAAGATCTTGAGGACGATGAGGGCAAAGGAGAACTGCGACAGCGAAGTGCGGATGTAGGCACCCTCGAATGTGCGTTGCGCCGCACGCACTTCCACCAACTCGTCGTTGGTCAGGTCTACGGAGCGTGCGCGGTGCATGCGCAGTCGGAATTGGTCTTCGGCATGGCGAGACTGGTGGTACAAAGAGACAGCGAGTCAGTCGCGCCACGAGATCCCCTGGTTGGGTGCAAGAGCCTAGGAACTTACAGTGAACATGTTGTCCCGTGCCTGGTGAGCTGCAGCTAGCCGGCTTGGGTGCGCTCACATGGTCCTTGTGGTGATGGTCGAAAGACAAATGCTCGCCGCACGTCTGAGAGATGTCGATGACAGGCAGTGGAAGGGAGTCCATCTTCTCGCCGCTTTACCGTGTTGACGTGGTTGGAGGCTCGACTAACTGCGTACGTCCTCGTACATACATAGGGTAGGTACGTGAGAGAGAACTGTATAATAGTTCTATTCTCCTTTCTAGTCTGGTTTCCAGAGAGACAATACGTTTCAAACGCATGTTGCATCTCGAAAGCATCATTCCTGCGCACTGCCATCTCGTGTTCGTACTAAATAACGCCTTCGTTGATCATTATCATTACTCGCCGCGGACTGGATCCCGCCGAGTCTTAGAACGAGTCCTTTTGTAATCTCGCTTTATCCATACCTCATGTGCGTCTTGGTGCCATTTTTTGACCGAAAACCATGTGTTCGCCTCTATCCCGACCCGGCCTGCTAGTAGTAACGATCTCATTTTTGTTCGACCAGCAAACAATTTCGTGCCGTCTATGCACATGCCGCAGTGGCTCCTTAGCACCAACGCTCGTTGTCCAAAATCATCCATGTTCCGACCTCACCAATCCACCCACGAGTTGATTCGATGTATGCCATCGGCCCGAAGTTGCCAACAACTATCTTGCCTACCAGACCCAAGCCATTAGTCCAGTCGCAACAACGCCAATGTGGGAAGATAAGATGGCCAGGTCAATCCAACAAAAAGCCGTACATCCATATAGTTAATATATACAAGAGAATGCCATATCACATGGACGATGAAACCAAAGAAAAGGGGTATCATGTGTAAGTAGAGGGAAAAGGCCAATCAGGCTGCTTGTGGGTCGGTGGCTCGCCTCATCCGATAGTCCGGTTCGTGTTCAAACTCGTCAGTTGTAGGGTCCCATCGATACGCCTTGAAGTCGACACCATAAGGTCTCTGTAGATCTTCGCGTTAATGGGCATTCTTCAAGAAGACTCGTGACAACTTACCAGTTCGAGCGAGTACACCATCCCTAACGGAACTTCTAGATCACTGATGTCTTCCTGGTCGAGGCCCATGAAGTATGCGAGGATGACACGACAAATGCTGCGATGGCCAATGATCAAGACATGATCCGTCATCCTCTCGATCTCTAGAATCACTTTTCCCAGGCGGTTGATAACATCCAAATATCCTTCACCGCCCGGGCCAGGGTACCGGTAGTGTAGCTTGTTACGTTTCCGAAGTTCGTACTCGTGATGGAATTTGTCCCGGATCTCCATATAGGTCATGCCCTCCATCGACCCGGCATTCAATTCATCAAGCATTCGCATTTGTTTAATATCATATTCGTCCTCATTGAAGAATTGACTGGTCTCGATACTTCTTTTCAGCATGCTCGTCCACACGCAGAAATTTCGTCCCTGTAGAGTTTGAGCCGTATACGCAGGGTTTGGTGGTGTCGTGTCTCCCGGTCGAGGGGGAAAATGTGTATTTGCCATCTTCTCGGCTTGGTTTGCCTCCCATGCCTTCCACTGTTCTTCAATGAACTTGCTGAGGTCCCGAGCATATCTTACTCCGTTAGGACTCAGAGAACTGTCGCCGCCAATCTTGCCGTTGACGTTGTCCATTGACTCTCCGTGGCGGGTGATCCAGATCTGTCTCGGGGCCAGGTTGAAGTTCATCAGGTAAGTCACTGTCTGAATGGAAAGAAACCCCTTGACCTGGAAACTGACCATCTTCCGACCGACATCGATCATAGAACAGTATGACATGTTGTGTTCTTCTTCAAATTCGTCCAGCTTCTGATATGACTTTTCATACTGCCGTACTCGTTCCTCAAAATCCTTCAACGCCGCAAGAGGGTCTTTGCCTCGATAGTCCGGGCCGGATAGTTTGAGTCGCATATTTGCCTCAAGCAGATTCTGGTCTTGGCACCGAGACTCAATGAATAGTACATTGATGTTCTCGTCCCGTTGTCGAATATGTTGGATCAGCGACATCCGTCGTTCTTGCGTATGGTTCGTTGCGTCCAAGATTCCGACCGATCCACCCTCCTCCAAGACGTACTTTAACAGTTCATCCAGCGCCTGATGAGCCACCTGCTCTCGAATCTGTTTCGCCCGCACATTTTGAGGATCGAAAAAACGAGCGGACTGGTCGATCGGTGCAGAAGCAGACATTGTAACGGGCTCACGGTTCTCTTCAGAGCCGGCGGATTCATCGGTCGGCGGCGGACTGGCCACGGTCGATAGAGAGGCAATTTCCCCGTTGACGCGGATTTCGGTCTTGATGGCTGGCGGGGGTAAGAATTCCCCATGATCGACCATCTTTGCAGCCGTGCTGGTGGTCGAGCTCATGCGCCGGACAGACTCTCGAAGGGCAGCGTCCGTCTGGTCAGAAATGGGTTGTCCCACGCCGGCAGCCACTCTGCGACGGTCGCCCACATTGAATATCCTGGTGGGATGTTGTAACCAATTCAAATATCTGGCGATCTTTTTGGTAATATAACTCTTTCCCCTGGCAGGTAAGCCAACCATGATTATGATCAGTTTGGCCCCAACATCTCTTTCTGATATCCGGCCGTCAGGCGAAACTTTGGACCGAGTCAGACCCGGGATGTCGAGGGTGGTGGCGCGCAGTTTGGGAGTTACGGTGCCCGAGAGATTGGCACTGCCACGGGCGAGTCTGAGGACAGGACGAGAGTCAGTCAATATATCCCCTTGCTTCGCACTCGAGCGATTCGTCTTATTGCTCACATTTGCGGGCTGGTGGGCGCACTGGGCGCAGGAGTATCGGTCAGGGCTCTTCCCAAGGCATTTGAAGGATGTGGCTGCAGTTTGTTGGAGGCGAGGCTGGAAGAGGCTCGGCCAAAGGCAGTTTTCGGAGGAGGCATAAGACTGAGGTGATTTGTGACATGACTTGCAGAGGACTCAACTTCTGAATTGGGCGAGGTAGAGGCATGAGTCATTATGGCGGCGCGAGCGAGATCGGAATACTGTTCGCTGAAGCGGCGGTTGAATAGTGCGCCCAGGGCAGGACCCGGGCTGTCTGAGGACGACGTCTGCCTAGATCCTCCTAACTGAGGCATTCAGTACGAGTAGAGAACAACAAGTTCAGAGAGAGAAAAAGGGAAAAACAATCATTGGGGTTGGGGAGTGAAATTGGTGGAGGCTGACTGCGTTTGGAAGTGCCAGTGCCCAGAGTGGTACATACCTCAGCCTGAGTCACTTTTCGTGGCGGAAGCGTCAAGTTCCCGCCCCTTGAATGACGGTGACGTCGGCTGTTCTCCTGCTGTCTGTGCTGTCACCGCTATCTCTGGAGACCCTTGATAGATGCCTCTTCCTTGTGTCACTGGTCCGCACTGCAGCCGGTGCTGATGCTGCCGATTCAACAGATTCATACACCCTGCAGCCGAAGGCTTGACCGCACCTTGCCACAGCACGTCAAGGAGCGTCGGGCTAACAGCAGACCGATTAGAGACGGAACCTGTTGTCTGTGTACTCGTACAGCGATGGGGATTGCGAACAGAAAGAAGTCATCTAAGGCTATCTGGGGATGACACATTAAGCGGCAGTAGTGTGACGATCTGCGACCTAGGTACCCTTGCGTTTTGTTCCCAGGGCTTTCAGGCGGCACAAGGCGTCCCAGCCCCTGGAACCGAGACTGTCTTATGCGAACAACTGCACGGTACAGGTCAAATTTAGCGACCTTGCTTACCGCAAGACCTCTGGCCGGTATTTTCAGAAAGGTGCCAATGGTCTGATACGCGGTGGTTCTGGGGTGGACGATCAGTCACTAGCTACCTAGGTAAGGTAGGTAACGGTCATTTTCCTATCCGCAGAGACGTCGTATGTTCAAGCCATGATAAAAAAATACCAAAAGGTCAACCGCGGAGGGCAGTACCTAGTTTCTAACAGTGTCCTCTACCAACTCCTTGCTGAAAAATAATCAATCCGCCTCTCCACTGAAGCTCGCTCATGAGGACGACGACGGCTCCTGACGTTGTCTAGCCTCCCTCTCCTTCTGTTGCCTGCTCATAGCTGCCCGGGCAATGATTTCCCGCCGGCTCAAGCCCACCTCACTCGGTGCATCATCAGATCTGCCCAGCACAAAATCGCCTCCAGTCCAGCCGCCGTGATCTGTATGCTCTGCATCGTACAAGTCGTTGGAATTGTAAAATTCTTCGCTCGACAAGCGATGGCCCCCGTGAAGTGTGTCGTTTCTCTCCACCTCTTGCTCGATCTCTTTGGTTAGATCCCAGAATTTACGATCATGCTCACTCCACACGTTGTGGGAGAGCTCGTGGCAGAGTGTTTTGCGGATGACCTTATAGTCTCGATATCCGTCATACCGGTCCGTTCTTAGTCGCAATTCAATCACTTCGCCGCGGTTTCGGTTGAGGCCCAGTGTCTTAGATTCGTGCGTCGTATGCTCCGCTGGGTTCATCTCGGTGAGCAGCCCGACGCTGAATTTATTCTGTCGCATGGCCGCCTTGATCCCTGGATCGTTTGCCAGTCGCGCAAGATATCGTCGGCTCTTCTCGGGGTTCGGGAGGTATGGCAGAGGTTCTATAGCATGAAAGGTGTACCTGCTCTCCTCCTGTGTCTTCTTCCAATCGCGGCTCTTGTTAGCCTGCACAGGTTTGAAACTGCTGGGCCGCGTCGCCCTTCGACTGGCGGCCACCATATCGTCCATCTTTTTGATCTCGGTGTTGGGAGCGCCAACCAGTTTGACACGCGTGGTTGGAGTAATAAAGTCGCCGAGCTTGCGGTCGGGAAAAGGATATTTTACGACACCTGGTTTTGGCAGGAAGAAGAGAGATATTCGCTCGACGTCGGCGCCAATCCTTTCTGCGCATCGTGCAGAAAGGCCGCTGATGGTTTCATCGGCGACGTCCTCGAAATCGAGGGTCTCGTCTCTATATTGGATCCGCATCGAGCCTGGGTCTATCACTCTTGAGAGGTTAGGTGCAGATGTTAGGTACGCGAGAAGCCAAAATTGCGAAATACATGTTGGAAAGGGAGGATTTGTGAGTGCCACCGAGACAGAAACACACTGCTCACGATCGGTTAAACACTTGTTTCTTTGACATGTTCTTTGGCATTCGAGCACTTGACTACTCTAGACTAGTAGTATCTGGTATTATTAATCCGGTGGAGGAGGTGGCACAGCCTGGAGGCAAACACCCGGGACCCGTGACCCGTGACCCTGAACAGCTTATGACGCACGTGGGTCCCGGGGATCTTGATCATCACGGGCCTGCGAATTTATGAGATCTGAGCTAGTATGTACGTGGCTAGTCCCCGCGCGCACATCACGTGGTTCGGAAATGTTCAGGCTGCCATTATGGCCAACCTGCCGCTCGTCTAGCTTAGGTTGCCCTGATGGGAGCTCATTCTGTTGTTAAAGTCAAGCATATGCTCCATCGTTCTTTGCAGAGACGCCAGGTCTGGTCGCGCCCTCTTCCTCAACCACTTCCTGATCGTCTGGGATCTTCAACCATTCTCGACTTGGTACATCCCATCGATGGCCCTGAAACTCCGTTCGCACCAGTGCCGAATCCGTGTATTCTTCTGTCAGAATCGGGACATAGGAATATGGCACCTTGGCCTTGACGCCTTCGAAGTAGGTATGTCTCAGCGGAAAGATGTCTCTCAGTCGATACCGATGATCGTTCTTGCACATGATGACTCCGGGGTCCGTGTCAGGGTACACTTCGGACAATCCTGTGATGTCGACGAAAAGTCCATTGTCTACGCTGATGAACCGAGCATCGATAATCTATAGGGTGCGCGGTTAGTTCTCGCTTGAGCAATTGGCCATCGTGATACACACATTGGCACCATCTCCCCGATCTCGCTGCCATGCCCAGGGATTCACATCGAGATAGTATCGTCGTTTAGGATGGCCATCGCCTTCTTCATAGTCGTAGTAGGTTTGGTTGTAGTGTTTGGCGAGAAGTCTCAAGCCTTGATCCGTGACTTGCGTATCCAAATCCCAATCCCAGGGCAAGATCTGTCTGCGTCAGCCAGCGCTCGTCCCCGATTGGGGTTCACCTCTGTCGAACCTTGCCATTCCAGTACCAGGCCAGGAGGGTGCCATGTGCGATCCAGGTCTCCAGACCCAGGTATTCAAAGGTCAGAAAGTACGCGCGAATGAGATGTCTCAATGTATCCTTTCTTTCCTCGTCGGTCACGATTCTCTGGAAGAAGCGAGCGTCATAATGGTGCAGGAGGTCGTCGCCGCCCGGCTCGTGGAAATACTTGTTTCGGTCGGGGTCTGGCGGAGGAGTCGGAGAAGCGGAGGGCTCACCTGCGCCTAGCAGGGTCGAGGGAGAGAGCGATGAGGACGATAAGGGGGTCGAGTGGCAGTGACTCAGCGAAGTGACCAAGAAGGTAACGAGGATGAGGATGAGCCAGTTTTTCGGGAACATGATTGCTGCTGGCTAAGAAGATCAACTTCCAGGTGGTCGAAGATCATGGTCAGAGAAGAAGGCAGGTCTGCAGTCGCCGTATTATGGCCTGCGTGTAGCAGCTCGGCGGAGACAATCAACAAAGCACGATGTGCGCAGGCAGAAGGCGCCCGCAGGGAAGAAGAGGAAGAGAAGACAAGACGCAGCCTTGTTCATAGGTATCAATGACATCTAGGCCGTGCTATCATTGTCGCACAGAACTTCTGCCTGACAACAGGGTCCTAGTAGTAAGTAGTAATCATGCACTGGCAGGACTGTCCGCCGCACGCAGTAGCAGTACGGAGTACTCGTAGTAGGGAGCGATGTCGCGTGCCAACTTTCAAGGACGGCAGGGAAACGGAGGGTCCAGACGAGCCTCCAGCCAGTCACGTCAAAAGGTCATCGTCAGCATCTCCCCAGAGCGAGTGCTGTATGGGCAGCACAAGTATCCGTCCAGAAGACCCATGTCGCAGGTGGCGTCGGCTGGGTCCAATTGCGCGGGTACAAATCAAATCCTTCTCAGGCCTTCCGGACATGCCGAGAGACGGGCTTTAGGAGCATAAAAGACTTGGTCGGCGTGCCGTGTGCCATGATCATCAGTGCCGACCAGTGATAATGATAAAATTCAAAGGAGCGGACACTCTCCCGAGGTACTAGTGATGATAATAATAGATAATAATATATATACCGACCTATGTTATGTACCTAGGTACATACACTACAGAGTACTCCGTACTTCCGTAAGGGGGAGAGCCCCCTTATAGCCTACAAGGCTCCTAACTAGCACCTATAGGGCGCCTGAATAATCACGTCTTTACGGACCAATCCCCGTGCCCACACCCAATAATGTTGGGGCACTATTATAGAACGTCTGGATAGGTATGCTCATGATTGTGCATTCGATATTCCGTTGTGTTGACCGTTCACGCCCGTGTCCTGAGCTGTGATCGCCCCATGAGAGTCTATACAGGTCCTGTCTATTGTCCATTGACATCCGTCATGGGTATGCTTCCCGTCCCTTGTAGATGTGTCGTCGGGGCCGCCTGTACCAAACCACTCCCGTTCGTGGTCACATCAGTGTGGCAGCATGTTTCATCCGTGTCCCGGCCAACCTCCACGCTGCTGAGGTTCTTATTCGCAGGAACGTCCAACGCAGGGTTTCGGTCGAAGAAATCCGCCGGCCGTAAGTGAAGCTGGTGAATCTCAACAGGCATCACCGGCCAATCTTCCACCCGAGGGTTATGAGTGAGCCCAAAGACATTCCAAACCACCACGTCTTCATTCTCCACGGTGTCATTGCGGGCAACTGCGTCCGCAACCCCGCCAACCTCCTTCTGCGACTGGTTGGTGAATTCTCCCGCGGCGAAGAGCTCGTGGTCCTTGTACTTCGTGACCCAAATGTGATGGTGAGCAAATGCCGCTCGCTTAGCAACAATGGACTCGGGATCGGCCAGTATCAATTGCGACGGCGAAGGAATGAATTTGTAGGCCACTGGCCGCTGCGAAATCGGGTTGATTTTGTTGGGATTGGTCATCTTGACTGTCAGATTCGTGAAAGGAGAGGCATGGATGGCGGAAGACTTGGTCACTGCTCTGCCTACAACTTCGTAGCCATTACCGAATGGATTGGTCTTGGGATTCATAGGGATGGGTAGCGACTCTTCCGTGACGATTGTATTCGCATGTCCGTCAATCGCGGGATCAATCCGAACTGCAAAAATGTGTTGGTGGTTCTGTGCCAATGCTCCTGGTGACACGACGTTTCCGTAAGGGCTGACTTTGCCGGGGTCGATGTTGACCACCGATACGATACCCGTGGCTCGCGTCTCGACAGTAATGCTGCAGGTGAGTGAGAGACGGTCAGCCTGCTGCCATGGTGCATAGACAACCAAGGATTCGTGTAACTTACCCCCCGGCCTGATCGAACTTGAAGGCGAAAATGTACTCATAGTTTGCCAGAGTGATGATGAACTGGACGACCAACTCTCTCGATCTTGCCACCACAGCTCGGTTGGTTCGGAAGTTGGTGTGCTTCCACCCGATACCATTGTCCTGTTCATGAACACACACAACATTCTTAGACAACGAGGGGTTGCCTTCAGAGTCAACAAGCATGGCATCGATATACTTAATCACACCAAGGCAATCGCAGCCAAGAGCAAGATTATTGGCAGCTCGGCCGGCACCGGCGTCGCCAAAATCGAATGCCTGTTTTCGATGAAACGGGGGGCGGGGGTCACCGTAAGGAACGGTCATCTCTGACAAGCTCAGACGGTATAAGACACTGCGGCCATCGTAGTGGACGTCATGTAATACAGCACATTCTCGGGGAGTGAATCTGCCTCAGCGTCAGCAACCCGGTCGCGTGTTGGACCTGGAAAGGCCTTGTAATACCCGACTCGGAATCTCCATTTCTGCCACTCGACCAAGGAGTCATCGCCCACCGTGAAGGACGGCCCCTCTGGTTGTAGAACATTCAACGGTTTCAAGTCGTTACGGACAGGCCTGTCCAGCAACTCCGGTACATATTCAGCGGGTCGGCAGTGCTCGAGGACCTTTTCCCCGACGGTCCCAGAGGCCAACCCATCCTCGGTGCCACCCGTGGCTAACCGATCGATGCGGATGATCTCCTTCTTGTACGTGTCCATCACAGGGATGATGGGCAGAGGGAAAGCATAGTGGTTGGTATCGGGGTTTTCATGTCGCAGTTTTGCAAAGCAAAGTCCTTGTGTGTATCTGGACATGGGTCAGGGAAGCACATAACCAAGTCAAGCGCGAACCCAAACTCACCGGGGAGTGACTTCTCCTACATCGGGGCCACCGTAAGGCCACGGGTCAATGGCAACCTCGAATTTCTCGTCGAGATTGAGGTCTTTGATGGCCTGCTTAAACATGTCCGACTCTATACAAACATTGTTAAACTCTCGGAATTCATCCACCGTCAAGGACTGTTGGACGCCTCTGTCTACCCGTCTCAGGTCGGCCTCCTTGCCCGTGGCAATGTCGATGATAGACTCCATGTATTCATGGCTTCGATCGTCATAGACGACATCATACTGGACGCGAGCCCGGCGGGGTGGGCGGGGGGTTTCTGGAGAGAGAGTCCCGGCATGTTCTGCGTTGAGGAACTTGATCAATTCAGCTTTGGCTGGCTCGACGGAGTAGATGTTGCGGAAGAGGACGTGTGCCTTTCGGGCGTTGAGGACGGCCTGACGAGCGGCCCGGACTTCATCGCCACTCAGTTGATCTAGAGGGTGGTTATGGACCATGTCGGCCCAGAAGACAGTGAAATCAACGAGATGGACGACACAGGTTGTGAGAAGAACGGCGCACAGGTCGTTCCACAGGAGAGGGAGGTAATTAGTATCAGAAGTGTGGATGATGGCAACATCAACAAGCGCGGAGTGGTCGGACATTTCCTGCAGGCCGGGATTCTGGCGGCCGCTGAGATAAATACCTAGTACCTACATAATCACGTCCTCACTCAAGCTTCGAGGCGATAAGAGTCCTGCTATCCTAGTACTAGAAGGGCGCAGGTCCTTGGCCATTTCATTTGGGTTATATGATATCAATCCAGGGACGAGGGTGTCCTGGACGAGTTTGACGGCCAATAATGATGCCTTGTTCTCGCGTCGACACTCCTGGTCCAGACCAATATAGGGAGGCTACTAGCGTCCATGTTGACGAGAAGCGGAACTCCCCTTTGACACGGCTGTGAAGACGACGAGGTGCATGTAGATCATGGCCATTATTCAGCTGTCTACCTACCATACATATTACTAGGACTCCCAACTGCCCTTCCCTGCACCATCAAGTACCCAACGAAAGTAGCAGTGTATCTCCTCAAGGTGATTACGGAAACTCATCGTCTTCGTCCGTAGCCCACAGCTCCTCATTCAAAAGGTCTGCGTGCTCTTCGCCCACTTCAGCCAGCGCTGTTGCAGGATTGACAGTATCAACAACAGAAGCAATGCCCTGCATCCCAATCTCGTAACGAACCGGTGGGTGGGTTGGAGGCGCCCAGGGTGCAAACACCACGGCGAACGTGCGGCTCTTCTTTTTCTCTCGCCAGATGTTGCCTCCCGTATACTCCTGCCGCTGACTCTCCATCTTAAGGACCACGCGAGCAGATATCTGATTGGCCCATGCCAGACCCAGGGCTGGATTCTTGTATTGTCCATGCGTCTCCTGCCGGTCATTTCCCCAGCCCGTGAAAAAGCACTGCTGGTAATCCAGACTCTGTACCTCCCGTCGGATCTCGACGTGAGCGGCCGGAATGCCTGGCCCGGGCAAGGCGGGCGAGGACATGGTCGCTGGGGACGAAGGTCGAAGCATGTTCTTGGGGTCCTCGAAGCGATCCGACACTTGATTCGTCACCACGATCGCGGCTTTGTTGTCAATGGCCACCCGTCTGAGCATGGCTCCAAGTTTGCCTAGCTCGACGGCTCTTTCGGCCAGACCTGCTGGTGTTCGAGTTTCATGTTCCGCTCGAAAGTTGGCCGCGACCGAGTCCAGCACGACCAGTCCAATGTTGAATCGTTTAACTGCCACGGGTAACTGGTAGCGAAGGATATGTTCTTGTGCTTCTAGATCATTGGTGGCAATCGTGTGGACGTGGTCTAGAGATGGTTGATCTTGTGGTTCCATACCTTCGTACTCGGGGTGGGAGTACAGCATTTGCTTGAGTCGACTCGTGTTGAGCGGTGCTTCCGTCGAAACATAGATTGCTCCCTTGCCCAATCCCCGGGGCGGGGGTAACTGTACAGAAAGCAGGAGTCCGAGAACCAACTGCGTCTTTCCAACCGCACTCTCCCCAACAATCTCCGTGATGTGTCCGGGCTGGAAGCCCCCAGCTAATGCTCGGTCGATGGCAGTGTCAAGCGTCTTCACCTTCTCCCCTCTGACCGACCCGGTGCCTTCACTGTCACATCCACCGGCAGTGCCCGCGGTGTTGATATTCCGTGTAGCAGTAATCTTGCATGTCTTCACTCCGCTCTGCACATCACCCTGCAGCGCCTGAATTATCTCCGACACAAGCCTCTGAACATCGGCCGATGGAAGAGGGCATCTTCTCGCAATCTCTTTGGGGTCAGAAGTGACCAAGTCGGTCACGGTGATGTCATTTTTCTCGAGAGAGTGGAAGAGGTGGGTGAACGGCTTGATGTCGAAATCAGGAAGGACTTCGAGGAGGTCGGACATTGGGGCGCTGCGGGCGAAACGTGGATGTGTGATTCCAAGAAGCCATTATTTACCATCGAGTTGCGACGATGATGGACGCGGCGTTGGCATCCATGAGGAAAGCTGCATGGCACACAGGCTGGACAGGGGTAGCAAATCCCTAGTTACTAGGTACGTACGACTAGGCACCCAATTACTAGGTCGCTGTGTTTACATTCTGACGAGGCTGAGTGAGTGCGAGTCGGAAAAAACCAGCTCCGCTCCCTTCCTCCACCAATCGTTCCAGCTCCTACACATACCTATACTCCGTAGTCCACGCTTTATTTCAAAGTTTCTGATTTCCCACAGCTTCGCTACTAACTGCGTTCGACCCATTCATCAAGTGTTCGAATCGCGCCGGAGCCTGGCGCATCATGGCATCTGTTGCCCAGCCGTGGCTTATCTCAAAGTAGGTCGTGACATCCCGCCTTGGTGGCCTACCCCCGGAGAGTGAACATCGCTTACGACTTCAGATTTATCGACCCTGTCTTTGCAGTCTGTGTTGGCCTATCTGCAGCCGCCGTACGCATCCGCCGTGAACAGCGCGAGAAATACCCCGACCAAGATTCCAGTCTGCCGGCGTTATGGCAGAAAGGTGTCAGCATGACGCGCAGATACTTTAGAGATGAGGCCAAGACCGGCAAGTGAGGAGACAAGATGATCGGGACGAAGAAGTGGTCACAATCAAAGGATCGAGTATAGAGAGCAAGCGCGCTTCTTCGAGCCGTGGCTTCTCGACAACTTGCAACCGCACCAGCAGGACAGCAACCTTGATGGTGCTAGAGGCAGCTGCAGTGTATTGTCAGGTGTCTCAAGTCAATGTCTGATGTGGTACGGAGATTACGAGGATGACGAGAAACTCCAGTGGGTTCTCAGCACCTCATAATGTCGAGCCTATTCGTGGACTACACTCAGTATTCGCATGAGAGCGCACATCGCGGTCGATGGCCTAGCAGATTGTCAACTGCAGCTTTGGCATACATCTAGCCTAGGTTACGCTTGACCTCTAGCCTAAGATCATGGATCAAACCATCAAATCGTGGGCGCAAGCAAAGACGGCGAGCTGCCGAGTTGGGATGGTAAAAAAAAGGCACAGGACCCCCCTCGCCAGCGGTGACAAGTGACACAGAGTGGTAGAAGAGAAGGGGCAATATATGCTCATTAGTCGGGGATTGAAATATCCGGTAGGGTCATAATCTATCAGTGTTGAACCGCCAGGCGCCCCTTACATTTCCGCTCGCCTTCACTGCGCAACCGACTCGTTCCGCTTTTCGTCTCTACAGATATTATGCGAGCTTTAAGTATCCTTGAAGAAGTTCACCATCGACATCTACACGGAGTAGACGCCCTCTGATCAGTTAAATTATACTCGCCGCCGTTGAGGTTATCGTCGATACGAAGTACTTCGTACAGGCTGCCGTTTTTATCCTTCAGCGATAAGGATTGGATGAGCGAGGCCATCGCGTTTAGTCAAGGTAGACCGTGGAAGGCCAGATGCAATCCACTGGAATGTCTTCTCTGGTGTTGACACGAGTTTTGTGAAGGGACTGCTTTCTATTTCCGAATTCGACCTTGTTGCGCCTTGCTCACTCTCAAGTGCTTTGTTCAAGGACCTGCCGTGACATAGCCGTGAGGCCGACCTCGCTTGCTGGGCATGCCGTTCTCAGTTAGCATCACCGAAAGTACCGTCGCCTTCAAACATTCTGCGCTGCCCAACCCCTGCGAGACATGGTACAAGATATACGGCGATATGAAGTGCTCTCGCAACGGACGACCGCTGGTGACGTAGTGCATGGTGGACCCGGCATGGCACACAACTACCTCCTGTCCATATCCGCGTTGGCTGAGAGGCCAGAGTACGGAATCCCTGTGGTGTTCTACGACCAGATCGGCTCCGGCAGGTCCACACACCTGCGTGAGAAAAGGCTGGACGAGGCCTTCTGGAAACACGAGTTGTTTATCGCGGAATTGGACAATCCACTCGGTATTGCTGACGACTTCGACCTTCTGGGCCAGTCATGGGGCGCCATGCTGGGCGCCATATTTGCCATCCGGGGCCATCGGGGCCTCAGGAGGCTCATCATCTCCAATTCTCCCGTGAGCATGCCATTCTGGGTGGAATCCTGCAACTTCTGGCGGCAGAAACTCCTCCAGATATCCAGCTCACCCTATCCAAGCACGAGGCCGACAAGACCAATACCGATCCAGAGTACCTGCAAGCTGTCGAATACTTTTACAACTTGCAGCTATATCGCAATTGCCCTTTCCCCAAGGATCTGCTCGATGCGCTGGCGCGGCTTGGAAAGATGACACCGTTTACATGACGATGAACGGACCGAGTGAGTTCACGGTTATAGGGAGCCTAAAGAGCTGGAGCGTGATAGATCAGGTTCACGAGATCTCCGTGCCCACCTTGGTATTGAACACCGAGTTTGAAGAGGCAAGGGATAGGTAAGTCATAAGTCTGGAGCTCTTCTTTCCTTTCCCTGGCTTCTTTTTGACCCGTGCCGCTCTCCCATCCTGTACGTGGTTGTGCTAACCGCTGAGCAACACCTGTGTGTACCCTTGTTTCTCCGGCATCCCCATGGTGAAGTTGTACACCTTCGCTGGCGCCAGTCACTGTACCAACCTTGAAATCCCAGACAAAGATATGGCCGTCGTGGCGCAGTTCCTGCTCAGCCCTTCGTGACTGGCTGGTTGCGAGATAAGTGTCTCAGGGAAAATGCAGTACTTGCATGGATGAAAATATCAAAGCTCGCATGGGGAATGAAACTCGTACATCATGCGCTGACAGCGACGGCGCCCATGAGAGATAACAAGTCAAGGCGCAGAATGATCATCACACCAACCGGGGCATATAGCCATGTGTTCGAGGCCTTGGTGCTTAATGGCTTCATTTGTCACGATTGGAGCAGTAAGGGCCATGACTTAGGGGTACTGGAGCAGTCGCGATGACAATAGGAAAGTGGTGGTGAGAAGTGAAGATTCGTATTCTTCAATATTGTTCCTGTCTACTGTCCTCTCTTCCTCGTTGCATATGTAGCTGTGCTCTTCTGAACGGGCTTTTTTGGTCTTTCCATAAAACTAGCTGATAGAATCCGACCCTAGCCCCTTCTGCACATATTAGACCATTTCTCGAAACAAACTTTTGAAATCAAGTCGCCTGGCCGGAACCGGCCTTCATCGATACCTCTCTTGGGTCCCCCCTCCTTGCGTGAGTAGTAATGCCAGTAAGCGCCGGGCCCAAATAATACAGGTAACTCCTACTTGGTCATTGGGGGCGGCCAAAAGATCCGACCCTTCAGCCCTATGTTCAAGGCGGTCTCTCACACTCACCACCCCCATTGTTGGGTCCAGGTAGGGAGGTTGATCAAGGGATAAGTCAAAGAGTGGAAGTATCTGTCGTTGTCTCTAAGACCGAGCGAGGACGAGATCGATGTCAGGGTATCTGCCCGAAGCCTGCCCTAAGAACTTTGAGTTTCCGGGCCTCTATTGTGTCGGTTTACACGATTTTTCCGAAGGCGGGAATCAGCGTCTGAGCCAACCAAAAGCTGAACACCAACTTCGGCCCGGTCATGAGCATTTTCGGTGTCAGCCCCTTGAAGAAGGCCGTGATGCCTTCGTTCTTCATCATGCTAGCCACGATCCTGAACCCTGATTCCGGGTTCTCGAAGTTTCGGTTCTGAATTCTCGTCTTGATGACGTCGAGAGGGGCGGAGACGAGCAAACTGGCTGATGCACCGGCCACCGAGGCAACAAAGTTCTGTCCCCAGGTTGCCTTATTATAGTCCTCGAGCTCGAATAGCTTTTCTTTGGCCCACGCCGAACCGCCAAAGAGGGCAAAAGAGCCAGGGGCATTCCGGGCAGCAGTCCATCCGGCGCCGCGGTACAGTCCCATCCCTTCATCAGCGACGATTCGCAAGAAACCCCGGGACCGGAAAGCTTCCGGGTTGGTTTGTCGTTTGATCTTTAACACATCTAGAGGGAGAAGCACAATCTCGCCGATGCCGATCAACGAACCCGCAGTGGCATTAAGCATGGCTTTCCCCGTTCCCTTGCCAAAGGCCTTGTCAAAGTCTTCAGCATGATGTTGTGTCAGATAGTCGCGCACGAACGGCTGGCCACCATACTTGTATATCCGTTGTAAAATCTTGTAGCCGGCGGCATAACCTAAACCGGGGAAGAGGGAGGTGAACTTCGTGGTGAGAGGAGCTGAGGCGTATTCTCTGAAGATGACGTTGTTGAACGCGGAGACGGAGTTCACCTGGAAAGAGTCGGTCAGGATGGGGCTTGAGCTTGGGGCGAGACGAGCCGTACTTTGCTGGAGTTACTCATGAGCCTTTTGGCAATCGTGTCGACAGGATGGAAGACTAGAAGCTCCGCGATGCCTGCAGAGCCTGAGTGGAAAGAGGAGCATTAGCATTGTCGACGTATGAAGCGTGCCGAGGGATGTGTATAACATACCTGATCCGAGTAGTCTCGCAGTGCCAGACTCTCTTTTATATTCTGTTCCAGCTGCGCCCAGTGCTGGCGCCGTCGTGGGAGGAGACATAGCCGGTGTGGGATGCGCAGAGGCTGGCGACGATTGAATGGGTCGACTCTTGTTCAATCGCTCTGCGCTGTTGATGGGAGAAATATTCAAATATAATTCAATTCCGATGTGAAGAGAGTATTTGATGGCGATTCAAGGCAAAAAAAGTCTCAAGACGATAAGAAATCTGCGTCGTGCAGGGGAGGAAATGGGATGATGGCCGACTGCAGCAAGAAGGAAAAAAAAGTTGCGGAGCACAGTACTCCGTAGGCCGATCCACGGACTACTGCTCCTTAGGTACAGTACCTAGGTACACTACCTACCTTAGGTACCTTATGTACCTTACCTAAGATCCCTATTAATCAGTTGAGGCTTGTGCCTTAGGCCCAGGCAGAGAGCTCCTGCCCCGGACTTCAGATCTTCCTTATCTCACCACCATATTGCTGCATCGCCATCCGAGTTGACCTACCTACTCCGTACACTCAAGAATACCAGGTAATGTGGTTTACAGAAGGCACAATCAGGACAAAACAAGACCATGTCGTCGTGACCGGAATATCATGTTATTCCTTTATCCATATAATTGTTGTTATACCTCCAACCGACTACTTGGCACCATCTTTTTCTCGTTCAATATGGGTGATGGACGTGATTTCCATGCGCTTCTCGCAAATGACGGGTGAGCAATCGACTCTAATCCATCCATACCTTTGGTCTCTCTGCGCTCTCGCTGGCTATGCAAACGTAAGTGTCTCAATGTTGCCGACCTACTCATCCAAGCGGTAGGAAATTCCGCCTTCCCAAGGGGCCAATTCACGCCGGTTGGACAGCCTCCAGCTTGATCTTGGACTTGGTGCCATTACTGTCCTCCTACCTTGCGTTAGTAATTTTATTTCATCAGCTCATGCAGTGAGCCTTACCTCTGCTTTCCGTTTTCCAAGCACAGAGTCAGGGGTTGCCATCCGTCCAATACCTCCGACCGGAGTTAACACTCCGTCTTTTTCTCGCCCTTTGGTCACTTCCGTGTAACAACTCGCATGATAGTATCGCCCTCCAACTTGTACAGCGTCTTTCCAAATGAAATCCTGCACGTCTTCACTCCATTCACTCTTGAATGGTTCTTGATCAATTGGACAAGGTAGTGATCGAAGGACTGGATCTGCAGGAACCCGAACGAAATCCTGCGCTTTCTTCTTTGCAACCATTGTAGCGCCATTGATCGGCACTCCGGTTGCATCCACAGGCCCAGCATCGTCTTCGAATTCCTTGCTCGCGATCCACTCTCGCTCGTCTACGTACCAACTGCGATTCTGACCTCGTTTCTCAGCCTCTAGCATCCTCGCCTTGGTTTTGAAATGCCAGTCAAGGTGTCGCGCTTTCTTGGCCTTGCCACCCTCATCCGACGTGAATCTCCTACCGCAAGTACTACACTGATTTGGCCATGCACTCAAGAGTGTCGCAACCAAGTGCGGCCGCGGTATGCGGATACTTGCTGACGTTAAACTGACTTCACCTACCGGGTCAGTTGCAAATGCGGCGAAACCCGGCATGGAATGAGCAACGCCTTGAGGTGGAGTTGGCGCGGCAGACAAGAGGCCTGATGCTCGAAGTTGGGCCAAGAGGGGATTTTCGGACGTTGCGGAGGGAGCAGTGCTGGCCGATATGGGAGTAGCCACCCCTGACTGCGCGTGCGCATAGTAGTTTGGCTGTTGTCTGGCTTGCTGCTGACCAACAGTAGCTCGCAACAGCTCCGCTAGATTGGTGCTATTGAATAGTGAAGTAGCAGCTGAAGTTGTTGCTGCCGGTTGCTGGATTGAGGTTTGAGGCACGTACGTGTTTGCCGTAGGTATGGGCGGTATCGCTGTTTGTCCCGGAGGCTGGTGTGGTTCCGCCATCTTTTCAGCCATCTTTTGCATAATTGTGTTCCGAATATCGACCAAATCCCTCTCTGAGGCGTTACCACTGTCTAGGATCTCTTTCAGTGTCTGAAGACTTGCCAACTTGCGTCGGGCGCCCGCGTCCATGGGATGAGTGGCGCATTCAATTTTGGCATCTGTTGTGAGATCATCAATATCCAGGTGAAGCTTTTGCAAGTCAACCCCTCCAGAGGAGATAGGCCCAGGCTGTAGAGTCGGTGTATGATACTGTGTCGTCGGAGCCGGCGGCTGCTGCTGGTACAAAGGAGTCGCCTGTGGAGGGTAAGGCTGGCTAAAAGACGGCGGGGGGGTCTGAGTATATGGCGGTTGTGGGATTTCTGGTTGCAGCCCAGGACTTCTAGTGTTGGAAGCAAGGCCCGAGGCGAGCGGTGGGAAGGACTGTGGAGGAGTTGGTGTATGTCGATACCGTGGATCGACCAAAGCCCTCGCAGGAGTGGGTTGAATGTGAGGCGATTGGTAGCGGGTGGCCGCTGGCATGGGGGAGCGAAACTTGTTCAGGCTGTCGACAATGGATTGTGTACTTGCATGGGGAAACACCGGGGTCGGCGAGAGCGAACCGGGGACTGGTTCGCGCCATGTCTTCAACATCTCCTCCAGCTTTCGGCGGACAGGGGCATCAACTTGGGAGTAAGCAAGCATAAAGATCTGGTGCAGATTGCGACCGAAATAGACTGTATATGGAGAGCCGACATTTTTGGCGATCGAGTCCAAAACATATAGGGCAGGTAATTTGCGTGCCGGCGGTGCCTATCGAGATATTAGCATCACTTGGCCATGGTGCAACAATTCCAGGGAAATCACTGCTTCAAAACCACCAGTCGTAAAAGAGAAAACGAAAAGGACGCTGACATACTCGGTTGATGTGGTTCTGGAGAACCCGGGAAATTGCTTCGGCGTGCTCAATGTTTTCTTTTGCAATCAAGGTCAGATTGGAGATCTGATATCGGTCATTGGTGACAAGGTCTTCCAACGAGCCTTTGTAGTCTTCGGCAACCTCATCAGACGGTAGACCTGACATGACGATAAGGACAGAAAAGAAGATCAAATCACACGTGGAGAAGGAGAAGGACTGAAAGGCGTTGGCGTGCGAGTGTGCGCGAGGGTGCTTCGAGTTCGAGTCAACGCTCGAGAGTCAAACGGGCAACCGAGCGTGCAGAGAGGACGCTCGATGTCAACGCAATGACGGTGACCTGGATGAGTTTGATAGAGCCCAAAAGCTATTCAACTCTGGGCCAGACACAAGGGCCTGAGGTAGATAGACAACGAAAGAGAAATGTCGTGGTATCTTTTGGCTATCTACAACCCTCTGGCACTGCAAGGAAAACGTTGTTTGACTCGTTCTCTTCTTTGGTGACTCCAACACAGTCCAACAGCCCAGTGTGTTCCGCCCTCCACCTCTTCCAGTCTGTCAAGTCATCGGCCGTGACCACAGAACCAGGCGTGGGCCGTACCCAGTCAGAGGTGATACTTGTCGGACTCTTCTGGCCTTCTGGGCTTCGTAGTGGGGAAAGCTGAGAACGACGTCAGGACAAGGCACGATGGTCGCTTGTAGATTTTCCTTGTTCTGGGCCAACGATAGCGTGGGTTGATTAAGTAGGCAAGGCAGACAAAGAAAGAGCAGCATGCGAAGGGTTGGTCAAGTCAGGTACTAATAAGAGGACAGTCAACTTCAAGTTTGGGGAAGACGCAGGTGAGGCTAACGCCAAGATCTTACCTCAGCAATCATATCACGTGCACGACTACTACCCACAGACAAAATCCACGATATAAGGCTGACGCTTTCGCCGGAGTATGTACGTACTCCGTACATGTCACCTCATGTAGGTACTTCTCTCACCATGCCTAGTATACTATTTTGTGGCAAGCCTAACTCACCGCCGAGATGCCTCCAGTATAGGTCCCACGCCACCTTACGCGACTGATCCAAGCAGCTTCACCGGTAGCAACAGCCTTGCTGAGAGTGTAGAGTGGACTACCCGCCTTCTCATCACCTCTAGTATTTGCCCGCCAATTTAGAATAAATGCCACGCCTTCAGCTGCCTTTTCGAAAACTTCAGGTTCAGGTTGTTCAGAACTGCTACGAGCTTGAAAATAGGCATGACTCTGTTTCCATTATGCCCGCAACGCTGCTGAGGGGACATCGCTTCTAAGCCTGTTGGCATTCTTACACTGCTCTCCACTATGCCAGTCATCACCAATCGCAGCTCTGGCACTAAAACGCTGGCTGGTGATGGTGCTCCTATTTGGCAGCCTCGTGACGGTTTCTAGAAGCAGATACCTTAGTCTATCCAACAGTAACGCGGTGAACGTGGGGAGCAAGCAGAGACATGTGTAATAGTCGAACCAGATGTATAGAATCGAATGGCAACGAATTTCAAGGACAACTAGGGCTGTTGAGCGCGCAATCCAAATTATTGCTTCACTCGAATTCCCATTTCTTCTTATCCTTGACCGACCCCGCCGTTTAGGTCCGTACTGCGGTAGTGTGTGGTCAACTATAGAGAGGCAGTGCTGCCGTTACTCGCTTGCTGAGTGGTGAACAAGCCTATTTCCGTCAGGTTACTGATCCGACCGAGCAGAAACTCAAGCTGTCTATATGCTGCCCCTGGTGTATACTGAGGGATTTCGTGACCGGCAAGATCCACCGTCACCCACGTCAGCCCTCTTTCTGTGTGGGTCGTCCCCATTATACCGCCGCCGGCAACGAGACCAACAGGAACTGCAGGAATGGGCTGGTTTTCGGTCTCGGCGAGGACAAAATTGAGCGATGGATCGTATGGAACATAGAATAAGTCGCTCGGTGCCTTGGAGAAGCCTTGTCGGCCGTTCCAGGTCATGTTGTTTAGGGTCATGAGTGTCCCGTTCGTCAGCAGAAGGAAGTCGAGCAAGCCACTGCCGACCAGGACGTTGTTGGTACGTTCGATGACGGATGGCAAGGCGGTGAAGCTAGAGGGTGGAGACTCGTCACCGTTGGGGAAGAGTGAGTCGTCGCCGCAAACTACATAGTTAGTCGGTGGCGCATTGATTGCAGCTTGGACGTCGCTGCGATTAAAATAGTTGTTTGGGCCCTAGATCGGTGCCTGTGTTAGTTTTTGGTTCCTTCTATTGGCTTGAATCTTCCCAGAAGAGGGCTTACCACGCCGAGGGATGGGAAGCCAAGCTCATCTGATAAGAACGGACAGAAGTCTGTTAAATGATACAAATTCAGGCAAGGGTTGACATAGACTGCCGCGGCAATGATATCGTCCCATACGTCGCAACCTGGAAGCAGTCAGGGTCCCGAATCTCGCGGGTGGGATATGAAGTAGACAGACCTGGAGCTGTGTCATTTGGGGCGGTGAATTTGCCCGTCGGCGGAAATGTCAATGCCTCTTCCATAAACTGGAAATAGCCACACCGCTCCGCTCGGGAATTGATGTCGTGCAAGAATGATTGATTAAGAGCAAATATGTTCTGGTAGTTATTGAGGGCCGTTACAGCAGGGGCTGGACTGGTCAGTCAAGTTGGCACGGCAGAGGCTCCCAACACTGATACCTTGAATGAGAACAGCATCCGAACCGATACTTGGATCGTTGATCTGAATGCCTTTGACATTAAAGTAGTCTGTGTTGTTCTGGTCAAGCATGTAGCTGGCGATGTAGGGAATATATTGACCGGCGTATGACTCGCCCGTGATATACACCTTCCGGCCTGTCAGGTTGAAGGTGTTCATGAAATTCAGCCAGAAACCCGCAAAATCTCTACCTATGTCGACCTCATTTCTGATCTTTGCCGGGGCACCTGGGGCTGCTGGAGAGAAGCCTGTACCAATCGGTTGGTCCACATAGACCATATTAGTCAAATTCACCCAAGTAAATGGGTTCGGTTGCGGCTTGTAGGTGCCGCTTTGCCAGAGAAAAGGGCCGTTCTCTTGCAGAAGTCCATCGAGGGAGCTGCAACCAGGTCCCCCATTTAACCAGATGGTTATCTCGTCGGATGCAGCTGGATTGTTTGATGGAAAGAACCAGAAATAGAGCTGGTTGAGGTTGGAGCTGTTGTGGTCGATCGATAACGTTCCCGCATAAGACTCGCCAATGTCGAAGTCCACAAGAGGAATTGCTGAGCCGTTGACCGCGAATTCTGAACCCGTCAGCTCTGCGAGCAAACAAAGTCATTCCCTAGGGCTCACTCTTAGTTTGTGGTGTTAAGTAGCTCGATTCTTGCCGCTTCACGAGGGGCCGGCGGATCTGCGAGGCATGAGTCTTGTGTACCCTTTTGGGTGCACGCTTGTGTGGATTGTCCACAGCCAGCGAACAGAGCACGAGACACGCTGATAGCAAGATAGTTAGGAGCATCTTGAGCAAACGGTGGTGAAGTTAGAGCAGCAGAAGGTGAGTACGCCTATGTACCAGCAGAAAATCGAGCAGGCTGTTGGGTGGCCCATCCTAAATACATACAGAGTGATGATGACACCACAAATTCACTCTGCTGCATTAGTAGCTCGGTGGGAGGAGAGGTCATCGATCATGTGTGACGCAGCAATGCAGTATAGTCGGAGGCAGATAGGAAGGTTGCATTGGCAGCCAGATATGATGCTTGATTAAGCTTGACTAAAGCTTCGGGATGCTTGTTCACGGGGATAGTGTGGAGTAACCTCTTGCAGACTCCTTACCTCTACAGGCAGGTTGTAAACATTCAAAGAATCAAGATGTAACTCAGCATGCCGATCAGAATCAGTTGAACCCCTGTCTAGCGCCTTGTCTTCCAATTTTCAGTGATCGTGTTGACCGGCCTCAGCGGAGTGTTGAGAGGAGCGGCTCCACGAAGCAATGATGGGGGATCCCTGGTATGACGGATGACGTGCATGCTCTACATCTGTTACAAGCATCGTGTCGTGGAGCAATACCAGGTGGTGAGGTTTGGTAGGTAGGTAGGTATTAGGTAGTACAGGTACCTGGCTTACTCGAGAACGAAAAACCTAATTGCCATGTACGGGTTGATCCTGGAGGGTGAGCGAAGGCCACTTTAACCTGAGCTTTAACTGAGCCTTTGGCTGAGCATCACGACTGAGCGCTCCGTAAGCACTCGCTGAGCAGTACGGAGTACACCGGGTGCCCGATCAGGCCCCTACAGTTGGCTAACTCTGCCTCTCGTCTAGGTATCTGTTTCAATGGAGCTGTCAGGCCACCTGGTAGGTGCCCTGCCCCTGTGCCTGCTGCCTAACATTTCCTGTAACTCCGAAGTTTGGTCAGTGACAGAAGGTGGTTGGGTACAAGACAAGCTGGGGGTGACGCCAAGGCTCGTCAGGTGACTCTCATAAAAAGTAGTTTATAATAATATATTGGTCCAAATTTTACACTAAATACGCCTTTGGCAGACACTTTGGCGGAGTGGTTAACGCGCTGGCCTGCTATTCAGTTCTCTGTAATAGTTGATAGCCAGTTCCTTCGGGAGCACAGGTTCGGTAAGTTGACCATCGTTGGCTCACCTATCTCACATCTGCTGACTTGATAAAGAATCCTGTAGGTGTCGATTTACTTTTTTTGGTTTGTTTTGGTAGGCGGCACTGATTTTCTTTTTCCACTTGTGTGGACATGCTCACGTGCCCGGGGCTTGGCAAAGACGTTATCACTTGCTGCCACCCTGCTTTGTCCGCACACTAATCGAACCACTTCAATCGACTCTCTGTGACCACTTCGTCCTCCCAAGTATTGTGCGCGATTAAAGGTCTTGGTCTGTTATGTTGAACTGATCCCGGGGGAGGGGGGAGGGAAGATGAGGCCCCCTCGGATCTCAGTCTGATGCATAGTTAAACCCTTTCAAAAACGGAGGTGCAACCCTCTAAATTCTTAAGAATTTCCCTGCTTGAGAATCCGAGAACCTAGCCCCACCACATCCGCCGAAGCGAATGCCACGAATCGGAAACGTCATCAATGTCGCAGCCTATAAAGCCAATGCTACAGCTGAGAGAAGGGGACGTGGAAGTATGGAAGTATGGAGAATAGCGGCATCGACGGAGCACTTCGGCTGGTCTCTGTGGACGGCATTTTAGATCCTGAATTGGCGCGCATTGACCTTACAGAGTGGACAAACAGTCATGTCTGGCCGGAAAGAGGCGACTCCAGCGGGGATGGCATTCCCAGATATGCTGCACTATCTCATGTCTAGGAACCGAGCGAGGAAGTGACGTTGATCTGCGCAGCAGCCAATAGACCCCTATCTGTTGATATCGGGAAGTCGAAGCCTCATGTTATCAGTTGGCTTGGTCTTACGCAAGCTGCAACGGCCGCGCAGGAACTTCATTGTGGCTACCTCTGGTTAGACTTCCTATGTCTCAATCAGCGGTCACCGCAGGACAAGGCTCTGCAAATCCAGAACATGGCAAAAGTTTACAGCAATGCTGGCGCGGTCATAATAATGGTAGGCGGCGTTGGAGCCGCTCAGAGTATCAACAGCACTTCGTCTTGGATGAACAGAGCCTGGACACTTCAAGAGGCCACTCTCTGTGATGAAACGTATGTTTTGGTGAGAGCTACGCCCGGATCGATCACGTCTGACACGGGCCACATCTACCTGAAAATCCTGCATGGCGATATCGCCATCGCACGATTGAGCGAGCTGGTTCAACAGGGCAATGTGCATACCATGAGGGAGAAAGATCTAATTGCAGGCCATCAGGTTCCTGTCACTTGCCTTGGAGCCGTGCCCGAAGCCATAGCGGTGCTAGCAACCGCGATGCGCCTCTATGATGAGGGGTCTGATTCAAGCCCAAGCACATTTCGGATTGAATCCAGCAGCGAGGATTCTGATGACGAAATTGCTGCATTGCCAGGTAGCAGGGACGAAAACACAGACGAAAACCAGAGGTTCGCCCCCGAATTCGACACTCAAGATGGAACAGAGGAGGAGGACGACGACTGGCAGCCCGGCGGCCCTTCAAATCGCAGGATTTCAGATGAATATTGGAATGACACCTCGTCCAGTGATAGAGAGAGTCAGCCGAACATAAAATCTCCCAGACAACTCGAGAACGACGACATAGGCACAGAGGAAAGGAGCTCCCCAGACATCCAGAATGCTGCGGCCTGGCGTAGCATGTATCTTCGGACGTCTACGAAGCTATAGGACATGATATTCAGCATGATGCATCTCCTTCGGGCACCTATCTAAGTTGATTACGAGCGTACAATGGACGAACTCCTTTTTGAGCTTGTCGCAAAATCTACAACGGAGCCAGCATGGTTGACAATCGGCTACGACATTCCAGTGCACCCCAGGTCTGGTTTGATACCACTTCTACCTCGCTTTATCTCTAATTCAATACCGACATATGACATCGATACCAAAATTCACCCAGCATCCGAATTCGTAGCGTCTGACTTCTGGTGCCGGAAGTACGATATTATCATCAAATCCACCTCCCCAGTAGACGGCCATCTCATTTGTGCCCGGATACTGGACGTGCAAGCAGCCGTCCCTTCACAACGTACTACACTGGGGCCGGTGCTTGCCACAGCCGACCTGAAGGGTCTGCAGTTGTCCAGCCCGCCCGCTTATACGTTGGAGACCCATTTTGCGTCGTTTAAAGGTAGGCTAGGTAGCATCCTGCTTGTGATCGGCGAACCCAAAGCATTCTTGGACAGAATGTGGGGTTGGTCAGCTAACGGAGAGCCGTTTGTGTATTCTTTGGACAAGAACAATCAAGGGATATGGTTGAAGACCGGGGCTGGCACGCTCGGGGAGGCTATTTTCCTCGCGAGAAACGATCCTGTGTACAGAAAGGGACAGCTGAAGGAAATAGCAAGGAGGCACCTACAAGTAGGTGGATGCAGCCCAGGTGGAGAGATCAAGCCGTGCGATTGTGAAGAGTTCATTCAAGGTAAGCCATCTGGCGGTGAGGTTCAGACAGGCCGGCCGCTGTTTTCGGCCTGAATACTGGAAGGTCGAATTCTTCGTTGGCGTCAGACTTGGCGCCACCTGCTGTACAACCGCTATGAGAGATTTGAGCGTGGTCATGCGGATTTTACCTGCTCCTGGTTCCAGCCGTCCTTTCTCAGATAGTAGCTCAGATCCATTATCCTTTGCATCTCTTCCACTGGTTCCATTTCTAAAGAATCGAAAACGGTTGGGCGAACAATACTTGATATCGAAATCTACCGCGCGTTGAACACTCATCATATCCTTGAATTGCATGGGTAATCCGGCACACATGGCGGCGACGGGCCCGTCAACCTTGTTGTTCTTGTACCGCGAGCGGCAGTGACTGGTGTGGACTGTGCGTTTGAGAAACTTCTGCGTGTGGACGTTGAAATCGTCAATAGCCTCTTGCTCTGGTTCGACGCTGTGGATTTGTTCGTGGGCCATTTTGCGCACCCAGTTGACCGCGTACATACCCGACCACTTCATTTGGGGTTAGAGGGGGGCCAGATCGAGATGCCCCAGCATCCTGAACGGGTCCCATCGTCTTAAAGTTAACGAAAGTTGATATTGTGGATGAAGGAAGACCAAAAGGCTCAGGCAAAACTCTGGGGAGCGCTCAGGAAGCAGCAGGCGAGCCGAGGGTGAGCAGAGCGGCGTGCGGCTAATCAGAAAGGGAGGACGGACGGTGAGTATTTCGTTTGATACCTACCTAGATAGGCGGATACAGTACGCTATACGAAAAGCGGCATCTCAGGCCACTGCGAAGTCCTTAGCCCAACCTTGCCAACTAGGTGCCACTGCCAGTAGGAAAGTCCCTCACGTGACTATATAGTTATGCCAAGCACGGCCAAGCACATGACTGGAGCGGGTCGCCTCTTGCGCCACCTCACTCACTAGCCTGCAGTGGCACTCCTACACGTCCTCCGCAGGTCCTCATCATTTTGCTATAACTCGACACATAGGTACCCTAGGTATATTCCGTATACTTGGCCTGATCAATTATCGACACTTACGACTCCCTCAAAAGCCTGGTCAACAACGACAACTGATCAACGACAACTGATCATCGACGTCCCAACACACATCCCTATCATCCCCGACACCCGTTTCAATATGCGTTTCCATCTCGGTCTCGTCTTATTAGGCTTGGTTGCCTCGGTCCTCGCTCTCCCTGCGCTGCAGAAGCCTGTCATTGTGCAATACCCCGATGACACTCCATCCTCCGTCATCGAAAAGGCCATCGAAGAGATCAAGAAAGATGGAGGCATCATCACCCACGAATACTGTAAGTCCGGGCGGTCTTCGGCATGATGGCTATACTGACAGTCATCTCAGCCTTGATCAAGGGGTTTGCCGCCAGAGTCTCTGAAGTTACGCTCACTAAAATCAGCACCATGGCCGATGCCTACGTTCCATACATCGAAAATGACTACGTCGTCCATGTTGATGGATCGACAACCACCGATGACCAGTGACCGAGTTTATGCGCTACTAGTAGGGTCCGTTACAATTAGGAGTTTGTGGAAAAGGGCGGGAAGGAAAACATGGAACGGTCTATGTAATGCTTAGATTTGCGCATATGGCAGGGCGCTCTACAAGCGGTGTTGGTCCAAGGGGCGTTAGGAGATCTGTGGAAATCTACGGGGACTGAATACTCGGCCACACATCAAACGTCGGAGCCATGCAATGAACGTATCTTATCTGTTCTCGTGCAGCAGTACTGTACCATTTTACTCGAGAGCCTCATGGGTTTCACGAAAGTGCTCTCTTGCGGTTGTTTACCCCGTACATCTCTTTGTTTCCGTTGAGTCTGTCAAGAGGCTCCTTAATCAAACCCTGACTGGTGCTGCGGTGCTGACAGGAGCTGGGGCGACGTCATATCCGCCCGACGACGCGCCAAACGCATTTCGTTGCAGCTACCACGCGTGTGGGTCGAAGGGGGATTGTAAACTCGTTCTGGCAAACTCCAGGGCTGTTCGTCTCTCTCCATAGTAGCCTCTGCATCCCAGCATGCAGCAAGACTTGCAGATGCAACGATGAAATGTATGAGGGATAGATTGTTTCCACTCCCATGGCGACCGACGAAGCCGTGGCTGCGGGACTCATCGACTGGGTCAACAGTCTTTCTGTTGCCGATCCCGTCTACACGGTAGAGGAGCTTACCAACGGCCAGATCATATGGAAGGTCCTTCGTACGGTTGATCTTACATGCAGAATTTTACGCTCATGCACTGACGCCCTGCAGAACAGATTGACCGCTTCAGCTTCCCGGGCAAACTCCCAGAGGATCCCGATACGGATCAGTGGATACACAAATGGACCAACTTGAAGCACGTCTACGATGCCTTGTCTATCTTCCTCGTCGAGGAATGCGCCCAGCGGCTGCCGTTTCCCGGCGGACGGCCGGATCTCAAAGCCATTGCGCAGTCCTCCTCTCTCGGTGACACCGTGGCACTCCTGAAACTTCTGGTGGTTGCTGCAATCAACTGTGCCGATCGCATTGGATATCTGAAGCAGATGCAGGACCTATCAGAAACCACACAGCAAGTCCTGATGCAAACAGTTCAAGAGGCTGGGGAAGATGAGGGCGAGGAAGCAGAGGTTCCGCACCCTGACGACCTGGCGATCCACGATGATGTCCCAGTGTCGCCGCGCCGGTCGGGAGAAGTGGAATCCGTGCTTGAATCGGAGGAACGGTTGGGCAAAGTGATAGCCGATAACCAGCGAATAGCACATGAGAAGAGGGAGTTGCAGCAACAACTGGATGAATATCATTTGCGATACGAGAAGTTGCAAGAACGATTCGATCAGGTCCAAGACGAATTGAAGGAGACAAGTGACCGACTTACAGCTCTGCTGGCAGGCCGGTCAGATTTTTCCACCCGAACTCTTGACCCGAAACATGACGCCATCATCGCGACCCTCGAGAAGAGAAGTCTTGAGGCTGAGGCCGAGGTAGATGACCTTCGCAAGGCCAATGAGTTGCTCAAGATCAAGGCAGAGAAATCCCAGAAATTGCAGGATGACTACGATGAAATCAAGATCGAGCGAGACAGATTGGCTCGCAAGGCCAACACCGCGGAGAAGTACAGGCAGAAGTTAGAGGCAAGCCAGGACCTGGAAAAGGACAATAACAATCTCCGAGCCAAAGTGACCGAATTGCAGGATCAACTCAAGCAGCTTGACCTTGCACGCGCGAGTTCAAGTGATTTGCAGAGAGAAATTGAGGAGTACAGGCGGCTTCTGCCGAGCATTGAACAAGAGAGATATGAACTGAATGAGATGAAGAAGAGGCTGGAATTTGACTATCATGCTCTCGAAGCGCGGTATCACGACACTTTGGAACAGCTGTCACGACAAGATCAAGCCGTCGAAGAACTGCATGGACGGCTTCGCGACTATGAAGATGGTATTGTCCCCGCGGATAGAGGAGAGAAACATCCCAGCCCCGTTGAGAGAGATTTCGCACAGGAGGAGGCAGAGTTTCTCGAATCAGAAGCACGCCTGACAGCCGCCCTGCTGAATGGAGACGACGCACCCATTCGTCGTGAATACAGCGACAGCGCAGTTCTGAGCGAGACTACTCCCTCTACATCTGGCCTTCATCTTGACCTAGACGCTGATAGTGAGACTATTTCGGAGGATGAACTAAAGGCAATCATGTCCGCTATGCGTGCCCAAGCACTGGCGGGCACCGTTACGGAAAGAGAGTCGTCTATACGTGCGCAGAAGAAGCTCGTGGTAGCTATTGAGCGGCAAAGGACCAAGAACAAATCGCTCCTCGAGCACGTACAGAAGCAGGATCAGGTGATCAGAGAACTACAAGAACAGCTGGAAAAGGAGGGCCAGGTTACGCAGAACGAGGACCAGGGCACCCCACCGCCTCCGCCGCCGAAAGATACGCTGCCGTCTCAACTTCAAACACAGCCGAGTGATGAAGATTCGGACGTCGATGCCCTCAAAACTGAAAACTCGATTCTTCAACGTGAGGTCAGGCTCATGGCTTCGGCCTGGTACGACCAGAACCTCCGTCTTGCAAGCGCCAACTCCTCAGCCTCAGGCCGGAATCGTGGGCTAGGACCCGGTGCCGAACCCCGAGGTTTTCTTGGGCGCCAGCGGCGGAGGATCGATGCTGTGGCTTTCGGGCGCGCATTATAGTGTGCTTCATGCAACACACGAAATGACCTGGGGTGGACGAGGTATGCGCACTCACAGCTTCCATCACCGGGATGAACTACTTCACTCGGCTTGCCCACCATGTGGACGGCTGCTTGCTCCTGGGTCCGTCTACATGCAAAGCGAACCAGACCACTCAGCCATGTCAGTGTTGGCCCATCGTACAACTTGACAGATGCGTCTGCCAGATGAATATTCGAGCCCAAGGAGTAATGGCATACTTTCAGCCGAAACCTTGACCTGGTAGCCTTACACGAAGTCCTAGGCCCGGGCCTGGAGATACGGTTGCCGTCTGCTATCTCGATGAGAGGCTGATCGAACATGGACGCGGCAACACGACCTGCAACGATTCGCCCGGTACAGTATCGAATCCAGATAGTACTTTTGCCTGTGTATAGAAACCTTCGACTATTCTGGCAACTTTGAGGGGGTTTGTTCCCCTGGAATGCTCACCGTTCTTCACACGGCCTGACCTATTATTGCCAACAATATGCACAAGCCAGCGGAACACGAAAGGGATCTGGATTCTGGATTCCTTCTCCGAGTCTAACTTACCGATAGCACATCCTACCCTTTGCATGTTGCGGGCTAAGGGATGAAGCTGATATCGACCATCATTTAAGAAATCTAAAACATCTTTATGTTTAGATTCTAGCACCAGAGGTCGACATGACTATCTCAGCTCTCCAAGTGAGCCAACAGACACTAGCCGAAAGACCTCCTCCTCAGAGAGGCGGTTCCAGAGAAGCGAGGGAGTGGTCTTTTTTTGACTTTGTTGATCCAACCTCCTGGAACAAGTTGGACAACCGCGACAGATTGGTTTGGCATCTGGTCCCCAACGTGACTTTGACGAACTATTCTCCCGCACAACAGGCTCACATCACCAACCGACTACCTACGATCTCCAGAGTATGCGGACAGTTTAGTAGCCGGGGGATTGGACTCTGCTTACAACATTCATATCGCGGTGCTGAGTCGCATACGAAGTACCAATATTGGGGTTGTGAGGGTAGGCCCGCTGATTTTGCCAAGTCGCAATTCGTGGATCAGGCATTTTGCATGTACTCGAGATGATTCCCAAAACCACATTGAAATCATTGACCCGGATTTTCTGCCACCGGGCCGGACCCTGGTGTTGCCACCAGTAGTATCAAATGGAAGTACGACTGCGGCTAAGAAGTAGACCGAACAAGAATGGAAACCACTGGCCAGCTTTCCAGCCACGATCCACGATTGACATGGGATACAGGGTCACGTAGAAGGCTTGTGTCTTTGGTCCGTGTCTTTGGTCCGTGTCTTTGGTCCGTGTCTTTGGTCACACGTTGAACACTTGAGCCCCTCTCCAGCAGGGAAACACTGGACGGAAGTACGGAGTATGACCCCAAGATACAAAGGGGCGCGAAGGATCATCCTTCTCTAACCTTGAAACCTCCTCGCCAAGACGCTGACACCTGCTTCACTGCAGGAACCTCGCTCACTGGAGACCGCACACCTTGCTTGAATTTCAGCAGCTACACCGTTCCCCTGCCACTGAGTGGCCTTATCATCTCTTTTCTGCAGAGGCCAGATGGCCGCTCCGGAGATCAAGCGCGGCGACTTCCTCTACCGGGATACGCTCTTTGTGGACCTGGGAGAAACCAAGCGTCATCCGCGCGCCTCTGCTTCTGAGCTCAAACAACTACTACTCCCGAAGAAAGGAAGCGCGCCTGTGAAAGACCAGGTCGGCCACTGGTACGAAGCCCAACTGCTCCACTATGGCCTGCCGCGCACCAAGGACAAGAACGTCGCCAAAGTGCGACTGACCACGGCCGTGGTATCTGGGGCCCTCGCCGTGCCAACCCACATTTCCAAGATGGAAGCCGATATGAAGAAGGAGTACGTCGCATCTGTGAGAAAGGCCAAGGCCGCTGCGGGTGTGACGCAGGCATCCAAAGCCGCCGATACTCCTGTGACTAAAGGAAAGAAAAGGAAGGCGAGTGACCGTGACACCAACGCAGCAACTACGATTTCACTCAAGATTGGCGACATAAGCCTCGAAGTTGGCATTCCAGTCGCAGCCAACCAGAAGAAGCAGAAGCCATCGCCGGCAGAGCCGAAGGAAAAAGTCACTTCGGCAGCCAAGGGCAAAGCCGCTCTGAGACCAAAACCAGCAGAACCAGGGAGTGTGAAACCGAAGCCGGCCGACAAAGTCTCCACATCAAAGAAGACATCCAAGGCGCAGCCATCGACCGCACAACCTGTACTAGGCACTGGATCCCCTTCACGAACAGCCTCAGCCAACGCTGGCTCACGACCCAAACAGACCGCCAGACGAGGCAAGCCGTTCCTGCAAAGCCCAGCCACTCGAAATCCGCTGCGCAGCTCGCAACCTGTCATTCGGGATCATAGCAGTTCGTCCGATCTCGACATGGATGACGCCCCGCCCCCTTACGATTCGCACGACTTCAGTCATGCGAGCACACCACCTCGGAACAGAGCCAGCGTTCAGGTCTCTGGGCTCTATCACGTGCAGGCTCCCCAACTGCAGGCAAGCTGCTCACTTGCGCTCAAGATCGACCATGCCTCTGGCCAGCTCTGGGGTAATTTTCGTTTCGGCACCAAAAGCGGAGTCCTTCGGATGGACGAGCTGGCCGGTGTCGCCGAAGGACAGCCGACGTCGTTCGCTTGGCGCTCTAAAGATGACAAGACTGGGCAGCTGAAGTTTGGCCGCGGCTGTGATGGCTCGATAGAGTTTGATGGCAACGAAGGGGTTAAAGGTCGATTTTTCGGATTGATGTATGGAGGTGATTTGGAGTTTGAAGGATCATTGACCGACATGAACGATGTGCCCAATGTCGACTGGCTTCGTGATGAATGGGATGAATTTCCCAGAATCGCCTATGGTAGAGACTAAGGTCTGAGCTTGGCCACCTAGGTCGTCTTTTCGTCTGATATTGTGATGGAGATTCGACATGATCGGGCGGTTGGACACCTGTGAGAAACATGTGTGAGGGCATGTGCGAGGCTGGTCAGAATCAGGCTCAGTTTATGGCATGACTTGTGCCGCCCCGAGGAGCACATGCCGCTACTAATGGCCATCATTGTAGGACGGATGCCGTCAACGGCCTGGTATTGGTATCTTGCCTAATTCATTATCCAGGCTAGTCTGGTAAACTAGCACATTATTCCAGCTTCACCAGGTATATGCAGCATTCATCCGTCCCCTTTTTAATATGAGTTCTGACTCAGCCTCAGCCCTCAGCCTCGTGCTAGGAGCCGGACCAATCAAATACGCAGCGGGTGCATATCGTCTGTTCATTATTGCAGCCAGCCTAACGCACAGTCTCACAGCGTCGTCTTCAGACACGCCTATTACACCCCTATTACGCCGGGTGTCACTATTCACTACATTTGATGGGATCCGTTGATCTCAACATCACCACCATTTCCGAGGCCATTCTTGACTTGGACGAAGTGGGCTCGTATGTCATGAGCGTGGGACAACGATAGATGAGCGCCTTGCAGCCGGACCCCCTGCAACCCGTCAACTCGGCTTTGTAGATACCATTGCTCTGGCACCATGCAGCGATTCGGATCTTTTGCAAGGACCCTGGGCGAAGCCGGCCGGCATCACGAGCTTGAAGGTACGTCTTTTCTCATCGGGCACTGCTAGGAGATGGCACTGCGTCCCCTCCCCCGGTCGATCGAACACCGCCGGGAGACACTCATCGTCCTGGGGATCAGACCAAGGAGTGAATCTGTGTGTTCTCACAATTACCGGATTCTACCATCTGTTGCACAAGGTCTTCCGGCCAGCTGATTGCCGGGTTGATAGACAGCCAGCTTCCAGAAAACAAAACCCTTTTCCAGTCGTTCGAATGGTACCTCCCTGCCTCGATGAGTCACACTGCCCCAAGCCACTACGCTCTCCTCTCAGCCCTGCTGCCCCATCTATCTGCTCTTGGTATCACCCATATCTGGCTGCCGCCTGGCTGCAAAGCAACTTCAGTACAGGATAATGGCTACGCGGTCTACGATCTCTGGGACCTAGGCGAGTTCAATGCTAAGAGCTATGACAGGAGTACGCGGACTAAATGGGGCACGAAAAAAGAGTTGGACTCGTTTTGCGCTCTGGCCAAGGAGTTCGGCGTCAGTGTGTTGTGGGACGCGGTGTTGAATCATAAAGCCGGTGCAGACGAGAAAGAACCGAGCTGGGGAGTCAAGGTAGATCCTAAGGGTAAGCTCGCTCCCTTATTCGCACTCCGCAGCATGGATGCTGAGGATCTGTGCTCTGGTAGACCGGACAAAGCAGCTTTCACAACCATACGAGCTCGAAACTTGGACCAAGTTCACGTTCCCTGGCCGGGGGAACAAGTACTCTGACATGAAATATGATTGGCGACACTTTTCTGGCGTCGACTATGACGCTCGCAACAAGGAGCACGGGGTGTTCAAACTCATGGGCGAGGGAAAGCGTGGTGAGTGGGCAAGCGATGTCAGCACAGAACTAGGTAACTACGACTACCTGTAAGCGCACATCCTCCTGCAACATGGACCAGAACTTGAACAGAATGTATACTGACCAAGTCTTGCCCCCGTGTAGAATGTTTGCGGACCTCGACCACTCTCATCCTTCCGTTCGCGCCGACATTTTGAACTGGGCGTCGTGGATCTCTGCCACCCTTAACCTAGGGGGAATGCGGCTCGACGCCATCAAGCACTACTCTCTTGCTTTCCTCGCAGACTTGGTCTCTCATCTCGAGACCACCGTGCCGCACGGCAAGGATCTGTTTCTCGTCGGCGAGTATTGGGACGCAGACTCGGAGGTGTTGGAAAAGGTAATTAGCCGGTTCAACGGTCGGCTGCGTCTATTCGATGTGCAGTTGGTTTACACTTTCAGCGATTTTTCAAAGGGCAGAAAGCGGGATTTACGCACAGTGTTTGACGGATCCTTGATCCAAAAAGACCATCTTCATGCCGTGGTAAGGCTCGTTCTTAGTCTGACCCGTTCCGAACGCAAGCTGATCACATGTGAACGTTACAGACTTTTGTCGCCAACCACGACACGCAGGACACTCAACCACTCGCAGCACCAGTGGAGGAATGGTTTGTCCCTCTTGCGTATGCTCTTATCCTCCTCTGTCGTGACAGTGGGACTCCCTGCGTCTTCTGGGGCGATGTTTTTGGCGTCCACGGCCCTCGAGCGCGGCTGCCGGCGTGTGGAGGGAAACTCGCCCGTCTGATTGCGGCCCGGAAACTCTACGCATATGGTTCGCAAAGAGACTACTTCGACACCGAGGACTGCATCGGTTGGACACGAACGGGGCATAAGTCCAAATCGCATGGGGCCGGACTGGCGGTTGTCATGACCAACAGCTGGGACCGGACTTGCAAACGCATGTTCGTAGGCCTTCGCCACGCTCGCGAGAGGTGGAGGGACATTCTCGGCTGGGAGGACCGAGAAGTCGTGATCGACTCGGCAGGGTTTGGTACATTTCCGGTTGGCCACCGATCTGTCGGCGTGTGGACCGATGAGAAGGCTCCTGATTTCGACAAGATCTGTAGAATGACCTTCCCAAGCTCGGGGCAGGCCGTCCCCCCGATCACCAATCTTCCATGATGAGGAACGACGTTAGACTAGGCCCTCAGCTTTTGTCCTTTTGCTGTCGATTGGCGACGGTCATGACTGACTGGACTCCCACGCCGGACGGATATGCAGGTCGGTCCTGAATAACAGATTTTTGGATGTAACATGAAATTCCTCAAAGTGGTAAGCGACCGTATTCAGGTTGGTAAAGCCGTCTAATAGATATCTTGGCATCAAAAATCCCACTGTCCCCGTCATCGGCACCGCCCGCAATTGGATTTGCCCCAAAATTGTCTGAAAGTGTCGACGCGCCAGGTCAGCGTGCCCAACCTCGCGTTGCAGGCCATCTTTCTATCTCGATCTTGAAGATCATGCAGCGTGCCCCCCCACCAACGATTTTCTCCCCTTAAGGTAGATCTCTCGCCTCGTTCGCCATCTTTGCTCGGCACTCTCCACCGCTGTATGCCACTATCTAATCGTTATGGCTGAGATAACGTCGCCGCCTCCAAGGGTATTCCGCTCTGGAGCATCCAACAACTGGCGCATCAAGGACGACTCGCCCCGCGCGGACCAGGCACAGGTGCGGTCGCGAGTCAACCGGAATGATGGGCAATCACCCCACACCAACCTGGCGTCGAACACACAACCTCGGTCGGACGCAGCACCTGGCACCCGTCTTTATGTCGGCAACCTGCTCTACAGCGTGCAGAAGGCAGACATTGAAGCCTTGTTTGCCGAACAGGGCTTTAATGTCGTCGGGGTGACCATCTCGACCGACCCGTTCACCGGCCGCAACCCCAGCTACTGCTTTGTCGACCTGGGCAGCGCCGAGGAGGCGCAGCGGGCAATTGCAGATTTGAATGGTGTCGACGTGCGTGGAAGGGCGCTCCGGGTGAAACCTGGGGTGGCCAGGCGAGGCCAGACGTCAGATCAGCCTCAGGGGGAGAATGGCACCGCTCGAGAAGTCAGAGTCAAGAACTTTGAGCAAGGGTGGGGCCGAGAAACGAAGGAAGAGCGGAGTAGGTTTCCCAGGTCTGCCTTCTGTCTTGAGGAATGGTATAAACCATACTGACTCGGGTTGTTTTAGGTACGGATTACAAACCGACATTCGACCGCTGGAACCGCAGCGATGCCTCGTCTCACTGGCAGGCGCCGCAGACCGAGGGACGCCGCCTGTTCGTCGGCAGCCTCCCGCGCATTGAGCCTCAGTCGGCACTCGACGAGGAAATTCAGACCCTGTTCGCAACATACCTCCCCGACGAGGGGATTACGCCAACCGCCGTCTCCAAGCTCATCTCGCCGCACCCTAGCAAAGTCGCTGGCGGTGAGCCCGGTGATTACTACTATTGCTTCGTGGACCTAGCGCGCGCCGAGGACGTCGAGACTGTGATCGAGAAACTGGCCGGGGCCCAGGGTAGCTGGGGCGGGAACTTGAGGGTAGGCCGCGCCAGGGAGCAGCGAGAACGAGGAGGGCCCGAGAGGAAGGTGTTGAGAGAGCAAGGACTCAGGAACGAGGGAGAGAAGAAACCTTTCGATGCGAGCAGGTGGAGGAAAGACGGAGCTCAAGAATGAGCCAGACCTTGTAAACCGAAAGAAGATACCGCCGATGAAAGCATGGTGGAAGGAATCCAAGCATGACTTTCGAGGCATTCACCGAGTAGCAATTTCTCTGTAGAGTCCTTGGACGGCAGTCTCTCAAAGGAGGAATGGGTAGGGGTAGGTGAGACGGGGTCTTTGTTCGTGTGATTGCGCTCATGTCAGGAACATGGGTTTTGTCGGCGCCACCAACAGACGCTCACCAGAACAGTCCCTATTCGGCCCACTGACCTACTCAGTCATGCTGTGGTTGGATTGGGATACTCGAGGAAATGTATACAGAATGAATCTTCCATTGGAGGAACTCGGCGGCGGCGATTGCCTCGATCAGTGGACGTGGATTGCGCCCTTGATTCACGGCACAGGAGGCTGGCAGCATTTTTGCAGCGCGACAAGTTCAGCCAGTTATTGTCTCGGCTACGCAATGATATTAAGAGAAGCCAGGACTCTCAGCTGCCTCAGCTGCCGGCTGCCGTGCCTGTCAAGCTCACCGTCATCGCTGCTGTCAGAAAGTCGTTCCGTTCAGTCGTGTGGTGCCAAGGTCAGGAGGAGAGCGATCTAATAAAGTGTCAAGCATGGACGGGCAGCGCTCGATTTCAGTTCTCTTGTTCCGCAGTCAAGGTTTTTATTCGTCTCGCGATAGGCGCAAGCTATGTACTTAAAGTTAGGACATGTTGCGAATTTCCACTCACCAGACCCAGGTTTTGGTCCCAAAATCCGTATCTTAGTACACGTTTGCAAACATAGCTCGAGCGTGGAGTCTTTTCATAGTACCATGCTAGCAGCCATTCGAGATTAGAATGGGAGAGATGTGCAATAACAATCACTTTTCTGCAGCTGCGGCATCTTTTCAACATGTATCGTTCACCGCAGTCCAATCTTGCTCAAGATGCCGCTCGACGAAGAGGTGGTCTTTGAGTCGCCAAAAACGCCCAGAATGCTCTTCCATACGTGTTCGGGATCCTGGCTAGCATCGATTCCTGCCCAAATGCCCCTGGTCTTGTAGTATCCAACCACAGGCGCGGTCTGTTCATGGTAGGTGCTCAATCTCTTCTTCAGGGTCTCCGCATTGTCATCGGTTCTTTGTATCAACGGTTCGCCAGTCACATCGTCCTTCATGGTCTCCTTGGGAGGGTTGAACACCTTGTGGTACGATCGGCCCGAAGCAGGATGGATCAATCGACCAGTGATCCGAGACACGAGAAGGCCGTCATCAATTTGAAGTTCAATGGCATGCTTGAGAGGCTTGCTCTCTGCTTGAAGCATGGAATCAAGGCCTTCTGCTTGGGCAACTGTCCGGGGGAAGCCATCGAGGATGAAGCTGCGGGTGTTAGCCAGACCGTTGAACTGTCTAGGGTACAGCTTACCCATTTTCGCATTCTCTGTTTGTGTCGAGCTCATTTTTGATCATGTTGATCATGATATCATCGCTGACCAGTCCGCCTTGATCCATGATCTTTTTGGCTTCTCGCCCGAGAGGGGTCTTTTTCGCGACTTGTGCGCGAAGCATGTCGCCGGTGGCCTACGTTGGTGTCAATGACAGAGACGGATCATGGGGGTATCCGACGAGGGTTCATACCAGATGGCATATGCAATACCGGTCCTTTATGCGAGGGGCTTGGGTGCCCTTGCCTATAAGAAAAGATTTAGTAAACGCGTAGAATGCTGCTGCTGTGGGAACGCACCTGCGCCAGGAGGACCGATGAGAATCAATCGCATGGACTCTACTAGGCTCGGTTTCGTCTCTCCACTCTCCAGTCTGTGCTCGAGGTCATGGACTCGAGCTTCAAGCTTGTGGACAAGGTCCTTCAGATCATCTATCTGGCTGTCGGTGATTGGGGCCATGGTTGCAGGGAGATATTAGGAGGGGGGACCTGACCAAGGTCGAGCGATGAGGAAAGTCGGAAAAGGTGCCGAAGAGAATGTCAGAGGAAGAGAGAACACAGAGGGAAAGTGACGCGGTGAGGACAGAAGGCAAGGCTGGTCTTTGCACCTCCGAAGCAGAGCAGCAGCAGCAGTAGTAGTAGGAGAATCGACGGACTGGGAAGCTTGTCCTCTCCGCTCTACCGAGATGGCCGAGTTCAAGTTTGTCGTCCCGGCATTATTGCCAGGGTTCTGCCGACTGCCAAGAATGTCACGTTTCTTCACCACACTGGTGGTGCTGGCACTGCACTGCTGACTGAAGGTTGAAACTGCGCTCCACGCTGTCCCCTCATTTTTCCGTACACCTAAGGCCTAGCTGAGATCCTCCTCATCCTCTTCCGGTTCATCTTCTTTGATGTACAAGCCGCCCAGCCGGAGCCGAGCTTACGCCGTCATACTCGCTCTGTTCATGGTTGATGTTGATAACAGTAGAGACCTGCCTTCACACTATGCCTTCGCACTAACGACGATATGTGGATGACGCCGAACCTGAGATAACGTGTGCCTTCTCTTAGATATTGCTAATAGATAACCTCATCCTTGATGTCGAGTTCTGCGGGATACACGAGGCCGGGCAACGGAACACCGTCTAGACCAGAATAGGCTGGCATCTATCTAGTAAGTATCCGACTCTTTTCCTTTTTTACGACTCATTTACTAGTAGGTATCAAGGCCAAAGCAAAAATATACTGCTGTCAACTGTGCGAGCTACATCTCTTAATATGCGTACAGTCGAGAAAGTTTGGAGACTATATTGCTTCACCTTGCTCTTGTCTGACTCAAACTTCCGCAGAACCATTATCCACGGGGGCAGTGGTAATGTTCAACCAACAGTCACTGGGATTTCAAGTCCCGGCAAAGAGAGAGATAACCCTTGCTAGACCAGTTCATGCGACTTGCGTTGTCTGCTGCCCTGCGCAACCTCCCGTCTAGCTCATTTGCCCCCTGCGAGCTCGTTTTTTGTACGACATATTATGTTGCTTCTCGGCGAGTGCCCCAGCAACTCTTCCAAGCCGCTGGAGCGTATTTCGTTGTGAAGGCAAGGTCGGGTCTTCATCCATGCTGGTGTCCGAGAATAGGCAGACCGCAGAGCGGACTAGCCTCGCTTCGCTCAACTCTAGAGTATTGTCGTGTGTTTTCAATTAGGATCTTCCGTTGATGTAATTTGGCTAGGTTTAGGTTCGACTTGGTAGGGGGGAGAACGAGCTTGGGGTTATGTCGAATGGAGTCGCCAACTTGAATTGAGTGTATGTCGAGCGAGGCTGTGCGAGGCTGAGGTTTCCTTACTACGAGGCCATGTTCATAAGTTTGTTCTTGCCTGTATAGGGATAGTGCCTTAGTAGTAGCGAAGGCCTATACCGAGACCTCTAATTAGTTTATTTAATCTATTTAACCTCGTCGTCGCTATCTCGCTATCGCCTATCTATAAAAGGTATTATTACTCTCGTTTATAATCGTACGTATAAGCCGCGTTGTAAAGCCCTTTTATAGTACTTTTTAATAGTTATTTATAAATATAAATACCGTACTCTTTTAGAGCTTATATAACGTTTAGATCGAGAAGCGAAGATAATAATTAATATAAGTTATTAAGAGTATAGGAATAAGAGATTAAACGATTTATATAATAGCTTACGAATATTTAAAATCTTAATACTATTTAGCGACTCGTTCGAGAATTATACGACTTAGTTTTACACCGCTCTATACCTAATAGAGATAAGTAATCTTAGTAAGGTTAAGAGTATTATACTTAAGAATAAGCTAATATATTTATTAAGACTTCTATAAATTCTTCTTTATACGAGATATACGACTAGTACGCTTCTTAATACTAATAGTAGCTAGAATATCTCGAAACTTAGTTAGCGAGAATACGCGATTAATAGCGCGTTACTATATCTAATAGTAGGTTCTAGGCTCTAGCTCGAGTTTACTAGTAATTTAGGTAAAGGTAAGAGTAGAGAGGAAGAAGCGAAGAGTAATAACGATAACGCGTAGTTATAAAGATACCTCTTTACTACGAGGAGGTATTTTAATCTTATACGGCGGCGACGACGACGATAGTAATAATAGTAACACTAATAATAGTAATACTAATATCTTCTATATTAGACCCACTATAACGCTTATAAACGCCTATGATTAGCTAATAGGCCCTATCTCCACCTACAGGGGCTGATTGGACTTTGAACAAATCTCTGAATATGGCCTCGTCTAGTAGTGCGGAGTACAGAGCAGGGTCCCCAAGTTTGGAGTACGGTAGATGAAAATAGCTTCATCCGCAGATCACGTGCACTGCACCATAACCGATGAGGCGTCGTTCGCCAGCCTGCCTGCGACCTGCGACTTGGAGTTGACATGCTTGTGGTGATGCTCTAAACTCAACCGACCTAATTTCCTAACAACACCATCTCGAACCGTCATTGTGCGCTGGGTTATTCCTCACCCTCAATTTGCTCTTTACCGGTGCTAGCTGAGGACCTCTCTATCCAGCTATTCATCTGGCACTTGCTCGAGTCCCTCCGTATTTCCCCCTGCCACGCCACTATGCCAGCAACAACTGCAGAAACACTGTCTTTAGTGAGCAGACAGGTTTCTGTCGCCCCCTTAGTGCTTCTTTCAGCCGCTGATCACTATGGTCGATCAGCCAAAGGGACTAGGAAACGTGTGGTGGGAGTTCTCTTGGGCCAAAATGACGGAAAGAATGTCCGAGTATCGAACAGTTTCGCAGGTGGGTCTGAACACTGAATTTCTACGAGTTCTACCGCTGAAAAGATGAAGTGCCTTTCGAAGAAGACGAAAAAGACCCCTCGGTGTGGTTTCTCGATCACAACTATGTCGAATCTATGAGAGAAATGTTCAAGAAGGTCAATGCCCGTGAGAAACTGATAGGCTGGTACCATTCTGGTCCGAAGCTACGAGCATCAGACTTGGAAATCAATGAGCTCTTCAAAAGATACACTCCTAATCCCCTCCTCGTCATCATCGATGTCCAACCAAAAGAGGTTGGTGTTCCAACAGACGCATATTTCGCGATTGAGGAGATCAAGGATGACGGCACAACAACGACCAAAACTTTCGTCCATACCCCGTCCATCATCGAAGCCGAAGAAGCCGAAGAGATCGGAGTCGAACACCTTCTCAGAGACATCCGGGATGTGGCGGTTGGCACTCTTTCCTCCAGAATCACTCAGCAGCTACAGTCCCTCCAAGGTCTCCATTTACGATTGAAGGACATCGGCACATACCTGCAAAAGGTACTCGATGGCGAATTGCCCGTCAACCATGCCATCCTTGGCAACCTTCAAGACATCTTCAATCTCCTTCCCAACCTGACCACCCCTCCGGCTTCGAGGCCCAACGGCGCGAACCAGGTCGAAAACAGCGAATTGGCTCGTGCAATGACCGTCAAAGTGAATGACCAGCTCATGACGATCTACCTAAGCTCCCTCGTCCGCGCCATCACAGCGTTCCATGATCTGATCGACAACAAAAACCAGAACAGACAACAACAGGAGGAAAAGGAGGCAAAGAAGGGCGAGGCTGAAAAGAAGGAGGGCGACAAGGAAAAGGATGACAATAAGCCCACTCCCAATGGCGCGATCAACGGCGAGAAGAAGGGCACCGAAGATGGCGGGAAGGGAAAAGGCAAGAAGAAAAGCTAGATCATCCAGAAACCTCACGTCGGGGTTTGCATTTGGGCATTTAGCATGGCGTTTGAGCGGAAATGCTATGCGATGGTGTGTAGCATGCATGGCCATTACATCGACGTCGCGACAGGACTGACGTATGTACACTACGGCTAAAGACCATGAGATGATAGATCCGTGGCGGGTGAAGCATATCTGCTGGGCCACGGCGTATTTGTATCTTCCACGAATTGTGTCGTGCTACGTCAGGATGAGATGCTGTATGCTTCTGTCGACAGCTCACAGTCTAGCTCATCGTATCTTTTGGTCCATTCTCCCTCAGAGAAGAGTTGCTACAGGCCGAGTGTGTTTTATGTACATGGCTATAATTCCTAGTAACAACGCCATTCAGTCAAGTCTTTATTCAACCCGGTGGAAGCCCAGGGTCACTGCACGCCTAATTCTCCCCATCCCCCTCCCCATGCCGTAAGCTCTTCCCTGGAGACTTTCTTTGCCCGCACGCCAGAGGCGAAAAGGTTCGGGGCAGCTTTGGCTAGTACCGCGGCGAGAATGTGTTTGCACGAAGGCACTAGACGGGTGGAAATATTGGTGGTGACACCTCCGAACACCCATCCTGCGCGCTCTGTAGACACAGATGCAGCGCCTGAAGAGCTTAAGAGGTCTCCTATTTTGTCGAATACACTACCGCACACGTCCTCGCCGTCACCCTGCGCATTCATTCCCTGAAACGCGGATACACTAAACGCGGGACAATTGCAGTTCCAGCTATCGAGGCGGACCTCGTAGAAAGTGGCACCGGCGTCATGTCTGCGGGTTGAGTACCGCGAAGAGCCTGCCGTCCTGGATCTGGTCGAGCGGCCACGGCCAGTTGGCCTCGATGTAACGGCGGAGGATGATTGGATGTAGTAGACCTCCCAATCTTCATCAGGTCTGGCCGCATACCGGGCGTCAGGGTTTACATCGGGCAGAGCAGACAACCTGCTCTCGTTTTCCTGTTTGTGTCCGTCGCCTATTTGGACCGTAAACCTCGTGACAAGTCCACGGTCCAGTATGTCCAACGCCGGCAGCAGCTCGTGTGGGAAAAGGACTTGGAGGGTCAAAAACACGCTGCGGGCATGCTGGGTGTCCGACTGCGAAAGCCTGTGCAAGGCGCTAGATGGTTGATGCGCTTCAAGTGCCTTGTCTGGGGTAGAGGGAATCTGAAGCGGCGTGAGGCTAGAGAGGCTCTGGAAAAGAGTGGTCATGGTTGAGCCACAAGGTGCTGGGCGGTTGGTCATGCAAACACCCCTTGCTGCGTCTCTTGACATGCCAGTTGGACTGGTATCGATCGTGAAAGTTGATTTAGTGTACGCCTGCCGGGGTTCCATGGATAATGGATAGACCGACACGCGCACGAGCGGAAACAAAAATATCCGTAACTGCTATTGCGATAGCCTTTGTTAGACTTACAACAGTTTTAGGACCATAGATATACTGTAATATAGTCGACAGCAAATCACTATACGATGTGCACGTTTGGATGCCTCCTACAGGTGATCTTCAAACCAGTATAGGGAGGGACAGAATTTTCTAGATAGATTCATGTCCTTGATTTGTGATTGATTCAAGGCCGGTTTTTGCTGTTGTGGTAAAACATTGGCCCCTCGCCAGCCTCCGAACTCCTTGTCAAGATCTCCTGGAGTCATCTCTCCCAATGTTGGTACGGAGCACCTACGGAGTACTCCGTAATTAGCGAAACCATTCCAATTCAACTTCGAGGTCACCCACAGGAGGCTTGGCTACGGCCGATCAAGAAGGCTTCAAGCGCCACCCGCAGGACGCATCTGGCGAATACCTGAAGGAATACCACAAGGACATACACAATGGCAAAGAAGGGTGTTCGCGTCCAGTTGTAACTATAGCTTGTCGCCGACGATGAACCTGTCAGGTCGACGCTACACTCCTGCAAACTCTCTGGCACGATGAGTCCTCCCGAGCTCCTCAATCCCACGCGTTTTGCCACTGTACAATGGATGGAACGGAGCCTCCTTCAACTTCCAAGGTGATCGTACAATGTGTTGATCCCCACAATCTGTATGATTTCGTCGAGCCTCATCTGTCGGCCAGGAGTCCTCTTCGGAATTTACACTGGAAATCCCCCAACCGGCCGCTGCGATCCATACCATACTTGAATGTATCCATTACTCGAGAGGACACCTCTGCTGGGTCGCAGTCCCACATTCGCAGGCACCAAATCCCCGGACTGCGCCAGACGCCGTATGTCAAACTGTACTTATTACGATGCGATGACAAGGAAACATACAAGGAGAGGGCCAGAAAGGAGGTCCGCCAGTGGGTCAAGGCACAAGCATCCACGATTGATGGGAAGCCGTCTGGCAAGGCCCAAGAAGACCACGATGCCTTTGAATGGCTAATTGTTCATGTTGTGCTTCCCAATACCCCAGCGGCTACTCAGCCTAAATCGGCCAAGCATATCTCCCTTGAAACGACAGACAGTACCGACAGCATCAACAGTAAGTCAAAATGGTCTGGCAAGAGTTCGTCGACAATCCTCGACAAGTTGAGGGCCGATTTCAACAGCATCTCCAAGTCATCCATCAACCGCGTTGCCCAAGTCAGGCTTGTGGAACCCAACGTCAAGTCCACGGCGCTGGCACCTGCAGATCTCGAAGAACAATGGCAAGAGTTGGTCGAGAGCCTCAAAGCGTGCATTTTACGCTCATTTGACGCCCGTGTGGCTCAATACGAAGGCGACATTCGCGAAAGGGACAGCCAGAGGAACTTGCCAGGCTGGAACTTCTGCACGTTTTTTGTGCTCAAAGAGGGCCTGGCAAAAGGATTTGAAAGCGTAGGATTGCTAGATGATGCCCTGGCCATCTACGACGAGCTTTCTCTTGGACTCGATGGACTAGTGAAAGAGCAGGTTCAAAGAATCGACCACGATGATAGCGGTGCACTTCTGAGGTTTTCTAAGGAAACAAAGGATCTTCTACGAGCGGCGCTTGACCCTCAGTCTTCTTCAGCTTCGACACCCGGTGCTGAGGTGATATTCAGCCTCGAACACATCCTTAATGATGATCGCAACGAGTTTCCTTTTGATGCAGACCGGAAAAACTACCTCGGGCTTATTTTGTCCAACGAAGTGTCTGCCCTTGATCTCCGGATATACCTCTTTACACGACAGATGGAGATGCTTCTCAGGCAAGGACAGGCGAATATCTCCAAGTCTGCGCACTCAGCCAAGCCCGCGGCCGATCTGAATGTCATTGCCAATCTCACAGAACGTGCGATTCAGTCCATCAATCTAATCGCCCGTAACCTTCGCTTAGAACTTTACAATGCTTGGGGAGGACAAGAGGGTCTAAGTCCCGATGAGTTACATTCCCAAAGTACGGTGACTGGGAATATTGTATCGACATGGGAATGGCGTGCATGTATGCAAGTACTCTCTCGAGTCTTACCGACCCTAGGGATAGACAGAGGGCACGGCACTGTGGCTTTATCCCTTGATGCGGTCGAACTTTCTCTTGACATTGACAAGAGGTCACCCAGCCAGTCTGAGGCAGATCGTAGCCCCCAGAGGATGTCGTCGGCTATTGTTTTACACCCTCCTCCACACGAAAACTCACAGGAGCACAGTAAAAGAGTGTCGTTGATGTCGAACAGCACAATTCCTCGACATCATCTCATGTCGCGTCCTGGATCCGAGCAACTGGCATTGTGGATTTCGAGACTTGTGATGCTGGCAAGACATGCCATGGAATCCCTGGAAATTACACGGCCATGGGTCGTTGAAATGAAACAAATTGCCATGAATGCAGGTATCATTGGCAATTCTCAAGCAAATGGTCGTGTGGACGAGGAGTTCAGCTCAGCCGACGATCCTCAGCCGCGAAAAGTACACCAGGAATCAACAGCTGGTCTGGGATCGAAGACCTTACAGGCAGCCACTGCGTCTCAATCCACGTTTTCACACCTGTATGCGCTCTTGTCAGTCCTTGCATATCGAACAGCGGTTGATGCAAAGAATCACGCGACCGCCAAACAGATCTTGACCAATCTTGCGGAAATGGAGTACAGGCAAGGTAACCAGACAATCGTTGCTCGGTACCTCCACAGTCTTCTCGGCCCGTTACCACGGCCGTCTTGTCGCCCGATAGATGGCTATCTGCTTCGCATCTATGCAGATTGTCTAGGTAAACTTGAAAGGACAAACGAATACGCTCGATGCCTCATCTCATACTTGTATTGGGCGTCTCGATGCCCTGCGGGTACTCTTTCAACGACCTGTCTCGCCACGAATCAATCATACGTTGACCGGCTTTTCGAGGTAGCACCAACCCTTGCAGCGACAACTCTGCCGCTAACGACTTTGTTCCACGTCTCGAGCGTCTCCAGAACAATATCCAAGCTGGAGGGTAGAGATGGGTTTGCCATGTCGATAGTCATTCACTCCCTGGCCGGTACATCAACTCCGCCGTTGGAAAATATCAAGATGCGGCTAGTCTCGAAAGATGGCTCTGAGCCCCGATTCCTTACCTTGAAGCTGCGCGGCGAGTCCAGCATCGAAGCTGGCGGGACCAATATCTTGCTGGAAACTTCGGTGACTACGCATGGCTGGTATACACCGGATGAAGTCGAATTGCATCTGGGCAACTTAAGGTTTTTGCATCATTTTCTAAAGTCCCATGAGGAGGAGTTCGCAGACCCCGATGAGTCGGCCCTTCCTCGATCAAACATTGCTCCAGTGCTTGTCTATCCTTTCTTCCAGTCCCTTGAAGTCAGGATAACTCCTTCTCCACACATCCATCTAGCGCAGATACGCCGCCTCCTCGTTAAGATCCGCCCCGGAGCAAACGAGGTGAAACAGTGTAAATTACGATTGAAAACTGCTACTGCAGGATTGAGACTCAATATTCACGATGCCCGATGGCTGGATGGAACACGTCGTTCGGTTGCTCTACGGACAGCGCGGGAGGGTGATGCTCTCATACTAGTTGTCGATGAACTGAAATCCGGATCACTAACCGAAGTGGAAATTCCATATACGACCGAAGTTCCTTCCGAACCATCGGTGATCCTACGTGTTGATGCCAATTACGAGACCAGCCAGGGAGTATTCACTCTGTATGATACGGCCTTCATCAATGTGATCTTACCAGTTACTATCAACGTACAGGACATTTATAGAAGTGGATACATGTACTCACGGTTCACCGCCATCCCAGCGACACTAGTTCCTTTGCATCTTGTGAACTGCTATTTGGAGGACAACGAAGCATATATGGCAGATGCGGGACACGGGTTTCCAGAGCCGCTGGTGGTTTTCCCCAAGCAGCCGGCAAGCTGGACGGCTCGCCTCGTCCCCAAACATGAAGAGGTGCTTAAGTCAACGCAACGGATGACCCTGTCAGTTGATTTTCAATCGTTGGACGAGGTTATGTTGGCTGCGCTCGAAGAGAGCTTTACGTCAGCAATCTTGAAGACGCGCTATGCATACACTGCAAGATTACTCGTCACGCATTTGCGGAACCGAATACGCGCAGTTTGGACCGAACAGGACCTGGAAGTGGCAGGGCTTTCACAAGAAGTCGAAATCTGGAACTTCCAGGACATGAACTGGTTTGCCGTGCTCTGTGCATTTGACCGGCAATTGAGCGCGGAAATCGAGGGATGGCTTCAGATGTGGCACGCCGACACCAAGCCCCTTAGGCTCACCAAGGCGGCACGTCAGCGACAGCTCAAGCTTTATGTGGATATATCTCCTCCCCCGGTCGTCGTCATGGCTGCCATCGAGTCGAGTCGACTGCACACGGCCACACTCGGACAGCCATTGGCGGCAGAACTGGTGATCAGCCTGGGCAATCAGAGAGAAAAAGAAGTTGAAGCAGCCTTTGAGGTAGCGGCACCCACGGACTCATGGCTGATTGGGGGAAGACGTAAAGGCAATGTGCAGTTGACCAGGCAGCCCGCTCGCATTCCCATTGTGCTTTTCCCTCAACACCTAGGACACGCTCTGCTGCCCATCATCACCGTCAAATGCCGGAAATGGGTTAAGGCTGATGGTAGTGGAGGTGAGGGGTGGGCCGAAGTCCCGTGCGAGGTACACAACACGACACACGGGCGCAGTATCTTGGTGACGCCAGGTCTTCGGAGCACAACGGTAGAGGTGTTCGGGGCAGGGCCGGATGAGGGGACAGGACGGCTAATATCAAGCCAGAGTCGTTGATAGAGAAGATAGAGCGCCACGCGGCAAGACGTTGTGGCTAACATTCTGGTCTACGGGTACGTTCTCCGGACACTACTGTACAGGATTTCAGCCGCAGCCTGAGGGCCCTGAATGACAGATAATGCTCTGGCAAACTTGCGTTGATATCAACTTGAAACTGGATCTGCAGGCACGATCGAAGGCGTAGGAGGCTCTTTTCCAGAAAAGGATAGGGTCCCTTAAATGCCCGCGGAGCGAGCCGCGAACGAAACTGTAAGCAGAATAGGGTGACACACGTGAAGGACGCTTGGGATGACGACACGACTCACCCATGCCTGCCTGAAGGGGCGCAGTGGCCCAGCAGCGGCTGACGGCCAGCACGGGGCTTGGACCCGTCAAGTTTCCCCAACAAAATTTTGATTTGTCGTGAGGCTCCGATTCAATCACCGTGCAACAATCAATGATCTCGACAGGCTCTAGACCCGACGCAACCTTGTCCAGATCGCTACGCCTCGATGCAGAATTGCACCTTGTGACCGGAGGTTCTGTGGACAGGGACCAGCTGCGTGCGAGTGCCCGTCCATGCCGAGGTCCAATGTTGCCGGACCTCAAGTCCTTCCCATCGTCGTCCAGAGGTGCTGATCGTCGAAATCTTTCCAGTAGTCTTCAGCATGTGATCTCTGCTGTGAACACACCAAACATCACTTATTGCACATGTCAATCAGACTTCCGCCCGACCAGTGACCAGGCGTCTGGAGCCATCCAGCTCTTTGAAGGCCACCACAGACCACCATGTGCTCGCTCAAGCCCTTGTCATCGGTCAAGCTGACAGTGCTACAGTCTTTGCGAGCCAGTAATATAACGCCGGGCCAAGTGGATCGATCGAGAAATGCCGACTGTGCTTAGATGCGGTGAGGAGCTGAACACGCAGAGACTAGGACTTCCGAGAACATCGGTGAGAAAAGAGAAGCTAGAATATACTGTAAACCCAGAACGTGAGGCGACGCCGATGAGCGGAGAGATCGTCGGTGTGCGATGCCTGTTCTGTTAAAGGCAAGTGTTGGGGACAGTTGTCTGACAGAAGGGGGTGCAGTGGATTGAAAACCCAGGCATATTTCCAGGATCTCAGGTGACAAGAATTGAAGTAACATGACGTTGTACGGAGGACGAGGTATCTACCTACCTACCTTAGTTACGGAGTATAAGCTAACTTAGGTAAGTACCTGGTATGTTACTCCGTGTTCTATAAGGTGCCGCCAGAAATCTTCTCATCACTGGTTTCTGAATACCAAGCACCTACAAGTACTCCGTACTCAGTACGGAATACAAGTGTATGCGTTGGCTCGCAGGATCCGATGGACAAACTATGTCCAACTATAAACCCTGTACGGAGTACGGAGTACTATGGAGTATGGAGTAAGTCAGGTACGTACGGAGTAATTAGGGATATCTTGATTCTACCAGTACCTTAGGTACTTAGGTACCAACCTAGAGGTACTGACAGAGTAAGTAGTACCTGAATAATACTACGGTACGGAGTACCTTAGGTACCTTCCTGACTTGGCCTCCTAAGCCCATAGCGAATCGGCACCATTCACATAGGCTATAAGGAGGCTGGCACTGAAGCGTTGGGGTTGGTCCAGGGGACAGAGATCCTCAGGGACCGGTCTAGGTGGCAGATGACCCCTGCCGCCCCCGTTAGGCCGTGCGACCGCCCAGGGTGCGGGCCTCCTCTAGCGCAGCTGAGGGCTCCGAGGGAGGTAGGCTAGACTGGCGGAGCCCTGCCCTGAATTTAGTGTTGGTCCCTTTGACAACTGTTGAGATACGCTCGGTGGGCTGCCCAGGGTTTTTTTTCTCGCGCGCCCTAGCGAACCAATAATAATGTGTACCCAGACATGTCCCCCACCGCAGGCAATGAAATGAATGAATGCAAGCTGCAATATGGTTATATCTTCACCGAGCTGCCAGTGCCTTACTTCCCTCGTCCTTTGGTGCCGTGCTGTGTTATCTTGCTCTTCCCCCTCTCAAACGCTCCTTTGCCCTCATCTTGGGCTGCAAGTTACCGTCGTGCCACTCCTGCTGGCTCGACTGCTGCATTGCTCTCTTCCCTCCTTGGAATCCCAACAAATTACTTGACCACCTGTCGTTCTGCCCTTGAGCTCTCTTTTCTACTCGGCCATGACCTCGACTGCGTTGCCCGCGGAGGCAGTCCTTCGTCGGATGGTGTCCAGCGACTCTACGCCTGCCTCCTCTGCAGATATCTCTCCTCTCGATAGTCCTCGATCCTCGCCTTCGTCGACCTCACTCTCCTCTCTAGCCTCTGAAGATGCCGTGCTCCGAGAGAAACAGGTGGCGGAGAAGAAACAATTGGTGGACACCTATGGTAACCCGTTTGAAATCCCCGATTACACCATTGGGGACATCCACAAAGCCATTCCCAAACACTGCTTCGAGCGGTCAGCTGCTACTGGTCTGTACTATGTGGCACGAGACATTGCCAGTTTGGCCACCACATTTTACCTTTTCAACCGCTTTCTGACTCCGGAGAACGTCCCTAATACTTCCCTTCGGGCCGGTCTCTGGTTTGTGTACACCGTGGTACAAGGCCTTTTCGGGACAGGCTTGTGGGTAATGGCCCACGAGTGCGGCCATCAGGCCTTCTCGCCCAGCAAGGTGCTTAACGATACGGTGGGCTGGATCTGCCATTCAGCTCTCCTGGTGCCCTACTTCTCTTGGAAGATTTCTCATGGCAAACATCACAAGGCGACTGGCAACTTAGACCGAGACATGGTTTTTGTCCCTCCGACCAAGGAAGAGTATGCCTCTCGAAGGGGATATCTACTTCATCAGCTTGAAGACCTCACAGAGGAGACACCGATTGCCACCGCGTACTACCTGATCACCCAGCAATTGGGCGGCTGGCCCGTGTACTTGATGACCAACGTCACTGGCCACAACAAGCACGAAAATCAGCGCGAAGGCCGAGGATTAGGCAAGCACAATGGGTTCGGTGGTGGTGTGAATCATTTCAACCCTGCAAGCCCCCTCTACGAGGCGAAGGATGCCAAGTTGATCGCACTCAGTGACCTAGGTCTTCTGCTCACTGGTAGCGTTCTGTTTTGGGTGGGGAGAAACTATGGGCTGGCCAATCTATTTGTCTGGTACATTGCACCGTATCTCTGGGTGAACCACTGGTTGGGTGAGTGCCATTCTGGGCTTTTTGCCTTGGCGTTTAGCTGACCTAGATATCCAGTGGCCATCACGTTTCTGCAACACACTGACCCAACCTTGCCTCATTACACCCCCACCAGCTGGACTTACACTCGAGGTGCGGCAGCCACAATCGATCGGGAATTCGGGTTTATTGGGAGACAGCTGCTCCACGGTATTGTCGAGACCCACGTCCTTCACCACTATGTCAGTACAATTCCCTTCTACCACGCCGATGAAGCTAGCGAAGCCATCAAAGGCGTCATGGGCCGTCACTATCGAAGTGACACCAAGGATGGAGCGATCGGGTTTTTGAAGAGCATGTGGAAATGCATGCGAACGTGCCAGTGGGTGGAACCCATTGCAGGCACCACCGGGGATGAATCTGGGGTCATGTTCTTCCGCAATCGCAATGGCTTAGGATTGGCTCCAGCCAAGGTCCCAAAGCCTACCGCATCTTAATACCAGTTAGACTTGGAATGGCGCGACTACATGGAAAGCATTGCTCTGAGGAGAATATCCGGGGTGGACATGATATGCTCGTTTCGGCCAAGGTGCGTAGGTCTAGAGACAGAGTCAAGTGGGCGCAAACGAATACGCCACGGACAGATCACATCAGATGTCGTGGTGGAGAGAGATGAGCATGACCACTGTGGACAAGACCGAGAGCGTGATCTACAATAAAACACGACGTCATGACACGAGGTACCTACTTCATATGATATGTGCAGGTGTATTACTCCGTACCTACGAGTACTCCGAGTACTTGAAGTCAGACCGCCCCGTATGGCTTATACTGCGGGCTAAGGAGGCTTATTAGGCGCGCCTCATCAGGTGGATGGTGATGCCCAGACGGACAGAAGTTCGCCCGGCTCCAGCTCCAATGTCTCGACGCTGCCTATTTCGTTCCAATGCTTACACCGAGTATGTAGCTTTACCAGCAGCTAAGCCGGTCCTTTGTATTCTCCCGGCGGCCACATTATTGTCTTATTTTATGTCCTAGCCGCAGTTGGGTCAAGCCTCTCCTAGCTAGATGGTTACAGTATCAGCGTGAGAGCACTCCCTGCTGGGCCATTATTGATGCTGACTACGGCCGTACTGGCCTAATACCATACATGTGAGCATGCCTCTAAACACACTGTTCGGACTTCCGTCATCTAGGCCTTACGCACGTTTATTCTATGTACAGAGTAAAGTCGGTGACAGTGTCGGCAGAGTCATGTATATTTGAGGAAGACTTTTTTCCCCGCTGTCCATCATGCTGTTTCATATCAAGTCCATCCTATTGCATACTATCAAAGAACATCTCCCACTCCCGCGAGGTCTCAGCCCAAAGCCAAATCCAGAATGTCATTCAAGAGTGTCCTGCCTCCGTCCACCAAGCGACCGAGGCCACGAAAGCCTAGCCGGAGCAGACAATTCTCATATGTAAGTTTGTGTCACGTCTGTCCACCGGCGAGATCGAACCCCATGCTGATCCGTTCCAGGCTCTCCGCGAGAACTTTTCGCTCTCCACCTGGCTTCTTTTGGGCGCTCTGCTCCAATCCATCGTTCTCTTTATCGTCCCTCGGCTTTATGCCACGCTCCCTTTGATCCTGGTTCTCGGGACACGGGTAGTCAATACAATGGCCATCACATTAGGCTGGAAGAAGAATCCCTATCTCGACGAAGCGCTTTTGTACCGCGTGTCCCCACAAATCCCCGATGAAGACGGCAATTTCCACCCAGAGTCGTCGGAGGAGAAGGTTGTGGTCTTCTTGTTGGGAGCCAAGTCGAACCATCCTTTGGGTATCTTCGCCCCCAACTTCAAGATCGTCGGAGACTCTCTGATGAGCATGATCTCTGATCTGAACCAGGGGGCCCCTGATAACGGATTTTATGGCGGTTCTTCGTGGACCAACCAGTACAAGAATGATGCCACCGAGTTCCTCTTCCTCAGCTACTGGCGGTCTACAGAAGACATTCACAAATTCGCCTACAGTCCTCTGCACCACGAGACCTGGGACTGGTGGAACAAGACTCTTGACCAGAACGACCATATTGGCATCAACCATGAGATTTTCGAGGTGGATCGGAAGCACTGGGAGGCCATCTACGTCAACTTCCAACCCACCCTCCTCGGGGCCACGACGTACCTGCGTAAGGGCGACAAGATGATCGGTGGCACTGTCAATGACCAGTGGATTTCGCCACTGATAGATGCAAGAAGGGGCAAGCTGAGGAGCAGTGCAGGCAGGCTGGGCCGAGACCTAGGCCAACTATATGACAAGTACCAGCTGGCACCTGGTGCTACGCGGGAGGAGGCATGATTGACATGTCACGAAGAGCATGAATGACTAGCGAAAGGTTGTGGCGTACCATCAGGTTTCTTCATTCTATATATCAAAGCCAGTTAACGTGTACTATACCAGCAATGTGATCCGCAAGAAAAGGAGCTGTTCACTCGCTCGATCTTCCTAAACTGAATCTATATTACTGCCTGGAGAACGTCGGTCATGGTATACCACTTGCCGGTGCACTCCTGTCCTCTCCACCGCTGCTGCTTTGTGCCGGAGCCGTTTGCCTGTACCCTGACTCGTTGTTTCTATCCTGCTCTAAAAATCTCGCTGTACATTCCCCGGGCCGGCCTTGCTCTTCAAGTTTCCTGACCACCTTCTAGGATCCTAACGCTGTTTATCCGAAGTAGAACCCGTCGCATCTTTGGTGGTGCTAATCCCACCTTTGTGCTAAGGAATTAACCCACCAGTTGACCAACAGCGGGGTCACCTGCCTCCTATATGCGGACAGATTGAGCGACAAAAGTATCAAGGCAGCTATGTTAATGCACGGACTTCAAGTTGATCCCGATCCCGACACCCATTTCATGACGCTAGGGTCGCTAAGCACCCCCACAAAGGCTTATGCAGACGTCGATGCGTCTTAACACATCTTGTACACCGTCCATATGGCGTATAACCGCGCAAAGTATTAGTAGACCTAGTATAGTCTCACGATTCCACAAACCTCGATTGATATAGACAGGTCCTCTATGAAAGCACACGCTACTCGACTACGGAATGCCTCAGGGCACCCATCTGGGCACCCAATTCTGCGACACCAACCTCGGCAATTGCCTTTGCATCCCTCAGTGCTGGGCGAGCCACCCGGCCACGCCTTTCGAATAGCCGCTACTCGACCATGCACCCATCGAAACGTGCGTGGCTAGCGAGCCAGGTGCGACGTAAGTCGAGCCCGTACAGATTCTCTTCCTGGGAGACAGTTTACTGTCCCTCTGACATGAGCTGAACGGATGTTTGAATACATCTTCAAACTTGAGCCCGAACATATCGAGCGTGAAATTTAAATACACAGCCAACTATATTACTTTGCTTTCATTGAATGCCTCCTCCCCAAATCGCTCCACCGCCGCTGCGCTATCTTGTCCCAGCCGGTCACCTAGTAATGGGCATGGCCATGACCCATATGCCGCTTACGGTATCTGTCCATGTGCATCTTTGCTGCGGACTGGCTTCCATCCAACCCTAAGGACTCGTACAATGTCCGTCTCTTCAGACCGGACTGACCCGTCAACTTGTCGCCATATGGATTAGCCGCCTCATAAGCTTGCAAGGAGGAGCATTCGTCCTTATAGCTCGGCTTGTTGACGTAACCAGCAGCGTCAATATCCTGTGGACGCTCAATGAATTGGAGAGCGAGACCACCATCTAGATGCCAGGTGATGTGACAGTGCATCAGCCAGGTACCTGGATTGTCGGTCTCAAACCCAATGACCGTCCAGCCAACCGGTTGACCAGGACCCGGGGAACCTTGGAGCATAACGGTGTCACGCCGTGTGGGGTTGTCAAATTTCAACGAGGCGATGTCTGCCGAGCTGAATGTGCCCAATCCAGTACCGAGGACAGACACATCATGACCGTGAACATGCATGGGATGCGACACAAAAAATTGGTTTTGTATGACAAAGTATACCCACTGATTGGCTTGGTTGAGAATGACGGGGTTGCTAAGGAGGGTGTTGGATCCGCCTGTGGCCAGAGTTTCGAGGGTGGGTTGGCTATAGTTCACATTGATGGCGGCGTTGTTCAGGAACCAGTTAAAGACAGTTCCATCGTCGTTGGTGGCCACCGAGGTGAGAGAACCAGCCGGGACGGTGGATGCGGACGACTGGAAAGAAGTCGAGGTGCCGGCAGGCTTTTGAAGATATGGCACCAAAGACTCCAGAGGCTCGTCTTGGCAGATGTTGGCAGTGTCACTGGTGATCGGAGTCTGGGAGACTGGAGTGGCAGTTGAATTGGAACCCTCATAGGCGATGATGGCATTGGCAAGTCCCAGACCTGAGTTGGCACCGCCCGAAGGGCACTGGGTCTGGATAACTGCACGGACGAAGTAAGCGCTGGGAGTCTGGTCCATCTCCACGACCACGTCGTATCGCTGACCGTTGGCGATGTTTAGGGTCTGGGTCTTGTACGGCACAATGGGGACAAAGTCAGCAGCAATCACTGTCATGGTGTGCTTGTCGAACCCCACAATGTAGCTGTTCTGGGAGGAACTACGCAGCTCAGGTCAGCCGGGGGTCACGCCAGCAGTATCGGCACACCCCTTACCTGTTGATGATGCGGAACAAGTGCTTGCGGCAAGGCTTGACGCTCCACTGGAAGGACTCGCCAGCCTGTCCATCCGGATTCTTATTCTTGCCATTGAAGAGGGTGTTGAAGGAGCCACCTGGTCCGAAGTGGGCAATCCGCGCAGCTGCGGCGGCAGCAGGGATGCCGAATCTGTTGGACATTAGCCCCATAGGTGCGAGTCTGGGGCTTCAAAAGTACTTACGTATCATCAATCATCACTGTGCCCATATCGTAGTCATAATCGGTAGTAGCAGGTCCGTGGATGACAATAGGGCCGCGAATACCATCACCATACTGAGCGAACGAGTGACTGTGATACCAGCTCGTTCCATAAGAGCTTGCATGCCATCTATAAGTGCGAGAGCCGCCGTTTCCGGCAATGGCGCATTCAGTTACACCGGGAACACCATCCTGATCATTCGTGCCCAGTTGCCGAATCCCGTGGAAGTGGATGGAGGTGCTGTTATCTTGCAGTTTGTTGATCACCGTGACTTCCACTGTGTCACCCCAATTGGCCTCGATGACAGGTCCGGGAACCTGGCCGTTGATGGCTAGAGCAAGCTGCGGACCAGTACCGTCAAAGACCAACGTGGTATTGGTAATCTCGAAGGTGTACTTGCGCACGACATTTGTGGAATAGTCGGCCTTGTAGTAATCAGTCTTGAGATCCTTGCCATGGCACCACCTGGATCGATCAGACGCTGAGTTGCAGAAGTCGGTGAGGTTGGCAACTGGTGTATAAGATGGGCATGAGCCTGACGTCGTAGCTGAAGTCGAAGTGGTCGACAACCCGGTTGTGGAAGACCCTGTGATGGAGCTGGTGCTTCCAGTACTGGTGCCGTTCGAGAATATTCCGCTGCTGTGAGAGCCAGGGCCACTTGAAGTAGCGGACGTGGTGACAGTGGTTGGGGTACTTGAACTCGCCCCTGTGGTCGGAGGAATGTTATTCCAGTCGTCCCATTGACCAGTGTACTTGGACTTCTGGGCATCCCACAACGATGCCCATGCTGCCTCGGCAACGTTGCTCACTGTGCTACTCCCACTGACATCGGTGGGTAGCCCGCATGTGTAGGCAGAAGTCAGCGGGCAGACAGTATGCGTTCTGGTGGCGGTGACTTTGACAGTGACATCCGTGGACGTGGAGGAAGTCTTCGAGGCGTTGACGAGGCCGACGGCGGCAGTAGCGAGGAAGAGAGGAAAGGAGCGCATGGTGAACGAATGGACGCAAGCTTAGCAGCCTGCACAAAAGGAGTGACTTGGAAAATCAGTAGGGCGTAGTGAGAGAGAGGAAAGAATCCAAAACCGGGCAAAGGCCAGTATATCAGTTCATCTCACATTTGTCCGTTCAAGGCGTCACGGTTTCCGCTCGGCTGTACATGATTAGCCAGCCTGATGGAGACCGACGGATGCCGGGCAATGGCATCGTGTCATAGTTGATGGAATCCTGGGGACCACTGTCTCAGTTTAGCACAGTGGATAGCTAGCATTGGCTTGTTCCTGGCTAGAATCGGCGCGAGTGGTAGGTTCGAATCTCCTCAATATATGCCTTCAGCCGCGTGGTAATCATCGAACACGAGCTTTTGGTATCAGCCACCTCCATGATGCCCATTATAGCAGGGCAGTGTCGAACTGTAACGGAGCCGGAGGCGGCTCATTGCTGAATGTAGATGGTGATGACTTAGTGGCGCGCATAAGCATTGCTAAGATCGCGCCGGTGGAAATTGGACTGCTGTTAGCCTTGAGCCTCTTGTCAGGGGCGTTGCATCCGCCAATTCGGACACGGGCGAGGGAACGAATAGGAGGATGACCCGGGGTGAAAATCTGAGAGTCGAAACAGGAGGATACCCCGGGGGATTCAGCGATTCAGCTACGCGACAGGATGCAGGAGTCGTGGGGCGGAGGCCAGGCTGGTTGGGAGCGTGGGTGAACATGCTCCCTGGACACACAGGGATAGGAAACGCAGCCTCTCGCAAGGCATTGTTTGAGTCAAGCCTGGTAGGTGAAGAAGGAAAGTAGACTAATAGAGGATGTACGGAGAATCCGTATGCACTCATGGATTCAAGGACGGAAGATGAAGATCGATTCGACATCTGCCGGTATCCGGTTGTTCTTATTGAGCGCAGGCGCAGGGAGACAGGTCAATAGGTAATGAGGAGGGTTTCGTCATGTTTGTTGCAACTTCACGATCTCGACAGCTGCCACCGCGGAACCTCTGTGATATGTGAGCGTTTTCATCCGTGCACGGTGAATGTCGCTGTTCTGTGCGGCCCGCTTCCTCGGGATGGCATTTGACATTGAACGTGCTTGAAGTCAACTTGAACATCATCCATCCAAAGCCCGCGCTCGCGGCCCTCGCCCTCGCCCTCGACGGTTACTTCTCAGAGCGGCGCTGCCCGCTTGAGTGCTCTTTTACGACTCAATCGACGCAGAGACAGAGAACGGGTAATAATTACTCGTACTGCGTACACTATTCTATTTCACCTCCTCGTACCGAACACACCGCACATGACACTGTTGCACAAATTCCACGAGAGATGCAGCCACAACACTCTGCTTACCGTATCCATCGAGGCCCTCCTGCGACCTCTTCGCTACCATGTCGTCCTTATTTCTTTTGGTTCGGCTGTTAGCCTGTGATATGATGTCGGTTTCCTCTACGGAGGACTCCGTAACAAGAGCAGGATCTTGGAGAACCCGAGAAGCTTCTGTACGACAACCAAGTCCGGTCACTCGTGGTGACCACCCTTAGGTCACCAATTCACAAATCTAGGCCCTAAGCCTCCTTGATCTAAATGTTTCCACTTTTCTCAGCGATGTCCCTGCGGGGGTACAGGAACAAGCCTCGACAAGCATGCCTAGGCTCCTGAGGCTGGGGACCGGACCATCAACGCCTGCCCAATCTCAACATTTGGCGCAAAATACGGAGTATATACCCGTGTCGACGGTCCATCGCCCATTGTTAGTGGAACACGCTTGATTCGCCTCGAAGACGCGGGACAGTGCCTCGCTTGAAACTAGCTGGCGGATTGCTTTCATCTCCACAATGCTGACATTGTAAGATACATACGGAGTACGGATACACAATTCTCAACCCCCTGACAGACCACCTAAAGAAACTTCTCTCGACCCAGCCGGGTCTCAGGCCCCTTTCTATTGTCGCGGGAATGTCAAGTTTCAGCTTGGCACATACATAATTTAAGTTGTGAGATTGAAATGATCTAATTAGAGCGTCACCGTCTAGATTCTACAAACTGAAGGGCAAATCTTTGATCAGCTTGGCAGCTATTCCGTCGAGATTATTGACCGCTCAGGTTTCTCAAACTTCGCCAATTCCCGCGACGGGTGCTGGTGATTGAAAACCCAAATGGCACACGGTTCATATAGGGGTGTTTTCTAGTCACTTATTCTGCTTCTGTTGGTTGACTCTTGTCTGCAGGTGATGGTAGAAACGCTGAAGTCGATTCTACCCAACACTATACTTTGGTCTATTGACCAATTGGTTGAAAATGCTGTAGATGCAATATATCACGCCTACAACAACCAGGTTCGAAGATCCAACCCCTTCCGAGAACAATGGATTCCAGATTGTACACAACCCCCTCAGATATTCCCAAAGGCCGACCACTTTTACCCAGCGCACCCAAGAATGCGGAACTGTAGCGAGGGAAATACCATTGAATGCTTCGTCATGTTGTTTGCGGTCAAAGCAGCGTTGGGTGTCTGGGTGTCGGTACGAAAAAAGAAAGATATCCCGATGCTTTGCAATGGCGCCAAACAGCCGCACTTATATTGTCCGCTGTTGAGAGCGAGAGAGATATCTTGGGTCATCCGAACGAGCAGTCAAGGCAAGCTTGCTCTTGATTGAGCAATCAGGGGGCCGGAAGAACAGAGTAGCAGCCTCAACAATAGCGCGGCGGTACGTGTTGGAGTCAAGTAGTTCCTATTGATACCATTACCAGTGAGACTGATGGATCATTTCCCGGTACTCCGTACTTCGCTTGGATTCTTATCCCTGTCTTCAAAGCCCCTTAGTTGTGGCGTTGGCCTTTCTTGAGTGGAATAGCCAGCGACAAAGGTCGTAATATTATCGATTATAACACCTCCGCGGATTATAACACCTCCGCGGAGGTGTTCTGGTGTAAGACAGTTGCTCATCCAGTTAGGTAGTACGGTCCCCTCACCCCTGAAAGCCGCAAACTGGCATGCTAGGGTCAGACGGCGAGACTCACAATGTCTCCAACAAGAGACCATAAAGAGTTGAGGCATCCAGTCGCAATCGAACAGACTGCCTGCAACCCGGCCAGGGTCTTCAAATATCCTACGGTATTGGCCGTCGACCCAAGCCTCGACCAACAACTCCAGCTGTTCGTTACCGATCGAAATCCATCTTCTCCAGTATGAGTTTCACCTCGTTTCCTTTCCCCGAACCACCGTCCATTTCCGCAATCAAGATCGAGGCTTTCTGTTTCAGTTCCTGGATGACCTTCCTCGTGTAATCAAAACTGCCGGTACCTTCCATGTACTGGACGGCATATTTTTTGACCTCCACGTCACTGGGTTTCTGCTTGAGGATGTTGATGAGCTGTAGGTTTGACGGGTTACTCCTGATCGAGTGGATAACTGGGAAAGAGAATTTGCCTTCCGTCAAATCCTCGCATAGGCCCTTGTTCTTGGTGTAGACGCTGGAAGAGAGGTTGAGGTAGTCGTCGCATATTTGGAACACCAGACCCATCAAGTTGACCAGAGGCACACAGTCTATTCGGCCTTTCTCGGGCGATTCGGCCTGCATCAGCTTAACGGCTAGACGAAACAAGCCACCTGTTTTGTTCTGCACCATCTCGAGGTAGTCATCCTCCGTGGGACACGTCAGAGTATCGCGCCAGTAGAGATCCATCCCTTGACCGCGGTGGAGGTTGAGCATCTCGCTAGTAAAGATCTCAATGGCGTCTTCCTTGTTCTCCAGATGTTGAAGTTCCTGCAGGGCGAGGAAGTAGACGTAGTTGGCGCTGTTGATAGTCTGGGCAGTGCCAAAGATGTTGTGCGCCACGGGAATGCCTCTTCGCAGAATGCTGCTGTCTTGCACGTCGTCAATCAAAAGCGACGACGTGTGCAGCATGCCGACCACTTTTCGGATAACCTCCAGAGACCCGGGTGGTACATGAAGGAAGGCATTGAAGGCATTAATCAGCGCGGACCTGATATCCTTGCCAGGATGTGAAAACAGATAGTCGTAAGGTCCTAGGATGATTTTCTCTTTCTGATCAGTTGATTCTCCCATTGTCCTGCGAGATATGAAGTTTTCTGACGCGGATGCCTTCTTGGAATGCCTGCGCCGCGGGCTGTTTGTGTGATCGGCCAAAGCTAGAGGCGGGCCCAGCGCAGGCGGCAGCGAGTGGTGCTTGGACGAAATCCACGTGTCCTCCGGGAGAGGTTTGAGGACGGATTTGGACGGCTGATGCTGGACGCCATTGGAGACACCAGCAGAGCTGTAGCGGACAGGAATTGCGTTGGGGGAGGTAGGGTTTTCGGCGACGGTCGACATGCGTGGGGAGTCTAACGGGGTCAGGTGAAAAAGGGCATCTGAAAGCCTAAGCTGGACGTTTGGGGGGCTGTCAGTCGGTGGTGGTATGGGTAGAAGAGGGTAGAATTGGTACACACGCGCGATGCAGGATGGCGAAGAGATGAAGCTGGGATCGGGATGGAAATTGAGTCTTTAGGATTGCTGGGTGTAGTTTAGGCATCAACGCGATACGAGGACGATAGCCGCCGAAAATGGAGGCCGTCATGTGGTTGTATGTATGACGAAACCACGAGGCTTCATTCAAGTGGCACTAAGCCTGGGCACTAATCTCGGCCGCTCGGGGCACTGCTGGGGAGAGCCTAAGGGCTAAGAGGCTGACTGAGAGCTAAGGGGGGATTTCAGTCGTGCCTAAATAACCCCGACACCCTAACTACGGAGCTTGCTGTCAGGCAGAAAGTCATGGGGCGTCATGACCTAACCCCCCATGTTTAGATCTAACCTGTTGCGGCCTTGACAACCATCCCACAACTTCTCTTTCGTCGAACTTCAGTCTTTCACGATTACAGTCGCCTTTCTAAACACGTGAATTGTCCTTCGCACTGGAGTCCGGCATGGAGACCCTCCTCTCGCACTCCTTTGACTACCTTTCCTCAGCCTCGCCTCAAAAGATCCGCAAAGGACTACGACAAGTCGAGGGACTGCTTGCGCAACTATGCCTCTTGAAAGCGTCACCCGTTGACAGACGACAATCGATGATGCTTCTCGGATCATCTCCACCGCAGTTGGGCAAACGATTGTGTGAATTGCCTGAGGATCCAGCTTTCCGGGAGTTTTTCAAGTTGCAACAGAGTTTCCAGTGGAATATTGCCATGAGACTGGTTGCTTGTCTGGAGAGGCTCTTGGGCAAGGAAAGCAATGGTACAAACGATCTGCTGGTCACCCAAACATTGGATCTCATCCAGGGCATCCTCTTGCTCCACCCTCCATCTCGAGCGCTTTTCGGCCAGGAGATCTACATGAACGTACGTGCTTCAGCTCCCAGCTTGGTCATGCTAAACAGAGCATCTAATGCACTCCAGCTGTTCCTTGACCTCCTAGACCCGTCGAACTGCCCCGCCATCCAGTCTTCTACCATCATGGCTCTTGTCACTTCCCTGCTCGATCAACCACAAAATACGCGAACCTTTGAAACCATCGACGGCCTTTTGGTCGTAACCTCCCTTTTCAAATCCCGCAGCACGTCGCGCGAAGTTAAACTGAAACTCGTCGAATTTTTATATTTCTACCTGATGCCAGAGACGTCTGCCTCCAAGATTTCCACATCAACATCTGCCAGCAATACCGCCATCCTGGGTGGGCGGGGGAAAGAACTGATCGCTGCATTTGACAGGCGGCGAGAGACGGTCAACGGCGCTGACGGAGCCAGCACTGCGAGTGGAGATACAAGGACAACTGAAGAAAAGCAAAAACTACTTGGGAAATACCTGACCAATGTGCAGGATCTGGTGGAGGACTTGAGGGAAGGCGGCGGCGTCTTTGGTTCGGGCGGCATGTAATGAAATGAATTTGCAGATCTGTTAATGGTTCAAGATACCCAGTCAATTGGCAAGAAAGAGCATTTTACGCACGTCCTTGTACACCAACATAAGCTTCGAGCGAGGGAAGGGAACCCCTGACTTTCTTCACGACAGATTCTTGTGCTTGCCATAGCGACGATAAGTGGAAGGACTGCAGAGTTGCCGGCTTGTTTTAATGTGGCCCAGTCGTGGTTCAATCCGCTCGAGTGAATCGGTCCAAATGCGCTGGTAGATATTCGTTACACGTTACGTTCCCTGCAACTCCTGTCGTCTTCCTGTGTAGGCGTCTGTTCAGATGTTAGAAGCTAGAGCAGAAGCACGGCCTTGGGATACGGATACGTAAAGGACTTATTAATGCGCAAGCTTTACCGCACTGGATGATGTGCATTACGGTCGCCTGCTGCTACAATGCTGAAAGTCCGGACCCGGGTGTGACTCATCCATCTGTCTAAGAGGTATACAGGAGATTGGCAGCCTCATACTGCAAGCTTCGAGGTTGACTCATGGTGAATCTGTTAGCACAAACATCGCAGACTTAGTCCACGGTTTGAACAACGACATCATCATCCTCGAGTGTCGCGTCCTACCTATCCCAGGAATTCGTCCCCAATACCTCAGTCTCTGGGCTCCAGATGGCCATCCCACAATCCACGGATCCATCCATTAGGTATCTATCCACGACTCAAGCCTATGACCTATGGGCTGCCATCTACGACACCGATGGCAATTTCCTCCAAGCACTTGACACCATTGAGATGAGAGCACTGGTACCACGCATGCTTACTCTACTGGAGACCTCACAACTGCCCCGACCTTGGAAGTTGGTCGATCTTGGATGCGGTACTGGCCGTAATACAGCTGCGCTGCTGGACATCGAAGGAGCCTCGGTTGTAGGGCTTGATGCTAGCCCAGGTATGCTGCAGGTTGCCAGACATCGCCTGGAGAAATTATCTGGCGAGAGTGGACAATTGAAGCTGGAAGTGTTTGATATGCTGCATCAACCCGATCCGCCGGACTCTGCGAGGGGTGCCGACGCTGTGGTTTCGACACTGGTCCTGGAACACATCCCAGCGGATATCTTCTTCCATCATGTCGGTCAAATTCTCAACCCAGGTGCGCTTCTACTGTTGACAAACATGCATCCGGAAATGGGTAGCCTTAGTCAGGCTGGATTCACCGACACAAAGACCGGTGAAAAGATCCGTCCGATTAGTTTTGCTCACACACTAGCCCAAGTCGAAGCGGCAGCTACCAAGAATGGCCTAGAAGTTATCGGACAGCTAGAAGAGAAGGCTGTAGACGAATCAATGGTATCAATGCTCGGCGACCGGTCTTCGAAATGGATTGGTGTGACCGTATGGTTCGGAGGCATTTTTCGAAAGAAGAGTTGAGTAGGGGAGGGCCCTTACGACGTTCAAGCCAACGGCTCTGGCCTTGTTGGGACGTTTGCTCAGGCGGAGAAGAATCCACTCATCAATCGGGCTCTGTGTCGGACGAGATTTCCATGAGCCTGTAGTGCAAACTTCAGTGTTGGCTGTTTCCACCCAAGGTTTTCATCGAGGATTATTTGTGTGTATGCGAACAGGCTGGCATCGAAAAGACCAGGTGTAGTTTGACCAAAGAAGAACTTGTTGTCTCCCAAAAGGGTCGATAACGCCTGAAACGCTGCTTCAGCGTTCCTGTATAATTCTTGTCCATCAATCACCGTGTTTGTCTTTAACAGCTCCTCTCGCGCGGCGTGACGAAGTTGATGTGCAAGGCTGGCCCGTATGGCGTACGAGGTCGAGGTAGTGGCAACATACAGGGGCCATGCGACCGCCTGGAAATTGTCTTCATCCAAGTACAAATAGTATAACCATGCACTTCGAATGACATGATCAATCAAGGCAGTGTAGGCATCTTGTCGAATCTGCACAGCCTCCTCCTTTCCGCCCTGTGATACCACCCACCGCGCTATTCGATTGGCAGGAACGGGGACCACTGGCTTTCGAGGGTCTTGGGAGGCAGGCAGCAAGAACGGTAAAGCTCCCGTGGGAGAGGCATGATTGTTGGAAGTTCGAGTTCGAAGGGGGATTCCGTGGAATTTCAGGTAAGCCTGCCACTTCAGACATGAAGGATTGAACGACGGTCCATCTCGGCTCTGCGGTCCCTGCTTTTGGAATATGTACAAGACGTTCTCATTCTGATGCCGAGGAGCTCGCTGAGGGAGCTCGTTCTCAGGATAAGTGACGAGAGGGAATCGATCGAAGATGTGTCTGATAGGTTGGGGCAACGACCACCAGGACCTGGTCAAGGTCTCCTGGGCCTTGGTTTTGTTAGGATTTCGCGTCGTTTTCAGACTGTCGGTATCGTCGGTGCCGCAGTCGTTGTCGTTCATATCCACCCCCATTGATTCTGGGAGTCGATGGATGACACGGGATGGACGTCAACAAGCGCAGTAATAAAAGGTTCGTGGCCTTCACTTGGGGCATGGGAGGGTGGTGGTAGGCGGCCTGGAGGACGCTTCTTCGTAGCCCAGTCTGGCTCCGTCTTACGTTCGCCGAACAAGAATTATTGTGACTGCGCCTCGAGGCTTTAGCAGACTTTAGCAGACATCAGCGGCTCCTTTCGCTCTCTCCTGACTACTATTCCAAAAACTTCACGGTCCTTTCTACAGCCAGCTATACCTGCAACTCTAATCTGGCCACTATTCATTTCACTCGTTTGTTTGACGCAGACACGGCCCTGAGATCTCCAGTCCGTAACACAACCTTCACCCCTCACAGACACGCGCCTGGAGTCACGTTCAAAGATTGAGTTGCGAGCCATTCCGTCTCTCTGCAAACCCTTCTTATACGTTTTCCGCCCTGCGGTCACACGGTCGGCTAGTCTACGAGATACTGCATATCTAGCTCTGTCGTCCTGGTCACTTCACCGAGGTACCGACGCCATTCGAAGACCATGCACGATCGACCGAGCGACATGGTCACCAGTCCTCCCAAAACCATACGAGTCGAGGATGGGAAGATTCGAAAGATCAAGTCGGTAAACAAGAGTGATTCCACAGCGATCCAGCACTTCAACGGAAAGACGTATGCTTGTGAATCATGCAAGAGGGGCCATCGAGTGCAGAAATGTGACCATGGAAAAACAAGACCAATATCCGAGACCAACCAGCCAGGTCGACCTTCCGGGGGTCAGAAGAGAGGGTGTCACTGTCCAAGGAACTGTGCCTGCACTACGAAGACATGCAAATGCAAAAGAGACTGTGCCTGTACTCAGGAAATGTATATCATCGTGCGAGTGGATGGCCCTCAGACGATAAATCGCGAGGCAACGTCATCACCACGACCTGTATGGGAAGACGACAACGGGAACACCATGACACTGAAAAAGGTGTGGGCAGACGCGAATGGCAGAGAGATCGATGCCGAAGAGTATCAGGCACGTCAACGCCGCAAGAAGGAACGAGAAGAGGGAATCACCCCAAGCCCGGAAGTGGCCAAATCGGGCTGTTGCGGGACCCCAAATCCCACCGTACGATCCGAGTCGATATCGAATGGAGCCCTAGGAGGTTGTCGACACAGACAGAATGTCACTATTAAACAGCCTCAAGCAGACAACCGGACCGAAGACCCTGCACACATCACTACCAGCATTCCAGACGACTCCTGGGTCGCCGCCTGCTCTTGTGGCTCGGCTTGTTCTTGTCTGTATTGTCCCGATCATCCTAACAACGAGACCTCGATCAAGCATACCCAACAACAGGTCAAGAATCTTGCGGAACAGGCCTCGATGGGCGAAGGTCTAATGTCTGCCTCTTTCATGCCGGAAAACACGACACGGTCATGTATGGGAGGGCGTCCGTCATTTTTCTTTTCAAGGACACCCGGAGTCTCGCAGCGGCAACTGGAACAGTTCTTCTCCCAAAGTCCAGACCCCGATGCAATCTACCTGGCTTATCCCATTCAACAACACTCATGGACGAACCAGCCCGTCAGTGCACAATGCTCTCACATTCACTCGCCTGCTGGATATGTAGCGCCCACACCAGATACGGCGGAGAGACACATCGACCCCGTTAATGACATGCCCGCTCTACCTACTCCATGGGATCTGCTACCTAACGATTCCACGGGTACGTGGAACTTTTCAGATGGTCAGATGGGGAACACGTCCTTCAGCTGGATTGACCTTGATGCTTCCCGAGGCACCGATTATAATATTGGTCAAGCCAGGGTTTCTTCAATGGCAAACTGGAGCAATCTCATGATGTCGTCTGCTTCACCAAATCAACAGGCGCCGACTGTCGATCTGAACCTTGATTCAGTGGCCAGTCCAGCCAACTTGGACTGCCTTCCGACCCTGGACGCGAACGACTTTGGTACCTCGTGCTGCCAATATGACCCAGACAACGAGTATGTCAATTTTGATGTTCGTCCTGCAGGAGATTCCTCGATCGAAAACGTTCAAGCACAAAGCCAGACCATCACGCCAATGTTTCCACAGGACAAATCATACGGCGAGCTGGCGCTGAACAGGCTTGGTAATGTAGAACTTCAGTCTCTGTTAGAGCCCCAACCGCATGTACCGCATGTATTACACCAAGCTGGAATATCACATCAGATTGCTACCGGCCCCATGAGCAACATGGACGGAAATCTGGCGCCTTGGAACGGATACGACCCGCTGATGAATGACCAGGCAATGCCCCAGTTCATAGGCATATCGGGGCCAAACTCTCCGCCCATTCCCAACGGTGTATGACGATGAGAAGCTCCAAGGTTTGGGAAGGGATAGAGGGTGATGACATAACGAGTCAACGATTGAACAGAGGCGTCATGCCTGCTGGCAATGACAGGGGTACGACGATCATGCTGTTAACTAAAATGACTCTTGGAAAACCATTATGTGCTATGTCCTGGTTTATGAAGACCAGAAACGGAGTAAATAAGACTTCGACGATGTTGTGGCTGGGAAACGACACAAGTCTCACCAAGATGGCTTCAGGCAAGGGAATCAGTACTTTGGGCCCGACTTCCTTCCAACATGGTGCTTTTGTGTAGAGCAGAGCTTTACACTGCTTGATATACTGGAGGACAATAGAAATGGTCACAGAAGAGCAAGGCTTTCACATATCGTGGGCGCCACATCAACTCCCTGCATACCCTGATCCGGAACCAGAAAGCCGACTTGCATTGTTCAACATTGCAGTGGGAGATGGTTTCTTCTGTTTTTCCAGCACTTATGAGCTGCTTTGCTACTTGATCTCCATCTCATTACGGTCAGCGCCATCGCCAGACCTACCCAGCCTGCCAGCACAAATAGCACGACTACTATACCCGACCTACTAGCGAGCAACAGGGTCGGTGTCAACTTGGCCGAATCCACTATCGACCCTTCCAACCCGAGCCTTGACAGAGATTACATTGACGAATTCGACACCGTCAACAAGCATGACACCGTTTTCGTCTACATTCACCGCTCCTTTGTGCAATTTTGTCTTGGAGAAGGAGAAACTCCTGGCACGCTTGTGTGTCTGAGGCTGTGCATGGGGTTTTGGCTGTACCTTTTCAGGACAGTCAGATCGCAATGTTGAGCGCGAACTGAGCCTAGGGCAAGAGCTGCAAGCCTGGGCCAGGTCAGATTGAGAAGCTGGCCTCGACTCTGGCCGAGTTCGTGAGCCAGCCAGCGATGTCCTACCACGTCGAAAGATGCCGCCCCCAGACCTTTGCGTCGCTGATCTTGCCGGCCTGGTCGATACTGATCTGGTACGCACCAGCACCCCTACACGATCGACGATGCTGGCCGTGAAGCTCTTTCGAGATCTCGGCTCGTCTTCCTCCTCGATAGGACTCGAGGGACGGGCTGGCGGCTGTGTTCCGGCTGTTAGGAAACTTGAAGCTCGCATTTCCGATTGCGGAGCGGCTCTTGCGCTGGGGACCACTGTCGGCAATTCTGCCCGGCACGAGCCTGAACTTTTACACCGTGAGCCTGTCCTGCCAAGCCGCCTGGGCTGCAGACCATGTGAAGCCTGGTTGAGGAGGACTTGCTCGCGGAATCTTGGTATGTCGGGGCCTGGACAGGAGCCGCGACAATTACTAGAATAGCCCTGTTTCCGGTCGACAAGGATCGAGTGTGGCAGAGGGTTCGCTCGCGCATTTCCCTGGCCTGAAGACGTGGAAGAGCAGGTGTGGTACTGCAGGTCGACGGGCTCGGTATGATCGCGTGAGTTGAGCATTCGGTGGCACCAGTGCACTTCCCATCCTGGTGGCGCCGAGCCTGCTCGCGTGGATGAAGCTGCTCGTCTGGCCGAGCTCGCGCCGTGGTCATGTCGCACAAACAGAAACTCTCCCCCGTTGACGTCCCAGTCACCACCGCCCATAGCATCGCCGCTCCCAACTCGTTTGACGACTTGCCAGGCGGATTTGACAGCGCCGCGAACCAAAGAATGCTGGATGTACCCTGGTGTTTTGGGGCCGAGTGACAGAGTACGGTGCATGCCTAGGATGCTGTATAAGCGAGTGGACGGGTCGGCGTACACGGGGTAGGGACATTGGGTGAGCTCGGCGTAAGATGGGATCAGAGAGGGCAGGCCAGGGCCGATGAGGATGACGGCTGGGGGCGAGCCCGTGACAGCTTCAGATAGGCTTGCCGTTGAATGGGTGTCGGTGACGTTGACACGCTTCCGTGATGGATGGAATGGCGACTCGGGGGACGACAGTCGACGAACATATTCTTGACAATTGCCACAGAAGAAATGGCGGATGAAAATAACGAGGACTTGTCGTTCCGCTGGACGAGAGTCGTCACCGGCGCCGAAGAGGCTGCCAAACTGCACGCGACTTCCGTCCGAGGAGTAAACACCGTGGCCGAACGCTTCCTTGAGCATCGCTGGGTCGGGGATGGTTTCGACGGCCATGATTGCTTGATCTAGATGTGGTATTCGTCCTAAAGTTATATAGAATTGCAAATGTCCAGTACACAGAGGGGTCACCCACCAAAGTCGCTGGAGAAAGACAATGGCGGAATGAGAGACATGGCGTGCCTCGTAGCAGCAGGGGAACGCATTATAGACTCTAGAAGCTGACCGCAGAGGGTGATGGCGGTCTCGTTGTTGGGTCTGCTGGACCCGACCAGACTGCGACTGTTGATGTCGGAGCACCATGGTCCGAAACACAGCCCAGGCTGTATAGGATCCAGTGAGACAGTCGTGACTCAGGCTCAGGCTCCCTAGCAGCGAGAAGGGTGTGCGGAGGTGTCATCGCAAGGGGCCAGACGTGTGTCAGGGATCCTGTCTCGGTGGACTAGGAGTACTCCGTAATGGTTGGTGTTTCAGATGCTGAACCACCACCTCCCGTCTCTCCCCTCCTGTGTCGCGGATGGGAAGAGAGAGCATTGTCCTTGCCGCCATATAGGTAGCTAATAGTCGACTTCCCTGACAGATTTGGGGCCGTAGACATTGTTCTTGTACGCAGATAAAAAGATATTCAGTTATAAACGAGTGTGTGTGTTCAATCAACGCAATCCGCACTATCAGTCTCTCAGCCTCCCCCCTTCTCAATTTCAATCTGGCGGCCCTTTCTTCTGCCATGTTTCCCATCTAGTCCCGTCCACGCGTCTTCTCCCTGTCCATCTAACCTCTTCCACTTCTCGTCCCGTAACAGATACAGTAGGCGAACGAGGTATCGTTCCATGCGGTTTCCCTGGCCACCTCACTGATGCTGTTGCTGTCGCGGTCACTAGGCCGTGGATGCCTGCCTGCCACTATTCTCTCCTCGTCATCCCTCACCTGCAGTCTGTCCGATCGGCAATCACCACAATTTGCATCATCCAGAAAACCCGGAGACGCAGTATCGTCAACTGAACTTGATCTGGTAATGCTGTTACAGTCGGTGTCGGGGTCGACAGGCTGCAGGATCTGGCCTCCTGTGCACTCGAAAGGATGTTGACAAGGCCTGCATGTTGGCCGTGCCCAGTATGATTTGGACTGATGACTGGATCGTAAGAGTGTGCTCCGTTGAGCCCTTCTATGTTCGTTCAACGTTGTCATCACCTCGTGCTCTGATCAATCGTACCCTCCGCCAACTTGGCTAGCGAATGCGGTAGAGATACTGCGCGTATCTTCGTCCTCGTGCAGGCCTTTTCCGAGTCGGTGGCTGCCAATGTAGCCCACTCCAGGCGCGCCGCCTTCAACGTACCTCTTCAATCGATCGGCTTGGTTGTAACTGGCCTGTTTGTTGGTGTCATGAATAGACAATTGGTCCAAGCTGACTCCGCCCTGTCCAATCACACTGCCAGTGATGTCTGACTCGGTCGCAACCGTCGACTCGCCGGCGACACTGCCCGTAACGGCTCTTGGCTTGATCCCATTTTGACGGCGGCTTTGTGCATTCTGGACAGAAGGCCATGTGTCTGGAGTGAATCCTTGAAACATGGGTGGATAGCCAGCCGGTACACCCACCCCACCCACGGCCGAAGAATGTATCGAAGACACGTCGTCAGGGATATACCCAACAACAGAACCGGCATCACGATATTCGTGGCGAAGACCCGTCGATCGTCCTCCATTGAGCATACCACTTGCCATATGACTGGCATGGTTGTAGGCCATTTGGTAGCGTTGAGGTCCGCGATAGGACTGCTTGGGGCGGCTGAATTGATGGAGAGAGATCTGCAGGTTGCTGAGCGGGCCTTCGACCAAACAGTTGCGCTCCTTGAAATGCAGCAACAGATAGTGCCACAGAGGATGCTTGGAAAGCACCTTGGGATTGCCCAGAATGACCAGGCCATACTTGGCTCGTGTCAGGGCCACGTTAAGACGACGAGGGTCGCTCAAGAAGCCGATGCCTTGATGGTCGTTGGATCGGACACAAGACAAAATGATGAAGTCTTTCTCTCGGCCTTGGAAAGCGTCGACCGATGCCACTTCGATTTCCTTGTACAATTCCTTCTTGAACGTGCCGTTGGCTTGCATGGAACTGACGATGAAGCTGCGCTGGCCCTCGTATGGCGTGATGACACCGATGTCCTGCGGGTGCACCCCGGCTTTGAAGAATCGTGTCACGATTTTCTCCACGTTCGTCGCCTCGGTGCGGTTGAGATACGACGTGCCAGATGCCGAGATCTCTTCATTGCCCAGATTGGACCAGAACATCATGGGCGAATCGGCGACCGGCCAGGGGAAGTCGACTTCGCGCCGCAGTCGCTGCTGCATGGTGACTCCATTCTGGAGGGATCCTTCGTAGAACATGTTCGAGGGGAATTCCGACAAGCAAGGGTGCATTCGATATTGGACATTCAGCCGGATTGGAGCACAACCGAGGATGACCAGCCTTTCGAACAAGGACTGATTGAGCCCGGCCTTCGCCGCCTTCTTGTTCATGATGACGGGGCCGAGCTGTTGATGGTCACCGACAAGAACAACCTGCTTGCAGCCCAGGACCAAGGGAATCATGCACTCGGGCTCCGCCGATTGAGTCGACTCGTCGATGAGGACCGTGCGGAACTTGAACTTGGCCAATCTTGGGTCTCCAGCACCGACACAGGTGCAGCAAATGACATCTGCATTGGTCAAAATCTCGCGCTCTGCCGCCCGCGTCAAGGACTTGTATTTCTTCTCGTCCTGGCTGGACAATTCTCCCAACTCCGATTTGAGCTGGTTGAGTTTGGCGAGTTCGACATTGCTGTCGTTCATTCGTACCTGCTCGTGAAGGGACAGGAAACTAACGGATGACTCGACATCTTCCCTTGATTTGGCGGTCACTCGAACGGTCTTCAGGCCGGTACGATGGATGCGTTCACACAACTGGTCCACCGCGACATTGGATGGCGCGCAAACCAACACTTGACCGCCATTGATCTTGGAGAGATGGTAGATGATGGTCGCGGATGTCACCGTCTTGCCGGTACCCGGAGGGCCCTGGATCAAACTCAACGGCTTCTGTAGGACAGACTTGACGGCATTGATCTGACTGCCATTGAGCTCGGGGAGTCCGGGCACGCTGAACTTCTTCGGCATCTGAGTCTTCATGGGCGCAGCTGCCACCTCATGTCCCAGGAGACGATGGAAGATGTAGCCAGAGACACTCATCTCGTCAATAGCAAAGGTCTTCATGGCCAGTTGCATCCGGTCGAACGACGTGGCTTTCCAGACGTAGTCGGCGGTGAAGTTGTGGGTACACTCGGTGGGCACCGACTTGTGGTCGCCTTTGGCGCGCAGCTCAATGGTCACCTCGTCAGATTGATTGTTGGGAATCTTGATCACATAGCCGACGCCTTCCCACACAGGCCGCAGGTCGCCAGTGTATTTCAGCCGCATCTCGTCGCCGACGGCGAGCTTGACATCGCCCAACTCAAGCTTGGGGAGGACAAAGCTTGCGAGGTGCTTGTTGTTCAACCCCAGATCCCATCGGACAATCAGGTTGTCTTGCGACTGGCTCTCCTTCAATTTGCGGTCGTAGTCGGCTTCGATCTTGACGAGGGGGCCAAAAACATTCTGATACTGATATGCATCGTCGTAGCGGAGAAGAACCGGTGCAGGATCGTCATCGATATTTGCGGCCTTCTCCAGATCTGTGATGGTGGCGGCCGAGTTTTCCTTCCATAATTCTTCTAGTTTTGCAATCATCTGCGGGCTCAGATGCCTGGCACGGAGTTGTTCCTGATCGCTCGGCTGCGCCACCAGCCAGGACAGGAAAGACCGGTCTTCAATGAGTGGCTGCCATCGTGACGTGTCCCAGTTCATGTCCTTGGACGACGGCATGGCGGCACATGGCTGTCGACAGAGGAGAACCACCACGGTGTCCGATTTCGCAGGGATGAAGCCTAACAAGAAGACATTTTTGGTCCCACAGTTGTAGCACTCTAGCACTGTATCGCCCAGTGAGCTGCTGGGATGTAGCTGAACTTCTTTGTGCCGTGCTCGGACCAAGTGGTTGACGATGTGGGAGGAGGACGTATTGCCGCGTGCGCTGCAAAACCATTTGCCGCAAGGAAGGCATCGGACAACACAACTTGGGTTATGAATGCCGCAGTATCTGAGATTTTGTCAGCGGAGAAAGGGGAGACCAGACCAGGCTTTCCAACTTACGCGCAGGCATGGGGCGGTAGTTCCTTGTCTTCTTCGGCCTTTGTGACTTGTTTCTTGCCATCCACTGCGGCACTGGCAAGGCTCTCCAGGTCGTCTTCTTCCACACTTTCAGACTCGTCGTCATCATGTTGTCGTCGCCTGGGACCTCTAGCCAGGCTCAGAACACTCTCATCCGGGTCGACAGTCGAAATGTCGTCGCTGGCGTTGATCGCGGCGGCCGAGTTGGAAACCAGGTGGTTGCCCATGTTGCTAAACGCCTCCATGTTGGCTGTCGGCAGAGGCGATCGGGCTTAGATTGCTGAGTTTGTGAACTCCGTAAGGGTTCCGAGCGTATTGGTGGTCTTGATAATGAGAGCCCCAAGGAAGGTCGGGTGGGAGCGCAGTTTGAAGAGGGTGGTCCAATCTTCCGGCGACGTCGAGACCATTTGTCTCACACCGACAACCACAGTTCCACGCCCCTCGGAAAGTCTCTCGATCCCAGCAGGCGTCGAGAAGGCGAGGTCGTACATGCGCCGGAGCTGGAGGGTTTGGCTGGAAGCGAATGAAGCGGAGGAGGGACAAAAGGGCAGGGAGGGAGTAAAGATTGACGAGGATGAGATGCTAGTGCGGCGAATTTCGACTCCACCAGGAACAATAATAACTAAAAAAATCCCAGAGACCAGACACTCACTCGTCGCCTCACCACCTTCTGCCCGCTCTGTCGTCCGCCCAACATGCTTCGGAGACAGGCGCGAGAGCGGCGAGACTACATTTATCGTCGCGCGCTTCAACTCAGAGATGCAAGCATTGCCGAAAAGCGTGCTCTGCTCAAGAAATCCCTGGCCACGGGCAAGCCTCTCGACCCCTCCGTTGCCAACGACAAATCTCTACGCAAAGACTTCAAGTACGACGAATCTCTCGATCCCGAGACCCTCGCCGCCCAAGAATCCATCGATGATGAGTACTCGATGCTCTCTGGTCTCTCGGATCCCAGACCACTTGTCACCACCTCTCGAAGCCCCTCGACCCGCCTGAGTACCTTTTCCAAAGAGATTCGACTACTCCTGCCCACCTCGATCCGATTGAATCGAGGCAATCTCATCCTGCCGAACCTACTGGCTAGTGCGAAAGCCGCCGCTCTGACCGACATCATCGTCCTCCACGAGCACCGAGGCACACCCACTGCCATGACAATCTCCCACCTGCCCCATGGTCCAACGGCCTCCTTCTCTCTCCACAATGTCGTCTTGAGAGCCGATATTCCTGATGCGGCGAGAGGCACGGTGTCGGAATCGTACCCGCATCTGATCTTCGAAGGCTTTACAACGCGACTGGGTAAGAGAGTGGTGCAGATTCTCAAACATCTCTTCCCGCCACGGGATGGTCCTCATAAGGTTGGAAATCGGGTGGTCACGTTCAAGAATGTCGAAGATAGCATCGAGGTCCGGCATCACGTCTTTGTGCAGACTGGCTATCGAGATGTTGAGTTGGCCGAAGTTGGACCTAGGATGACCATGAGATGCTTTGAACTAAAAGGAGGCACGTTGGAGAAAGATTCCGGAGGAGAGGTTGAATGGGCCTTGACACAATACACTCGAACGGGACGGAAGAAGAACTATCTATGAGAAGCATCCCTTGCTGCAAAGGTGCATGAGCGAGCACCGCTTGCAAGTCTTGTCGAGTTCCAACGATTCCTCCCGTCAGCCTCGCCTCCTCGATCTGACTGATCTCGAAACGTGGAAGTGTCGTCTCAGTGATGCCGCTGACCACGCACTGGTGTGGCCGTCGACCCAGTCCGTCTGTGACGGTCCCATTGCCGAATCTTCCGCCAAACTCAGAGAAGTATTTCGATTACCATCCTGCTGGAGGGGTCTTTGCCTTGGCGTCGATTGCTTCTGTCGCGGTGAGCTCGGTTGTGTTCATGACAACGGTCACGCTCGGTCGTCGTTCCCTCCCTTCAACTGATGGCGCAGGCTCAACAGGGTCGTCGTTCCCTCCCCAACTTGCCACCAGTGGTCCCCAAAAATCCCATCGCCGCTCGTTTGCGCCATCTTCACCACCGATCTTTCCGTCTTGGGCATCAGCCATCTGGAGACGTCTCTTTGCACTCTCGCGATCTTCCCAGTCCACTCCGACCCGTCTCTTGAAGAATTTGCGGAACATATCCCATGCGAAGTCAAATGTGCTGCCAGGTGGCGCGAGCATTTGTACGTGCCGTTGGCCTGGTCGCGTGTATATGAAGTAGCACGCGTATGATTTGAATCTCGGTTGCTTCGGCTTGGTGGGTGTGGAATCCTCTGTCGGAGTTTTGGCGACGGCCGGATCGTGTTCGAAAAGCTGCAATCCCTGAGCCCACGGATCGGGGATATGGACCCGCAATGCCGGATTGGATGGTTTGAGATATCGGGGAAGAGAACTTGCAACTGCTGGGTACCGGGAGTAGGGATATGGCTTGGGAAAATAACACAGAGGGACCGGGCAAGGTGGCAGGCTGGCTTTCAACAACCGCGGACCAAATTCTGCAAAAGCATCATCTCCACTGGAACCAGAGGACAAATACTGTGCACACCTGTCCGGAGACACGACATCGTCCGAGACCTTGCGTCGGCGATCTGGATTTTCAGGCAATATCGGGTAGAAGGTGTGGCGGTGGGAGGCAAAGTAAGGTGCGTAACGCACCTTGAGACGATGTTTCTCCAATTGATTCCTCAAGATGTCCTTTCTCACAAGGGTGACGAGGAATACGAACCCGTTACTGTCGATGAACGGGCGGTAGCCGGCTGTGATGGCAGGAGCATGTCAGCAGGCAGTACCCTTGGAACCTGGTAATCGTGGGTTCTGTGACTTACAGACAGCCATGTCCTTCTCGAACTCGGCACATGCAGCGTCAAACTCCTTGCCTGTGTATTGTGAGCGTCATCGACGCCGAATGATAATGATTGATCTTGTTCTTGGGAAAGCTGCGACATACCAGCGATTTCGATGCGTTCATCTTTGTTGAGGATCGACTTCTCCTGCTTCATTCCTGCCATATTCGCCTTGTTCTTTCTCACGACTTTCCTCTTCTTTGACTGCCGCTTTCCCGTCGCTTTCTCTAGCGTGTCTCGTGGCCCTCTCGTTTCTAAAGTCATACTCTGGCTCTCGATCCCCTGTTCCGACTTTCCACGGGTATCCTCTTCAGTGACTGCTTTCCTCTTCCGTACCGTCTTCGTGACCCTGCGCGGCTCGAACTCGTACTTGATTGTGTCTAGCGGACGCTTTGATTTGCTGAGGAGGCTATCTTCCAGCCATTCGAGCTGGACGATACGGATGGTGCGGTACTGACGTGCTTCCCGGACTGCAGACCTACCAGGTTAGTAGGTAGGTCTATGGCAGCCAATATGAACTGACGTGGATGAAGTGTTATAAAGTGTGATATATTGTAGAAAAATGGAGAATGGAGAATGGTTGAAGTGTAGATGTAATATGGTAGTTGATGCTTGACTGTGTGCTTGAGGTGTAGCAAACAGATTATGCAGAGTCACCACAAACACGGAATCTGGTCAGGCAGCAGCCACCACGGATTTGGGCTGTGGCAAACCCAGAAACAAAGCAGCTGGTAGACAGCCGATCTCTTTCATGCTGGCACTGACACCTGGTCGTCCCACTGCAAACAAAAGTTGACAAACAACTTACCTAGTGGATGATATCTCTTCCAAGCTTTCTGGCTGGCAAGAAGATGTGTGACGTCCTTGGAAATTTCCTTGCAGAACGTGCCGCCATTGTGCTCGATCCAGCCTTTGATCTTTTCGTTCTTGTCGGTTGGAAAGTCGTTGGTAGAAACGACACAGATGTTGCGAAATGTTTTACCCATGTTGCAGGAGATGATAACCGATCTCGATCCAAGCTCGACCTTGATGATTGGTAATATTCGATGATCTGATAGAAAGTGATAAGCGAGGATGACACAGTGGTGTAGAGCATCAAGCCGGAGTCTGAAGGCAATGGTCTCTAGTAGTGACAGAATGGACACCCTGTACTGAAATTGGAGTTCACGAGTATTAAGTGATAATGATCAAAGAAGACCGCTGTATTCAAGGTGAATATCGGATGCGATCCATGCAAGACTGTCAGAAGACGACGTATGAGAAGATGGAAGGGACAATAACAAACTCCGAGAAGACAAGCAAGGACAAGGAAAGAGTGTACCAAAACTGGCAGAAAAGGCTTTGAGTAAGAAAGGGAAACAAAATTGGGTGACAAGGTGACAGATATGGTATCACTAAGGTAAGTGACTCCTGTGCCGTTCTGAGAGAGGTGGTCGGTGAAGATTGACAAAATCACATGTGAGAATATGGTCAGCGTGACAAGGCGCGAAGATCCATCGTCTGGCACAGTGAGAGAATATGGAACTGACTTGGACATATCGAATGTGAGATCAAAGGTCCAACCTCAGGGTATCATATTCTGCATACCGTCTATCAACCCTTCACGGCCTTGACAAACGCCGATATTTTGGACAAATCTTGCTTTCCGTCTGATTCGACTCCGCTGCTAACATCGACTCCAGCAATGTTGCTTTTATAGGGACCTAAAGCATCCAGGACTGCGTTGATGTTGTCTGGTGCGAGACCACCTGCCAATATCACCTTCAGACCGGAATCCCTAGTAAATAGCGATTTTACTTCATCCAGATTTAATTGTTGGCCTGCACCTCCAGCACCGGAATCCAAGAGGGGCAAAGCATGAAATGCTCGGCTTGAAATACCTGGCTCCAAGGGAGAGAATCTGCGCAACACGGGGACTGGGATATTGCGGGCGTACTCGATAGGTTCAGAACCGTGAAGTTGAACAACATCGAGGCCGAGCTTGTAGATTTGTTCAATGATGAATTCGAGAGGAGCATCAAGAAAAACACCGACCAGCTGTGCACGATCTGGCCGGACTAGCAGCCTTGACGAATGCTCGAAAAAGTTTGACGTGCCAACGTCGGGCGGTCCCGACATCTTCTTTTTCGCAGGTTTGGGCGTCGATCTGACCACTTCAGCTATTTGCAGAGCAACGTCGTCCGAAACGAACCGATTTCGACCAGGAACGAGGATGATTCCCACCAAGTCCGCCCCAGCTTCAATGGCCGTTCTCGCAGCTTCTGCCGTTCTTGTGCCGCAGATTTTGACCAACAACTGAGGCTGTGACGTTTTCTTTGGTTTGACGTTATCATCTCCTACAAGCTTAGTGATAAAGTCAACAGTGTTTGATGCTCGCATCAAAGCTTCGCCGACTAAAATGGCCTTCACGCCGTCCTTTCGATAGGCTTGGACATCATGAGGCCCAGAGATCCCGCTCAAGGCGCACACGATCGTTGATTCTGGGACAAGATCTAGTAATCGACTGGTTGTCGCGAGATCCACTTCGAAGTTTGTAAGATCGCGGTTGTTCACACCGATGACCTGTGAGCCGAGGTCGACTGCAATTCTCATCTCCTCCGCAGTGTTGACCTCGACCAACGGCTCCATTCCAAGAGAGCGAGAGTAATGGTAAAGGCGGGTCAAAGTCTCCACATCCAGCATCTTCACAATGAGCAGTACCGTATCTGCCCCAGCCAGGCGTGCCTCTAGGATCTGATACTCCTCAAAGATGAATTCTTTCCGCAGAACTGCAGGTCGATTTGGCATAGAATCCAGACTCTGCCGAACGGCTCTGAGATCTTCGAGGCTTCCCTTGAACCATTCAGGCTCCGTGAGAACCGATATGACACTGGCCCCCGCAGTTGCGTACTTTCGAGCCTGAGATGGAGCACAGGTGTTGAGAGATATGATACCCTTGGAAGGTGACGCTCGCTTGATTTCCGCCAGCAAGGCCAAGGGATACGCCGATTGTCGAAGTCTTTTTGGGAATGAGATTTGAGGGGGAGCAAGGCCGATATCATAGGCAGCTTGAAGGTCTTCAGGCCGCTGCGAAGGGATCAGCTTTTGGGCTGCCACAGATTCCCGTCGATGAGCGTATATAGTATCAAGAATCGATTCCTTCTTAGATGTAGGCTGGCCATTTGTGGCCACAGATGCTTGTTTCCTGCCACCGGCAACATGCAGGTTATCAGACCACTTGCCGCCCGACATGACCAGGAAGTTCTTGAACATGAGTCTTCCATTCTCAGTTAGGATGCTTTCCGGGTGAAACTGGACACCTTCAATCACGTATTCCTTGTGCCGCACTCCCATAATGACTCCCCTACCACCATCAGGGCCCTTGGCGATCCAAGAGGAGACTTCCAACGATGGTGGTAGGGTCAGATGAGTTCCTGCCAGGGAATGGTATCTGGTGACAGGCAGGTCCTGTTCCAACGATGTATAACACCCTTTGCCGTCGTGCCTCAGTGGAGAGGTCTTGCCGTGCAGAATCTCTCCTGTAACATCTACCTGGCCACCAAAGACGGATATGATACACTGCTGACCCATGCACACGCCTAATATAGGGATTTTGCCTGCGAAGTATTGGATGGCATCTTTGCTAATCCCTGCATCGGTGTCAGGGTGGCCAGGGCCTGGACTGATGACCAGCTGTGTCGGCTTCTTCGCAATCAATTCGTCGAGTGTGACTTTATCGTTTCGGTAGACCGTGACAGTTGCACCCTCCAAGACCAGATACTGGTAGACGTTCCAGGTGAAAGAGTCATAATTGTCGATGAGGACGAGATTGCTGGCGGAAGCTAGTTTCACGGCAGGTATTGGCTGAAAGGGAGAATGGTCGATTAGAGTAGAGGGGGCCATGGTCGGCGCTTTAGAGAGAGCAAGGGTAACAATTCCCCTCCTGCCGTGGATGGAGCAGGAATTTCCAATGTCCAAAGAGTCAGAGGTCCATTTTGCGGTCACGAAATTTCCCCGGACTTTCTACGGCGGATCAGAGCACTTCCCACAAGTAAGCCAAGATATCATGTCTCAACGGCGAAGCATTTGGCTTGCAAATTGTCGCGACGCACTTGCATTCAACTGCAGTGCGTGTCAATATCGATCATTCGTGTAGAATACCGACCATGCCTTAACCACACGCCAACTTCTCTGTCAAACATGGCGCCCGGGTCGCTAAGCCCTGTTTATCTTCCAGACCTGGGAAAATGCCTTGCCGGCGAGCTCCTTCTTCCGTGCGGTTGACTTCCAGATGCCCGATACGCACAGAAATGCTAATATGTTTCTAGTTCTTGGGACGATCTGCTGGATGCCTTGCTGTCCCACGATGAGACAAGATCTGGGCTCGCTGTCGAAATCCTCTCCGGCGATCGTCCTAAAAAGGTCTTGTCCGAACTGTTTCCCACGTTTCCACCGCCATCGCCCTCCTCCAAAACCGCAGTCGATTCAATCACCGCCGCGATCAGTTCTCCAAACCCCCATTACAGCATTGACGAAATCAAGGCGGACGCTCTGTGGCTGAGCCAGCAGGCAAACTTGGACGAGCTGGAGGCATTGCGCCTGACCGTCTTAGAATGGCAATACCGACCAGAGTCACGGCTCAACAAGGGCTATTCAGAGGCTGAACTCGCTAGCCTAAGAGAGGCTCTGGGATCCGATGTTGTCGACAAACAGTTCCAGGTGAAACAAGGCTCAGCCGCAAGAGACGATGGCTTTTTCGGTAACCAGAGCTCCCGCCGGGCGGGACTGATATCTCGGCATCTGCAGGAACGGGTCGTTGTGTTGCGGACGAGAAGATCTCTTTTGGATGCCAGTCTCTTACCCAAGGCTAAAGACATACCCCTGTGCAAGTTGCAAGATCTGGCCAAAGGTCTAGCCCCGAAACCAGATCGCTCCTTGGCTGATGACCTCGACGCCGGCATCACTGCAATACAAGAACAATCAAGGCGGCTGCAACAGGGCCAGCAATGGGACGTGGACGAACTACAAATTCCTCTTCTCAATGACATGTCTGATACGAGTTGTTTGGAGAGCATAGGCACTATCCTAGAAATTTTGTTGTTAAGAGTCAGGAGCTCGAGAGCTACGCCATCTTCTCACACCCTCTTATTGTGGTTGCAGCTTATGGTGTCGCTCGGGTTCTTTGGCCCGTTCACTTCTGAGAACGCGGCGCAGTTGGCCGCCATCCAGAAAATACAGTCGATGGGGTCTCTCGTTACAGCTGCACTTTTCGACCTGGCATCCTCTGTGGCCACCTTGAATGAAACTGCACTGTCCAACCAATCCGTGCGGCCGAATCGAGAACAGCAGTACTTTTTCGACGCTGATGCGGTTCATGAGATCCACCAGCTCCTTGCTCTCCAAGCTGAAACTGGGAACGTGCATGCCGGACCGGCCGTGTTGGCATGGGCGATTATGGTCCACCAAATTCGACTCCTCGCTGCCGCCGTCAAAGAAACGCGTGACAGTCAGCACATCCAAAAGTCCAGCGATGGGGTTTCTCTTTTTGACGCTTCAGCGGGCCGACGAAGCTCTGTCAGTAGCATCGCTTCGTCCCAAGCAAGCATTTTTGAAGAACTCCTCGATAAAGTCATGGCAAGCAACTCGAACGAAGACCCCTCCAGTGTACTGCTCAACACGGTCATCGGCCAATGCCAGGTGTTCGACTATATTAGTATTCTTACCAACTCGGCTTCTGTCCCTTCCAGTGTTCTCTCGGCATATCAACTACAAACCTTGCAGGAGCTTATCACGGTATCTCACTCCTTCTTGGGCTACACTCCGGAGTTGGTGTCGGCTCAGTTGGCATTGTTGTCCACCAGTTCAGATGATGAGCAACAACAAAGACCATACGACCCTGCGATTGACTTTGCCGATGATGAGTTTTTGCTTGCAGGATTCTACGACGTTTCTGCAGCACGGTTTCCCTACGAGAGTCTTCCTTTCCTACAGTTTTCCAGGGCTCTCGCGAAAGCAAAAATATTCAATGACCAAGGAATACACTATGTTGAGCATCGCCTGAGAAAGCTGACCTCGTTCACCCAGGCGGCAATCAAAGGCGTCGAATACAGGACCATTCGTGACGACGAGAGTGGCAATCTTGTGGCTCTCAACAAGCCAGTCAACATGCTCGACCTCACACAGAACAGGCTATTGACCTATACGCATCAGGAATCCGAGTCATCCTCGATTATTCCTGCAGATGCGGAAGGCGAACTCATCTCAGATCCCGATTCGACATCCAAAGTGATCAGATGGCAATATGAATATTCCGGTCTAGCATACTTGGGTCAACTTCTAGAAATACACTACATGGGTCTGTTGCCCACCGCCTTGTCACCGTTTGAGGAGCCTGAAGCGGTTGTCTCCGAGATTATTGGTCTCCTGGCGACTTTGTTGTCCACTATCCACCAAAGTGCCTCGGATGGACGAAGCAAAGACCAAGTACGTGATCACTGCAACAGCGTCTTGATCGAAGCAAGCAGTCACCTCAGTCACGAGGCAGACGTCGTCGCATACGTGTTTGAGATCTTCGAGCAGGAGCTGCAGTCATTTCGCCGACGGTCATCTTCAAGCTTCGACCTCCGGATTCTGCTCTCTTGCTTGGATTTTATCATCGCGCTCACCAACGTGCGGCCACACTTGATCTGGACCAATCTCAACCGAACGAGCCTTCTGGGTCGCCAGTCGTCAGCGACGATTATTCCTGGGATTGTGAGCGCGGTGGAGATTCCTCTACGAAGCTTTGACTTCTTGGAGAGGTGTGCTCGCCTGTACACAGCTCTGGTGCAGCTAGCTCTCACAAACCGAGATAACACCTTGTCTACAGCCGCTGTGGTGACGGCGCGAAGGCGATCTGCATTACCCGCGGGTTGGCAGATTCAAGGGCCGACATTGCTGTCCATGACCGATATCATGTTCAAAGTGTTCCAAGAGATATCGGAGTGGGCATTCCAATCTCCCGCGCAGCAGCTCCGGATCATCACTCTTGTTACGGGAGCATTCAACGACATCCTCCGCTACGGATTTGATATCGGTGATTCATTGGATTCTTCATCCGGCGCGACGGCACTGTTCGCTGAACCGGCACGACTTCTCGCCTCCTCTTTCCGTGCCAGCGGCTCTGACCATGTCGCCGTGGGTCCAATATTGCGCTCCTTTTTCAAGGCTGACGCCTTGGCACACTCTGTTTTGATTGACGCAGGTGACGTTGAGCGTCACATTAACCAATTACTAGCACTGGCCACCGTGATGGCTCGATACGGTGAAACTAGACGTCTGCCGCTCTCGTCAGCTGAGCTACACATTTTCAACGCCATGCCGTCTTTGGTTCGGATACTTCAAATCAAGTCCAAGGTCCGGGTCCAGTGTTTGAAGTTGATCAGGTCGATCGTCTCCTACGTCGGTCAACATGAGCCGTCTTCTCTACTAGGGCACTTGGGCTCCGCTTCTTGCACCGACTTCCTGCATTTGTTGAAACATATTGACCAGGGATCTCACTCGGGCGAGGAGCGTGCCGAGCTCTGGAAAGTCCTGGCTTTGCTGGTCAAGGACTCCCAGCAGTGGCTGGCCATGGTGCTTTTGACTGGCGCCGCTCCGGACAGCTCTAGGAAAGCTAAGGAGGATGCGCCAACGAAGTCTCTCCGAGGGAAGAACTTCCTACAGCTTGCTGTTGACGAACTGGGCCACATTGAATCTCTCCCACAACAAGTCGCGGTGGCCATGCTGGATTTCGTCTTGGAAGCACAACAGAACTGGCCGTGGGTGGCGAACAACCTTGACTCTTCGCCGGAATTCTATAAGAAGGCCATCACGTACGCCACGCACGGAGATGCCAGCCGCAGCGACGAAACTGAACTCGCATATCAAAAGTTGATTGCCGCTCTCATCACTGACCTGTCCAACGCTCACCTTCACCACGCGAAGGCTTCCCGAGACCTCAACGCCATCAAGACCTTCATTCCTCTGATTACTTGGTTGGCCGTGAATGGTGTCGAAGTTTCGAGCTACAATGCGTCTCTGCATTCCAACTTGCGAAGGAACTTTGCTGCCAAGTACAACGGACTGTCAGTTTCCGACATCAAGCACACAGGATTGACCGAAACACACTACGGACCTAATTTCTTCTACGACCTCGAGGTTGCCGACAAACTCTTCACCGACGACGTATATTGGCACGGAGATCGGGGAAGATCGAGCCAGCAATCATTCTCGGCAGAATTCAGAAGAGCGAACGCAAATTTGTCTCTGGTGGACTCTGAGCTGAAGCTGTTACTGAGTCTGCAACGTCTGTGTGTCGACCATTGCAAATTCTTTGGGCAAGATCGCGAAATTCAAAAGAAAATGGCTTACATTGTTCAATGTTGCCTGAGAGCCAATTGTCAGCTCTACCCTGCCGAAGCCATTTTCGACTCAGTGTTTCAGACCCGGGCAGATCTATCCATAGTGTTGCTCGGTGAACTGGTTGCAGCGGGTGCGAGAGGTTCAGAGTTTACGGGCTTGTTGAAGCCTTCCTGGGATGCGGTTCGATTCAGGAATGGTTCATACGAGAAAGCGATCATCAACGACGATCTCACTTACTGGCGGTCGACCCTCTACATCCTACTCATGGCTATTTCGTTCCACGTCAACAAAAAGCGCAGGCCGACCACCGTTCCCGGTACCAGTACTGCCGTTATCACTCTGGACCACGCGAACACGACGTTTCTGGAGATCATGACCCAAATCGTTGCCGACGGCTTCAAGTCGGTTGTAACGGCACTCCAAGAACAGAAACAGAGCAAGCTGAACACCAAATCCACCGACACCTCCGATTCCGTCGGGCCACGCGATATGTCTCTTCTGTTGACCCTCGCGCAAGGCATCTTGCGATTGCCGACCTTGTCACAATTCTCTGTAGAGCTCTCTGAAAGAATTTCTTCTTCCGGTGTCGCCTCATCGTGCGTCCTGCTCTATACATGGTCTCACATCCTCATACGGCCCGAGTTTGACAAGGAGCCGCGGTACGGTTTGTTCTCGGTCCAAATGCTGGCGTCTTTGTCTTCCCTTGCGGGTGTGGCCGAGGAGCTTGCCATTGAGGGGGTGCTGAGCCGCTTTCTCACCTCGAAGACGACCGACTCTCTTCAACGTGTTCCGGGCGGCGTCTCCCATGTTGACTCGCGGCCCACTTGTGGTGTTCTCTACAAAATTTGGGCGACTGGTTTCTTGCCGATATGTCTGAACCTCGTGCACGCAGTGGGTGCCGCCATCGCCCCCGAAATTTCGTCCTTTTTGAACCAATTCACCAACCAGCTCGTGCGTGCCAGCACTAGTTTTATGCTCAGCCCTCAAACCAGAGCGGATGGAACGGACGTTCTGACTCTCGCATTGGCGAGCGAGGCGGCGACACTTGCATTGCTGTCCCGCATTCTTGCCTCATATCGAGAGGCGGGGGCTTCGGCCGCGGTGGACCCGCTAACAATCCCCCCGTTGAAGGGGTACGACGAGCATAGGAAAGCCATCGCCGAGGACATTCGGGACGTGCTGGCCCTGAAAGAAGTCTCCAGAAGGACCATGACTGTTCCGACAGATGAGAGGGAACGAAGTTTGCAGAGCTCGAAGGAAGGTGATAAGTTGGACAGAAAGATTGTGAAGGAATTGAAGATGGCCCTGGCAGCTTTGGGTCGCGACGAAGACGACGAAGAAAAGTGACTGTTTAGTGGGCCGGGCATATTGGTTTCTCGCATGGGTGCCGTATGCCCAGGCACGTTACTATCATGACGCCGAATGACTATGTACGGGAATGGACCAACTACTCTCTTCCAGTCGACCTCCTCCATGCCTGTCTCTGGGCTTGCCACCGGCGATCCGCAATTGCTCCATTCATCCAGTGGACCTGTGCCCCATTTTCGCATTGTCAGAACTGCTTCGGCCTTGGTGCACCTTGCACCTCGGTGGTCCATTTAACGGGAGCGGTCGGAGCCGGATATATGTTTGCTACTCGGGTGGACCATGATGGAAAACACTGTGAACTATGAACGTCCCATACCCCTTGGGCGGCGTGCTATGGAATCCTTGCTTTAACAGCGACTTTAGTCGTAGTAGTTCTGGACCTTGAGCCCCTTGAATTCAAAGCTCGTGCCCTCGCGTTTCTCCAGCACCGTCTTGTAGTGAACATCCTTGACCCGCGCACGCACATACTCGGTGCCGCTCGGAACCGGCTTGCTGGTGTCTTTATCTTCCTCGGTGAGCAGACCGAGGCGCTCCAGCAGAGGTGAAGGTACGGTGCGCATGGGGGTGTTGTCCCCGGGTCGCACAAAGTACAGCAAGCCCAGACGAGGGACGTTGATCTGGTCTTTTGGTGGGGTCACCACTCGGTGGACCGTCGATTTAATGAATCCTGGCGGGGTCAGCACGAGGTGGATAAAGAGGCGACAGACAACAGAGAACTACGCACCGTTGGTGAGGAAAGTCAGGGTGTCGGCGGCGTTACAGGTAATGCCGCCTTCCACAGGCTTAACCCACTTCCATTGGCCCTCGGGGGTGCGAATCTGCAAACCGGCGATGTGCTGGGAGAAGAGCAGGGTCAAGCTGCCAAAGTCGGTGTGGCCGCCCTTGCTGTAAGCTTGGGCTCGGTCCCACTCGTCCTGGGTGCGGACGTTGTAGATCATGTAGCGGAGGTGGTCATCTGAGACCTGGTCATAGTCGTGGGCGTTGAGCAGGTAGTCTTCTGGCAGCTCGAGGATGACGGACATGAGAACAAACAGCTTGCGGATGACCTTGTCGAAGACCTCACGGTGGAAGCTGGCTATCTCGTTGTAGTGCTCGCGCACAATGTCGTGCTTGGGGACGTTGGCGAGGGCCGGGATGTCTTTGGGGATGTTGAGCTGGCAGCAGGCTGAGAGTCAGTATGGCACAAGCGGGAGACGAGGCTGAAAGGAATAGGCTGGACGCAGGCATCATCCCCCACCATTTCGACGTTATCCTTGACCCCGGTGTCGCCGATCCAGCGTGAGTTCTCGCGATAGCCGAAATACTCGCCCTCGGCAAAATTGCAGGGGAACTGGCGCTTCTCCTCGAGCGACTGCTTAAAGAAGGTGTTGCCGATGCTGAATTGCCGCAGCACCTTCGCATCGTCCAGGCCGGTGTTGACCACCACCCAGAACCCAACTCGGGTCAGGGCATCGTAGAGCTGCTTGGCCAGCTCTTGCTTACCGCCCGGCTCGTCGAAGCGCGAGAGATCGATCTTGGCCAGGGGAGCCCAGTCTAGGTCTTCAGAGGTCGGAGCGGGCCGGTTCCAGGGTTTGACCAGGATCCGGCTGGTGTCCGCGGCGGGCTCTTGGACGGCCACTGGTGCCATGGTTGATGGGAAGAAGGGTTAGATGAATCTGATCTCACCAAAGAGCATGGAAAGCAGACAAAGCAGACAAGATGTATCCCGCTTATATATCAAGAAGCGACCAGGCCAGTGCGGGGCTGTCGACTCACCTCGCATCCCGTACGGCAGTGGTCGGTATATCACAGGCCAGTGAGATAGCCGGGGTGCGTCTTCGGCTGCAGTATGCGCGGCATATCAACCGCACCCCCATGGCGTGCTTTCATTCTAAAGAGGCGTGCTCGCTGGGGATAACATCGACAGCCTCTTGCCCCACGGCCATATTCCGACGGGGCTCCTAAGGCTGTCGATCTAATTAGCCCAGCCCCTAACCGCGTGGGTCCGTGGTTTTGTTTATTCTGACAACCCTTTTGCCCCTTGTGCTCCGTCGCCAGTCTCCTTATCAATTATGATCACGCTACGGCTATAACATACAGTTGAGGTTGCATGAAGGTGGGTAAGAGCCCTGCTCGAATATGGCCTGGGAGGGGTCCATGGGGCAAGAAGATGTCTTACGCCTTTGTAACTGTCCATGTCGTGATGGCCCGCCCCAGTACCAGGGCTCTGGGGGTACGGTTATATACGAACCCAAGCGTGATGCATATCTCCCTCGGGGTTTCTTGTCATCCCGCCGCAAGTATCACAAAGCTTGATACCTGGTACCGGCATTCTCCCAAGTCATCGTCTCCTAATCCTCCAAGATGGGCGCGGAGAAAAGCCTGGATCACGGCTTCACTGCCGTCGAGGCCGTGTCCCCCAGCCTTGACAGCAACGGGGATGGGGCCCCAGCCATCGACAGGGAACTCGAGAAGAAGGCGATGCGCAAGATCGACTTCTGGCTCGTGGGCTTCTACTCGGTGGTCTACATCTTCCGGGTCATCGACTCGTCCAACTACTCGAATGCTGCCATCATCAATCTGGAGAACGGGACGGGCATCAAGAAAGAGCTGCATTTCAACCCGTCACAATGGGCATGGACACTGTCCATTTTCTCCTACAGCTACCTGATCTTCGAGCCGAGCAACACTGTTCTGCTCAAGTATTTCCGCCCGTCCCGATGGATGTTTGTGCTCATCCTCGTCTGGGGCATCTGCGCCTGTTCGTCGGCCGCCACCCAGAGCTTCCAGGGCATGATGTGTGTCCGCTTTGCCATCGGTATGGCCGAGGCCGGCTTCTACCCCGCCGTCCTGTATCACATGGCTTTCTTCTATCGCCCGACCGAGATGCCTTGGCGCATTGCGCTGTTCTACTCCGTTGGTCAGATCTCCAGTGCCCTGAGCGGCCTGTTAGCCTTTGCCGTCAGCTTCATGGATGGACTCGGCGGCCTGGCCGGATGGCGCTGGCTTTTCCTGCTGGAAGGCTTGCCCGCCATCATCTTGGCCTTTGTTGCACTATTCGGCCTGCCCGACTATCCTCACACGGCTAAGATGCTCAGCTCCGAAGAACGCGAGCTCGTCGCCCGCCGATTGTCGTCGACCGCGCCATCGGGAGAAAAGGGTCGCTGGGACTGGACGAGCTTGAAAAAGCTCTTCGTAGATCCTACTGTCTACACCTTCTGCATCTACTGGGTCGCCCATGGTATCGGCGGCTTCGGCGTCGGCTATGCCCTGCCCACCGTCATCTATCAGCTGGGGTTCACCACCACCGCCAAATCTCAGTTGATGAACATCGTATGTCCTGCTGCAGCCTCGGCTTGTCTCTCCTGCTAACTTGCTCCTCTTTTAGCCACCCTACGTGACATGTTTCTTCCTGCTTAACGCACTGGGCTACATGATCCACAAGAAATGGATCCGACCGTGGACGACGGCCGTCGCAAGTAAGATCTTCTGCCTTCTGCTTTGATTCCTGGACACTGTCATTGACACTGACACCCTGTAATAGTCGAGGGCACCACCATTGTGTGCTATATCATCCTGATCACCGTGCACAGTGCGGTGGTCAAATACCTGGCTCTGATCGTGGCCGTGTCGTGCGCCGGCTCAGCCTATCCTGTCATCTGGCCTGAACGCATCCGAGCGCTCCAAGGCACGGTGGCGGCCGGCATTGGAATTGGGCTCACCAACGCCATGGCACAGTTTGGCGGCATTGTCGGCCCACACGTCTACAGCACCATCTACGGCCCGACCTACCGCGTCTCGTACATCATCTGCCTATGTCACCTTGTTGTCTCCATCTCCGCTGTGCTGGCGTCGTGGTTCTTCGTCCGGCGAAAGGACCGGCAAAGAAAAGCACTCGATGCTTTGGAGTGAGACTGCTACGCTTGCACAAGTCCGTGGCGTAGGTGCGTTGCACAATTATGCATGCATGCATGGAGAGCTTAGATTGGCTCAAACTATAAACTTCCAGCCTTGTTAGGAGCTGGCTTCAAGAAAAGCGACACGAATCTGTCAGTACATGGAGGACTGGCGACGGATGGATAGAACTCTCAAATCCTTTCGCCTTGCCTTTCATAACAGAGTCCACACGCTCAGGATTAGGAGTTGTGCCCCAAGTATTCTAACCACACTATATCGGATTGTGTAGCCTAACAAAAGAGTTCTATGCTCATGAGGCCTCCTTACCTATTGCTGTCTTGGGTCGTCCCTAAGCACTGACTCCCCTATGTGAGATTAGTAATAGCTTCATATAGTCGAGGCTATGTATCTACTTTTAGAGGTCTTATATTCAAAGGTGGCACATTGTCACGGTTGACCCAAACCGTTACACCACGACGGTCGCCAAAAAGGACGAAGTAACTAATTCACTCGTGAATTAGCCACTTAGTGTATATAACCGTCACACAAGAGAGCAGTATAGGCGAGAGAGAAGAGGTAGGTACCTTACTAATATACTACTTCACTTCACTTAGTAGGATAATCTCTTTTCTAAGAACTTTCACCCTAAATCAATACCTGAAAGTAGAGATCAGGGAGTCTTCGCCTATAATTGGTGATAATCTATAGACTGGGGACTAGGGGTCGGCGGAAACATGTTAGAGCAGCAATTAGAAGCGCTTCAATTCCGGCTCGCAATGTGGGCTGTATAAGAGGCTTGAATCCAGACGAATGGTTCATCGGTACTGGAGGAAGATCTGAGTCGTGACGTCCCTCAAGATCAAAAGTAGTAGAATCCGAGCATCCGAGATGCCAGAAAACATAGGGCTGTCCCTGAGCTAGGTAAGGGAAGTCTTCCGCAATAGTTGAAACAGTGATTTCCGGGTTGAACATAGGGCCAAAGTGCTCAGCAAAGCCTCCTTTGAGAAGGTTGGTTGTCTTAAGATCGTTGATGGTCAAAGGAAACCGGCGAGTTGTCGTAAATTCAGGTGGTTGTGGAGCGTTGCTGGCTTGACACTCAGCGTTGATGATACGATAAATAGATTTCAGTAACTGGTCTCTTGTTGAACTCGTCACGAATCGGATGTCAATACCGAGTTCCAAGTCATTTGGGATGATATTCTCCGCAGCCGCTGCACTTAAAGGCACAGCTGTCACAACGGCAGTCTCGCTCGGGGCTAGCTCTCTGCTAACAATCTGCTGTAGACGTATAACACAGTTGGCAGCCAGAACCCCAGCATCAATTAAACGATGTGGTTGAGATGCGTGTCCTCCTCGTCCATGAATCTTGCACCGCATACTCTCTGCCCCTGCCATAATGGTGTCATTGCGTAGACCGATCATTCCGGCCGGGAGGTTTGCGACAATATGTTGTCCAAATAGATAATCAGGCTTTGGAATCTTGTTGGAGAGCCCGTCGGCGATCATGGCTAGAGCACCGGTCCCACGCTCCTCTGCCGGCTGGAAAAGAACAATCAATGTTCCACACCATTGATCGCGGGCTTTTGTCACGAGAATGTCTGTCGCTGCAAGAAGGCATGTGATATGCATGTCGTGACCGCATGCATGCATGACTGGTTTGCTTACTCCGTCAAGAGTGGCAACAACATTGCTCTGGTAGGGGAGGCCAGTGGTTTCTTGAATTGGCAGCCCGTCAATATCAGCTCGCAACAGTATTGTTGGTCCAGATTGGTTTTCGAAGACCCCAACAACCCCACAACCTCCGATCCCTGTATAGATCTCCAGTCCATCGCAGCGTGCAAGCCATGACTCAATCAAGTGGGACGTTTCCACCTCAGCATTTGAGAGTTCTGGATGCGCATGTAAATGCTTGTAGATTTCTTCATATTGAGTAAGGTCCTTAGGGAGACATCTACTAAGGACGTCTGATAGTTGCGTCATAATATCAATCTTGCTTAGGTAGCAGGTAAAAATCAATCTCCAAGCTCTTTTAGAGGTATGTAGAAGGCGACACCAGGTGCGAACTGCTAGAGCGAAAAGTATAGTAGCGCTTAGTGTATCTATACAATCACGTCATCCGGTCACATGACTGCCAAGATTACGCCAAGGCTGCCTACTATCCTACTCTATGGTACCTATCGAAGAAAACCAAGACTTTTTATACGATAGGTACTAAGGAATATTAATTATCGAATATCGCTTAGTACCTATCGTATAATCTCTCTTTTTTTTCTTAATAATCTATCCTTAGGGTCTTTACTATAAATATATAAAGTTTCGAAGATATCGACGTAGAACTCGTAAAGGTAGAAGGGAAACCCTAAAGTGTTATTTTAGAGGGGGAAGAATTACTAAGACTTCGAATATATATACCCGCGCCTCGAAAATCCCTAGCGTACCTAACCTAACAACGACTACCTCTTAAGAACCGAACGCTACCTTAGAAGAATCGAACGACGACTCGAAAATCTCTAGTTAAAATATATATAGGGGCGGGATAATATAGTTCGTTTTTATAAGACGGGCTTCGAAAAGAATAAGGCGACGCTCGTTTTTTTCGAAGCTATCTTATTACGAATACGTATATATATTCGTGATACGTATACGCCCGAGATACCGTCGCTCGTTTTTTTAAGGCTAATATTAAAAAGAACGAGTAGAAGCCCGTTATTCTCGATATCTATCGAGTCGCTCGAATAAAACGGGGCTTAGGTCGAAAGTTTCGAGTATAGATTAGGTAAGAGCGGGTAAGGTAAGCTAGAAGTAAGACTTTAATAAGGCTCTTAGGTAAATACTCGTCCTAGACGAGTAAATACTCGTTTTATACGACTAAGATAAGTTATCGCTAAGTCTTATATATCTAGAGAATATATAAGTTATACTATTATATTACTTCTTTCTAACCTTCTCTCTTTTATATTACGCC